CATCGCGGGCATATCAACGAGCACCACCAACCTGCTCAAGGTGCCATGTACAAGGCTATAAAAGGAATTAATGTAGAAGCAATTAGGAATATTTTATATATATACTTATATAGGTTTAATTCAGTTGCTGTTTAGTTATCCGTCAAAGAGGCGCGCGCGGTTTAGTAGGGTGCGCAGCTTACTGATGTCCGCAGCTTACTGATAAAACACGTTACCGAGGACTGCTACTGGATAAATGCTGCCTACTGCAGTCTCTTTCCTATACCCGGGCTCCATCAGAAATAAAGTATGTTAACCCATCGCGGAATATGGACATAGTGTGTGTGATCTGTCAACCCTCTTGTTGTGGCTAGGAAGAACATTAAGAAAATTATAATCTCTGCTAGGACAGTTGAAGGAGCGCGGATGTGCTGTCCAATTACATTGTTCTCCGGTCAGCGGGAATTTCCCGAATGACGACGATTGCCGACAGGCGATCCATCTCGCCCCGGCGTTCAACAACGTCTCAGCTCCCTTTTATCCCTCAATTGCTCGTTTGGTCTGCCCTACGATCCGGTGTTGAGACGTCGCTGTTGTGCTGCAAGCGGCCGCCTGTCGTCCATCGAGGCGCAGCCAGCATCGTCTTCGCGCCCGCTGCTCGACCAGTAAACTCGACTAGCTTGATGGTCAGGAAATGGTTATCCCCAGTTGGATGGTTTGCATGACATAATCCCCTCACAGCTCTGATCAACACCATGTATGCTTCCCAGCAGGCCCAAGCATGTGGAAATTACCAGTCCGCATTGTCAGAGCCAGCAGGCGGCCGTCAATTGCACTCCCCAGTCCCTCTCACCGCAGCACCAACCCCTCAGACCGCCAAAATTTTCACGAATACTTCATTACCCATCTGCCCTCGACCTCGCTACACCCCGATTCGAGACCGGTCCATGGCCCGCACCACAAGCTCCCGAGAGACAAGAGCACGCCCCATGAGCCGCGTGGGACGAACCGCTCTCCCGCAGCGGCGCCGCCCATGGTGGGCGCAACGCGAGAGATGACAGTCGTGCGGATACCCTTAAAGAGCGCGAAACATCATTTCGGCGTCTCTTTGTCGCGTGGCACACGGCCCTATAACGAGGATACCTTCCAGGCGGGCACAATTGAGATCCCGGCCTTCTCGAAGCGCCGCCCCATGTCACTGACACGGAACCCAAGCGGCGCGATAAAGAGTGAGGTCATACCTGCTGATAGTGCCAGCGGAGACCCCCAAGTATTCTACTACGGCGTGTTTGATGGACACGGGGGCAGCGAGTGCTCGGGTTTCTTGAGGGAACAGTTGCATACCTATGTTGAGGAGGGGGCAAGGCTGTTTGAGCTAGAGAGTAGTCTGAAAAGGAAGGGAAGGGCGGAGAGGTATATTGGGTGGCCGAGTAGTGTGGGCAGTGTGGACGAGAGGACTGCCCACCCGGAAGCAGAGGCTTCTGGTAAAGATATCCTAGAAGCCGTGGAGACGCATACGCCATCTGGCACTGAGCCGATAAAGCCCCCTAAACCGGGGACGGATGAAAGGGCACCGTCTGGAGGCGTCGACAGCAAGGCAGAACCGATGAACAGCGCACCGCCACTTAAGCAATCGGACAGCATACGGAAAGCCGAAGAGCTGGAGCGATGTCTCGTCAGAGATTGGAGGGAGTTAGTCGGAGGGTACTTCCGACGATTCAAGCCAGAATATTTCTCCATGTCTGCCGGAGGCCGTGGCTATCCCACGGAGAACGACGTCACTACGAAGCGTCAGTCCTCAAGCTCGGCCATTCCTGCCGACGTTAGCGAGGGGATTGGCATCGAGACGGTATTAGCGTACGCTTTCTTGAAGGCCGACTATGACTTTGTTTCTGCCCAAGTTAGCAAGCAAGACGAAGACCCAGTTCTCGCAGACAGAGCCATCAACGACGACGACATCCTGGGGCACCCCTCACGAGCAAGCAAACGAATTGGCGGAGCGAAGCGCTTCAAAGGCGGGAGCACATGCAGCATCGCGCTCATATCCACTCCTACACCCTCGCCGTACTGGCATCCCGCCTCTCCCTCAACGCTCGTGACGGCTCATGTCGGCGACACGAGAATACTCCTGTGCAACACTGCAACTGGCCTTGCTGTTCCCCTCACGTCCAACCACCACCCATCCCTGCCCCAGGAAGCAACTCGTCTCCGGCGCTACGCTGCGACGTTTGTGACGGATTCCTTTGGCGAGGAGCGTGTTTCTGGCCTTGCCAACACTCGCGCCTTCGGCGACATGGCGTCTAAACGTATTGGAGTTAGCGCGGAACCCGAAATTCGCCGCATCGAACTATCGCCTGCAGAATACAGCTTCATGGTGCTTGTCTCTGATGGGGTGTCTGGGCCGCTCAGTGACCAGGAGATTGTGGACATAGTGAAAGAAGCTAAGACGCCCGAGCAGGCTGCAAGAGATGTAACGAGCTTTGCAGTTGAGGTTAGTACAGACGCGGACAATGCGACGACATTAGTTGTGCGGTTGGGCGGATGGGAGAGGCGGAGTGAGGGGGGTTTAGGGAGCATGGGAACGAAGGAGTTGAGAGACTGGAGGAAGGAAGAGGCTAACAACCCTCGTGGGAGGATGTGATTGTCTGATTCTTTGTCGGTTGTTTTCGCATTGCATATTGGGCGGATGGGTGTGTCACTTGGTGCGATAGGGGGTTTTGTTTTGGATAGCTCTGGTGTACTCTGTATTTGTATATGGGTTGTGAATGTTCCAGGTCACACATGTAGACATTGGGATGGACAAAAGAAAAATCATGGCATTCTCAAATGGACTGAATGGGATTGTGATGTCAATTGATGCACGGATGGGAGGGGGGAGCAAAGGCGATGGGACTACTTGGGCAGGGGGGCAGTGCTCGAAGAAGCATGATCCAAGGGTCCGGTACTGAACCCCAGCATAGCGACAGCAGACATCTTGGAGGTACTATGCGTGGATGTATAAAGATGGGCATTCATGGCTGGGGTCAGTGACCGTGGCCTGTGTGCTCGTTAGGGCTGCAGCCGGGGGCGATCTGGGGACGGTTTGGCGGAAGGGAAGCGAGCCAATGTGCAGCTTATGGTTCCTCTGGCTGCCTGAACGGGGGTCATCAACAGTCGCGGCCGCCGTCCACGGTCACTGCTGCCAAAATTTACTCCCTCGCCGTCACCTTCAGTCCTCATCCTCGCAGCTCCACGGCAATCCTTCGCTCGCTCGCTCGCTCGCCTGTTTGTTCTTTGCTTGCACATCTGCATCCACGTCTAGATAATCCTCCACTGCTGTTGCTGTGAGACACGCGCCGGTGTGTGGTGGGGCGAGCCTCGTCAGAAAAACAACGATTCACGTGTTTTGGCCCTCCCTACGTTCGACGTTCCTTTCGCTTCAAATTCCCTCCGTACACGGCAGCCCACCGCAACTTCCTCCCTCCTCGTGCCTCCTCCTCTCGCGCGGCAGCCCACCCACGACTATCTAGGTGCGCCTTCGTCCCGCTGCATCACTCTTCTACCTCAATCTGCTCCATCCACCAGCTCCCTGAACCTACCCTCCTGCAATCATGGACATTAACCAGGTGTTGGAGGGGACCCTCTCTCCTGGTGCGGCGCCCTCTCACTCCTCCCCCCTCCCTCCGTGCCATATCGCCCCAGCTAACGCCGCGTAGATTCCAACATCCGCCAGAGCGCTGAAACACGGCTCACCCAGGCGGCCGAGGCCAATTTTGTAAGTCGTTCCCCCTCCCCCTCCGGGCCCTTTGCCGCACTCCACGAACGATTTAGCTAATGACGTCCCCCTCTCCCTGCAGTCTGAATACCTGACGATCCTCAGCCAAGAACTGGCCAACGAGTCGGCCCAGCCTCACATTAGAACCGCCGCCGGTCTTGCGCTCAAGAACGCCTTCTCAGCGCGTGAATACGCCCGGTTACGTCAGGTCCAGGAACGATGGCTCAGCCTGAACCCCGAAATCAAGCAGAGCGTCAAGGGTCTTGCTCTCCGCACCCTCTCCACCCCCGATTCTCGCGCCGGGCAGTCGGCCGCCCAGTTCATTGCCTCGATTGCCGCCATCGAGATACCCCGCCAACAATGGCCGGAGCTGATGCCCACGCTCGTGGAAAACGTCGGGCAGGGTGCAGACCACCAGAAGCAGGCCTCGCTGACTACCATTGGCTTCATTTGCGACACCGAGGACTTTGAGTTGCGCGAGGCCCTGCAACATCATTCCAATGCTATCCTCACCGCAGTGGTCCAGGGTGCCCGCAAAGAGGAGCCCAACAATGACGTTCGACATGCCGCCATATCGGCCCTGAGCGACTCGATCGAGTTTGTCCGGTCCAACTTCGAGAACGAGGGTGAGCGAAACTACATCATGCAGGTTATCTGCGAGGCCACGCAGGCCGACGACGGCCGCATCCAGCAGGCCGCATATGGCTGCTTGAACCGCATCATGGGCTTGTACTACGACAAGATGCGCTTCTACATGGAGAAGGCCCTCTTCGGCCTCACGATCCAGGGCATGAAGAGCGACGAGGAGGACGTTGCTAAGCTCGCGGTTGAGTTTTGGTGCACTGTGTGTGAGGAAGAGATCGCCATCGAAGACGACAACACCCAGGTACCTAGACCCCAGCTTCGAATGTGGGATATGTCTATATTAACGCATAAACAGGCTCAAGCCGAGGGCTCCACTGAGCTGAGGGATTACTACAATTTCGCTCGAGTGGCCACTCAAGAAGTCGTCCCGGTGTTGCTTGAACTCCTCGCCAAGCAGGACGAGGACGCCGGTGACGATGAATACAACATCTCCCGTGCTGCATATCAGTGTTTGCAGCTTTGGGCGCAGTGCGTCGGCAGCGGTGTTGTCCCCCCTGTTCTCGCCTTCGTTGAGAAGAACCTTCGGTCCGAAGACTGGCATTACCGCGACGCGTCCGTCTCTGCCTTCGGAGCCATCATGGAAGGCCCAGAAGAGAATGTCCTGGACCCCATCATCAAGCAAGCGCTGCCTGTGTTGATTGCGATGATGGATGACCAGGTGATTCACGTCAAGGACTCGGCAGCTTATGCTCTTGGTCGAATCTGCGAGACGTCACCCAACACAGTCGACGCACAGCAACACCTGCCGTCTCTAATCGGAGCCCTCTTCAACGGCCTTTCAAGTCACCCCAAGATGGCAGCATCGTGCTGCTGGGCTCTGATGAATCTTGCGGACCGATTTGCCGGTGAACCAGGCTGCCAGACAAACCCACTGACGACTCACTTCCAACAGAGCATTACTCATCTTTTGCAGGTCACGGAACGAGCTGATGCGGACAATCAACTCCGAACTGCAGCATATGAAGTACTCAATGCTTTTGTTACTAACTCTGCAAATGATAGTATCGGCCTCGTAGCTACTCTGTCGAACGTTATCCTTGAGCGTCTGGAGAAGTCAATCACTCTGCAGTCACAGGTCGTTAGCGTCGAAGATAAGTTGACATTAGAGGAGATGCAGACCAGCTTAGCTAGCGTCGTTATGGTGCGTATCTCTTTCGCAGCTCCACCAAGGTTTTTAACACAAGTTTAGTCGATTGTGCAACGATTGGAAGGAGACATTAGGCCACAGGCCGATCGTATCATGCAGATTTTGCTACAGCTGCTTTCGACAGTTGGCGGAAAGTCTAGTGTTCCAGATACCGTCTTTGCCGCCATTGGCTCGATTGCAACCGCCCTTGAAGAGGACTTCATCAAGTACATGGAAGCCTTCACACCTTACCTCTACAACGCCCTTGGCAACCAAGAAGAACCTGGTCTGTGCTCTATGGCGATAGGTCTTGTCAGCGATATTACTCGTTCGTTGGGCGAGAAGGTCCAGCCGTTTTGCGATGCCTTCATGAACTATCTCCTTAATAACCTCAGGAGTAACCAGCTTGGTAACCAATTCAAGCCTGCAATCCTCCAGTGTTTCGGCGACATTGCCCAGGCCATTGGCGGCCACTTCGAGACATATCTCGCGGTCGTTGCTCAGGTCTTGCAGCAAGCCTCTTCAGTGTCCGTAACGCCAGATGGCAACTTTGAGATGATGGATTACGTCACTTCTCTTCGCGAGGGTATCATGGATGCCTGGGATGGCTGCATTATTGCGATGAAATCAAGTGGCAAGAGTATGTCTCCCCCCTAAACCCCGACATATGAATTAGAAGCTAACTTTGGTAGCTCAACTCATGGTCCCTTACGTTGACTCTATCTTTGAACTCCTTCGCGTAATCTTCTCAGACACCAACCGCACTGAAGCACTCTTACGATCTTCTTGTGGTGTCATTGGGTAGGCTGAACAACCATGATGCTGGTGTCATTCAGCTAATCAATGACAGTGACCTTGCGGACGCATTTCCCGCCGGCGAATTTAGGGAGTACTTCCGACATGACTTTCTTACAGCTATGACGCGGGAGACTCGAGCCAACCAAGATTTCCTGGGCCGAACGCGCGATACTGCTCGATGGGCACGAGAACAAATCAAACGCCAAGTCGGTACGTTGCCCATCAACGGCCCTTTTCTTACTCCCCCTCCTTAAATAACACTTCATTCTTTGAAACTGGAGATTATCCTTCACATATCTTCTATCACTGATCCCTTCCCTCAGGCGGCAATCAAGGCGTCATGGCCTGAATATCATGACCCCCACCCTTTCCCCCTTTCGGCGTCGTATGGGTTGCTTTGAGCGGAGAATTAGTTGACATGCTGGATACCCTTTCTTGGGAATCTATCCGGCGTTTTGACTAAGTTCTCTCTCTAGGTGATATCAGCTTGGGACTTTCACTTGGGACTTTCATGACCATTTTCCAAGCGCACATGGAACAGCAAGGCCGTGACCCTGCGGTCGATCACGTCAGGGGCAACCGTCGATCCAGCAAAAAGCCGGCCCCTGTTACGCCTCAAGCCCACGCTAGCAAATGATCAATCGCCAGGTCTTGGAGCACTTCGGCGTCGACGGCGAAGTACCCACATCAAAGACGATGTTTTAACACCCCCAAGCGACATCGACCCCCCAGCCCGCACCCCGACCCCGTGCACAGCAGCAGCATCCAACCCCCATGGCACAAAACCCACACCCGCACCCGCACCCGCACCCGCCCCGCGCCCTCGATTGCACACGTCGTAGACACATACCCATCTCCAAAAAGTCATGTAGCCCCAAAAGTCATGTAAGGTGGAACAGAGAAAAAACCCTTTTTGTAGGGAATTTTTGTATTCACCAGGAGAATTAGAGAGAGAACCCATTCGTACGGATTATTGAGACTATACCACTTTTAACATTGGTTGCCCTTTTGTAGCTTCTTTGTTCTTTTAATCACAATCACAAATTCACAAATTTCCCCAAGACTCCCAATTGCACTTTTACACGTGGTTGGCAGCAGATGTGAAAGTAGAGGTTATCTGATTGTGTATTTTTGACTTGTTGACCGAACTCCCCGACGATAGGTACTGATTAATTTCTGTTGTGTAGGGTGTATGGAATACATGGAGATAATCCGCTTTCCTTGGGCCGGGCTGTCGTGCGCATTGTGTCAACCGCTTCAGTTGGTTTCAACTTCTTTCGATTCGATGAATATTGGCTTTGGGACTTCCTTTCTTTCAAGAGTAGATGTGTGATTAGAGTGAGTCGGCAGAGGAGTATGAATGAGTGGAAGAAGCGTTGAACGGAGCACATTGCAGCTTGTAGGACTAACGATCTGCTTGTGATATAAAGATTGTGAAAAGAAACTACATGGAATCTGTGACATTTGACTTCAGTGGGCACTGAAAAGTTTAGCTGATATGGAATATTGAAATTGGCTAGACGCCAGTTTTGATGTATTAACCCTGTCTGACGTTATTTCTTAATCGGCTCAGATTCTCACTTCAATCCGCATCATTGGCTCAACCTCAACCTCAACCTCAACCTCTACCTCCACCTCCACCTAGAATCCTGAACACAAGACCGTCCTTGGCATGCAAGAAATCTAAATCACTCCTTCCAAGGCATATCATCTCCAAACCACGTTTGGTTCGGGAAATTCTTATTAGTCACGCATTTCGGGTCACATGCGTCGAGCGGGAAGGGGTGTTTGTCTTTTAAGAGGTCGAGTACGAATTGGTCTTTGCTACAGGCGGGGAGAACTGTGTGGGGTGTTAGTATGTTATTAGGGATGGGGAGGAAGGAAGAGAAGAGGTAATGTGTAGAGCCAGAGAGGACGACGATGGGGGAAATGTGAGCAAACAATGGCGGTTCGGTGTTGCGGCTAGAGTGGGAAGAGTACCATCAGTGCTCGGATACGTCCGATTCCCAAGAACACAGCCGGTAACATCTTTCGTTGTAGGCGTATACAATCCGTTGTAATTCCAGAACCAGCGCCCATCCGTTGTATCATCCGATGCGCAACCCAGCATAATCATATGTCCGATAGGATAGGTTTTCACTTCCTCTGATGCTTTGTTGGGACAGCAGTTTATTTTGAGGGGTGCCGTGAGCGTGCAGTTTAGGGAAGCGAGGACAGGGAGGGGGGCTAGGAGGAGGAGGAGGGACTTCATGTTGGCAGACAGGGGGTTGTTGAGAGGGCGGATGGTGGATTAAGGATAGGGGATAGAAGCTAGGAATAGTAGTAGAGCAGCAGGAATTGGGTTTACCTCCCGTCTTTATATGTTTCATCTACGGGATGCCGTACTCGCCTTCCTCTACTCACTCCGAGTCCACAGCCTGATCACCAGCGTGCATATTACTCTCCGCGGTAGATATATCAGAAGAGGAGGCAGGACTTCAGTACATCTTGGCCAGCCGACGCATTGGTGGTGTGAGAGGCAACACAACGGTCCATTCCAATAAAGTGAGCGTGATGACTACGACGTGCCGGACCGGACCTGGCGTACCTGTCTACTACGAATTACAGATGGCCAGGGGCATCGGTCGACGAAGCATTGGCGGTCTGACGTTTGCGATGGCTTGGATTGAAGGGTTCTATCGTGGTTGGCTGTTGTCAAGGCCGGCGTGATGGAGCGAAGACGAGTTGGGAGTAGAATAGCCGGTCAGAATGTACCCCACAAATTCCCAGATTGCTTTGAGGCGAGCGAAATCCTTGTTCCCCCGCAAGAGTTAGGATCGTTGTAAACGAGAAGGAATATAGGATATTGGGGCGATGCTTGGCTACCTTGGGCGACATCTGAAACTCCAAATGTTCGGTCTTGGCTTGCGTGGAATGTTGGTCCACTAAAAGGCTAGAAAAGTGAGCAAAGGAGCTGGAAATGCACGCCTGGTAAGATACTATGAGTCCGTCGAACTGCCCTCCTACCTAGTCATAGGGGAGTCGGTTGATGGGACACTTATGCAGTTTCATGTCCGGACTGTTCGTCGAGTTGGCACGCCAGGAGCAGCTGCCTTGGTAGCAGAGCGAATTGAAAAACTGTGTATTGATGGATATCGGGATCTTTCAAAAGAATCTAGCCCAAAGGCCCATCCGCCCAAAGGCCCACCCGCCCAAAACTCCACGCCAAAACCTAAAAGACACCAAGAAGAATGAGTATGGGGGAAGGAAATCAGAATTGGTCCAGTGTCATGCTCATGGACACGTCAGTGTTCTCGACCATTTTTGTGAACTCCTCGAAGTTGATCTTCCCATCATGGTCCAGGTCGGCCTCCATGATGGTCTTGTCGACGATCTGCGATACGAATGTCAGCACCGCGGATTCTTGCGAGACAACGAAGATGTCGTCCGGCGGCACGAGGCCTATGGCCATGACATGCGTACCTGCTGCAGTTGCTGATCCTTTAAATTGCTGCCCACCATCATCTTCAGCACAATAAACAACTCCCCGTTGCTAATGAACCCGTCCCGGTCAATATCGTAGACCCTGAAGGCAAATCGCAGCTTTTCCTCCTTGTTCCCCTTACTGCTGAAGGCCGAGAGTCCTGACACGAACTCCTGGAAGTCGACATCGCCGCCACCGTCCTCGTCAAAAATAGCTATCATGCGGGTAGCGAGGGGATTCGAGGAGATCTGCGGAAGCGCGAGGAACTCGTCCCGTTCGATGGTACCGGAGTTGTCCTAGGCCAGAGGGTCAGAATACCACAGGCATTGTGATGGGAGAAACGGCAAGAAGGAAAAGACATACCTTGTCAAGCTTCATGAAGCGCTTACGCAGACGGTCCACCTCCTCCCGGTCGACTATGGATTTTCATGAGCGCCGAACTTTCAGCCCCGCGACGCTGCACACGAGCATCGAGTTGAGAGGGACAGTCAGGAACGTACAATTTGAGCCTTGGGCTATGTTGTCTAGCATCGCAGAGGATTGGTTGCCCATGTTGGCGTAGTTCTTTGGGCAAATAATAGGTTGGGGTTGTATTGTTGGAGGCCAGGGAGCGTCGTGGGGTACTTGGATGTGATCCACCTGGAGGAAGAACCCATGCCGGGCTCAGGCTAGCTCGCCCTGGCGCACCCTGGCTCGTGCTTTGGCTGTGTTTTTCCGCTCCGAGCATTAGCATTCACTCCCGGGCTACGTCTTGACCACCGTGTCGCCTTACCAGGCCTTCAAGTGCCCAGTCAATTCCCATTTGGTCCCTCAACTGCCATTATGGCTTCTGGCGTGCCTATCGAAATCGCCTCCGCGATCCAGTCCGCCAGCATCAAGCGCCATCCCTCTCCCACCCATGACATCAACCCTGCGACGGCCGCCTCCGCAAAACAGCCCGTCCAACTCTCTTCATGTCCTGGTCCTGGCCCCGATGCCCTCGATGATGCTGCCGAAGATGAAATTCCGCTCTCCGTACTGCAGCCAATCCCGCGGCGGAATACGATGCCCCCGCTGCCGGATCTGCGGTTTGAACAGAGCTATTTGAAGAGCATTGAGAAGGCCGAGGGCTGGAGCGGCGTGCTCTGGATTACGTTTAGGGATCAAGTGAGTCTCTGCGCATCATGGATGCACATAGCACTGGCCCTTGGTGTTCTACCGCAGTCACTGACGGTGGTCAGGTCTTGATGTGCTTCGCCCAAGGTGTGCTATGGACTCTCATTCTCAATGGCTGGCGGCACTGGAATCGTTCCTCCAAGTTCAACGGACGCAGCGTCGGTGCGAGAATAAGGCGGTGGTGGTGGGGGGTCAACAAGTGGGCGATCCCTGCGGAGAAGAAAGGAGCATTGAGGGACAAGAAATTCGCGAGGAACCTTTCGGATGTGAGTGTGGTCCCGCAACCGCCCGGCGGCCTTCGAGTGGCGGTGATCATATCTGAATGATAGAGCTAACTAGCAGGTGCAGTATTACAAAGGACGGTTCTCAAGCACTGCCCGCGACTAGGTAGTTTGGACCATGTAAAGTCCTCCGCACAGCATTATAAAAGGCATCAATTGGCGTATTGGGAATTGGAACAGAAGGCTGTACTGCGCATTAGCACCTATCACGGGACCTGGCGGGGTTATCACTATCCGAACAGAAATCCGCATCATCTTGAAGCTTCCCACCAATCTCAGCAACACACTCAACAGATCAACTCCCTCTTGTCAATGCTCCGCGGTATGCCAGCATGTAATGTGCCAGTGGGTGATCCAGTATGTCCATTTCATTGCCTCCATCGTCGCGCCTGCATCCACCATTCATGCTGCTGAAGTACCTGTCTGAGTGTAAAGCAAGCGCTCTTCCCTCTTCTGTCAAGGTGACGTAGTATGCTTCGAGTCTTCAAGGTAGATACACACCTACCGCATCTCCTTGTTGTAGTTCAACTGCTTCCTGGAATGTCTCGGCGGCCGTCTTGGCTGCTCGTGAGCCTCAGCAGCTTCTCTCTGCACCACCGCGACTCCTCCTCGCAGCACACCCCCCTCCTCTCTACCCCGGCAGCTCCCCTCTGCCGTCACCGAGCCAACACAAGCCGCCTAGCACGCGCTCCCGCTGCAGTCCATGAAGTCTCCGATTCCTCCAGCTCTCTTCCACGTCACTTCAACTCCACGACTTCTTCAGTTCAGCTTGGTCATGTCCAATTCACTTGACCTGACTTTACTTGTCTACTTCACTTGCACTTCACGTCTTCGCTCCTTTCCTATTCTTCACTTCTGTTCTTCACTCTGGTTCTTCACCGTGGTTCTTCATCTTGGACTTGAAGTGTTCCCTCTACTTCAATCCTTCACGCTGTTCTTCGCTTCAGTTCTTGGCTTCGATCTCCAAATTGGCTGTTCACTCCGATCTTCACTTCGGTTCTTTACTTCGGTTCTTCACTTCACCCGCCGTTCGCCATGGGCAAGAAGTCGCGCCAGAGAAAGCAGAGGAAGTCCAAGGAGTCCACGCCACCAGACTCCCAAGAGCTCCAACCACCGCAATCACCGCAACCAAGCCAACTATTAAAGCCACATGATCCGTCGCAGCCAGACCAGCCGCCGATGCCACATGAGCCGATGGGGGGATACATCCAAGACGCACCGGACCTCGATACTCCACACATCTGGATCATCACCGAACCTCTGCAGGGTGATCGGGGCCGCGAACAGGCACAGAAGATCGGTTGGGTCCTCACTGAGGGCACGAAGAATCCACCCCTCAGACTCTACTGCGCACCCGATGACCACAACATCCAGACGCTCGAGCAGACGTTGATTGCCCTCCACGAGAAAGGCTACAAAAATGTCGAGGTCTGCATCGAGTACGGCTTCACGTAGGAGCATCGTCTGCAATCTCGCCGACGAACACTTGCTAATTCTCGCAGAACCTGGCTGACCCGACACCAATCGTGCCGTCACTACCGCCGACCGCCTAGAATCGAAGCTCTCATGGCGAGATACCCATTTATCGACACTGAATACGAATCACTGTACCCCCGACGGCTTCTCATCCAGGAGACGGCCGAATTCCTCCTTACACGCGTAGGCGCGACGCTGTTCCGGACCCTCTACAACCTCAAGAAGCGAGGCAAGCGGAGCCCACGACACATTGCCATTTTCGCCCATCCTTCCGTAGTCATTGCTCTCACACGTGAACTCGGGATCTTTGAGCATCACCGCGGCCTCTGGGGCCATTTCACGCAGACCCATGACCAAGAAGTCCGGACCCACGCAGGAGGAATCACATGCGCCACGCACAATCTCAAGAGCTCAGACCCGTTCTTCAAGCGCTGGCACGCGCTCTTGAACGGATACGTCGACCATATGACTGGGGTACACAATATCGTCTCCTTTTACGCCGGCTCCGAGACCTCTTTCCCCCAGTGGCACTTCCCTGATCCCATGGCCAACTTCTCGTTTCGAGTTACCGCCCGCCAGTACCTTGTGGTACTATTTAGATTCCTGTGGGGATTCGTCACCATGTTCCCCAAGACCTGGATTTGGCACTTCAAGGTGAATCCATACCGCGTCCCGGCGTTTCTGTTCATTATCTCCGTGTATGCTTGGTTCTACTCTGAATTCGAGAAGATCGCTGGTGGGATTCTTGGAGCTGATATAGGCCTCCTAGCCTCAGTTCATTTCATGCTGTTCTTGTTCCCCCCGCTACTTGCAAATGTTTAATCGGCTCTGGACCCCCAGGTCGAGGTTAAGAATGAGGGAGAATAATGTTTCTGTTTGCTGCTATTTTTTAGGATGGGGTTTTTGGTTGGATGATTCTACTGGAAAATAGATAATATTCCTCCCTGACAATGCGATCTTGCTGAACATCTTATGGCCTGTCTGTGTGTGGCTGTAATGTCCCTGTCCTAATAACAGGCTCTAAGATCTCTAAGTGAGCTTTCAAAATGGGTAGGCATACCCGGAACTTTTGCCCCCTCTCTCAGAAGGAGTTTGGTATTACCAGTCCTGCCCTCAATTAGAGGAGATTCTGTTACACCTTCCACATTCTCTACGCCTAATTCTACGATGTCTTAGTCCCCACGATAGGCTCCAAGTCCTTTGAGGGAGGTTTATAGAATAGGGAAGCTGCTCCTAGACGCTTTCCTGCTTGGTTAATTGGGTCTCTTGGTCCTTTAGTTTTGTCCTATATTAGAAGAAGTTCTGTGGCACCTTCTCTATTCGCTACACTCGATTCCGTAGTGCATCGTTCCTGATAACAGGCTCCGAGTCAGTTAGGTGGGTATACAGAACATAGAAGCTTCTCTCGGACGCCTCCCTGCCAAGAGAAGGGTGGCTTTAGGTCCTTAGATTACGTCCTACACCGAGAGAGATTATGTCGCGCATCTATCCATGGGCGTCTTTTATACCCCAGTACAAAGTTTTAAATCGTAACCTCTTCTACTGCTGGGTTTTTCGAATAGCCGCAACGTTGTGGGGCTTGCTGGCTTGGGAAGTAGGACACTGGGATCAATATTTCTGCTCTAGAATAGTCAAGAATTTATGTTCTAGCTACCTATTCGCGTTCTTGATTTCAGACGGATTTGATAGAATTTTACCATCACCAGAGATCGAGAGTAATAATGCCATCCTAATGCCAGACATCAACCACGGCTCACCATTGGAGTCACCTCAACGAGCCCGAGCATGTGCGAAGGACCCAAGTTCTTAAGGAAGCCACAATTTCATTCGCCGTCCCCCCTCATTCTCAGTAAAATCACTCTGTCCCACCTATCTTTCTCGTCTCATCCCTCAGGACGGCATCCATTCCTTCCTTCCTCCCTTGCCACTGCTTGCCCAATCGTCCATTGAGCCTCGATGCCAATTCTTCGCCGAACAATGAGAAGTTCGAACCGTCGGCCAAGGACTCATTACGGGAGGCCGTCCTGCCTCCTTTCTCACATCAACTCTCACGATCCATCTCAAGACCACCTTCGATTGGCCGCCCAGACCACTGCTCACAATTTTGGGGGTACCACTACAATTCCGATTTCAAGCTCACTGTCTCATCCTCCGCCTCTGCTACCCCTTCCACGGCCAACCCGATCGATGTCTCCACCACCACCGTACAGCCTTCTTCCCCCGGATTTTAACCCTGATAGCCAACCGCATACAGCTAGGAATAGCAGGAACAAAGACGCTGCTCTAATCCATGAGGGTATTCGGGAAGATTGCTCAGTTCGGTCGCTTATTCGAGTAATACGTGGGAAGGGGCCGTGGAAGGTTGAGATTAGTTTTCGGATATGAAATTGTAACATAGAGGTTGAGATGACGTTGTGTTTAGAATAAAAGCGCGGGATCTAACACTAGAAGAGAAATGTAACGGTTAGTGAAGATGAGTTACATATATGCTAACCAATCGATGAAGTTCGGCCGACTTTCACGCGTCGCTCTAAAGATGGCGTAGAAGTCACAGTCATTTACGATGAGATCTAGCTGAGTTGTGAGCACTATTTTTTTCAGATAGCAACTTACACGATTCAACAAAAATTCACAACCAAAAAAGTGAAAGGATGTACTCCTCAAGCTATGAGAAGAGGGGATGGGAACTAAGAAGTCCTGGGACGGCGTTGAGGTAGAAGAGATCCCAGGGTGTTAAAGGTTTGGGGCCCCGACAATCCCTCTCAACACATCACACTATTAAATCCATCCTAAAATCAAGCAAAAAACCACAAGATATGCTCTACAAAGGGCTAATAGCATTCTCTAAAATTCGGAAAGAAGAAGTATGTACTTCTTCCAAGACTTTCCTTAGCTTTTAAGAAAATATTTTAAGATCAGTGAGGGAGGGGCTAAGTGGTGGCGATATTAGGGGCAGAAGCGTTACCTGCGGTAGAAAATAGAGTGCTGATCTGTGTTTAGGACAAACACCCCTTTAGATTGACCGGGAAAGCCTGGGCGAGTCCCTCTCTCTTGAACCAAGCCTACTCTGTTACGTACGTCTCCATCATATCCACGACCTTCTTTCCCTCCAGACTATACCCCTCGACGAATCTCTCACCGAACCCACTCACAAAGTTCAAATATGTGGTCTCCGGCTTCGTCCTACAAAGTCCACACATAATCTCCCTCAAGTACCCTCTCAACCCCTCTCGCGGGAACTCCTTCGCAATGCCATCAAATTCCTGTTGGCTCATCCCGACTACACCACCCATGAGCTGCTTGCTGACATCGACACCCAAAAGCTCTGTAAAGATCCCCGCGTTAGCAAGCGCGACTTCAGATTCCTTGAATGCAGCGATTTGGGGAGACGAGTGCAGGGCAATAGCATCCCAAACAAGTTGAATCCGGTGTTTATTCCATTCCGAAGCTTCGCCCTCGCGAAGCAAGAATTCTCGTGCGGCATTGGCACTATCGACTTCAAAACACTTGTCCTTGGATATGAGCTCGGGGCTCTTAGACCAGCCTAGATCATGCAAGATGGTTGATAGAGCGTAGGCTTCCAGGTCGATGGATTGCTGAGCGGGAGGAGGGAGGTGAGAAATGATGGCCTGACCGGTCAACCAGGAGCGAACGACATGCTTGTAGCCTTGATCGTCCATATGACGACGAGCGAAAGCGATGGCCTTGGTGATGAGAGGGGTGTCGGGGACAGTGATACCAGCCAGGACACGGGTTTGGAGGGACATAATGAAGGAGTTGTGCTGGAGCTTGGGTATAAGGTGGACGTAGATGTTTTGGGAGTGGAATCCCGGGAATTTTGATGAAGATGCGAAGATTTTGATATAGATTCTGATACTCCATCTTCTAAGAGAAGCCCTTCTCTTTTTATGGCCTTCATAACGTTATTCTCCTCGCTTTCAGGGATAGAGTTCGGCCGACGAGTGATGCACTCTAAACCCTTTCTCAAGTTTTAGTGCATGGACTAGCAACCATCTCATATCCACTTCCTACACATGGAACCGTTGCCTCGAAAATTTAGCAATTCCCAATATCTCTAGTAGAGGGGTCGGGACGGGTGCAAAACATTAGCCGTGCCGTACCGCAGCAGGTTGCAGGTGTTTGCTTGACTGATGCCGACTCAACCCGAACTCTTTTCTTCAACCGCCGTCGAAGCGACCTGCAAACACACCCACCATAGAATCTTGGAAGAGTACACTTTACGCTCTTCCCAAAGATGATTCACTGGCTAATCGATACCCTGGAATCGACAAGAAAACCGGGGCGGGCCCTGAATCCTAGGCTTGCTATTGGCCAAGTCAAGTTTCTTTAGGTATAGCATAAAGAGTACTCTAGACAGGTTATGTGGTACATTGGCGAAGTTACTCAGCTGACTTGAGTGGCGCCCTATTAGTGAATGAAGTTGCATAAGCCTGCCAACCCCAGCTCCTAATTCCAAACATCCCTGATACCACCCACACCTCTCAACGGCTCCGCATTTACACAAGATTCCCTGTCCTCCCGTACTTTCCCATATCCAGACTCGATTGCCTGAGAAGTGTGCGCCATGCTCCAATGAACTAGCCAGTAGGAAAGTAGCGGTCAGGACACCGTAAGCTGAGACGTGCATGTTGGCTCGCTCCATGTTCAAAATGCGGAGAAGCTGGTGAGGAGAGCCGGGAAGAAGCAAGTATCATGCGATTCCGGGGAAGATAAGTCGAAACATAATTACCTGCTTGTTTATCTCAGTCTTTGCTCTATCCTTCCATATTCAATTTGAAGAGCCTTGGAGTGCGCTGTGTCGATCGTTCAGAGTTGATAGGCTCTAGACACGGAACCAAGTCACACGTGACCTCAACATTCATTCGGTTCCCGAACTCCATCTCAACAATCCCGAGACAACAAGTTAAAGCCAACGTCACTGCACCCTCTAACAGTTCAAGTCTCCACCAAGCCCAACTTGATTATCTGCCGTAACATATACTATCGATTTCTGTCACAATGCCTGGCCCTTCAACCCGCTCCCTCGAAATGATGGTCCTGCAAGCGCACCGTGCGAAGGGGGTTCGCTATCCTATTGCGACCCAAAAAGATTGCTTCAAGACTTGGTATTCGTATGCACTAAGACGGGGAGAGGTTGACAAGATTGCGCCAAAGGAGCTTGCTGCTCATGGTAGGCACTTGAAGGAGGTGAGACATGCTGCACCCGGGGGAAGGACATATTTGTAAGGTGTGATTACCCTGGCCTTTTGAGAATGTAAAACTGATGTGTGAGGCAGAGAAGGCTGGATGTGGTAATTCCTATTGGCGTTCGATGACGGTGTCACGATTTTCATGGGAACTTTATCTGAGGAAGAGCGTGGAGTTGGGAGGGACGATAGCAATAAATACAATTTGCCTTGGACTGGGTTGGGCGATCTGATTTCTAAATTAGGTTCCATTTTCTTCTTACCACCCGTTTTTATGGGAAGTGCTGCGCCTTTGACATTTCCATATCGTATCATATCGTATAATTGGACCAACCAATTGAAGGAGAGGTTCGCGAGCGGGAGAGCTTTCACTACATCCCAACGCGTGGAGCCTTCCAGCCCAACAATATTGCCTACAGTTTCAACCTCCCTCTCAAAGAAACCTACTGTCTCAACGAACCGCCAACCACATCCTCACCCCTACTCATCCCTGACCCCACAATTATTCTTCCATCTCCCCTAAACTTACCCTCATCATAGTCTGAGGTATGAACGCCGACAATGTACGTCGCTTCACAGGCGGACCAAAAAGGTCCTTCGAAGTCCGTCGACGTAACGAGCCCGAAGATGACTTCGAGCAACAATCTTCAACTCGAATCGGGTATCAGCCCTTCCAGCGCACTCCCGTCGCCGACTACCCCCATTCCATCACCTCAAATGCCTCAGCCGACAGCGGCAGCACTCCCACCCCATCAACCCCTAGCCTTCGCACCTTCGCACCACCAGCCTACTTCCTTCCCAAAAAAAGGTGGTACTTCATTACAACCCTCCGCATCCTTCTCCTCTCCCTAACCTACTTCCTCGCACAAGTCGACAAATTCCTAATATCCTACTACTCCAAACCTATAACCGCTTCCCTTCACCTCGCCCCCTCGCAATACGCCCAAATATTATCTTACTGGACTGGCGTCGTCTACATCCCCGCCTCCATCCTCATTGCCTGGTTCGCAGACTACCAAACCTGTCGCGTCAAACTCCTCGCCTTTCTTGCGGGTTTCTGGAGTCTGTGCGTGGTATGTCAGGGACTTGCACAAAATCATAGGCATATGCTGCTTGCGAGGATGGGCATGGGGATTGGACAGGCGGGTAGCGAGGCCTTGAGCGTCAGCTTGATATCCGATTTGGCAGCTTGGCCGGAGGTTTTTCTCGGCGAGAGTGTTCTGTATGTTGCGATTTACCTTGGGGATGCAGTGGCGGGGAGGATCGCGCTGGCGTTTGAAACCACAGGGATCCCGAAGTGGGATAGTGCTATGAAGTGTACGGGGATGATTGGAATTGTCCTGGCGTCACTAATCATGGCCGGGGTTGCGGAACCAGTGAGGCAAACCGGGCTTGTTGAGGTATTAGAGATGAGTGAGGAAGCGAAAGATTTGAAACGTGAGAGGAAGTCTAGAGGATTTAAAGGGAGCTGCAAGAGAATCTGGATTGAGATGAGCTCGATATGTAGGTATATGATCAAGCTTCAAAGCCTCTGGATCCTAGTCCTCAGCTCAGCAATCCGCCACAGCGCTGCGAACGTTGTCGGATACTACATGCCAGGCTACATCAATAACATCTATCCCTCCCAACCCAGTCTCCGCGAAACCTATGGTCTCATCCTCGGAGCCACTAGCTCCTTATCCGTCCTTCTCGGTGGCCTCATCGCGTGCCTCCTCTGGAGATACACAAAAACCTGGAAATATCACTCCTTACCACTCTGGATTGCAGCCGTCGGTGGCCTCATCTGCAGCGTCTGCCTCATCTGTGCTGTCTTCTCCCACACCTCTCGCTCTGAACCTACAGCCCTTAGGGTCCTCTACAGCACCCTCACCTTCGCCATCTTCGCTTCAGAAACCTGGCTCGGATGTCTCTCAACGATCATCACTGGTCTTCTTCCCCCAGACTACAAGACCTTTGGCTTCGCGGTCTGTGGCGCAATGCAGTGGATGATATACTCCCCAGCCCCTGAAATAATCCGCTTCTCATTGACGAATGTAGACCCGGAGAGTCCCAGATATACGCGGATAATTCAAGTGTGTTTGGGTACAATACCACCGGTCTGTTACTTTTGGGCCGGGGTTGGGTTTATTTTTGCGGGTTGGGGGTTGCGGAGAGACTTAGAGGATCGGGATACATCGAGCAGAAAGTCGGATACAAGGCGGCAGTTGTATTTCGTTGGCGTGTTCATTTTCTTCGCCACTGTGGTACTTGTTTTGGTGGTGCTAGACGTTCGGTTGGGATGATGATACATGATTGTACAAAAAGAGTGCTCGTCAGCTCAGCAAAGACAGAAACCTAGTCAAGGTATATAGTCGGAAACACATTACATTTATTGCATTTAAATAATATGTCTAATACACTCTCAAGAAATATAAGTAAAAGACTGGTCTCAGGGAAGGATATCCCAAACGCCGACGCTATACGTAAAAATCAAACCCACACCCTTTTAAATCTCTATCAACCCAGGCCCAAAAATCGCAGCCTGTGCAACATCATCCGCGCTCGCAAACGGCCCCGGTCCCCTCGTCACCGCCGCGATCGTCAGCCCGTTCATCTCAAACTCATCGAAGGGGAAGGCCGCTTGGAAAGTCACAACTCCATTGGCAACAACCGGGTTCTGGAGAGATTTGACAACCGGTGTGTTTTGTTGGTTGATGTAGACGAGTGAAAGGGAATTCCAGTCTTGCGTCCCGGCGTCAGAGGCAGCGAACGAGAATTGAAGGTTTTGGGTCTCTGCTTTGATGTTTGTGGAGAGGACGTTGAGGGGTTTGAATGTCTTCAGTGGGATGGTGTTGATGTTGGGGCAGCTTCCAGGGATTGTGAAGCTTTGAATGGCGGTGAAGGCAAAATCACGGACACTGGTCGTAAGGAAGGGCAGGGTGCTGGGGCGCTTGCTTTGGAGAACGTGGTAGAAGCCTTCTTGTTCACCTTCATTGCCGATAACGGAGCTTACGGCGCGTACTAGCCCATCGTCGCCGTTCTTTGCGAAGACCTGGTTGACGTCTTGTAGGGTGCCGAGAACAACATCGGTGAACGTTGCTGCAAGTGCGATTGCGGATTGGAAATCCGTGACGGGGAAACTGTATTTGCAAGGCTGGATGGGCTCAGCCTTGAAGTTCTGAAGAGCGCCATTAGTATTAATGGCGTGAAGCTCTTCTTGGGCAACGATGGCTTTTAGGCTATCGAGGACAAATTCGTGTCCATATCCAAGATCGTATCCATGTAGTTTGTTGGTTACGTTGTAGACTAGTTCAGTGAAGTAGGCGACTTCGAAGAGCTCGTTCAGCGCGATCAATTTGAGATTGGTGAGGCCATCTGTGCTGATCTTTGGTGGCGGAGGACTATTAGGAAGAGTGCCGAACGCTTCCAGCTCGATTTGTTTCGTCTGGTCGGTGGAAGGATTGGGGAAGCCGTTGGGGAGTGGAAAGAATTCGCCGTTAGGGTAGGCATCGCGCTTTCCTGCTGGAGCGGCAAATGATATAGCAGCAAGGGATAGCGTCGATAGTGCTATTATGGAACGCATTATGGAAGAGGAGGGCGTTACTGTTAGAGGAATACTGTGAATGTCGAAGATGTCGAAGAGATGCAGCCGATGATATCCTGAAACGTAGGAACCTGCCAGTATTATATACCTATACCAAATCTTCCATTCAAGCTAAGAGCGTGCGTTGTGAGAACGGATGCTGGTCTTCCCTTTGACGTGGTCTGGGCGCAGCACTGTGCCGTTAAGGCTGACAACCAAGTCCACGCCTCTCATCACAAATCCAATCCAAAAATTCCCTCCCAAACAGATGTCTAGAACGGCGCCACAAGAGGCCGGGAAATTGCGCTACCGAGGAGTGAGCGAGCGTTGGCTCGTCTTATTTGAATTCAAGCTTTGGCGTGGTGAGGCTGAGGTCAGGCTTGCACCCAAACAAAGAACAAATGTTTCTCAAAATAGATCGACCACGCTCGGTAATTGGACCATTGTTTGTAAGCTTCAAAAAGGCAGAAGCTTAACCTAGATCTAAAAAGCTTAGCAAAGGTGAGGTGAAGCATCGGGTTCGTGCGAATTCTGGAGAGATTGGATTGTGGATAATACCATCTCCGCTCCTCGTTCGTCATTCTTGCTCTGAGAACTGAAAACTGACTTTTTCTCTGTCGCACATAGAATTACCGTCTACGGCCAGCTTTTCGTTTTCGTTCAACGACAGCAAGAGAGCCTTATCAGCTTCTAGATAATTCCAATAAGTGAGTCATTACTCTCGCCATGCTGCCAACAGCTCTCGACAAGTTAAATTAGCGGAAGGAGGAAACTCCGAGTGCACGCCTCATTGCGGCGAGTTGTCTTGCTCGAAGACAGAGGATGAAGCGATACGGATGGGTGAGTGCCCGACACAGCCCTCCACTCCCGCCGGACCGAGACTAAACGAACCACGTGATCCTCTAGAGCCTGCCCCAGGATCTCCGACTCCACACGAGATCTATTTTCATCGACCTTCCTTTCATCATCATCAAGATTCACCTATTTACAGTCTCCAGTCACCATGAAACGCAAGAGAAGTTGGTAAGTTCCTTTCAGTCTTCTTGTGGAGCTAGCCTTGACTAGCGTTCCTTGTCTCGCTCGTCCACTAGTCCAATGACCCATGTATAGCTGAAGTGCCCGAGATCTTTTTTTGCAAGGGTTCTTTTAAACAATGGTATCTCATCCTATTTTGTGCCATGGTGGGAAATTGAGCCAAGATACAGAGTTTTCATTTTCCAGTATGAGGTCACTTCTACGGTTGATCTTGCGCGAGGCCTTTACAGCTTAAAATTCAAGACTGAAACAGCCTGATATCCCGTTAAATCGCCAACATATAGGCCTCGACATGATCTTTATGGAACCCCCCCTTCTTCCAGTCTGCCAGTCTTTTCGTAATGGAAAGCTCTTCGACGGTTTTCGGGACACGTCAAACAAGAGCTTACTCAGCATTATCGTGACTTTCTTATCTAAGCCTGCGGTATCGCTCATTCTTTGCTTCGTTAATAAGATAATTCACCAACTAGAGTTTGTTCAGAGATTCTTTTCATCATGGCCACTGGAGTGAGATACAGGATGGTCTTCATACCTTGAAGAAGATAGATGAAGTAGCTTGGTGTATATACCATAGCTCTGGTTACCATTTTGCATTCGCAGCTACCTCCTCTTGCTCACGACGAAGGCTTATAGGAGGATTAGAAATTGTTTTTGGGAATACAAGGCACTACGCAGCAGAAACACCATATCAATTCTGAATGCTATGAAAGCATGCGGCAAACTCCCATATCGCTGGAAACGGAGTTCTGAAACTTAAAGATCTGAATTGCAATGCAATGCTTTTATGCGACGGCGCTGGTGCTTGTTAGATCTCCATGTTCTCTACATAATCAAATATTCCCATTCCTGTCCTCTCATTTTGTTTCATGGACGGTGATAACGAAAACCATCGTACGAACGTCAGTAGCCATTCTATATCCATTCCTCCAATGTCTGCCTTACGCGTTCTTCTGGGATCCAACCATTTCCGATATCGGATGTGTCTCGAACTAAGTAGCAACGTACGTTTCCCTTGGAGTTTTGGACGACCTTGTCGATATTGCCATGCTCTAATTTTCACTCCCTTTGATATGAGAACTCCGTGTTTATATGGTGGACAAGATTGCTTTGCTCTACATATTTGGCGCCGGTATCAGGAAGTCCATGCACTCTTCTGAATGGAGATGAAGATCCTAATTATCACCGTAAGATGCTGTTTAGCATTCTTCGCGTTGAAGTCCTAATAAGAGCATCTTTTCCGACGGCACGTATACGGACGCTTACTGTTTAGGCTAGACTTTCAAAGAACCGGTTGTAGGTATATTAGTTGCTTGTACACCCCTCCTGCGCCGAATATTCCGTCAATTTTTTGTCAACCTTGGGCGTAGAGAGGGGATTTTCAGCTCTAAAATCTCCATCAACTCCAAAAGCCCCCTCATTCGATGCCTCCGTGAATTCGAGATTCAAAATTAAGAGTGCTAAGGAAGGCCGAGGCTCCTACATCAAAACGCGGTTATTGGAGTCCGGGACTGGAGCCGAACATCTTCAGAGGACACTGACATGGATATAGGAAGCCCTTTGAGTAATGGGGCTTTCAGAGAGAATTCTTTCCCCAAACCTCACCTCTTGTAACATGCAGATTCTTTGCACTTGCGAACCCTAATCCACACTCCTTACCATGTTCCGCGATTTAGGGGACTAACTTACTTCCCTTAGATATCAAGTGATGACATGCGCAGTGGCGCAGCTCACAGACATTCAGATGGCGCCACGCAATTGTAAAATCGATTAACTTCACTTCGAATGCCAAACTACCAAGCTGGCGGAACATGGTACTAGAGCAAGGCATTACTATCGCTTCGAACTTAATTAATATGCGGCGTATGGAGCTTCTCAAGTCAGCCGGGCAAATTGAACTGGAAATTGTAATAGTAGCAAATGTTGTTGTTCGGGTATTGCTGTAGTGGACGGTTCCCACTACCGTTTCTAAAATTTGCCCAACATTTACAAATCAACATTATACTCTGTCTGGGCGTCACATACACCCTCGACCTCCAAAAAAGCGTTCCTACTAAAGGATCTGTAGCGCATGGCACCTTCTCCAAGCAAATAGGACATAAACGAATAGGGGTAACGGGGCAAGGAATTTTCGAACGATCTCAAGATTCCCAAAAAGGAACTAAGACACACTAGGTAAGAATTGTCCATTGCTCGAACAGGGATAGCGTTGCACGTGTTTTGCGCTTGGTCAGCGCTCTTGAGAACGTTTTTAGATTACTAATTAGGATTGTTAATCCAGCACACTGTTCAGCCTCAACATGTCAGAAGGACTTTCCTTCAGCCTCAGCATTCCTGAGAGGCCTGGGCCCGAGCATCGTACGACTTGTGGCCTTGCTCTTTGATCTTCTCGTATCTGGACTCAGCTCTCACGCCAAGCATCAGTAGCACACCAACATGTGGCTTGGGGGTCCCGGTCAAATTTCGAGTAGCGCAACGATTTCCTCAACATACAAAGAGATATTTCTGCATGGAGATTTTGGCGGATGCGTTAAAACGGGATGAGAAACGTTCTAAATCCAGAAGGTTTAACATGGCGTCCAATCAGCTATCCTCCAAAGCTGGGGAGAGCTATTTCCTAATCGTTGTGACTGCTTAGCGGCGATATATACTAGAAGACACTGTGCAGTATATGAGTGGAGAGTATTCTCTGCTGTTTTCGCCTTCTCCTCTGTCCTTTTCATTCCGTTGTTTCTAGATATTCGACAGTCTTCTCAATTTTAAGACGTCACATTTGTATTAATTGATTCCTGAGTACCAGAAAAGAGCATGGACAACCTCGATATGATTATCATTGGTGCAGGCGTATACGGAATACAAGCTGCAAGAACGTACCTAGAATTTCACCCTTCCCACAACATCGCAATACTTGAAGCAGATTCTTGCCCTGGCGGAGTATGGAGCGCAAATCGAATGTACGATGCGTTCTGGACGCAGTCTCCACTCGAAATGTGGGAGTATTCTGATCAGCCGCTGAAGGATGTCGAGTTGAAAGACACCCATCACATGTATTTCCAGGCCAGACACTTTACCGTCTACTTGGATGGCTATCTCAAGAGCCATGTGTATGGCGGGAAGACCCTAACAGATCGGATTGTGTTGAATACAAAAGTCGAGAGGTTGTGGAAAGAGAACGGCGTGTGGCATGCCCAAACTAGTTCGGGGAAATCATACATCGCTCCCAAGGTCATTGATGCCTCCGGCCTAACCTCCATTCCCAACATCCCCCAAATCCCCGGCGCTAATACTTTTAAGGGGAAGATGATCCACCACAAGGACTTTGGACGGTCCGACATCTGGACCTGCAAAACTTGCGTCGTGGTTGGGGGGGCAAAGTCCGCTGCAGATGTTGCCTACGCCTATGCCAAAGCCGGCCTAGAAGTCCATTGGGTCATTCGAAAGAGTGGAAACGGTCCCGCGGCTTACTTTCCCGCCGATTCACCAGTTAGCTACTACCAGAATTCTAACGAAGCTTTCCACCACCGAATGATGGCATCAATGTCTGCTTCCATCTTCACGCCCGAGTCGTGGTGGACTCGCTTTCTCCAGCAGACAGCAATCGGCAGAGCATGTGTGAAGTTTGTGTGGGGCTACCTTCAGAGAGAGCTATACTCCCGGGCAAAATACGATCGCAAAGACGGCCAAGAGAATGGTTTTATGAATCTCAAACCAGACACTGGACTGTTTTGGCAGAACGATAGTAGTGGCGTGAACCAGCGAGCAGATTTCTTCGACACCATCGCTAAAAAAGTCAAAGTTTACCGCCAGGATATTGAATGCATCGACATACACAATGTCCATCTAGCCAATGGGACAACTATTGATGCAGACGCCATCGTATTCGCGACTGGCTGGAAAGACTCACCACTTTATATCGATCCTCACACAGCCTACTACCTAGGTCTCGCTACCCCTAAATCCGCCGAAGACCTCAAGGAAGCCTCAAAATGGGCCACTCTCGAGACCTCCGCTGACGCCGAGATCCTCAAACGCTACCCCATCCTCTCCAACCCACCTCCATGCCACAAACGCTCCTTCACGGAAACCCCTTTCCGCTTGTACAAATCCATTCTCCCAATCCATGACCGCAGCATCGTCTTCCTCGGCCGCATGGTCCTCGCAAACCACACCTACAACGCCGAAGTGCAATCACTCTTCGCCATAGCCGCTCTCGACAACACTCTCAACCTTCCTTCTGAAGCGGATATGGAGGAGGAGGTTGCCTCGGTTCGGGCATGGCAGAAGCGAAGGTATCCTGCGAGAGGAGAAGCTGGAAATTGGTTTTGGTATGATATTGTGCCATATACGGATGCAGTGCTTAAGCAGCTGGGACTTGAAAGTCATCGGATGAAGGGAGTGAGTGATTTTTTTAGACCGGCAGTTGCGAAGAATTTGGAAGGGTTGGTGGAGGAGTATAGGAAGAAGACGGGAGGGAGTGAGGACAGGAAGACAAGATAGGTTGGGCGGATCTTTCGATTCGAGTGGCTCTCCACTGGAATTTTTGCTTCGAGATTTAATGTACTAGGGTTGGGCTTGTTACTTTGATCAGATTTCTGGTTCTCTTGTAATATTGCTATTGGGATTGGGTGGATCGTTAGTAGAATGTAGAGTTATGGCCCCTATCAAGCGTTCCTAGGAGTTACTATTCCTAGCAGATGTTGGTGGTCAACAACACATCTTTGAACTCGCCACTGGGGTGTTCATTCGAGTAATACATTATCATTAAAGAACTAACGTAAACGCTCAACTCCATCACTAAACCAACTCTTCACCAATCATCAATCATATCATTCCCTTCCTCACTTTCCATTTCCATAATCTTCCTTGCTGCCTCACTTCCTGCAACCGGCAGCATTTCTAAACCATCCTTCCTATACTCCTCCGGGACCTCCTCCGGATCAAGTAACCCCACTTGAAACAATACACTTGCTTGATCCCAATATATCCTCTCATGCCATATCTTTCCTCCCCTCATCCCTACGATGCTGACAACTACTATTTCAACCTTCTGGTTCGTGGGTGGTATTCCGGGAAGGATCCAGGGTATTTGCAATGTATGCTTGAATTGGATATACAGCTCGTCGACAATGCGGTCTACCCCGATGGTACGCGACACTAAGCGCATGTGGAAGGAAGGCGGGGAGGAGGGAAGAAAGTAGTCTTTATAAAAACGGGATAGTTCTCCCACCCCGATGCCACCAGTCATCGTGGGAGTATAATTTACAAATGGTGTTGGCTGGGTGACGAATGTATCGACTAATTTAGATGCGTCTTTACCATGGATTTTCTCTTTGAGCTTGTCAGCGTCCGATATGTACTTCGGGAAGGGGATACGTTCGTTCGACGTTCTCTTCCCATACTCGCTCTAAATCTACTTCGGCGCCGAAGCCGCGTCTGACCATGCTGAGACTTCTACTCCATGCTAGAGCATCTGCGACTGGGTCGTATTCGTCGAGGTCGTGTTCTGCGAACCCGGTATCTACGCCCTCATACGTGTATACTGGAAATTCAATTTTCGATTGCAAACCCCCTGCGCCTATCCCCGGTGTTATACGCTTCTGCACCGTTCGACGTCTCCCCTGTATCCCGAGGACTTCTGGGCGTCGTGTAACTCCTATGGTGCTCTCAGAGGTTGTGGAGCCTCCCGCAAGATGTACCAAGACTCGAAATGAGGCGCTGAAGCGTTGGCGTGGGTCAGGTATGGATGACGGATAGTATGCGATCAATGAGCAAAGTTTGGAGGTCGATGTTGAGGGTTCGGAGAACACTTCCAGGCATATTGAAGCGGCATCTCCAAATGCTACGAAATACAGGATTAGCTTGTTGCCCCACATTTCCCGAATCCCGTGATTAATCACTTCAATTCAAAGTCGGCGCGGACTTCTACGGGTCTAGGAGCGGGCTGCACACCTACGATTGCATATCTCTCCCCAATACTCATTCCATCGCCCAGACGGTGAAGCGCATTCACGTATGTCTTCCCTCCTTTACCCATCGGAAGATACCTCACGTCGAAGCCTTCCTCCTTCCATGCACGCAACGTTTCTAGGTCAAACTCGTCGTCCTCAGCTGTAATGTAGAGAGTCGGCGTGCTGTGATTGAAGCTGAGCCACCCATTGCTGTTGGCTAGGAATTGTAAAGCCATGTCCGGTTCTTCTTATTCTGAGCCGACCGTTGAGTATACACGCTAATTCAGGTTGTGCTTCGTGGGACGAAGTTTGGGGGTCTTGGCGAGGGCGGAGGAATGGAGTAAGGGGGAAAGAAGGGACCGTGGGCCTTGGGAGGGGGCATAATGGGCACCTTATAGGGTACCAAGGAGACAAGGGCGCAATTCTGCCATGGTACTAATGAACATGTGGGGTTATAGGTTACTGCGCCAACTTAATGCATGACGTGGTGGCTGAATTGCCAAGCCTACTTTCAGTTAAATTGGGCTAGCGTTGGCCGGAGAGTAGCCTCAACACCAGGACTTTATCTTTAGTTACTTCAGGAGACTGTACGCCTGGGTGGTGATGAAACGGAAGTGTGTTGTATGTGGAGCCTCTAGGGCAGCCATGATACAAAGGGAGGTACAGGCACTAGTAGATAGTGGCTTGGCTTGGTTACAGACTCATTCCTCAAGAAGTGGCAAATGCGGCCTAGAAACACAGAGAAAGGCAACAAGACTAGTTTCATTACCAGAGGGTGAACCGAAGCTAGCCAACTGCTTCTTCTCCAAAAGTCGCTGGGTTTCCTTGGTTCACGAAGTCACCTACAATGCTATCTGTCCCCGTATCCTGGAAGAACTCAGGAGGCAGACAGTGACGCTTTCAGAGTTACTCGAGGGTGCTATAATCATGATAAGTAGTGTATAATGTCCATGGGGGCGTTCATCGTCTCCTCAAATCGACCGCAGTCGACGCATGCCGAAGGCGTCAGCCTCAGCGCTCCCAACAGTCTGTAAGACTCCTCGTAATCTTTAGTAGTGAATACGGTTGAAATAGGAGCTTCGTACTTTACGTGCAGGATAGGTGATCTCTACGCTACGCAGTGTAGTTTCTACGTCGTATACGGGCCATAGACCGTACAAATCTGCTGCAGGTGGTGAAAGCCCAGAGATGATAGTCGCAAGGCTGTTTTGGTCGCTGTTAACTACTGTGCTGCGCAGCTAGTTCTTCTGTAGCTGTGGTACCTTAATCGCAGCCGCCTTAGAGTTAGTTCTTGTGATTTACGCGACAAAGGCGTTAACAATCTTGGTGTAGTTGCTACAGCTTAGGCGAGCTGCTTAGGGGCATCGGAATGATAAGGCATAAGAGGCGCCTTAACTTTGCTGCTGCTGCTGCTGCTGCCGCTGCTAGACGCTTAAGATATAGCAATATGCTAGGAACTACCCTTTACAAAAGAGTCGATAATTGCTCCACAATAACTGGCAAGATGGTGAAGTACAGCAGGTTTAATAGTAGGTGGAAGGCTCTGCTTGTTACCCCTAAGAGCCACTGTTACACTGCACTAATAGGTTATTAAAACAAGACGTTAACAGAGGCAAGTCACCACCTAGAGATTAAGCCTAAAAAGCGGCTCTGGATTACCCCTCTTGAACACCAAAAGTATAGACGTAGTACGTATATACAATTGGAATATCCTACGTACTCTACGGTGTCCAAAACCACTACCTACGGCCTTCACAAGTGATCGGCAGTTCATCATAACTACTGGTAATACTACGGACTGTTGGAAACGCTGGTTAGTCTATGGTCAGCAAATTCACGGTATTGGCTGAAGTTGGACCGGCCACCTCACTAGACGTAACCCTTTCCGGTAATTCCCCATCTCACCAAAACCATCCAGGTCAGATAAAGGGCAGCACTCAAGGAGTTGGATTGGTAGTGCCCTTGATTTTCTGTCCATCTTGAAGACAAGGATCTTAACGAGAGTATACCAGCCAGTGCCCTCATTCTCTTACTTCATCTACAAGCATCTTTGTAGAGTGAGGATGTGGTTACCGAGGCTACCTTTTAGCGTAGCAAGGTACTCTTCAGCTTTGTACCGAAAGCTGACCCCAACACACGGTGAGCACTGAGTCTCTTCTTAGCCGACCGAGCTTGATTCTCCTTCCACTTACTATGGCATATCCGGTTAGTATCTTGAGCAACTATCCTTAATCCATTTTTACCAAAGGAGAGTACACCACTTGATCGAATGACAACACTCTATTGACACGACGGCGTTTCTGTAAGCTTGGTGGGGCAAGAGCATGTGTGAAGTGATGTATTGTGGACTGAGGGTCCGAGGAGCTATGTGATTTATATATTATGATGATACACCAAGCCTAAGGTTGATTGGGCAGCTCATCGTAGAGCCCCCCCGGCTTGCAGTTCCCTTTCGGTGTCTCCGCTTCTAGCTTCATCGGCGGAATTAAGCTCTTTAAAAAGTAGCCGATTCGGTCTCTAACACGTGTAGGGCTCTCCCAGATCTCGCCAAACTGCCCAAATTACCTGCTTCTCTTAATCAGGTCCTCAGATACATTCCAATTAGAGAATTAGACTCTCCTGTCCGTCAACAAGCTGTGAAGGTGGCAGTTGACGCCCTCCAAGAGTGTGTTACCAACCTCTTGGCCAAAGTGGCAAAATTTAAGGTACTTGGAGGATAGTATGTAACGAAAAGCAGATTTGATCGCCCATTTAGAGAAGACCGAGTCGGTGATATGCAAGAAGATGTGCAAGCGTTCAGCGTAGACCCTGAGACCCATGTTGGGGCAACTGAGATGCTCTTACTTATAGTTCAAGTGTAAACCAGGCTCAAAGTTGGAGCAAAGTAACCCCGAATGGCTAAATTTTCCGTGCAAGGAGACTATCATGTCGGTCAAAGCCAAATGCAACGCCACTAGTAGCAGAGTGCAAATCATCGAAGCCTAGCTCAGTGAATCCTTTATCTACAAGGAAATAGAAAAAAAGGAAAACAAGGCGTTCGAGTCAAGCCCTAACGAAAGAAGTCTAAGCGATAAGACCTATTAAGCACGTCAGCACTGACCTCTCATCGCGATGCAGTTCCAGTTATCTGAAAAGGCTTACAGATGGTGACCACACGTCCACATAATCAAGACAGTTGCTAGCGTAATTGCTAACATGCTTCTAATCTAGAGGTCTGTCTCTTAAAGAATATAACACAAATTTTCGCCCACTTCAAGATATGGTTAACAAGAGCCGGTTGGGAGCCGGGCTTAAAGACCTCGTCGACTTATACAAGGACTTCAGGGCAACAAATGGCTGAGATTGAAGCTGTAGTAAGACTACAGAGTGATATTCCATAAAGAACGCACCCGGAGGTCCAGTGACCGGTAATTCTCCGTGACGTTCTAGGACCGCCTGCTCCTCTTCATCTCGAATTTTATCAACTCAAGAGCTGCAGTTATTGCGGCACTAAAGGCCGGATTTAGGAAAGTAGTTTTTGATAGAGTCCGGAACGGCCTCTTTGAATGGAGAGATCCTTTCGGGTGAGCCTTTCGCCCAGATCAACGTTAAGAATAACCCAACGGCACGCAAGCTAGAACTCGGTTTCAAGTTCTCCATTGCATATTAATCTTACTCTCGGTTCGACTCCTCTGACTCTAAGGATCAGTTACGTCAATATATGGTTCACGATTCGCCAATTAGCTGAGAGGGGAGTAAGATGATTGTGGTGACACGTCAGAATTTTCACGCAATGGGATAGTTAGATGTCGAGGGAGTTGTTGCGCTATATGGACGTGTGGAAGCCGGTTAGGAAAGGGAGTTTGGAGTACTTGAAGGAGACGTTGCGGCCGGTGGGAGAGGGAGGAGGGAAGGTGTGGAATCCATATTGGGAAGTTATCGAGATGTCCATGATAGTGCGCAACTCCGTATAGGATTAAAGGAGATTTTCAGGAGTTTTTTTTCTGGAAATGTAGGACGATTAACAATATGCATTTATCTGTGCTATATCCATCTGCCTTCCAGAGTTGAGGAGAAGATGTCGCCGGAGGTGGTTTATGTGGACCGTGCACTGGTTGCTAGAGCAGGTGTTAATAATTTAGCGTTGTTTACATGGAAGCTCGTACCACGCGGCTTCCTCCACCACAGCAACCTCTGCATCCCACTTCCCCAACGAATCCACCCCAAAACCAATTATTATATACATATATAATTCCCCCTCTCAATACCGCCAAGTTGGCGAAACTCAAAGACTGCCCGGTTCCAATGGATCCGCCCTCCCCTTCCAAATTCAAATTCCCAATGTCGCCCGGCATGCCCATGTTCCCTGTCAGCCCGGAGCGCGTCGCAGGCACGAAGCCGCCCTACAACGGGCCTGCAATCGAGTCGCCGTCTCTACCGGACCTGCGCACGTCGCCATTGAGGCAGATAGCGCATCGCAGAAACGACTCGGATCTTTCGGTCCATGGGCTTGCCGCCATGTTTGAGAATCTAGAAGTTAAGGACTTCAAGGAAGCACAGGCGAGGTACATGCGGGCGCTGGAGAAGCAGAAAGAGAAGCACAAGAGTGAGGTTAAGGACATAGAGACGAAGCATAGACAGGCGCTTGCGAGGTATGAACTTCGGTGTGAGGAGTTGAAGAGTGAGTTGAGGAAGACAAAGGAGGCGTTGAAGGAGGAGAGTTTTACGAGGGAGCAGTGGGACAAAATGCGGCAAAATAATCGCGAGGCAATCGCAAAGTGGGAACAGGCATGTAAATCACAGTCTGATAAGGTGAAGGCGGCTGAGAGCAGATTGGTAGGTGGATTGACTGCCCTGTTTAATGCTGCAAGGATACTGACGAGCCTTGATAGAGTGAGATCGAGCCTGAATACCGTGATCTCAAACTCATTGTGAGAAGCTACAAAAAGAAGGTCTTCGAAATGGAAAAGGACAAGATACGGACGAGCAACATGTTCCCTCGATTGGAAGAGGAGATCAGAGGCTTGAAAAGAAATCTTCGCATCGCCGAATCCGACGTGAAGCACCACACTGCCGAGGCAGATCAGTACAAGAACCAGGTCTATGGACTTCAAGTCGACTTGGAAAGTATCGAGGCTCGCTTGAGTCAAGAGATTCAGACATTGAAGGACAAGCTTAACCTCATTGAAGGAGAGCGCGATGCCCTGAAGACGAACTTGAAGGAGGAGGAAGTCTTACGCATTGCTGCTGAAGGCCAAATCCCTCTACCTGCAGCAACCTCGGAGGAACACGACGAGTTCGGATCGCCCATTCGCTCCCCGCGGAAACTTCGCGCAAATCGCGACGATGAAGACAAGGAGAACGTTGCGCCGAGAAAGGCAGCGGTCGAACTTAAGTTTCTCCAGCAGCAAATTATCTCAGAGAAGCGACTCCGCGAGCGTGCAGAAGAGCAGATTGACTTCATGAAGATGGAGTGCCAATTCCAATGCTGCTCTTGTCGGATTGCAGACTTGAAGGGATCCACATTTATTCACGATGACAGTTACGCCACCGAAATGGAGCGCATTAAGGCTTCCGTTCCTATCGTAACTCCACCTCAAAGCAGCCATGGAGATGACTCAATTAGAGGCGTGCCCATCAAACAAGTGTCCGTTGACAGCCATAACGATGACGAGTTTGAAAATGTGGTAATCAAGCAAGAGCCAGTAAACGACGACAATCCGTTCGCTTCCCTTGAACAGCCATCCGAGTCCCTTGATCATGCTTTCGATAGTACAGGATTCCCGAAGCCTCCGGTGAGTGCCACTGAAGAGCCATCGATGGCATTCTCTCCAACGACTGGCACATTCAAAGCGGTTCCGTCGCCGGCAAAGGCATCAGTGTCGGCTGGTACATCCACTCCCGGTGCCCTTCCTAATTTAGACTTGTCCTTGGTCGTTGAAACAGCTGTCGAATCCTCACCATGGACCCCAGAAGCGAACAGCACAGTCATTCGCACAGAGACTGCCTGTCCGCCGCCGTTCCGACCCCTCTCAAGACAGGAATCTTTGAAGAGGCCCGTTCTGAGCAGCATTGTGATCCACGAAGATGCTGTCGAGGACGAATTAGAAGAGAACTCTGAGCCACTGACTCCACTACATGGTCCTTCGGGTCCAGCAACACCCGGACAATATCTAACGCGCACTATCACAACTACGACTACCATCCCGCTTCACTTCTCCCCGTTTACCCCAGCAAGAAAAGAGGCTGACCAACCCCTGACTCCGTCCACCATCGCTCATACGCGCATGCACACCTCATCCCAACCATTAGCCGATCTATCCTTGAACACGCTTCCATTTGACAGAGAGGCAGCGTTAGAGCAGATCCGCCAGCGACGAGGTAGAGCTAGGAGCATGGCCGCTGGTCACGGGACGCCGAGGAAGCAGATGATGGAGGGAGTTACAGAGAGGCGAGACATCAGTGCACCGGTTGGTCGAGTACGACGATGACAATTGAGGGAGCGGGAAGCTCTGCGATGGACGTAACTGATGTGCTGACAGTGTCGTAGTATCAGATGTAGAGACTATATAATTTCCTCGTACCCGGGATTAGCTTTCGGAGGAGTGCTTAGCGGCATTACTGGGAGTTTGGGGGTCTTTCTTTCTTCCCTTGAGGCAGCAGTGCTGCGATCGTTGAGGGAGTGTGATCTTGGCTTGGCTGGCTCCCATTTGGATGGCCTTTTGGGGTTCGATGCGAGTGACTTCTGGGCGCTGTATCTTAGTGTAATTGAGAATGTTATTCAAAGCCACTCAGATGTCTTCGCCATGGGACACCATTGATGAGGATGCAATCCATGGACGATGTGGTGTTGAGGGTACAGATCTCTCATTGGTCGGAACCTTGTAAATGCCAAGCCACCAAATTTAGGCGAGGCTCGCGCACTCCCACAGAAATTCAGCGTGTTGAACTTCACGATTAACTCCAGCGACCACACGACGACACCCCACCCCCGACTCACTGCTCCTCCTCCGAATACAGTCGTCTCTCGGAAAAGTCGCAACCATGTCTGACGGCGAAGTTGAAGTGGAGAGCCCCTCCGGCTACGCGGTGCTCCCCAAGGATGTTTCAGAGGAGATTGGCAGCATCAAGCTGTTCAACAAGTGGAGCTATGAGGATGTGGAAATCAGGGATATCTCTCTCACGTACAACTTCCCTGCCCATTACTTCTATTCGGCCTATTTCCCCACATCTAGGAGGCATTGGAGGGTAAGAGGGGTCATTTACGAGAATCTGAGCTAACAAAGACTTTCTCCTCCAGCGACTACATCCAAATCAGATCCCCAGTCTACATCTCACACTCTGCTGGCCGCTATGCGGTAAAGCGGTTCAGGAAAGCTCAGTGCCCCATCATTGAGCGTCTCACCAACTCGCTCATGATGAACGGTCGTAACAACGGCAAGAAGCTCATGGCTGTGCGCATTGTTGCCCACTCTTTCGAGATCGTACGTCACCCGAAACCCAAACACCTTTTTGCACGCCTCTCTCTGGAACACCATGAACAAATCATTTACGCAGTTTATTTTGAGGAAATGATGACACTAAATTGTCGCATTTTAGATCCACATCATGACGGACCAAAACCCCATCCAAGTCGCCGTCGACGCCATCGTCAACTGCGGACCTCGTGAAGACAGCACACGTATTGGATCTGCTGGTACCGTCCGTCGTCAAGCCGTCGATGTCTCCCCTCTCCGCCGCGTCAACCAAGCCATCGCCCTACTCACCATCGGCGCCCGCGAGGCCTCCTTCCGAAATGTTAAGAGCATCGCTGAGTGCCTAGCCGAAGAGCTCATCAACGCTGCTAAGGGAAGCAGCAACTCGTACGCTATCAAGAAGAAGGACGAGCTGGAGCGTGTAGCAAAGAGCAATCGGTAGAGTGGTGCTGGAGTGGTGATAGGTGGATTTGGTGGAGATGAGAGATGCGAAGGCGATGGCGCTAGCGACATGCTATCATGTGCGTGCAATATGCAGGCGTGGAGTTCATGTGGCGAGTCTTTCCGGACGCATGGGGGACCCGGACGTGTAAGGTCCTCTAGGCGAATAACCACCTCTTTCATGGTTACATGACAATAAAATGGACACATTTGATGCATTTCAGATGAAGCACCCCCTATAGTTGCCACTAGCGATACTTGATATTACATTCGGGAAGAAAAGGCTGAGAGCTCCTCAATCATCGACCTTAGTTTGGCAACTGGCAGTGCAAGTATTGTCCATCACGGGTTTAAATTCAGATATAGCCTGTGGATGTTCAAGCATTTGGTTTTGAAGACACCAACATGAATACATTGCCTGAGAGCAAACACGCTGTCGAGAAAGACAGTGCTTTGATTCCTCTATGTTGGTATTCCCTCCTTCGGGGGGCGCCAATATGCAGAAACTAATTTGAGGATTCACACTACATTGTAGCAGTTCCAGTCCCACAGGTTCTGCAGATACTCGGCCAATTCTCTCAGCTATTGGCTCTAGCTCTCGCCTCAACAGCTTCCTCAATTATGCTACCAAAGTCAGCAAAACTAATCTTCCCACGATGCTTCTCGCCATGCACAGCGGCATTAGCATACACCTCGCGCATAATCTCCTTATCAATTCTTACAATCCACATACCGCCCGTGTGAATCGTATGCTCGCCTCTCTCGGGCCTTTGCAGGCTCCCTACTATCCCTGACGCGCGAACAAGCTTGTCAATCCACATGCTACTCTTCCCCTCAGCCCTTGCCACTTCACTCAGATTCACAACACCATACCGCTCCACTTCCCCCCTCACCGTATCAAGAGCGCGTTCACGTCGGCGTAGTTCGGCGTCGGCCTCGCGCTTTTCATCCTCTTTCCGTTTCTCACGCCCGAGACGCTCGCGCTCAGCTATTTCGCGTTCCACCTCGGCTCGTCGCGCTTTCTCAGCATATAGCTCCGCTTCGCGCTCTTCCTTCTCGGCAGCTTCGGCTTGCCGCCGTATTTCGGCTTGCTGTCGGTGGAATTCGTGGTATGCGCGACGCTGGTCTTTGCGTGCGAGTGATTTTGCCTTTTTGGCACCAATGATGCGATTTTGTGGCGTGGCGCGAGGCCGGTCCGCTGGGCCTTCCGCTGGGCCTTCTGCTGGGTCGAGGTCGGCGAATGGTATGGGTGGTTGGGCGAGACCCGGGCCAGGAGGTGGGGTTGGAGCTGGGGGCATGAAGTTTATATTTCTGTCCCTGTCAGTTTCGGAGTCGCTGTCGGGTTGTAGGATGAGGCGCTCGTCGAGAGGGATGTTGGCGTTGGGTGAAGGGGGATCATCTGTGAGGGCGTGATCGGCGGTATTGTCGAGGTCTGGCTCGGCTGGAGGTATTCGGTCATCGAGTTGCTGGCTGTGGTATCTCTCGGCTAGTGCGGGGGCATAGTAGAGTGTTCCGCAGAGGAGGAGCGTGTGTATTAGGTCCTGGATGAGGGGTGTGGCGGGATTTGTGAACGGGAGGATATGGTTGAGGATCTGTCGTATTACGGAGGGGACTGTGCCCATGGCGACAGGATATGGGTGTGTTGTTCCCTAGCGGCGAGCTAAGGGCGAAATTGGGAAAGGTTGGTGGTAAAGCAGTAGAATTTTGGAAGTTGTGATCGGCATTTGGTGATGCAAGTTGAGGCTCGTGTGTAGGGCTGAAAGACGGGTGGTCTAAGCTCTGATAGGACTAGTGCCGATTCAGAAATGTTGAACAGTTGAAGAAGATGAAGGTGACACGAGGGATAATGGAATGCACTTATTACTACCTAGACCATCGCCTTCACTCTTCGTGATCTTCCGCCATGAAAGTATATACAAAGCTCCCCATAACCTTCCCATCTACGAAGTACTTCCGAACATCCTTGGGTCTCGCCTAAAATTTCCGAACCTTCGCTAGCCCCGCATTCCGTACCCACTCTCATCACACCTCCTCCACCCTTCACATTTGATGTTGCACTCCTCTACTGCAAGCAATGTTGTCCCATGCCATGCCATGCCATGGTCCCTCTCAGTTGGAGCTTTAGGACAATGGGTGCTAATATTTTCGTTTAAAATACCTCGATCTGACCTAGTCTTTTGTCAAGGAGAGGCGGACTTGGCATGGCCACCAGCAAGTTTCGAGCACAAAGGAAGTCTAGCGATAACTACGGATACAGGATGAGGTGAAAAGACGCTTGTTTTCCATGGCGTTCTTTGTTTCTCATTGCCTTTGATATTACACGACGATGCTAATGCCCTCATGGCGAATCTCGCCTTACGGCCGTAATGCTTGCCAGTGTTGTACTTGCAGCCTTTGGTTCTCAGCCTTTCTTACGGAAAATCGCCGAACGAATAGTTCTTCTGCTCTCGTCCGTAAGACAACTGAAACTCGAACAGCGTTTGTCTGAGGAGTTGGGTTCCACGAATACGAGCCTTTCAAAGGTAATGAGCATGGGGAAGCGAAGCCACGTGCAACAGCGTCTCTTCCCACTACAGGGGCAGGATTTGTTGCTGTTGACAAATGAAACTCTTGAATCGCTTTTCCGGCAGAATCGAAGATGTCATGTAATTGTTACGCCCGTTGTGGTACTGAGGTGTGTCAGCCTGTAGGCAGATGAGGCAATATAAATAGTAGACATGAGAGAGTGCTGTAATTTGAATCGCGATCGAACCCTCTCTGATGTAGCCGTTGTATCATTCTTCAACTCTCTACGGTTCTTTTCGTCAATCCAACGTCAACCGCTACTTCCTACTCAGACCTCGCCGCTACCTTGTTTGTTCGAGCGGCATCATCCTCTTCTACGCCGTAACAGGCCTCTATCGCACTCTCCCAACTCACTCCTCTCCTACGCACCTCACATCTAAGGCAAAATGTCGTCCTGGCCGAACGATCCGGGAGTAAGCTTCTTCCCATCGCGTGCTAGTATATCCGATGCGCGTTTATCGCGCAGTGATATCTTCGAGCATCCAGCATTATATATATCCTCATTCTAACTGCTCCTACCAGTTCGACACCGACTATGAACAAACTACTCCTGTCCAACTCACTATCAAAGGACACATTCCATCATACGCAGCAGGCGTCCTCTACAGAACGGGCCCTCTCGGATACAAAGTCGAAACTTCGAAAGGTAATACTTGGGCTGCCAATCATTGGTTTGATGGGCTCTCTGCCGTACATAGATTTCAGATCGAATGCCCCAAAGGTGGCTCTCCTCGAGTGACATACCGCTCAAGAAGAGTTGTAGACAAGATGCTAGAAATTGTGAAGAGGACTGGAAAGATAGACGGCATTACATTTGGAGCGAAGCGCGATCCATGTAAGGCCTTCTTCAAGAAGGTCATGAGCATATTTGTGGCCGAAAGGGAAGCGGGGAATATAGGTGTGACCCTATCAATCAACATGCCCGGTGGCGGTTACACCCCGAGTGATGAGAAGACTTCCATAGTTAATGGACATAGCGCCGGTATAGAGACGCTGCATGTCAAGACCGATGCGAACGTATTCAGGAGAATTGATCCAGAGACTCTGGAGCCTGAGGGAATCGCTAGCCAGAGAAGTCTCCACCCCGACCTAAAAGGCCCGTTCTCATGCGCTCATGCGAAATCTGATCCAAATACTGGCGACATCTACAATTTCAACCTCGATTTTGGACGTGCATCTACCTACCGCATATTCTGTACATCTGTGTCGACCGGCAAAACCACAATTCTTGCCAAATTTTCCGGGACACCGGCGTATATCCACTCGCTTTTTCTCAGCGGAAACTATGTCGTTTTGTGCGTCTGGAACAGCCACATCGCCTACAATGGCTTATCAGTATTATACCACAAGAACGTCGTGGATGCCATCGAGCCCTTCGATCCTTCCAAGAAAGCAGTCTGGTACGTGGTCGATCGCCGCCATGGTAAGGGACTCGTAGCAACATATGAAAGCGACCCATTTTTCTGCTTCCACACCATTAACGCCTGGGACGAACCCTCATCCAACAATACAAACGAGACCGACATCATCTGCGAGTTGTCGCTCTATGACAACCTTGACCTAATCCACCGCTTCTACTACGATAATTTAATTAGCTGCGGCAAAGGCCATGAAACTTATGTTGGAAAGAAGAGAGAGACCTGCCTCCCAAGCCTCGCGCGTTTTCGGCTCTCCGCTATCAATAGTAGTATATCCCCGTCAACCCACCGAACCGCAGAGCTCGTCTACAAAGCCCCTAAACCCCTTTCATCCGAGCTGCCCACCATGAACCCTGCCTACATCACCCGGCCACACCGCTACACCTATGGTGTAGCCGACCGACTGAAATCCTCGTTCATGGATGGGCTCGTCAAATTTGACAGCAACACTCAAACAGCGGTGTTTTGGGAGACGGAAGCGCATACACCAGGTGAACCGATCTTTGTGGGAGATCCGGAGGGGAAGGAAGAAGATAACGGGGTACTCTTGAGTGTGGTATTAGATGGAGTTAATGGAAAGAGTTATCTATTGTGTCTAGATGCGAGGACGATGAAGGAGAAGGGAAGAGCGGAAATGGAAGGTCCAATGGCTTTCGGGTTTCATGGAGCATTCAAAGGAAATGGAGTGAAGTATGGTGGGGATATATAAGGGTGAAGGGAGTGACAGTGGTGAGAATGATTTGGGGCTTCGCTATATATAGGTGAACGTAATGCTCACTTCACAACTCCTAAGTTTGACAACTTTGTCTTTTTAGTCATTATTTCCTTTATCTGCTTCACTCCGTCTCTCCATCTCTAATAAAATTCGACAGCATCCAACATCCCATTCTCAGCCTTTCAAAGTTCACTAAACGCCCATAAACATACTCAGCAAAGCGGGTTACCGCTGTATCTCCAACAGTGCCAAACTACAAGATGTAGAATTCCGAATACGTTTTTCTAAGACAAGATTGTCTTAAGCAAATGTATAGGAAGTAGCTAGGTTCATTCCGACCCAATGTGAAATGATCATTAGCCAAGACAGGGATCCTAGCATGATTCCTTTGTCACATCGCTTATCCCCCTCAAACGAATAAGTCAACATAATGCGTAATTTCACCCTTGTTGCACTTGCAAGCTCAGCTTATAGCATATTTGCATCTATTGTGTGACATTTAGCAGGATGTATTGGATCAATTAAATATCTTGCAGGATGCAGATTCCTGTTCTACAACAGCGCCCTGTGTAGTGTTACGTTGGGTGATGAGGCGCAGCATTACAGAATCACGCCGTTCCCATATTTCAGACCGATGGAAGCCTTACAAGCCCTAGTGTGCAATAGTAATACTTGTATCTGGCTTCCAACTCTAATTACGCGATCCTTCGCCCACTTCACCTTGCCATATTTAGGAGCGAAATATGGAAGCCTAAGTTGAAAAGGAGCGCATATCACGGACCCCATAGTAAGGACAGGCTAGTGGAATTACTATCTTCATTATGATTATCTCCCTCGATTCGGGTATCACACGTGTCGTGGTCGCGCTACAACCCCACGGAGAGGAAATGTAAAACATGCGACCGTCCCTGACTCCGGCTTTTATGCTTGGATATTATGACACTCTTCTGTGAAAAGCTGTTCGACGAAAAATGTTTACACCAATGCCATCCCTCATTTCCATCACAGGAATACCGCAATAGCAGCGCCCAATCCTGCTAGCGCAGGTGCCATCGTCATAATCGATGCCGCGGCACCAGTTCCAAGTGGGGGAGCAGAGGCAGTTCCATTGGGAGAGCTGGCAGCGCCAGTGTTTACAGCACTGGTGCTGGAGCTAGTGGCGGTGCTCAAACCGGTAATTTGAGCACCAGAGACGGTAGGAGTGGCGCCAGTCGTCGCAGCCAGCTTCTCTTGGCCAGCAGTGATGACCAGCTGATACGTTCCAATCATGCTCCTTGACAGCGCGATTGTCTGTATTGCAATGCTCTTAGGAAGCGTAGACCCCGTTAAGCAGAATGAAGGGATGTATTCGCTCTCATCGTATGTTTGAATATACGTCCTTACACCAGTACGATATGTGTACAGTTGGGTCGTCGTGTACACTTCAGTATACGTGCTGTAATCCTCACAGTATGACGAGAAAGGAGCCTTGCCACCCATGGAGTAGGTACAAGTTGGCTTTGCTCGAGTGGCCATTTCTACCTCGCAAGTCAAGCCGACAGTCATGTCGCCCTCGTAGAAGTTCGCTGTAGTCGTGACGACAGATTCGAACCACGTTTCGCCAATCGTAACAGTTTGCGGGTTGTTTTTGTAGTGGCTGTAGTAGCTTGGATCGGTGTCGTTGTCGTACATGATTGCGAGTGTGGTTTTTCCGTTGTTGTCTGCGGCAACTACAGAGCCGTAGAAGCCGACTTCGTCGTCGTTGCCTCCGGGCATCCACATAGAAGTTGTTATTTGAGCAGTCACGGAGGCCGCGAAGAAGAGGGCTGAGAGAATTGGAGACATTATGATTGGTGTATTAGATTGTATAGGTGGAAGCGAGTGTGGAAGATTTCGATAGAAGTTAAACAGAAGTTTCATGAACGAGAGACCGAAAGCAGCGCTGGTTTGACGAAGAATTGAGGCAAGTGTAGACGGAAACGATGGAATTTGGTCAACTTATCTAGGAAACCTCGTGAGCCGTGGGAGGGAAATTCGAGGCCAGGCACACAAATTGGAGTGAGGCGCTATGGCCGTCGGTGGCTGTGAGAAGGGCCCAGTAGGATGTTGTTGGAATGGTTCGGCCCCCAAAATAGTCTCAATATCTACGATTCTGGATAAGGAGACCTTGGCAGAGGATCTGTAAAATTTATTCGCCCCTCATGCAACAATTTGACTGGTCAGAAGTAGCCTTAGCAGGCGTCAGCTATGATCCGTCCAGGCAGCAGGCCAAGTGGTGCTGGGCGAAAGATGGCTCGATGGTATCGAGACTGGGATGTGACCGGCTGATTTCTCCTTCCGGACGTCACGATGTTGTGAGCTTCTTTAATAACTTGCTGACTCACAGCAGATGCTCTGCTGTCTATCGGGGAGTACGTGTTGTAGAAAATATACGGTAATTTCAGGTCGGGTCAGCCTTGCGGTACATACAGACTAGTGAGCTCCTCTATCACAACCTTACCAACGCAAGGAATGCTGTGCCGCAATATCGAGTGCGTCGCACTTCCCAGTTATTAACTCTTAGGTGACGAGCCAAGGCAGGTGAAACATTGCCATCCATCCTTCGATAGGAGAACCGTCCAGTAGTACCGTCGTACTTGAGCTTCCGGTTTCTTCGCCCAAGTTCGTGGTCTGAGTGGAGGCAAATGCTGGGAAGAAATTACTACGACGAGGGTGCCTCAACTTATTCCGCATCCTTCCTCTTTCATTAGCATGTTTTAATTTCTTGTCCTCTTGGTATCCGTCGACTCTTCCCGTGCTCTTCCTGGCCTTCCTGAAGGATCGATGCTCACCCAGGTGTGCGTTGAGAAACGTGCTTATTCTAACATCGTGTTCGGATCCTGCTCTGTCCTGTACCGGAATCTTGGCTTTAACTTTGATGCCATACTTTCTCCAAGGGTTAGTGACAGATGCAGTCGCTGGTTAGGGGTGAAGTCTGAGGAGGGCTGCAGAATGTCGAAATAACCTTTGGGGGATGACGTATGTGGACTGGAAGGTACGAACATGGCCTAAGCCACAACTGAAATCCAACTTCATCAGTCATTACACTCTCCACCACTTGGAACATCACAAATATCATCCATCGTCGAGAAGTCTGAATTGGTACAGTCCAGGTGACTTAGTTGACTGGCATGGTCTATCCACCAGATTCGACTATCCGAGCACTCCAGCTAATAACTACAGCTGATTAAGAAGGGTTTCGCTCGGCATCCCTTCTCAGGTTCCTTCGCAATGCTTTCTGGCCTTGTACTCCCTTTCCCTAACACGAGGAGGTGTTTTTTTTGGCTGTGTGGCTGAAAGAGGTACAAGGCAGATGCAGCCTAGCAATTGTTAGTCCCATTCACCACAGAAGATTAAATCCTCTTAGCGCTTCCCTGAGTCCACAAAAAGCATGCAGTAGATACGGAGTCTCAGCTCGAGCTATTGTTTTAGCCGCACCCCATTTCCACTCATAGGATACAACAAATCTAAATATCTTGTTCTTGTGTGAAACAAGTGGCCGGTTGGTTTCCCCTCTTTCCAGTAGGTGCGGCTTTTTTTTTCTTCGCGAAGGTGTAGGGCAGTGTTGGTCGGAAAGGGTAGGGAGGTGAAGAACTTCATCAGGAGGCTCTAGATCTGGATCTTGGGATGTAGGGGGTACCCTCGGTGGAGGTTGTGGGCATACCAATTCTAGTGGGCCGCTTTTTAGCCGTCCTACATGAGTTGTTAGGGGTTATAGCTGGATGTCATGTGGTGGTGCGTCTAGCGAAGGTTTACTACCTTGACACATGACAGGACTGGAAGATGCAGGCTAGACCTTCGCGGGTTGTGTAGATTTATGGGCGTGTAAATGGTCTAGGAGTGTCTAAAATGAATACTATTGCTTGGGTTCTTTGTTTACGTCTTTCAGGTCTTGAATGAGAGGGTATGGTAATGGGATCACTCTTTATGAAAATACCGACAAAGGCTTTTTTAGAACTCGCAATATACTTTTGCTGTGTGAAAATGGGAGTGTTGACTTGGAATTTAAAGCAGTGCGAACAAAGACGCGAGATGCACTACGATTGTGCGGAAATGAATATCTACAAAACCGTATGATATTCTAAATGCGACGAGATCCAGCTGTCTATATAAAGCACTGGTTCCAGTGCCCTCCACTTCTGGCAAAACTCTGGCTTTCTATAAATTTACTCAGTTTGCACCTTCCGTATTGATCCCCATCGCAGAACTTAAGGGGCATAACACGGTCGTTTAAGATAACTCGCACAAACTCTTCCTTCTCTTTCTCACAGCTAAGCTTCTCGACATACATTCTAGCTGCGAAAGGTACAGTCCACGCAGCAGAAAAGCCATTTGTTTGGTCCGTGCCCTGGACTGTGGTGTTGGAGAGGGGGGTAGTGTGGTTGTAGAGCCCGAGTGCGGCAAAGATTCCAGACATGTCGTTGTCGTGGCTGAAGTCTGCGTAGACCTTGCGGTTGAGAGGAAATGTCTGTGGATTCGAATCGAGAGTGGTGTTGGTGTTGGTGTTATCACTCACAGGTGTCTCGGTCAGTCTTGCGAGTAGTTCATTTACGAAACCAACTCCTTGAGTGGGCCCAAGTGGGTTCCCGTTTCCATAGCCGTAGAATTTGCCCAGGGACTGATAATAGTCGTACTGACGCCACTCATCTTTGCTGAAGAGGTGGCAGAAGTCAGATATCTTGGCATCCGGAGACGCGAGGGTATTGAATGGACACAGATCCATGAGGTAGATGATGGATTTGGAGGTGAGATTCGTGCCCAGTTCCGAGTTGATGCGGGATTGAATGGATGGAATGAATTCGGACGCCCATATAGCCTGCGCGTTGTCACCCACTTCGCTTAGAGGACCGTCTTCGAAGGCGGTACAGATTTCGTGGGAGAGAGTGTTATTCGTGCCGGCTCCTTCTGGGATCGTCACTTCAATAGTGCCGACTGGCTCCTGCGCGGCTTGGGCAAACCCCTCAAGCCATTTCTGGGCAGACTCCACGACCCGATTTTGGCCAGACGAGCGCACAAATGGTGACTTCTTCGACACTAATTTCGAGTACCGGCGATAGAAGTGCGCGCCTGAATTGACCATCTCCTGTCTTCCAGCATCAGTCAACTGGTCCGCGCCAAGGTTGTAAGTGTAGTCCTTCAAGAAAGCAAATTTCCCCGGATACGCCCTGCTGGAGTTGTGGATTTCTGCGATTAACATTGCGTACGACATGGACTTGCCGAGCGTCGGATCGCGCCCGCCATGGCGAGAGAGAACAGAGGCAAAGCTCACGGAGCAGCCCTTGGGGGGTTCGACGTTGATTTCGGAGGGCACGGAGAACCAGAGTGAGTACTGGCCCCAGAAATGGGAGATGTCAGGGCTGCAGCGGTACCCCTCATCGATGGAGTCGCAGGACTTATTCGTGGGCGCGGCCGAAACTCTAAGAAGCATGAACAAGCTGCAGAAAAGAGCCGCTGCGCAGCGGAAAAGAATACCTAGTGAGACCATAGAGACCGAATAGACCGGCGATTGCGACGAGAGCAATAGCCCACCGCAAGATGCTCGACCGGCTGGTGCGTCTGTACTTTGACGGTGAAGCAGGCTCGTTTTCAAGCAGAGGGAGACGAGCGTATCGCTGGGGGCTTGAGCCTCTTATTCTGTTCCAGAGGCTTCCCATTGTGTCTGTCCTGTACGGGCCCTGGCCGGTGGACGCTGGCGGAGATGTGTCGAACGGGGTAGTGTACACCGAGTTAATTAATCATTCCAGGCAAGACAGGGCTCGGCATCATGGGCGAGCTGTGTGACGAGAACCAAGGGACGGGCGCACGTGGTTCACAACACGTTCACACGGTTGCAGATGACAGAATTCGGTATACGAGATGCGATCAAATGCAACTGATAAGATGCGTGTCATGCACGAAGCCTGACGTTGCAGTTTGGAACGGGATCCTGCCGGAACTCGATCCGAGCGCCAAGACGTGGTGGAAAGCTTGACTTGCGATATCTCAACTTCACTCCCACAGTCTCTCTGAGAGAGCATCACTTTCCGGCCTTTTGCAATATGATACTAGATAAGAGCATTCGATCTAGCCTCGAGTATGCGCCCTCCGTCCTCTATCAATTACACGCCCTTGTCCCACACCGAATCACACCATCTAGAAGATGACACTGTCCTCTCAAGCTTCCTCGACGGTAGCGACGATGGGTATAGCGACTGGCAATCCATGCTTCGAGCAGGCTCAATTGACTCGGTAAGGGTGGGTTTTTAAACGTCTCTGTTACGTATCTCTTTGAACAGGCTCGCCCTTTACAACCGTCTGTCTCACCATCGTGGCTTCATTGGGCTTCACTTAACCTCTCTCCGCGTGGAAATGCCAGAAAGGGTGAGGCTCTTCAGCCTCATGTTGTGGGACCTTCCTCGAGTGGAATGGCGCCAGTTGTGGAGGCTACTGAAGAAACGGGGGTTGATGACGTTTTAGCTTCGTTTTTGTTCTCCACCTCAATTTTTAAGGCACGTCAACCTTGTAATCCCTCAAAACTCACTCCACTACACCTCACGGGGGGTTATGGATCGTGGGCTATAAGAACACCCCAGAGTTCTCTTTCTACTGTTCATCTCTCATATTCATACGTCTGCTCAGTCTCGTTGACTCTAACTAACCATGACTCAAAATCTGCAGAGCAATGCAGATGAGCTGCAATTGGAAGCCCTCGGCCACAAAGGGGAGTTGAAACGGGCATTTACTCCCTTGGCTATGCTTGGCTTGGCTTTCGCAATCCTCAACTCCTGGACAGCTCTCTCGGCTTCGTTGTCTCTTGCACTTCCAAGCGGCGGTTCTGCCAGTGTTGTATGGGGTCTTGTGACGGCTGGAATATGCAATCTTTGCCTGGCTGCTTCTCTGGCCGAGTTTCTCTCTGCATACCCAACTGCAGGCGGACAGTATCATTGGGTTGCTGTCATTGCGTGGAAGAGATGGGTACCATTGCTCTCGTGGATCACTGGATGGATCAACGTCTCGGGCTGGATCGCGCTGGTTGCTTCGGGTGGACTTCTCGGGTCGCAACTCATTGTTGGCGTCATCTCCTTATTCAACCCCACATATACCCCTGAGAGGTGGCACCAATTCCTCATCTATATTGGATACAACATCTTCGCCTTCATAATTAACGCTTTCATGAACGCGTCCTTGCCTTACGTCAACAAGGCTGCTATCACCTGGTCGATCTTGGGTTTCGTCGTCATCTCTATTACTGTTCTCTCCTGCACCTCTCCAAACTACGCGTCTGGTTACTTTGTCTTTCGACAGTTCATCAACGAGACGGGATGGCCTGATGGAATCGCCTGGTTGTTAGGCCTTCTGCAAGGTGGACTCGGCCTGACTGGATACGACGCTGTTGCACATATGATTGAGGAGATTCCCAACGCTTCTATCGAAGGACCGAAGATCATGATTTATTGTGTCGCCATCGGTACTTTTACCGGATTTGTCTTCTTGGTCGTACTCCTCTTCGTCTCTGGCGGGAATTCGGAGGACATTATCTCTTCTCCCGCTGGACCGCTATTACAGATCCTTTACAATGCGACTCAGAATCGCGCAGGAGCAGTATGTCTGCTCATGTTCCCACTCATCTGCCTGCTATTCGCGACTACATCGATCATGACGACGTCGTCTCGTATGACATATGCCTTTGCCCGAGACGGTGGTCTCCCCGCGTCGAGGTTCTTCGCAAAGGTCCATCCAAAGCTTGGTCAGCCACTCAATTCACTCCTTCTTACAACAATCCTTGTTATCATCTTTGGATGTATATTCCTTGGCTCCAGTAGTGCTTTCAACGCCATCATTTCTGCCTCGGTCGTGGCCCTGGGTGTTAGCTACGCTATCCCTGTAGCTATCAACTGTCTCCAAGGACGGAAGAAATTGCCTCCTCGAGCATTTGTACTTCCCAACGCGTTTGCGTGGTTTGCGAACCTTCTAGGGATTGCGTATGTAATCGTCACTACTGTGCTCTTTGTCTTCCCGCCAGAGTTGCCCGTGACGGCCAGCAATATGAGTACGTATGCCAAGATCTATGCTATATGAGTGCTGACAACATGTAGACTACTGCATCGTTGCCTTCGCGATCATTCTTATCATCAGCACCGTCCAGTGGTTTGTCGATGGACGGAAGAACTTTACAGGACCGCGCACGGAAATGGGCTTGGAGATTCTGGATGCGGTTAAGAGCCATCAGCATGGGTCAGACCTCGAGGATCCAAAGAAGTCGACAGAAGAAACAGACGGGCAAATAGTTGAATAAGGGCAGGGTATGAAATACCCAGTAGACAAGGGACGAGAATCAAATTTACAAGACAACGTTACCTTGCTGCCTGCAATGTGTTTGATGCGATGCATAAAGATAGCCTACTCCTGAATGTTGCATCGTAAGAAGTGATAAGATGTTCTGTCTGCAATCACTACCGGAGAGGAATACGGTTAAGTGAGTAACTCATGATTAGGAACGGAAATCCCTTGAAGGCTATGATGATCGCCAATCTCCCGCTGTTCATAGCAGCTGAGCGCTGTAAATAGCCTCGACGTAGTCAAAACAAAAGTCGTCGATCAATACCACTGGTAGCGCAGCGCAGCGGTTTTAAATGAACACAACACCATATCGACCCTCCTTCTTCCCACAACGGCACCACGCTACCGTGCCTTCAAAAGCGAGCAGCCACCGTTGCCTTTCCTGGATATCTTCTTTGGAGCAAACGATTGCTCACAACTCCTGCCTTACTACGATGCCTTCCAAGCCATTCTCGATACCCATTTCCTTCGCTAAGGGCCCTAGAGGGTTGTTACAGGCTCGCAATTTGATCGAGGTCAATCTCCACGATGTCGACCGCAAGCTTCCCGAACGGGACGTCATGCCAGCATCCTCCGTCTACCCAACCCCCCTCTGTACATACCCCCTCAACATCGTTGCCGCTATTGTACCACAGATCACCCCACACCACACCTTTGGCTCCGCAAACTCCATGGTCGCACGATTCTTTAACTAGAACTCTATCCGTCGCTTCTTGATCGAGGGATCACCATTTACGCAATGTCTCCCCTCGTAAAACTACTAACAATTCTCTAGCTACAAGCTTACAACAGGGGACTATGCTGGCACGACCTTCGCAACTTCGGATGATATAAGCAAGAGCAAGAATACATCTAGTAAGACGACTCGCTCTTCTTCTAACCTGGCCATCGCCTAAGATTCCGATGAACTTGACGTCAAGATGATGGATGCTGCCACTTCATTGTACGCCATATCCCACCCCGGATACTCCTTCAAATGATGAAAAAGTATAGGAGAGGAGCAGCTAGAGTCCACCACCCATTTTCATGGTCCCAAGGCGTCACAAGGAAGCAGGGCAGGTTTACTGCTCCACATTCCGCAAAGGCATCACAAAACAGAAACAACAAAACCACACATCTGGCAGCAACATCCCCAACACCCTCTAAGGCCCCTTAATCCCTAGACCCAATAAAAAATTGCCCCTCACGCCTTCCACTACTAAACAATATCTCTTAAAACAAGAGCTTACTATGAAGCCCAAATCACTATCGAGGCGTACTATGGCACGCTCCCAAAAGGCGACAACGGAACCACCCATGCAGTCTCCGCTACCATAAGCCTCTTCGAAACAACCATACGTTTTGGGTGACGACGGTCTTCACGAACTCACCTGCAGACATAGGGTTCTCAACTAATCGCCGGAGTGCGAGATAAGTGAGCCCTCATGGTGTGGGTTGAATTGTAAGAAGTTCTATATTGATAAGGCTTCTTTCAAGTGCGAAGAGTGTGGAACAGAGGTCATGAAACTGTTAGAGAACAAACTTTCTGAACAGAACAAGGAGAAGCTATCCAGCGCGCGCACGATCAAAAACACTGCCTTCGTAGCAACCTACATGACTGAGTTCATACCCAAATATACCACATTCGCTAGTATCACAGAGACTGCCATGTCCTTCATAGGCACTAGCTATGGTAGGCCAAAAGGGTGCTCAGCAAGCTGTCTAAGTGGAAGGAGGCCGAGGTCATGTAAAATTCTTCAGAGGGTAACCAGATAAAGACGAAACAGTTTGCTGAGCGCGAATCGACGCATCGTAATGAGGGTCTGATTAAGGGTCTGAAATATAGTGCTGAGCTAGAGGAATTGAACAAGCTGCTAGAGAGGAAGAAGATACTCGAGAAGCCTCCTTCCTTGGTTAAGATGCAGTGGGCAAGTCTTCTCGTCCCGCGGAATCGTAACAAAGAGGCCTAGGGGTGTTCTCGGGCAAAGGTGAAAGTGGAGGATGAGAAGGAGGATGAGTCTTCGGTGTTTCAGTGACCTCAGCTAGGGCCTGCTGAAGGAGAGGAGGAAGACGAGGGGTTTTGAGAGGTGATATCTGACTTTGAGGATGGTGGGGTGGAGATTCGTGAATCTGATCTGGCTAAGTCCTATTTTCTATGCTTGCGGATATATTAGGGAAGTCCTTGTATCTTAGGTGGATATTTAGGAATTAAGATACCCATTTTCTAGTTTATTACATACATCAAGCTCTTGAGCCCGTCCGCTGATAATACTGCGAGGCTGACACGTTCCTGAATTTGAATACTCAGAAACCTACTAAATGCCAGTTAGATTTTGATAATATCCAGGCAGCAAACTTGAAGTGTTACATCCCTGTGTTAGGAACACCATTACTGGGAATTCGCGCATCAGCCTGCTCAAACACTCGGTCCTCTGCTCATCAACTTATCCTTCCATGTCACCAACCTCATCCGATTGACGAACCCGGCTTCAAGTGATCTCTCCAAAAGCAGAACCCAAAACTAAAAATCCACCCCGCGGTGTTAAACCCTTTGGAACAATACGTCTAATGAATAGACGGGGACTTGGAGTTAAGATCGTTAGTTAGCTAGATAGAAAGGAATATGCATCATGCTTAAAGGACTTCTGGCCCAATGGATTTCCACTCTTACATCGCCAGCTCCCTCTCGGGGGGTTTAAGGCAATAGTGCTGGTTGGTGGTTCACTTAATATGCTTCTTGGTGGCATTACTACCCCAATTGTTGCGGAAACGGTTAATGGTATTGTTTGTTTTCAGCCGTTATGGAGATCGTAGGTCAACCTTCTTCATAACCGGTCATGTAAGAAGGAGGGTTTAGCTAAACAATGGGTAGGGACATCAAAGCATTAACCTAGATACCCAATATCTGATCACTGTTTCCAAAGATAAAGTGTAAGGGTGAAAATTTAACCTGGAATATCTACCCCAACCACACCTCTACTAGTGTCCTATTGCCTTTAGAATCTTGATTGGGTTAACTGACCGAACCTAGTAAGTTCCTCCTTGATCGAATGAGTGACCTCAAGTACTCCATAGGAGGGAAACCGGACGCAGATTTCGGCTGAGCCTAATTTTCCCCGCCAGGTTGACTTGACCTCGCTAATCTACTAGAGAGTTTATGCAAAGATGGCGGCAGTGTGTTATGGGATGGAGAGAAGGGGTATTGCCTCAGTTCAGTTAACTCGCATCTCCAGGGGTTGTATTTCTTCAGAGAAAAACCATGACTTTGATGCTAGGTAAGGAGTATATGGAATTTGGTGGGAGTGAAGCCACGCCCTTACGGATGCATTCGTAGCCCAATTGGAAAGCTGATCGACTCGGACTTAGGGGTGCCTCTTTGATTTAGGCGCCTGTTTAACACCCGAATTGAGTGGGCTTGCCGAGTCGTTCCACTAGTCAAATCGACTCTCACCCCCAAAAAACTGTGATTACTCAGGGACGGACGACAACATTAGCCAAAACTAGCCAAAATTATATCATATGCGTCCTTGCAAAGTCCTCTCCGCAGCCCCATGATGTATATATATTGTTTTACCTAAGTTCATCCTCTATACGTTGATGTTTCAGGGATTTATAAACCGCGCAAGTTGATATAACGGCCCTAATTCACTCTGGAGGAAGAACTAATATACCAATTCCGCATGTCAAGTGCCATTACCTTCATCCATTTCCTAGATATTAAGATTTTGAAGGAGTAACTAGGAACCGTAGCCTGGAGGTTGTGCCGTTCCTGGCGGCTTTTCTGTAAGTAAATGTTGAAAGTTATGATAGGCCACCTGCTCATCAAAACCAGTCATGGTAGTATAGTCCAAGTGGGGAGCATTTGTGTCAATGCCAGCGGATGGCCAAACGCGAGGTGTGCTTCCTTGGGCCGCAGCGTTCCCAACCGTACGTACTACGACTCGTAGATACGTGAACGTAGCAGTCACGTGAGCCGTTGAAACGTAGGAGGAGTGTGAGCCGTAACGTACGTAGGAGCCAGCTCCTATTACGGACCGTAATACGTCTTAGAGAGACAATATTTCCTAGTAATATAAGGTCTTATTAGACAGCTATAGGGACGCGTTAAAAGGGTGTTTAAAGTTATATTTTTAGAGTAATAATTAAGTAAAAACTCTGTAGTTTGTATAATAATTAAGGAGCTAGTAGAGAAGAGGATTAAGGCGTAAGATCTTATAATTTTAGTTAAGAATTATAATTGCTTATAGACTTACTTATTATAAGCTAGATATCTTAGTTTCTCTAGTATAGCAGGTGTACAGCCTTATTCTAAGGATTCTTTTAAGCTAGCTTTTTTTACTAAACTAAAGTTACTTATTACACTAGTTCTTATTAACTTGCCTAATTAAGGTCTTTATTATTAGAGTTCTTAGTTTTTTTTTATAATAGCATGCTATTTAATAGTCTTTTAGCCCTTATAAAGAAGTACTTAGACAACTTTACTTTTAATAATAGAGTATTATTTACTATTAAGTAGGACAACATCTAGATAGAAAACAGAAAGTTAAGGCTAAAAAGGCTTAGATACTAAGTAAAGCATAAAAGCTAATTACATAGTAATTATTAGTTATCTTAGATATAGCTTTATAAAGCTAATTTAGTGTATAATAATAAAAGAGACGCCTTTAGAATAAAGTTATAGCTCTGTAGAAGGTGCTACGCTAAGGGTAATTACAAAAGAGTAAAGAAAGTTAATAGTTACACTTATATTATCTACTACTTTAGAAAAGAGCACTAGATAAACATTAGTAAAAAAAGTAAAGGCGCTTTTTTACCTAATAAGCTAAAAATCCTCTTAAGTTTATTTAAAGCAGCTTATAAAGTTATAAGCTTATTATATATTATCTTTTATAGTGTTTAGCAGGAGGAAGCTTTATAAGTAGTAGTTATTAACTAGGTAATACTTTATAATATTTTTTTTTATATAGCATTATTAGTAGAACTTTAAAGCATTATTACTTAAAATAAAGCTAATCTTCTTACTGCCCTTTTAGCGTCTAACACTACATATTTATTCTACGTGCAGCAGGGATATACACAGCAGAAGCAGAAGATTTAAATAATGCTAAAAATAGCCTAAAGCAAAATTATGTTAAGTGTTAATATATAGACTTCTCTAAACTACCTCTCTTTTCTAGGTGTAGTGTTACACTTTATTAGTAAGTGTACTTTAGCTTATTAGTTTAGCGTCTTAGTATCCCCTATTAAACTAAACACTAACTAATAATACTATATAGATGTTAACTACTAATACTGCAATGTCTTAATTAGCTTCTGTAACTTATACAGTAACTATACTAGAGTAAATTAAGTACTAAAGATTATTAAAGTTATTAATAACTTTAAAATTATATTAAAATTTTATTATTTAGTAGCTAATAATATGTTAAATAATAATAATAAAACTATCTCTACTCTTACCTAACATCTTAATATGCCTCTTACCTCTAAGCACTGTATACGCTGCGCTAGCTATATAATCTAGCTAGTAGTAAAAGCAGTTATCTATAGTAAAGAAATAAGCGCTTTTAAAGTAGAGCTTACCTAAGCAGCTTCTTAAAAATAATTTAACCTTTATTATTACTATAAAGTTATTAAAAAACTTTATAATTTTATAAACATAGTGCTAGCATTATATAAATAATAAAAAGCTTTTATAACTTTTTAGGCTACTTTTAACAATAATAACTCTTTTTAGAGCTTTAGAACGCTTAATCTTATATAAGATAGTAGTATACGCTAGCATAGTGTTTATCTTATGCTCCTCTGCTGTTTTAAGCTTAAGGACACTATTACTAAGTTTATACATAAGTAAAAAAGCACTAATAACAACTTTATAAACTTTACTATCCCTAGTAACTCTGCTTTTACTAAGGTTATTACTAAAAATAAATAAAAAAAAGTTAATTACTTTTATAAGTTTTTTAAAGTTTTTTACTTTATAATAAAATGCTTTAAAGGTAACAGCTTTTATAGCTCTTTTTAGATGTTTATTATTAACCTACAACACCTCTATACTAAGCTCTTATATATAGGCAATAAACTTAAAGGTAAGAGTAATAATTACTACTTTAAATCTAGTGTAGTATTTAGCATAGAGAAGTTGCTTATATACTAAAAAAAGTTTATTATTAAGCTACTTATATTCTATTACTACATAGTAATAATTTTAAACTTTTAACTTTATCTTATTTAGTTTAAAAACTACTAGAGAAAGCACTTTACATAGCATAAAAAAGCTAAGGCTTTAATAAAAGCTATTTTTTAAAAGTACATTAATATAAAGGCTAAGGCTAAGGCTAACAACAACAACATTACCTAGGAGCCTATATAATGTAAGTTACCTAGTAGTAACTATTATAATAAGAGCTTTAAAAGAACTTTTTTTATTAACATAAGCCTTCTTACTAGTAGCTGCTTATATAAAAAGTAGCAGAAAACAACAGAGTTACAGCAGTACTATAACAGCTACTATAAAGATGTTACTATAGCTAATAATAATAGCCTTTTATTTACTAACTTTTTTACTTAGTAAAAATAAGTTAGACAACTCTTTTACTTTACACTATATAAAATTACTCTTAACTTTTTATCTATCCTTTCTATAAGCTGTAATTATAAGAGGTTTTTTTTTAAAGGTAAAAGAACTATTACTTATAACAGAAATAAGCTTTTTAGTTTAATAATTAAGGCTTTTTAACTACAAAAAAACTAGCTCTAGCAGGGTTATATTTACAGTAAAATAGGGGACTTAGTAGACTGTATACGCTGTAACGTCTTACAAGCTGTTAAAACGTAGGAGGATTGTAAGCTGTAACAGTTACGCCCTATAAGTAGATTTAAATTCTCCCTTTACATTAAAACGTACTAACAAACTAAGAAGTTACAGCCTAAAAAACGGCGAGTTAAAACGTATTACGTACGGTTGGGAACGCTGCTTGGGCCGAAGAATCAGGCTGCTGGAGAGGCAGACCCAGGCCACTCATTCCTGCGTTAAAATGATCGCATAGAACGATTGGGTAATCTGATAAATCCGCTATGGTGGCAGGAAACGGTTGTTGGTGATTCATAATCTCTTCTCCAATATTAGGCGGTACTACGGGCTGAAGATTGAAGGGTTTATCTGTCTGGAAGGGATCATCCTCAGGGCCGGGGATGAAATAGATATCTGTTTCCAGCCAATCCATGCGACCTTCAGCATTTAGGTCTAGGGATGTTCTAGGAGGGTTCAGGTCTGTAACATTGGGGTTCGTATTGAAATTTTTGGCCGGGTTCACAGCGGCATCCTGCCCCGCAGTCTGATATCTTGCAACTGCCTTAGTTGCTGGAGCGAGAGCCATATGAAACGAAGCAATGGCATCCTCTACTGCAAATCGAACTATATCACCCAGGCTTTCTATTTGTAATGAATGGAGCTCCGTCCCATTCTCGTGGCATAGGTGTTGTAGGCTTCGCATGGCCCTTGAGGGTATGTCATCGCGTAGGTGTTCTTTGAATTGAGTAATATCCACAGAAGCCTCTATTGTGCCCGCCTTCCCTTGCACTGCAATATTATGTTCATAATCTGGAGGTTTAGTAAGGAAAGTGGTACAATACGGACGATAATAAATACCGAGGTTGACTTACATGGTGAGGGTATTGCAGATGGATGGGCCTCAGGGAAAAGAATCATGTAGATGTCATTCCATTTGTCTTCTTCTGTCTTCCCAGAGATGCATCGCTTCTTGCTCTTGAGCTTCTTCTCTTGTTCTTTGTCATACCCATCATAACCTTTTGCTTCTTGCACTGTGCAACCCTCGAGAGCTCTTTGATGTCCCCTCAAGTCGGACTCAGTTTTGAAGGTGCAATAGCAGCGGGGGCAGTGTATTGGCATGGCATGGCGCCGATAGATATGCTCTCTGCAGGACTCTTAGCTACTGATGTTTATAATGTACAGGAATAACTATAGGAAGGCCAGCCTAGTATGGAATTAAGCAGAACGCGGAATATCCTTTCCTTTGTCTTATTTCTCGTCGCTGGAAAGCGATATAAGGGCGATGAAATATCATCCTACTGAAGAATCCGAGTTGTTTCTTATTGAATCACCTTCATTGGGCTTTACAGGTCTCGTTACAGGCGGGTACAACATAATTTGCTAGGAAGTGCAAGATGTAGCAATCGGTGCCTGACGCAGTTTCCATGGGAATGTCATAAAATTGAAATGAAGCGGAGGGTTAGGACCCTCTCCCATGGGAGAGCGATCCAAGGAATGGGTGGAGAAGAACATTATGAATGAAGACGTCTAACACTCACTTCAAGCGATGGACCGATGCCCAGCCAGGGCCAAGGCATGTAGGGATGTGTCTATATTTGTCAATGTCATGTTTGTAGTATGGACACGCCAGTCGCTTGCGGCTGGAGGCGCCGAACAAGCCGGATTCCTCGTTGGCGTCTTCCGCCGACTCTACTGCCGTGGAAGAGTCTGACAATCCCGCAGTGGTACATGGGTGTGTCCCGTCATATCCACAAGGCCTCTCATATGCGGTGTTGTGAGAAAGATTCTCCGTATACCGAATCCGGCTGGGTGCTTGTGGTTGAAGGGCTCTTTTACGCCGTTTCGGAGCTAAAATCGACCGTGGTTCGTTATTCACAGCAGCGAGGGGTGGCATTTTGATGATTGAGCGAGGAGGGCCTCAGGAGACGGGTAAAGAAAAGTGTAAGGTTTTTGATGGTAGTGGACAAGGCGCAGAACGCGCAGCTGCGCGATTTCGCAAGGTGCAGCTACAAGCCACATCCTCCAAACAAGGATCCTCCTGTTAGCGGAATGGAGGAGAGGGCCAGAGACGTAGGGAAATGAGACGTCTTTTGCAAAGCCGAGAAATCGCGAAAGATGCAAATGGTGGATGCTTAAGTGATGGCTCTTTCTATGCTAATGTGGTTGTTGAAGCCAGTCTAGGTAGCTACTAAGAGAGTGCTACATAAGTATGATGAGGGGCTCGGAGATGCCAAGATCTTTGTTCTATCTTGTTCTATCTCCACACTATCCTCGAATGGAAAGGCTTTTGTGCGCGCACACTTTTTGATATATACTTAAAAATTTTGAAAATCATCTAAAATATCAGAAACTGATATGAAATATGCCGGCATGGCGCAGTGGTAACGCGTCGCACTTGTATCACTCCAGGTTAATGCGAAGATCACAGGGTAAGTAGAGAAAATAAAGGTGTTATCTCAGCGACTAACTTCCTTTGAGTTCAATTCCTGTTGTCGGCACTTATACTACTTTTTTTAGGCTTTTTTTTTAAGGGAACGGTCAGGTGTGGCAGAAGCGAATCTTAATTAGAGGCTACCGTACTTCAGTATTGTAAAATGTACGCCATTACTAGATTTCTTTATTTCTATAATTTTTTTAACACACTGTGATAGTAAACTGAGATATACTTTTACGGAGAGATCCGCCGCCCCATAATTTTCATTACAAAAAACTCAAAAGAGTCCTCTTGCGACTAGTAAAGCTGGGTGACCCCTTATCACAAGAACTAGCATAACCATTAGAGTTGAGTTATTCTTCTAAACTATGCGACTTGTATATTGCTACTTAGGATTATGCGTGGTGAAACTCAACGAGACGGGATTTGGCTCTCTTCGATCCTTTTGAAGGCTCGGAAATAAGGGATAAGGTCAACGGCGGATTAGATTTTGTATACGAAGAACTCCCACAGTAGTAAAGAAAGGGTAAAACAAGTGGTAGAAATACGGAAGGACGATGGCAACCTATCGAAACCCTAACAGCTCCAAGTTCCCTGCCGAAAAAGGCCCTACAAAGGGAACACCCGCAGAACCTCCTGCATTCTTAACAAAGAAGCAGAAACCTACAATCGAAGAGTTGAGTCTCTACCATCGAGAGGTATCTTCACGAGGAAGGAGAAGGAGCTAGAGGATATACCCGACGAACAAAGTATCTCGATGCTAGTGGAGATCCTCTTGGCTGCCGAAGCCGAGGAAACCGTGGAGTGGCAAGCCTAACGCTGGGGTAGAATGCTACTACTACAACAATGGATAAGATTTGGTTTAGATTAGTGACTGGTTAGAAAGAATGAAAGAGCCCCGAGAAAGGGAATGTACGTCATTCGCCAGAGAGGAATTCACCGAGTCTGCTAGCAAAGCTTCAGTGAATAGAAAAGGCTGGTATTCTAATGAATTCAAACTCCAGTTCCAGATTAAGTGGTCTCGGATAGCTTATTTCATTCTATATAACGGGAGGGCTTGGCAGTGTAGTTTGCGCAAAAGGCACAGAAGAAAAACTCTAAGTACACAAGTTTGCAAATATTCTTGAGGTATGCGAACAGGACAGACAGCCTGAGATAAGAAAGGAGGTAACATATAAAGACAAGGCAGCAACTACTAGATTGTTTCTAGATTCAAGCGAGGAAAAGGATGACTTGACACGATTGCTTTCCGAGAGGGAGTGAATTGGTCTAATATTAATCTAGCCTAGTGGGAAGTGGCGCAGCCGAGATTTAACCTGCGCTTTCACGCCGTGGCGGACAGATTAGTGGTTCGGACTTTCTGACTTCACTTCTAGGCAGCCCACAATCTCAATATAATCTCCTCCGCCACGTTTCTTTCTTTAATACACACAAACTACGTTCTACTTTCAACTCGAAATATAACTGCAGCTTCTCTCAACCTCGACAACCATGGCCGATGACGCGAGAGTGGACATCGGACAACTCACCGAAGATCAGCAGCTAGCCCTTCAACAATTCACAGCCGTCACAGATCAGGATGTGAAGGATGCGATACCGTTATTACGGCGGTGTCAGTGGAATGTACATGTAAGAATCTATCTTATATCCGTCGTAATCTCTCTCAGCTAAACAGTCTGAAGATAGCAATAGCTCGATTCTTCGACGGTGAACCTGCCGAAGACCCCGTAGCTGCGGCCCCAAGCTCGAATACCCCCCCTCCACAAGACTCGCGACACCAGGAGACTCTCCAAAATGGTTTCACGAATTCTCCCCGCTCCTCCACCTCAAGTCGACGGCGGATAGACCCGGCGCCACGAATCGTTCCACAATTGGAATCCCAAGTTACGACACAGGCCCCCCTGCTTCTCACTATATTGTTCACGCCATTCAACCTATTATACTCGCTCCTCTCAAGATATTTCCGCTTCGTTGGATATCTGTTTCCCTTCGTGCCACGGTTCTGGGGACGCTTAACCGCGAGCAATATTAATACTCCCGCATCGCGGAGAACAACTGGTGGACGAAGGCCTCTGAATCCGAGAGACACTGCGGCTCGCTTCATACGGGAGCTCGAGGAAGCGTATGGAACCAACAATTTGCCCTTCTTCGAGAACGGATACGCCCAAGCTTTTGATCTTGCCAAGAAGGACCTAAAGTTCCTCCTCGTCATCCTAGTCTCCCCCGAACACGACGAAACCTCCTCTTTCATCCGCGAAACTCTTCTCTCCCGAGAAGTCATTGACTTCATCCGCAGTCCTGAAAACAATGTCATTCTCTGGGCCGGCAACGTTCAAGATTCGGAAGCATACCAAGTCTCGGCTGCACTGAACTGCACCAAGTTCCCTTTCGCTGGCCTCATCGTCTACACGCCGCAAGTGTCGTCCTCCGCAATGGGTGTTGCAACACGCATCACCGGTCTCATGCCCCCGGACCAATTCGTTTCTAAACTCCGCCAAGCAATGCAGTCACATGCCGAACCTCTCTCCCGCGTTCGCGCCCAACGCGCTGAGCAACAAGCCTCGCGCAACATCCGGCAAGCCCAAGACTCGGCGTACGAGCGTTCGCTCGCTCAAGACCGAGAACGCGCTCGCAAGAAGCGAGAAGAAGCAGAACGACAAGCACGAGAAGAAAAAGAAGCCCTTGCACGCTCGCTTGCCCAAGAGCTTCAAGCGCGGAATCAAGAGCAGTGGCGCCGATGGCGCGCAAGTTCCATTCCAGTGGAGCCTGGCAATGACGTTAAGGATGTGGTGCGGATCAGTCTAAGACTGCCAGATGGAGAAAGAGTGGTCAGGAAGTTTCGCGCTGATGCAGATATCGAAGAATTGTATGCCTTTGTCGAGTGCTACGATATCCTTCAGTCTGAATCTGGCATACGAAGGGTGGAGACTGAGAAAGTTGATGAACCGAAAGGATTCCAGCACGAGTACAAGTTCCAACTTGTCTCGCCCATGCCACGAGAGGCATACGAACTCAAAGCCGGAGGCTCGATCAAGGAGCGGATAGGCAGGAGTGGGAATCTCATCGTGGAGCGGACGGACTTAGAGGAAGACGGTGAGTCTGACGATGACGAGTAATTCATGATATGACTTGTGTACTGTACGCTTGCAGCATTCGGCGGCGTTTTCGGCTGGTGGGGCATTGGCTTGGGGTTTGGGTTTTCCTTTGCAACCCTGGATTAAGGTTTTCATGTGTATGCATGTATGCATGTATGCATATCAGGTTAGTGAAAACAACGGAACGATTTTTGTCGGACTTGATCGATCGCCGGTCATTTAGTGAGACCTTTGCAGGCTTTTTTAGTTATTTTAAATGGTTTCAATTACTCTTAAGCTTGCCTTACCTGATTTTACAACCCCTTGTCCTTAGAACAAACACCTGTCTGTTGAGTTATCACTCAGCTCACACAATTGATACGAAGAAGCAGACTTGCTCTGCGCTCTCACTGTCTTCCCTTGTCAACTAGATCGAGAGCCACATAGCGGTCGTGCAAGCTTTTCAGAAAGAACGTATGTCTGAAGCTAAGAGGCTAAATGATGTAATCGATAGTTACAGAAACTCTCAATGACTAGGCCAAGCCATGTGGAAAGAAAGTAATTCCATCCCCGATCTACTGCATCCTACAAACCACTCACTCAATGACCGACTTCGGCTGCCTAACAAGACAAACCAAACAAGCAAGTAATCGTGAACCGTGCATGCACACACATAGCCTCCCGAGCTCTGCTTCCCATTCCATCATACATCATCCATTACCCACATACGTCCGCTGTGGACGTGTTCGGAAAAAAGACACAACTACATACATAAAACACGGAAAAAGGAGCTTCTTGCAAATTGATTGACTGTAACCAGTGATATCCTCCCCCCTCATCTCTCACGAAGGTGAAGATGCATGAGGAAACGGCACCCCACTGTACGCCGTCCACTGCCTCCAGAAGCTAGTCACCTCTACTAAGTAGGAGGGTATGACTAGGACTGACTGATACGAGGACAGTAACGAAACGCACGCTAACCAACAACTGAGTCTTTCGACATCTATCGACACCTGAGATGAGAAAACTGAGACTGACAGAGACAGAGGCACGCTCTCATAGCTGTCCTGGAGCATCTGAGAATGGTGTGTGTGTGGCAGCCAGTTACTGATACGGCCGAGGTCGACGATGAGGACGGGCATTCGAAAATGGCATGGCAGATTGCGTCCAGCCTTACATATGGAGGCCAGAGCATATCGAATCAACCACCTTGACCAGGCGGTGGTGTGCGACCGTCAATGTCGGGGTTCCACGCGCTGTCCTTTTCGAACAGGAACGGACTCAAAATGTTCAAGTCCGTGGAGTTCACGGCACGGTTCCAGCTGTTTCCATAGATGGAATTGTAAACAGATGCACTTGAGCTTCCCCAAGCAGCACCACTGCCCAAGCCGCCAGAGACTGGTCGCTGGACAGGCGTCGAGGTCCAATCGGAACTTCGAAGGGAGTTGGACGAATCTCCGCGAACATGCCCAGAGGCCACAGATGCATGCATTCCGCTCAAAGGCGAGCCCCGAACCCCACTCCCGCCACCAATCAGAGGAGAGCTGGGGCCTGGTGTGCCATTGTAGTTGCGGTTCCAAATCGAATTCCCATTTGACTGACCATCTGGGAGAGAAGGTAAATTCGCGGGCTGACGAATGGACGAGGACGAGGGAGCCCTACCCATAGGCGTGGCAAATATTGGAGTTGCAGGAGATCCTAAGGGCTTGCTGTAGTTTTGAACAGCATTAACGAAGTCGCTAACCGTCAGCGGACCAATTCCATACGAGGTATCCGTAACCATCGTCGTATCCTCGAATGTCTGCTCTGGTGGAGTTGGGGGGATGTTCTCGTCCTCTTCGGGAAGAGGATCCAAACCATCATCAGGACCAACCAAGTCATCCACCATTCGATTCATAGCCGGATCTTTTGCTAGTGTAGTAGAAGCGGATTCGGAAGCTGCAGCAACGCTATACGATTTCTGATCATCAGCAATCAACTCTTCCTGTGGGAACAACGGAAAGTCGACGGGTTCAGCTGCAGGTATCGCTGGAGAACCATCAAGGCGGTTATTTGGACTTGCGAGCAGTTCAGATGGAAGTCCAGCCTCTCGATAGATGAATCGCATGTTGTCAATCTCCAAAGGAGCCTCGGGGTGATTTTTGATTAAAAGTAGGCCATCTACCATCAAATCCCGGACTCGCATAAGCATCTCAACGTTGGGATGGTTTCGCTCCAAATCGGTCCACTTCTGCTTCAGGATGTTGCCATTGTACCAGCGCTTAATGGTTTCTTCGGATATCAGAGGTTGGAAACCAATGGTATCGGTATCCTCTTCGAGCATGTAATCCTGGTTTGGGAGCTGTTCTGGAGGAAAACTTGAGGCAAGGAGGGTCAACGTTGCAGCATACGCTTTCCAAAGCTCTTGAACCTCAACCGTCGTCAAAGTGTCAGCGACATTCGCAGATAGGATGTGGTGATACCGGGTAAACCAGGTGCTGTAGAGTCGGAGCCCCGGAAGTATGCGCCTGGCAACGGCCGTTATCTTATCGGACAGATGTGATGCGCGCGTGCCATTCTGATCCTTGACATCGTCGCCCTCGGAAAGACGTTCCAGTTCGGACTGCAGGATTTGAAGAAGAGTGAAGAATGTCTTCACGTTCAACCGAAGGTAGTAGAAATATGTTTGCATAATGTTTTCTGGCGGGGGGGATTCTGGCGCAATCAGCATAGGGTAGAGGGTGGGAGGAGGGGTTGGATGACATACCAGCCATTTGGACAGTTGCGTAATATTCAGCAGCCAGATTTATGAGAATAATCTTGGATAGTATCGAATCCAATGAACGCTCCTTGAGCTCAATGGTCAACTGAGACAGGACCTCATTTTCCAATTCGTCGTGCTGGGCAAATTCTTTACCGCTGTAGCACTTGCTGTGCAGCCTAATAAACCAAGCGACAAGAGCCCGTCCCGCAGTATTTCCATCCGGAGACGTGCGGTTGCTGATCAATTCGCCCCTAGACCAAGCAGTCACAATCTTCTTGAACCCGAGCTCAAGATTCTGCCTGGCGAGCGGGTGCGGCTCTTTGCTGGCGAGAGATCGATAGAGATGATAGGTCGAACGAAAGTGGTTTCCGTCTTCACGCGCAATAACGGCCAACTGGTTGTGAGATTGGCCCGAGTCGGGATTGATCTCCCAGGCCAGCCCATAGTATCCTGTCGCTGGCCCCCAATTGCGCTCCTTTTCAACGAGTTCGGTTTCGCGGTATCGGGAGAGGTCGCCAAGCTGGATAAGGGTCTGGTGGCAAGACAACAGGACCTGGGGTTTTGACGAGGCGGGGATGCGCGCTCGAAGAGCTGTTTTGGAGACTAGGAAGGAGTGAGCGGAGGTGAGCTGCGGGTGGTTGTCAGCCATACCATCATCCTTCCATTTCTGCGCGATTTTCCGCAACTCAGGAAGCCGGTCAAACTGCGCATCCAAATTCAAGATGTACTGTCGGTAGAATCGCTGGCTGGCCTTGATGAATTGCAAGTAGTGCTTGGCGAGTTTCCGGTACTCGACGACATGGTCCCTGTTATTCCTCTTTACCTAAGCAAAAAGAGACATCAGTGTGCTGTGCGTGTGCGCTTGCTGGAGGCGTGATTTACAAGCTTCAGCTCCTTCCTGAAAGCACCATTGACCTTCAGGTGGACGTTCCATAGCTGCTTCTCAATGCCTCTGGCAGAGGCGCCTTCGAAGTCGGCAAAGATGACGTTCTCGCAAGCGAGGCGATACCTGCGACGGGTTAGCAGGGGCACCACGCGCACGCAGCGAGTCTTACTCCTGGAGAGGAGCAGCGAGATCCACGGCAGAGACGCCGCTGTCCGCGAGCCTGGAGAGGTCCCTCTCCATCGACTGCGCCCGCCTGCGGGGACAATTAGCAGCATGTCAAGCCGCGCACGGCAGAGCGTACCTGGCAAGCTGTTCAGTGTTGGTGGCCATGGCGAGCAGCGGTCGGAGCGGCGAAGTTCATGGGCGACCCCACGGTCAGCCGGGCGGTCAGACGTAGGCACGGAGCAATGGGCGGTTGCAGTGGCTGGTGCTCTCCATGGAGGAGGTTTTGTGCCCTGGGAAGCGGACAAGCAGCGAGCGAGGCGGGGAGGCTGGTCTCAGGGTGAGCAAACAGCACGCGAGATGCTGTCTCACACGGCGAGAGGCAGAGCGAGGGAGGGCGCGCGGCGTGTGGGCGTGTAGGCGTGTGGACGCGGTGGGGGAGAGAAGGGGGGAGGGGGCCCAGGTGGTGAGGGTCTGATGGGTCTGACGGGTCTGATGAGGTGTTCGGGAGTGCCTGTCTTTGGCTGGCGGTCGGGGCAGGCCGTGCGAACCAGCGAACGAGCGAACGAGCCAGGCCGGGAGTGAATCACCATTGGAAAGCTTGGCCAGACCCACGACATCATCCATTCAAAGCCGTCTGAGGCCCTCTCACGACTCCGATCTGGCGCGCTTTCTGTGATCTGCCTCCCACACAGCAGCCGTGACCCGAAGCATTCACCCCTTACTAGGTCGTGCAGGTGTGGTTTTGAGTCCAAGTCTTCGTTGGACCTGCCCAGCTAGCCAAAGCCAACTCCTCTTTCATCCACCTCACTACCAAACAGTGGACGACCATGGACACGGTGCGCAAACGCTCGCGCTCGCTCGTCTCGTCTGATTCTGAGGACAGCGTAGGCAGCGACACGCTTCTCACCACCGAGTCCCCCCCCCAAATCCGCATCGTCCAGGCCGACCCAGGACCCAACCCCACCACCGACTCCACAGGCACTAAAGCCATGAAATCCGTGAGACCCGCATCGAGCCCGACTGTCGCGCGGTGCACCCTTCCAGGCCACTTCCCTGCAAGATTTACGTCCTATGAACACTTTGAGAACCACTACAGGAAGGCCCATTTGAACCGCTGCTTGGAGTGCGACAAGAATTTTCCCGACGAGCACTTCCTAGATCTCCACATTGCGGAGAATCACGATCCAATCCAGCGATTGAGGATGGAACGTGGTGAGAAAACGGTGGGTTCGTCCGGAGTCTCTCATTCACCAGCTAAGTGCAAACACCAAATCTCTCGCCCTCCCTTCACTAACTTGTGAAACAGTTCCGCTGTATCCTCTCTACCTGCGATAGGGTCTGCAGCACTGCCGAAAAGCGTCGTTTGCACTGCATTGACAAACACATGTTCCACAGGAATTATAATTTCCTCGTCGTAGACCGTGGCATTACCAAGTTTAGCATGAGCATGCTGGTCCGACATCCAGCCCGATGCAACTCGACGACAACATCTACTTCCATGGCCGAGAGTGACGCGAGGAGTGAGCACTATGAGGACGGCGGCGAAGATGAGGACCAGGGAGACGTGCTTGACGAGGAAGGGCATGAAGCCGAAGTCGAAGAAAACAATGGTGAAGATGAAGAACACAAGAAATCGACTCACCTGACACCCCGCCCCAAACCGACGCGACCCTTCACAGGCTTCCTGCCCTTCCCACCACGCCAGCTTCGCGGATGGGACCGAGGAGACAACCGCGGTCGGTATAGCCGAAGCGGTAGAGGCGCGCGCTTCAACAGCTCAGGCCGGGATTCCGTCTCTGACATCATGTCCAGCATGTCAGCCCTACAATTTATTCCCCACAGTGTTATGCTCAAGAAAGCTCAGGCCAAGGTAGCCGGAACCAAGGCAGCCGGAACCAAGGCCGCGCTAGAGTCAGAGTGATGGGGTCCATTGCACTGCATCCGCTTCCCTGGCCATGGTTCCCGCCATCTTTCATGACTTGATGTGAAGTATGCTCGCTCTCACCACTACCGCGCCGTGCTCAAGGGTAAGTAAGGTAGCTTATGAGCAGTGTGTGCAGGTATAGGGGCACCGAGGACTCATCATCGATTGCAGATAGAGAGAAAGTGTATATTAAATCCATTGTTTAGCTGTTAGCTATTTTCACTTTAAAGCATGAAGTACTTCAGGGTAGGGTCACACGATCGTCATCCTGGCCTTTGCTTCTCAGAGAAGGTGGCCGATTCTGTCGCGGAGTGTTTTAGGATATCTCAATTAAGGGGACGAGTCTACAAACTCTCCTCCTCTACTAGAAGAAATTTATGATCATCAACATCCCATTCATTGGGTTACTCATCTGTCCGACCACCATTGTTGTCCTTGAACATGTTCACACTTGCAACAAAGCACAACAAGGATATAAGATGCCAATCTGCATCCAGTTACCCTACTCCTGAAATCTTAGCAAGAGGCCTAAGTCGAATTTTATAACCTCCCTTCCAGCCTACATCCTACGGCAAATAGCCTAACGACCTCGGTAGCTCGTAGGGAGACTGGAATCCTTTCAGGAAAGAGCGACTCCCTCCATATCAAATCACGCACGCTCCAAATGTCACTACATTGCACTGTTCACTCAGGCCATTTCAAAGAAGGCGACAACATCAGGCAGGTCAAGTATGCTAGTTTCCAGGACTTGTCCCGCTTCAGCGCTACTCTACATACCGCAGCATAAACAAACCTACATGGAAATTGCTACGGTAATAACAAACACAAACAGAGTGACCTCATGAGCTGTTGAACGGCCGGCCACCTTTTCATACCTCCGATTTTTTTTCGCACGCCTGAACACCGACAAATGCATGTGATTGTTGAAATACACGAGCTACTTGCGCTCAGCTCAGACCGCGTGTCCTGCTGTTATGCAGCTGGCTATGAGTGAGTGTAGGTTTGGGTTGGGGAGGGGTAGCTGTTGATTGGTCAATTCATAATCCACTTTAAAACTAGGAGGAAAGGATGGGAGGAAGGATGGGAGGAAGAAAAACGTACGAAGGACCAAGCTCCTGGATACTCAGTCTTGCCAGCCACTGCCCCATGTCTATAGCCGTATCCAGCGGTTTACCTTGGACAATGCCAGCAACAAAACCACCGGCGAATGCATCACTATAATCGCATCAGTCCAATCCAGTCAACAACTGTCCCTATCTCTCTAGCTATAGATGGTGTAAAGGGGGCAAAATACATACCCAGCCCCATTCGTGTCGTTAATCCTCTCCTTCTGAATCGCATGAACAGGAAACTCCTTAACCTCGACATCCCCGCCCTCCTTTGCCACCGCCGCAATCGTAGGGTCCAGACCTTGGGTGATAATCACAGTGCGTGGGCGCTTGCTGTTCTTCTTGGGTAGTTTGGCAATGGCTGTTGCAATCGCCTTAACGTCTGTCGTGCCAAGGTTGTGGGATTCGGCGTAGGCTGCGGCTTCAGTTTCGTTGCCGATCAGGATGTCCCAGTAGGGAGCTGTGGAGTCGAGAGCGTCCTTGAAGAATTGCGGGATGAAGGGTGCGGAGAGGTTCATTATGAAGACCTTATCCTTCTCCGCAGCCTCCTCTGCCAGTGCCAAAATTGCCGGCACACAAACCGTCAAGTGGAACCCGCCAACATAATAAACCTTAGCGTGTTCCACGAGCTGCCAGATCTCCGGGCTCTTCAAATGCTCAAGCTTGTAGCAATTCGCCGCTGCGAGATCAGTGCACAGCGAGCGATTATGCCCCGTAATAACGACACCACAACGCCCGGTAGGTTGTTCGTCATCATAGCGGTATTCCACGCGGACACCAGCCTTTGCGCAGATCTCCTTGAGCGTTTCGCCGTACTTGTCTTTGCCGATGCAACCAATGTAGACGACTGAGTCTGGGGGGAGGACATACTACCACCACCAATCAACAAATCTGAACACAAGACGAGAGGCGAACAAAGGCGAGGAAAGGGTGGCGAGGCTCATCTCACCTGCGCTCCCCTTGCAGTATTCTGCGCCGCACCCCCGGCGATCAACTTCGCATCATGATTCTGAATCAGATCCTCATACAACCCCATATGTTTTGGCTCCGCTAGAATCGCATCGTTATCCTTCAGCCCATACTTTTCCAGCAGTTTCGCATCCCTACATCCGTCCATCGTCGTCAGCAATCTCGCCGCCAAAACTCGGCTCAGAACTAGCATTGTGAGAGAGGTTTTCCTTACGCTACACCCTGGATGTCTAACAGCGGATTCTCTAAGCACAAAAGTTCAAAACTGCCTTTGCTTGCTGCCATTATGAACCTTTTTCGTTGGTGAGATTGTTGTTGTTGTTGTTGGAATTGGAAAGCTCTCGTTAGTGTGGGGTAACAGGGTGAGAAAAGTGGTCGAGAAGCACGAGGGGCAACAACTGGGAGTGCCGCTCTCGGACCTGCAGGGCACACCGGACTCCGACGCACTGACGACCGCGAAAATGTCCGTACAAGATGGGAGGTTAGAGGGCGGAAGCTGTCCATGTTGAATGGGTAGTAATCTGAGATAAATGGCTGAAGCTGAGGGCTCGGAAAGTGTTTGGTTAATGACGTTGGATGTTTGAGGTCGTGTGAAGGTCATGCCATCTGATCAATTGTCTAATGTGGACATTACGGCTTGACTCGGATTAAACGCTTGATTGATATCACAACATCACAACATCACAACAAGCCTAATACCATTGAATTTGAAGCATTATTCGTAGGCTAGCTTTCAAACTACCCCCTCCTCCTTCACTGCTAAAAGCAAACGACATAAACAAGCGCAGGACCCTTGTTCCTGGGTAGTCCAATTCATACCTCACTTATCCCATCACCTGTGCAAGATAACTTCGCCTTGAATCCATTTCAAAAATCAGAATACTACCTCCCACCACCTCTCCCTGCCTTAATCAGGTCCTGGAACGCTGACTCCACACCTCTTTTCAGCTCACGATAGCTAACAATCAAAATATTCTGCTCATCGCGGCTGATGAGCGCTATCTTCTCCTCGCTTCCGGCATCCAATTTGTTTAGACAGTCAAGAACATGGGCTAGGTTGGTGACGGGATGCCCGTTTGTGTCGACTTGGTGGAACACATAGTCGCGGAAGAGTTTGAGATAGTATCTTTCCCCGGTTTCTGCCCACGCTGTGGAAGGTGAGGTGGTATTGCCGCTTGGCACAGGTATCGATGCGTCCAATTCAGGTCGCTCGTTGATAAAATTCAGTTTGATAAGGAGACGGACAAGCCGCGAGGATTCCAATTCGCGACCGAGGGTGCTGATGAGTGTGTCCTCCGCATGGAGTGTGCTGTCGAAGACTGAAGCAAACTGATCCGCGATTCCAGTCAAAAAACTATCAATGTCCTTCTGGACTGGCCCAGCCGAAGTTGGGGATGTCGGTGTGCTCGGGGGAGGTTGGGGGTTGAGCAGCCACTGAACACAGTCTTTTAGACGACCAGTGTAACTCCGGCCAATATGGTCCAGTGATTTTTGTATATTGAGTTGGGCCGCCGGACTGTTGTTGGCAATGCACAGGATAAGACGACCGAGTTGGACAAGGTCCTCAGCTTGAAGCTCAGCAAGAGGCCGAGCATTATCATACTGGACAACATCCAGGATAGCACACGCATTCAGTCGCACTCGATTCTTCGATGTGAGCAAGACTTTGGACGGTGTAATGAGTCGTGCCGCTAAGCCCACGCCATGGATAGCCTTCAAGGCTGAGGCGATCTGCACGAGATATCCCCAGAGAACCTGCTCAGGGATATGCGCTGATGCTGCCTGCCTTGCTCCATGAAATCGTACCGGCATAGTCTTGAAGTGTTCTTCTGCAAGCGACTTCGAGCAAGGATGGTAATCGGTAACGAGGATAAGAGAGTTATCCCCAAATGCCCTCGTCGTGAACGCATCATGAACTGTAACGACGCTGCCATTGAGAACTCTTTTCCAAGGCTGTACCGTCCGAATTGAATTCTCATTCGTCAACCGAAAGCCCTCAAGCCGTCGTAATGCATAAGTGTTTCCGTCCTTGCTCGAGACGGCTTTGTACACCCAGCTCTGGTACCCAAACAGTGACTGGTTCTTGTGCTGTGCAGTGTCTAGACAAACAAGAGAATAGTAATGCTCAATCGGAGGTAAAGAGGAATTTGGTAGAATCTGTCGGGCCACTTCTGATTTCTTTTGTAGCTCTTCTCGTAGGGCTTCTGGGATAAAGAAATCATGTGCCGTACGTTGATACGCCAGGAGATTGGTTGGTTGGGGCCCAATTGGCCAGTAGAGATGGAATGCGGGAGAGGTTTGAAAAGTGTTGGCATTTTGGTAATAAGATGCTCCAGAGAGCCCTGTAGGGTCTTGAACATATGGGTTAATAGATGATGGCTGGTGCCCAGGACCGGCAATAGTTGGTATTGTAGAAGATGCGTTAAACGGATCATAGCCTAGGACCGAAGTAGAAGTGTTTGGGTCGACCTGACTTGATTTAACACTGTAAAGGGCATATGGACCAAAAAGATACCATGCTGAAATTCGAAATTGTATGAATCCTAGCAGAGGAAATGAAACAGTCCTGACGTACCATCTGGCTCTCATATGTCTGGGGCACAAATTCCTGAAATTCTTGTTGGTGCCATTCCAAAGCAGGTTCTTTTGTGTGCAGGCTAGGCGTGCTTGCGGCTGAAGAAATCAGTCATCAGAATGAAGGAGCTGTCCAACAAGCCAGCCAAACTCACTTGACCTCTGTGATTTGGGAGTGAAGACCGCTGCATTGGCGGCTTTGGGCGAGATGGCAGCATTTCGCGACGAAGGAGTCAAGGAACCGTTCGTGCTGGCTTGAAGAGGGGTAAAGGATGGCGAGTCAACATTGAATCGTTTCTTCATGTTTTCGTTCTGGTTTAATTTGGAAGGATCGTGGATGTACGGGCAGGCTAGACCAGTTGAACTATTAGTGTGCCAGGACCGGGGGGGGGCTCCCACTCACTATTTTCATACCGACAATGGCCATATATGGTGACATTTCGGCAGAATGTGTTCTTTGCTTCTGCAGGGAAAGAGTTAGAGACCAAAACACGTTGACGCGATCCAAACCACCGTACCGCGACCTTTTGGTCGAGGAGATGACACTCCTCGCCGCGAATCACCCGTGGGACCTCCAAAGCTTGTTGCCATGAATCGTTGCTTGAAAGCAGGCCCGCTTGTGGGAGCAGTGCTAGGGAGTGAATGTGTTGTCTGGGCAGTCCAGCTGGGCTGGGGTGAGTGGGCTGGGGCAGAGGAACTTGCTCGTGACGAGCCCGACAGCGATGTCTTGCGATCCGGGCCTGTATCATCCGACGAGGGGCCGCTTCTACTCCATCTGCGATTTCCTTCTTGAGCGTTCTTCCACCGCTGTTTTCTTCTCGCCTGTTTCTGGAACGCAGTGCTATGGCTCCTCTCGGCGGGCGTTTCATGCGCCGGGGGGCGCTCCTCGGACGACGACGTCAGCTCGCTGGTAGAATTCCGCGTCGATGTTTCTGAATCCACGGTGGCAGTCGCATGTGTGAGAGACAGAATGCGGGGAGAGGGCGTGGTGGGGAGGTGCGCGGCTGCTGGGCTTGGTGCGGCTTTGTTCTTCTCCACCAGTCGATGGCTAGCTGCTTGAATGATTCGGGGTTGTTCGCTAGCTGCTGGGAGCGCATTAGAAAGTGCGATCAAAGCTGGCTTCGGCATGGGTGGTGCGCTTATCCCCCGGGCTTCCCCAGAGCTGTGCGAAGCCATGGTGGTCCCGACCTTGGAGAGGTCGAGATAGCGAATGAAGAGCTGGGGTTGAGTACCTTAGGGACAGCAAGCTAAGCACCACCACGCAACGGATCCTGCTTCCAATGACAGCAGCTGCTGCTTCTCCATCGGCAGGAACAATCCAAAAATTGAGGGCTGACTGGCAAGCAAGACCGCAGGGCGTCGTGAAGTCTGAGACAGCAGCTCTATCAACCGCAAGCGCTTCCGCCGCGGCTTCTTGTTTGTTCGGTTTGCATTGCTTAGTCATCATACAGACTCCCGACCACGCCGCAATCCTCCTTTTGATGGAAATTCGGATACGAATTGAAATTTTTCTACTAGAAATCGCATCTCTCATTCCAACCCTAACCTACAATACGGCCAAATTTGCGTTACTCACGAACCACGTCCCATTCCCCGTATCCACTGTTCTATTGCTTTCGACCACCTTCCCCCCCTTCAAACTCCCGCTCTCCACCACACCTCCTGCAACCGGCCTCTGTAGCCTGTTCCCCCCTGCCTTAACTGTGAAATTCGCAATCGGGATTTCCCACCCATTCCTACTCACTACGGTCGGCAAACCAAAGTAGTTCGCCGTTAGTTCCTTCGGGCTAATGTGGAGTTCGTAGTAGCCGCGATAGTACAGATCTTGCCATTGCAGCTCATCGTTTGCGGTTTGTAGCCAGGTGGAGTAGTTGTTTGCGGTTGCAAGAGAGATATTAGCTCCGTATGGACAGGGAGATGTGACAGCGGAGCCGGCGAATTCAACGCCGATGCTTCCCTCCCCTGTTTCTTTATTGTAGGATTTCTCGCCCAGCCAGACCAGGTCGCTGACCCAGGAGGCGTGACTATCTCCCGCGAGGAAGACGTTGTTTCCGATGTTGTTGTTGTAGAGATGGGAAAGGGTGCGGTTTCGGTTCGCTTGGTAGCCGTCCCAGGAGTCGTAGTTGAGTGGATTCTGGTTGCCTAATGCGAGGGATTCGTTGATGCGGCTGAACACTATTTGAGAGCCAATAATGCGCCATGTGGCGCCGCGTTTCGCGGAATGCGTGAGTTGGTTGTAGAACCAGTTCTCCTGGCGTGAGCCCATGAGTGTGCGGCCCGCGTCTTGCGAGATGATATGAACGTAATCCGTATTCCAGTATAAATCAGTGATAGAGCGATCATATTGGCGTGTATCGAGCATAATCAGGTCGAAGAGTTTGCCAATGCTGAAAGAACGCCAGATTCGGAGGTTGTCATCCATCTCGACTTGACGAATCGGCATCCATTCAAAGTACGCACGAACTGCGTTCATCTTGCGTTGTTCAACAGCCATACCGCCTTCAGTGACGAAGGAATCCTCGGTGTTGTTCAGGTGGGATTCTCCATCTCGGTATGTGTTATCTGCGACTTCTACAATTCGTCAGCACTTATGCTGTGTGTTGTTCAGGAATAAAGCGAGCTCACCGTGGTCATCCCAGACAGGTATCCAGGGAAATTGCTGATGGCTAGCAAGGAGGTCGAGGTCTGTACGGTAGGTGGCAAGCCTCTTCCTATAGTCGTAAAGAGTGAGGATTGTCCTATCAGGTAGAGGAATACGGCCAATGCTTTGACCCCAGCCGTAGTCGCCATTTTTGTACTCATAAATATAGTCTCCAAGGTGGATCACATAATCGACAGAGTCCTAGAAAGCCATCAATATATATCTCCATGGCGATTGAAAGCACACCGGCTCACCTTTCGGACGGGATTGCCGTAAGCATTGAAGAAGCCGAATGCTATTCAATGTAAGATTCGAGCCTTCTTTTTTGCGCTACGGTAACGCACGGTAATTCGAGCAAGAGTACACGGCGAGTCCAACCTTGGTAACATCGTCATCAGCATGAGGCGCTGTTTTAGTCCTCCCCAAAGGACTCTTGTTGTTCGAGCTGCAAACGCTGAACTGGTAGTAGTAGGTGGTGAAAGGTTTGAGATTGATCGCTTCTACCTGAATATCGCTGTTAATAGCACCGGGCTTCAGGGTTGGCCCAATAGACATACCTTCACGGTGTAGTCGATATCAGAGCTGGTATATATCTTCCCCGAATCTACGACATGTCCAAGATTCTTATCTAAAGCGACTTTATACTCGACACAAATCGGAGCCTGCGAGACGGACACATATTCCTCAGTGTCATGGTTGTACATTGGTGCATAGTTGGAGACTGTCACGTTCGATTTATCATTGTCGCTGGACGGCCCGACTCGAGTCCATAAAATAACGCTATTGGGATACGGGTCGCCTGAAGCAATACCATGGGTAAAGTTCAATTTCGCCGGGTCCCAGGGGCTCTGAAAATTGTTGCGCTTGACGACTTTGTGAATTGAAATGCCAAGTGCTGGGTGGTGCTCAGAAGGTGAGCGGTAATTAATGTTTTTTGCCCAGTTAGCAGTGACAATGGAAACGAACGAAGAAATCAGGAGGATTTGAGGCTTCATTTTGGTTCGAGTAACTCAATGGATAGAGGAATACTTGAATAAGGCCTGGAGAACCATGAATCTAGATCCTGCGCTCTTTTGTACCTCTCGAAAATTCTAGGATTGAGAACCTTAAGGGCCTAGTTTCCTGTCTCGCCGGAAGCTGCGTCATACTCAGCAGGAACGGGTGAGCAAAGGCATATTGTATTCCAATCAAATTCGCTGAATTTAGCATGCCTGAATGACGATAGAACTGACCCGGTCGTCGGGAGGTTCTTCGGCTAGAGCAGAGCGGAAAGGTCGATAGTCGGGCGGAGATATTGTCCTCCTCCGTCATCACCTACTTTGCACGCGATGTGATTCGTCGTCTGTTGGGGAGCTGTAGTTCGAGATAGAAAGGTTCTTGGTGAGCGGTGGGGAGCGTGTGCTCGAATCTAAAACTGTGATTGGCAGTTCGGCAGCACAAGCATGCTGTGCAGCTTAACGATGCTTGAATGCAGGCTTCACTTCAGGAAGGTGTCATGGTTTGTCTTGACATTAAATTATCCGACAGCCGTACCCTGGCTGGCTACGGAAACCTGAGGCCCTTACCGAGAAAATGTGCCATTAGTATTCCTCGTTATTGGAAAATTAACGAGTGATCGGTATCTGATTCGCTATCTGAAAGTATTGTGCCTTGCAAAACGCTAGTTACAGTCAAATATTTCAGCAGAACGGCAGTGAAACAGAATAGCAGTGTTAAAACAAGAGATATTCTTACGCAACCCAGCAACGCTTTGTAGAAAACCACTCTGTTTCTCTCTCTTATTTCCTTTCTAGTTTTGCAGTTTGTTGTTCTTACCATTCACCTGTGCGCGTGCCGAGGCACCGGGGACTGTTAGCAGTCAAAGGGACAGTACTCATCTGAGGTATGAAATTAACAATTCATAGTTAGCATCTGAAGGATTCATGGTGTAATGCACTATCTAGATGCCCATTTTCCATATAATAAGTCTATTCCTCGTACGAAGGGAGCCATGCACAGAACTACTAACTTTCGGTCAAATTTCAGCTAACGCTAGCTTTTGCAAGGCACAATAATCAGCAGGACATTTATAGCAAGATCATAGGATATAAGCATAAACCGGGAGAGAAGAACAGAGAAGAAGCAATCGACAACCCATCTATTACCTCTTGGGGCAGAAAATGCGAAAAGGTGCCAGTCTCATCGGCATTTCCGAGACTTGCCACATGATGTATTGCTATGGAGCAAGAGTGAAGTGCGACGAGCAGGACTGCTGCATCAAGACAAATCATTGTAATTACGGCCGAGACTATGACGCGCAGGATTTGATGTTCGGCGCAATCTCAAACATACGGAGGAGCTATGTTGCGCCCACAGAACCTCATTATAGTCGTACACTCAGGCTTCCCTCAGCTACAAGACCCACGTTCCTCTAGTCGAATAAATAGGCAGCCGCCATCTTCCCGACTTCTCTTCATTCCGAATTTCCTCAAAACTCTCAATCTCTATACTAAGTTTTCTACTTCTCTTCCCCTCTCTTCTTCATTCAAACGTCAAAATGACCCTCAAGATTGCCATCATCGGCGCATCGCTTGCTTCGTCTTGGCCCAGACCTCCCCCTTCACTTCGAGAACGGTAAAAGCGAAATCCAATCTGACCCTACCATCGGTGTAGAGGAAGCCTAGAGCAAGGCCAGAAGTCTTCTGCCTTCCGAAAAGCCATTATATTTTGGACTAGGTAGCTAGAGCCTGACCATCCCGGACGTGAAGAGGATCGCACCCGAGTTCTACAAACTTGTAAATGGAGGAAGTGTGTTTTCAATATCGGACGGCAAGGCTCTGAACGGACGGCAGCTAGGCGATGGCAGTATCAATGCCTCATACTATGGTTACCACGAGGAGGATTTCACCCAGACACGTGGCTTCGACACAAGAGACCCTTCATCAGCGAAGAACGCGTTCCGAGAGGCATTGCATGATTGGTCAGCCAAATTATTAAATCAAGTAGACAAATCTGATAGGAGAGTGTAATGGCGGTACCTGTACATGCTCCCAGCAGGCTTCTAGCGGCGTACAAAAAGGGCGTAACACTTCTAGGTGACGCAGCACATCTCATGACTCCATTTTCCGGGATCGGTGTCAACACGGAATTCTACTATGCAATGCTTCTCACTCAACCCATCTTCGACTCTGCCAAGCAAACAGAACCTAAACATCTAGATACAAGAATCATTACGTATGAAGAAAATCTTTGGGGAAATGCTAAAAACGGAGCTGAGTGGACGTAGGGGTCAATGGCTGACATGCTCTTTGCTCCAGAGGCACCTAGCACCTCTATTAAGTCTTATATGCTCAGGTTCGCGAAGCAAGAAATTTCACCATGGCATATCCCTTTCCGGCAGCTCTTATTTATGCAGGTTTCCTCAACAAGCTGTTTGCTTGATTGAAGAGGTAGCTTGTATTGTCATTGTATGTTCTCGTAAGGTTGACACTCTAGGTCAACGGCCACTTTGAGCAAGAAGTAGCTTTTGTTGTGGTTTTCTAGAGAAACTCGCATTTAAATACAGTATCTTAGCATCTACTATAGTACCTAGGCAGAGATACTTGGACCTGTGAAGCTTGTTGCTGGAATAAGCAAGAATGCCCAAAGGATGCCAATTTCTGTCCCGATTCTTACACACCACACTTACTCTCTCTTCAACCCACCACCCTAGTATTGTCCCCCTCTATTTCAAACTCAAACTATACCCCGTCGTGGTAAAAACCGCCCCACTTCCTGTAAACGTCTCACTGCCCGCACCCACACTCTGCAGCACCTGACTTTTGCTCAACCCCTGATTTGTACTCAAATAATTGACAAAAGCCATCAAATCCCCCGAGAAATTAGTCGCCTGCGAACTCGCGACGAAACTAAATACCTTCATTGAGCCATTCATTCCGCTGTATAGTTTGAAGCTGACACCTGCGAGAGTTACTGTCGCAACAGGTGACCCGGTGGAGGAGATAGGACCGGCCCCACCTAGAGCTGCGAGCCAGATCATGATTTCGTATTGGGCGGAGCCAGAGGCAGTGGAGGAGGTGAAAAGATCGTAGGCTACGTTTGCGATGACGGAGGTGCCGGTGTAGGACCAGGACCATGTTGTTGGGAGGGAGGAGATGGACGATAAGGCTTTTTGGGAAATGGTGGTTACGACGTTGGCATACGATTTTACTTGGCCTGATCTGTGGTTGGGGATTCGGTGAGTGATGGAAGGGAGAGAGAAGGAGAGAGAAGGGGGGGGGGGGGGGGTATTCAGTATAAGTACCTGACTACAGGGTACCTAAAGCGAAGGGGGGGGGGGGGGGGGGGGAAATGTACCCTCCGGACCACGACCATTTGGTATGCCACTTTAGAGTACTACCACTCAGGCTGTCAATGCCGGAGCATTGGGAACCGGTGCCTGAGGACATACCCCAGAGGTCCTGAGAATGCGTTAGTTGCGCCGCAGGGGGGAGTGAATGATTTGGGATTACGCTACCTGATAGAGAGTGTAGGATCCGGTTGCTAGGGAATCCCATTGACCACACATATCAGCACGTTTCTTAACCGTAGCAGTGGGTGCCGCGAAGGCCAGGGCTGCCGTGGCGGCAAAGGTGGATAGAGTGGAGAACTTCATGACGAGCGATAAATGAAAACGAAGACTAGGTACGCAAATACCGGAAAGTTGAGAAGATATCTCGATATTCTATATACGTCCTATTCTCAAAACGCCTTCGCATCATACAGAGCTAACGGAGAAATTAAAATGGAGTCCTTCTCCACCTGTTTCGGAACGTACCACACGTACTCCGAAGCCTGCCTTCTCTATTCAAGGTAGCATAGGCCCATCCTGGCTTCGAATGGGAAATTTCTGCCATATACGCCATTCGCGTAGACTTGAGTGCAAGGAAGGAAACGCATGTCGATAGGTGGACAGGGTTTCCCCACAATTGTTCCATGTATTTCGAGGAAATCTTCCGATGCTTGATTAACAATTTAATATAAACGTTTGAGTAACCTGGGGTATTGAGAAACGTTTTCCCGGGTTGAAACAACGGTTCGATCCTGAAACAGGGGGTTTTCTTCCGCTGCCCAATATTATAGAGAGTCCGCTCGTAGCTCCACCACACGATCGTACGTGTTAGTGAAAGGGGGATCATCGGGAATTTCGTCCCAATCTTCAGGCACCTATCCGAGTCAGAATATCTGAAACATTATCTTGTGATATCAACTCACCTCACCTGTTCCCTCCGACGTATGCAGAAGAAGTCTAGAGTTGCTATGGCCCAAATCATTGCGGATTTCTAGTTTATGATAGAAAGTGGCGCTCTGATTGTCTGCATTGCAAGCCATAAGTCTCCTATGCACCTTCCTGAGATGTACGTTGGAGGCTTGATAGATTGGTTCCAGCAACCACCCTTCAATACCCGCCCATTTGATGTCCGGGAGGTCTAGATTCCAGTAGTCGCGTATGTGCATTAGCAAGTCGATATTCACCTCTTCGACATTTGGTAAATAACTCATCAAGGTTTTGAGTGCGATGGATAGAGGGTTCTGTTCAACAGATGGAACTAAATGGGAGTTGTTCTCTCCGCCTTGGCTCCGTTGAAGTTCGTCTGTTTGGTCTGATGACGTGCGCTTGATACGAGCCTTTTGATGTCTTCCCGATCCAGGCCTCCGCTTTGGAGGACCGAACCAAAAGTCCCATCCACCCCAAACAAGGAACTTGACCTTCTTGAGATGGCGAAGTAAAGGAAGCATCGCAAGAAACCGAGGCGAAGGCTTATCTCGAGAAGGTATATAAGACCCCATTGATCCGCGAATCAGAACCAATATCTCCACGGTAATTCTGACGGATCCGTCATCCTTAGCACTCTCGATAGACTCTTCGAGATTCGAATTTAGGCGTGCAGCTAGACGACTGCTTTGGCTCTGTCCCATTAGTCGAGGATTGAGAATGGGCACGGAGTGTGGCGTATTAAGAAGCCTGGCGACGAATTCCACAACCTCATCCCGCAACTGCTTGCATGTTGCGAGGACGTTTGTTGGCGGTCGAGCTGGAAGATAGATCCGGGTGTCCATGTAAGTAGCTGAAACAGGCCTGTTGGACCGATGTAGAGAGTGAGAGCTTGGCTTCGGGGTTGCAGTGTATACATGCTGTGGTAGAACCATGTATGAATAGATTTCGTCCCGAAGTTCTCGCGGGAGAGCCAAGAGTGGAGATTGAGATACAAAGTCTGATAGTTGTTGCATGTTGGAGATTGGTAGTATCGCGTGGAAAAGCGCGAGAGGTCTGAGAACAGGAGATGCCTCAAGTTTAAAGACTTGAACGGTCAATATGAAACAGACGTATGGGGATATATGTTAGGTCGACTGTTGCTGCCTTGAGGTCGCGGTTTCAGGTCTGTTTGTTTTCCGCTGAAGCTTTGGCCAAGGATTTTAGTCCCAGAGTTTAGACGTGTAACCCTGGCAATGGCTTGTCGTTGATATCGCACCCTAGAACTAATCCGACGAGACTGCGATGGGAGGTTGAATACTTCTCTTCGAGAAGCGAGAAAGGTGGATACCTGAATAACGATAATAATTAATTATAGATTTGCACCTGCGTGTGCCCACAGCCCACGCACGAAGTTGGCCGACATTCCTCGCAAATTCCATTGTGGAACAATGGGCACTAATGAACTTCTACGCAATGAATGAATCATAGGCGCGAATGACTTCCCCTGGGATTGATCTTAAGGCCTCGCTAGAAGTTGGGGGCCATGGGGTCGCTCGAGTTGGGGAAAGACGCTCAAGATATCGAAGGCTTTGGAGTCGTTTGAAATCTGGGCTTTGGATTGCATGAAGCCCAAGATTGGCTATCTACTTGGCATTTGGGTTATAGATGAGGGCAACTCCTTGGCCTCTAGCTACTTTGCACAATGTTTGAGCCGTTATTTGCGTTACGACGTGTCGAAAAAAAAAAAAGAATGCTATACAACCCAATGTGCACACTCCCCAATCTCCGCTGCTCATATAACCCTATGCCGCTGTGAGTGAGTTTGGCTCAGGTCCAGCTTAGCTTCGGCTCAGGTCTGCTCCAGTTTGCTAACCTTTACTCACCCTTACTCACCTGCTGCGGCGCAGTCCCAGATGTACCCACCAAAAAAATTGGTAAGGTCTAGCGAGGGGCCTCAAACCTGTCCCAGATCATAAATGTAGGCCCCATAGTATTTAGCTTCAGGGAAAGGTGCTGTTGCATAGGGAAGCTTATCTCCAGGGTCCGTTTTCAGGTCACTATTCTATTCCTAAACAAAGATAAGCCATGATCACTATCGCTCCTTGCTGTACCTATTGTTAGAGGGACATATTCTAGTTTAAGGTAAATAAATAATCTTCATCCGCGTCGGGCCGTTTCAAGCTACCTCTAATATAAACCAACAAATACTTGTAGCAGCTCTTCAACAGCCTCACACCAATTCTATTAGAAGAATATCGCGAATAGAGCAAAACTTAGCCGTGTAGTAACTTTAATAATGACATTAATTTAAATTTGGCATTCTAGAAGCGCGAAAGAACCCAAAGGATACAGATTATAGATAGCAGCTGTAGTTTAGAACTGCGCATTAATTTATATCTCTTTCGCTAAGTCTTACAAGCATTTTGTGAAAATACTAGGAGCACCAGGGGCATGAGGAACTAGACTAATTGCTAAAAGAGCGTACCTAAGATCTATATATGCAAAGGAGTAAGCGAAGCAGTATGGTGCTAGGGCAGAGTAGGCAGCAGTGGCTCCTAAATACAACCAGGTGGTGGAGCTCAAAGAGCTCTGAAACTGCAAACACATTTAAAGGCAAATAGCATAGATAGCTTTGCTAAGAACATTACCGTCCTAAGGAAGTTACTGTCTTAGCACGTTACTGTCCAATAAGCATGTCTATCTTAAGAATATAACAGTCTCAAGACAGGCCTATCTTAAGACTATAGATGTCTTAGGAACGTGACTGCCTGCAGGGTAGACAACCTAAAGCACTATTAGTAAATTATTAAACAACAACTTATTAACAATATTAGGGCTAGTACAAGGGAAGGCTTGAACGGCATGCAGTATCAGATAGTTGACCTAACAAGAGTATCAGGGGTAACCAATGTATTAAGCTAGTAGTTTACATGGTTAAACGCAGCAGTCTTATAAGGGGACTTCTACCTATCTTATATAGTCGTTGCGATCACCCTGGTAATCGTGAGCGTCGTGAGCGCTCACGCCGCCAGTCACTACTATTGTGAGCGACAGTTCTTGGCACGGTGAGTGATAGTTCCCTACCGAACTATCACGACACGTGCCTCAGAGGCAGCGCCACGCTGCTCCCTAACACACCCCAATCGACCACTAGCTTCCCAAAGCACGTCCTACGGCATTCCCAGCAGGCCTCTCGCTTAGGATCGTAACAGAAGGAAGGAAGTATTAACAAATATGTAGGGTAGCTGTATGCTTCAGTGCTCTTAGTAGGTGATGGAGTAGAAGAGTGCTAGGGCGCTTTAATCCAGAAAGATATTAGATAAATTGCTCTACCTAGGCTATGCTATGTAAACTAAGTTATAACTACAACCATCTGTAATGTGCAGAGGGGCTGCATCTATATACTGTAGGGTGCTTGTTAATGCTTGTAGCCGGGCGTGCTTCCACCTCTTAGCAATAAATACCTGTAAGCACTAGCAAGTACTTGATTAATCCCGTAAGCACATTACCTAACCTAGTTTTGTTATGTAACTTAAGTTAGTCTATTCTTCTTCTATAGGGTTAGCCTTAGCAATGCTTCTTGTGGCCTAACTAGACTGTTACAAGGCCTCAAGACTTAGCCCAATGAACTCAATGCAATGACGCGACGGACGTTCAAGCATCGGTCAACCGCCCATCTCGTCTAGGCGTCATGCTGCATTCGCGGATGAGCTGGATGGCTTACCAGAAGCAATGGGAGGTTAGAACCAAATGGATTTACCTCTCATATTCTGCTTTTAACTTTTTCCTTCCCTTACTGAAAAGGCAGCCGGTTTTTCGTTGATCTTTCTTCATGCTACGAAAGCTCTCGACCCAAAAACTGGTTGGTGGACCTTCTGGTAACAGCTATAAAGCCCCAATCTCGTCTGGAGTATAAACTTGATGCTTTCAGCGACGACATGATTTTGCGGTGTTTCATTAACGACGAAGCGGGCAGATCTGGCTAGCGGGGATAGCTCAATCATTGCCGGTTTCGCCTCGTAGTTCTTTGGAGAAAAGCAGCCTAGAAACCGGCGGACTACTGGCCCTCAGCGCAAGCTATCCCTAAAGTCAAGTTCCTAGTAGCTGATTTGCTGAATTTCACAACAGATCTTTTCGTCCCGGGAGGTCTTCATGTACGTGTCCCTGTTGTCACTACGGAATAGCAGCCGGGTTGAAGTGCAGCAGAGCGGAAAGTGACGATATCCGGGGGATCAAGTAGTTGGAGAAAGTGAGTCCAAGTGAAGAATTCTGACGACATATCCACTGAAAATGCTGCGAATATGGGATCCGTGATAGGGGAGTACCTGAGGCTTAATTGCATTCATTGATTCTTCTAGCTTGTCTATAGCGTATTTGTACCCAGTGTGGAACATTATTAGGCCTGGTTTAGTTGGGGAAACCTGTCGCTGGAACCAGGAAGAACTTCGATCTTCTCTCTCTAGTTGCCCTTGTCGAGATCCTCGCCAAAGTTTTTATTTTTATCTCAAGCGCTGCTAGTGAGCGAAGAATAGCCGACAACATCATCATTGGATGTTGGCGTTGACGAAAGGACTAATTAGAGGGATGAAGCGGGCAAACATCCGCGAAATATGCGGTCCCTCCTCGGCTTCTGTCCGAGGAGGCTTTTCCGTTCTTGAAAGCCCTTATGCAAGCGAGCTACGGAAGCCAACCGGCTTCACTGGCAAATCCTTGCCGCACATGCATGGGTTGGCCAAGGAGCGGCCCTCGCAAATGCGCCGGGGCATCACAATTTGGCCTCGTAGACTGGGAGACATGATCAACAAAGTCTTGATCAACCTCCTCAGCAGAATTCGGGAGCTGTGTTGCAACTTCCCGGGCGACAGGCTCCATCTTGGCAAATATCCTTTTTGGGGAATTCTTATCAAAATCGAGCTTAAAAGATGCCGTAGCTCCCGAGACCTTAGCCTGGTGCCAAAAAGCTGCCCCCACGCTCTAAGGACGCCACAATCTGAGCTGAAACTGACAGCCAACTGCCTGGGGCTATTGTCTGGCTATTCTCTCGACTCGCCTTCGCCACAATGCATTCTGCCGGTGTGGAAGTCTTGAGAATATGTGAAAGGAGATGAGGCTCCGGACACAGGCATTCGTATCTGCGTGGATGCGTCGTGTGCATTCAAAGTTTGTGTGAACCAACGCTGTCATCTCCAGAGGTCAGGTACTAGCGCTGGATCCTCCCGTCCCGCTTCCGTAGTGACCGTAGCTCGGCTTCCATGCTGCTCAATGCGAACAAAATCTGCTGGAGCCCTCGCTGTGATTGCCCCGGCGCAGAGTCGAATGAGACCGAGGGCTGATCGAGGCGTCGGCATGAGACCTTGAAACCATGCGCGAGTCGGTGCCCAACTAGCTCCATAAGTCTTTCCTATTTCCTTCAGGTGCAGGTGGTCCATGTCTGCCTTCTCTTTTTCTTTTTCTCCCTCAATTTAACGTATTCTGCTGCCTTTGAACTCCTCAGACAAACATCGACGAGGCATGTCGCACTGGATGGGGAGGAAATTCGATCGCCACCAAATCCTTCGGGAGAAGGACCCATGGCAAGTGGCTAGGAAAGTCTTTGATGTGGCTCTAGAGTTTGCGCTCCTAGGTTACGTGGACACTGCAACCGATCTCTTCAACCTCTTTGAAAGCTTCAGTCAGGGTTGCAAATCATCGTGGAGCCCCGCTTTGTACTTCGCCTGGGACGCAACAGGCTTATGGCCCGACTCAATCCCAGCCAGTGAACGTACCAAGGATGCCTTATCGAAACTGGAGACCGAGCGAATTCTCTGGAAACGAGAGACAAATGCGACTAAGGAGGGATTGGACAAGCTCGTTGCGACGGCAACCGGAGAGGGCAAGACTGATGAATGGGGGGACGCACAAATTCGACCGGATGACCTTACAGCCGCAATCGACCTCGCACTCTTCATGGGTGAGAAAGATAAGGCGGAGGAAATCTTGCAGGTATTCGCGGAGAATTTCAACGTGACTTGGATAGATCTCTCAAAGTCACGAGGGGTGTGGCAGCTACTGAAGGACAAAGCGCTGGCAAAGGCGATTGGAGTGGACGAAGAGAAGATGGATGCTTTCCAAGAGGAAGTACTAGAGACTTTCACGGAACGCCTTGAGAAGGGCGCCGCAAGGGTATTTCGCGATCTACCTATGAAGACCCTCGTCAATATGTGCAACGAGAACACTCTGAAGAACGCGGTATGGGAGGAGATGGATGGCGACCCCGACGATCCCCCCGAGACGATTCTTCACGACGGAGCAACAGAGGAACAAATTGCAAGGGTGGAGGCAAAGCTTGGACATGATCTGCCTGATGATTTTAAGGAATTTCTCACACTCACCAACGGAATGGACTCATACTGGAATGGCTTCTACGGTGAACCGAAGATTCATGGCACCGAAGCGATTCACGTTTTCGATGCAAGCGAACAACAAGAAATCTGGAATAGCGCTTCGGTTGAGATTGCATTCGTTACCAACATGAGCGTCAAGATCGAATGGGCCACGCTGGACCGCGTTATTCAAATCAACGACGGGGCGGAGGACTCTAAGTTCGTCTGGCTGGTTGAACCCGAGTACGGGCAAAAGCTTGGCGGAAGCTTTTTCGCGGCATTTCGGCAGCTTCCGAAAGAGGAGCAAGAGCATGTCAGTAAGCTACTTGGGTATTTCCACGCCGGTAAGGATAATTCTCAGTCGGTTGGCTGGCAGGTTTGCGTATGGTGCCCGCGGACGCTGGACCTGGTGACGTATCACTCCTGGAGGGAGTACCTCGAGCTTCTGGCGGGCGATACGGCGAAAGAAGATATACTTGATGAGGAAGATGAGGAGGGGCGCTTGCTGCATAGCCATGATATCTTCGCATATCAACTGCGGAGATGCGGAATGTAGTTGTCCATGTCGAGTACGGCGTATTAGAATCAAGGGCGGCTATTTGCGGAATACCCACTGGACATCGGGTGCGGAGACTGTTTTTGCAGTTTTTTTTCTTCCTTATGTGAAGGTCTCCCTCTGGATGCCACAAGGACAAGCTGCATTGTTCTCTTGTCGTTCCATATGTTAAGGTGGAGTCAGGGCGTTCGGGAGGGAAGGGGGGGACAGAAGACTGGGTGTGAGACACAGGAGCCCACCTAGATGACTACTTCTACGATAGCTATCCAACATATCCTTACTGGAGAGAACTCGTTGGGCTTGTGGTCTTCGTGATGTTGAGCATGGCCAATCGTGTCTCCTGCGTCATGACTCGTGCATGCTGCCGTGGAACGAAAGGCGTCTCCAACCAAAGGCATCCTTGCCAGAGCAAATGCAGCCCAATCATAACGGGTTGGGTTGATGAAGTTTGAGGAAAGGGTTGCTTGCGTGGAGATGCAAGGTGTGGCGTAGCATGCAGATCAGAAGGCGATCCAGATGGCTGGGCAGTGGCTGATCCGGTGGATGACATCCATGGACGAGGGGCTTGGGCTTGCTCGGGGCAAGACCTTGAAGGTTGAGAGAAACAATCAAACTGGCTTCACCGTCACCACAGCCAGCTACTCCTCTTATCGGGCTCAATTCGCCTGGCCCACGCCCTGGTAATACATGCAACGGATATAGCCAGTTGCGTGTGCTGCCGAGTGCGTCCCGGAAGCTTGAGTGGTGCGGCTCAACCCCGCGAACGAAGCTTTCCGGAACAGCTGCAACTGCTCCTCCTGCGTCCAAACCCACCCGCGGCCAGCCGAGCAGCTCTAAACAGAAGAGAAGCCCACCCGGATGACTATGGAAAGCGACGACGTCCTCCACATATCTCCATTTCTCTCACCGCCCCACCGTCGACGATTGCGCAACTACCGAGAAAGAGCCGGCGAAGAGACGGATTCCAGTGACGGTGAATGGGTCACAGCGACTTCTGGCGAAGCGGTACGTCAGTCCCCACGGAACCGCGCTTGTGCTCCCACTACAAACCTGTCGCCTTCGCCGTGAGAGAAGTCTCTGACCGCGCACTGTCGGCCCAGACCAGACACCATACATGACACACCCCCATCCAACACACCACAAACTTTCATAGATAGAAGCCTCCATTACGGGGTCCTTTGCTAATGGATCCGCACGTTCAGGGACAGCAACGGCCCCCCGGTCGCAACCTCAGCCCTCGTCGTCGCGAGCTCAGCCCAATTCGCAGCGTGCCCAGCAGAGACCCGCTCCCTGTCTTGCCCGACACTTCGCACCTTGCCGTAGCCTCTCCTCGTGGTCGGGGGTCACGGCGTGTCTACAACACGCGCAGTCGTCGCCGCGGTGGAAGCAGTTCTGGGCTCGGAAGCAGTCCCTCCCCTCTACGAGCCGAAGCCCGCCGCCGCCGTGGGAGCACCACGGACGCCATCCGCAACCTCCGCGCCGGACCAAACTCGCTGCTTCTTTCCGGTACGCTCCATGAGACCGACTCGAGCCCTGGATTACTGGAAGAAGAAGACCACGCGCTCTACGCCCACGACGATCTGAACGCGGGCTCGTCCAGTCTACATTGGAACCAGCCGTCCATGTTCCCACGGCCCGCGTGGCCTGCAGGAACAAACAGCACACCAGAGGAAGAGGACGAGTGCGCCGACCTCGATGAACAACTGTCCCGTCTCTCCTCGCGCCTCACGCCGCAGTCCTCACAGCTCTCTATTGACGACCTGTACATCCCCTCTCGATTCAAGACTCGAGGCGGGGTTATGAAGCGGTCCAGGGATAAGTTTGAAACGAACGACAGTAAAGACATAATGAGGACGCTTGCCAAGAAAGGAGCCGTGTCGGTTCTATGCTATCATCGTGAGACCCCGGACCCTGGAGCCAACGATGTTTGGCCAAGTGTTCGTAATCCAGCTCAACTCCCAGCACGCTACTTCCTACTTGACCGAGAGGGTCGCGCTGTGCAAACCGAGACCAAGACCAAGCGATACACCTTCCGCGATGCCGTTCGTCCCGCCAAAATCCTCAAGCTCAAGGTTAAGTCGCCAAATCTAGAAGCACCTGTGGACGAGAGACCCCTCCCGACAACTGTATGGCCAGCCGGCAAAATTCCCACGGAGCTCTACGAAGAGGTCGCTAGCTACCTGAACCGCGATGATATAAAATCAATGCGACTAGTGTGCCGCGAGTTTGACATGCACATTTCCCAAGTTCTCTTCAACACCGTGGTTGTGCCATTTAATACCGAGATATATGGCATGCTTGACAAAGACCAGAAGCCAGGCCCCAAGGGGAAGAAGAACGTCAAAGTTGACAAGTTGGTTTGGAACAATGCCCATGACGGCGATGTCTACGACGGCCACGGACTTGACGTATTTAGAGGTTTCGGCGAGCGCATTCATCAGTTTGGTATGAGCTTCGACGTCAACGAAGACTCGCTTGCTCGACCACCGGAGAAAACCTTGACGGAGAATCTAACCTCTTTCTGGGGCAATTACGAGTGGCCATACGAACAGTATACTCGATTCGAGGACGTTGCGGGCCTGGAGTCTGCTGCAGACGAGACGCCTCGGATGAAGGAGGCTTTCACTGAGCTGAAGAAAGTCCGGGAGCTGGCCCTTTCCGTTGATAGCGGCTTAGGTTGGCTTACCGGCCCCGACCGATCCATTCGCGCTAGAATCCTGCAACGTCAGCCAGAGGTCTTCGGTAGGTCAAAGAAGATACCTGACCGTCGAGCACAGGCGCAACTAGAGTTGTGGGATCACGTTGAGTCTAGTCACCGCGCTGCAGAAAGCGATGTGAGACTAGCAACGCTCTACAAGATTGAGGGCAATCGAGCTATGGCAGAACTGCTGGACCCCAACATGCAGCATCGGGGTCAGCCTGAAATGCCCTACCTAGACCCGCGCATCATCAACGAAGCGATCCAGCACGACGCTGCCGATGCTCAGGTACCGTCCTCTTTTGATGACCCTGATACGCTCGACCGATTGGTTATGATGCCGTCGTCGCCTGGATTGGGTATTTTGTTCTCATCTACTACCACTCCCACCGATTTCGGTCAGCTACAGAGCCCGATTATCCCCAAAAACTTGACCAAGGCCCAGAAGGAATGGCTACTGGAGACCGAGTGGGCCCAGCGAGCATTCTTGTCGTCTTATATGCTCTCCATCATCGACAACTTTACACTAGGTACCTTCCAACATGTTCACACGCTCAACATATCTCAGCTCTCGGATCGATACCTCCCAACGATCAATCGGCAAGATTTTTGGAATGCCTTGCCCAGCCTTAAGAAAGTCATTCTCCTAGTCATTCCTGGATGGCGTACTGTCGCCAAAGACGAGGCCGGCTTTGTGGAGACACCTACGGTTAGCCCATCTAGCAACATTAATGCCTTCTACGAACTACTTCGGAACATTAACGGCAGGCGCGATGTTGTCGGAAAGGACCGTGTCAAGAGATGCAATATTGAGAAGCTCACTTTCGGATGGGTTGGTGGAGGTGAGCACGCCGAAGGTGTCCATGCGAGGAACCGGAATTTGCTACCTGCGCCTCTATTGCAGGCCGACGTAGCCACAGAGCAAGACGCTGCTATCATCTCCCAACGCATACTTCAGTTTCCTTATGTGGAGGAGCTCACACTCAAGAATTGCTGGATTACACCACCGGTGTTGCGACAGCTTGTCCAGCAGCATGACAAACTTAGCTTGAAGAGCCTGGTCTTGGATTCTGTATCTCTCACTGCTATGCTCCGAAATCCGGGGAATGCCAACCACAATAACGTTGGCCCATTCATCGGGGCCGGCCTGCAAGCAGGGATGCTCGGAGGGTTCTTGAACAATGCCAACAATGCCAACGCGGTCCAGCAGGCACAACAAAACCCCCCTACGCCTCAGCAATTGTTGCAACTCCACATCCAAACTACACAGCTCCAGATACACCATCTGCAGGTCCAAGCGCTTGCCAATAACCACAACCAACAAGCCACCATCACAGCTCTCCAGACTCAGCTGCAGCAACAACTTCAGCTCCAGGTGCAAATGCACGTGCAGGGTCAGCCCCAGGTGAATCTACCGGTGCAAAATCCAGTGCAGCAAAACAATGCCGCTGGAGGCGTTCCCGCATGGATGCAACAAGGAAACAACTGGGTCCAACAACAGGGTCAAAACAACCTAAACAACGTAGGCGTTGGCGGCAACATCTGGGCCATCAACCAAGCAGCCGCACCAGCCGTAGCGGCCGCCCACGCCCCGCCACCTCTACCACAACTAGCGCAAAGTCCTCAAACAGTCCTCAAAGCCCAGCCTAGAGAAGGCTCCTGGCTCTACCTCCTCGACATCATCTCACCAGGCCTCAACCTCTCCGACTTCTCCAACACGCACTCCCTCGCTGACTCCGACCGCACTACCTCCCTCCAATCCATCTCCTTCTTGTCCTGTGGCTACGCAAAACTCCCCTATCTCCAATTCGACCAAGTTGCTATTGAGCCGTCGAATCCGATCCCAAAGAATCCAGTTTTTACGAAGCGATATAATACCCTGAGCTCAGTCATGTTGGGCTCGAAGTTCCCGCTGCTGGCCGAGATCGTCCAGGAGGTTGATGCAAACGAGTTGGGCGCATTGATGGCGGGCTGGTATCTTGAGACTGGGTGGAAGGATGAGGATGCAAAGAAGGGTCCGGAGTTTGATGGATTGTTGCCGGGTGGGACAGGGAGGTTTTCAGGGGTTGTGAGAAGAAGCGATAGGGTTGAGGGTGCTGACAGGGCGGCTGGTGAGGGCTAGGAGATTGATGGTGGGGTTAAGGAGGAGAGCTAAAGGGAAGGTGCTCGCAGCATGTGGTGTTGTGTTGTTGGTCAAGACAGGGAGATTGTGTGCGGTTTCTGACGGACAGATCTCTTCTTGATGGCCGGGCATTTTGACGAATATTTAAAAAACCCCAACTGCATTTCCTTTTATTTTAGCAGCTTGTACGATAGTGTCCGTTTGTATAAGCTGGCTCTCATATTATGGCCTTGGTTCGTCGGATGCGCCTCGTTCGAGGTGGTAGGGCATGGCGTGGCATGTTCTCAGGGAGGTCTGGAGGCATGCCAGATGGTTTCTATGATTACATGACTGGATTTGGTGGGGCATTGGCATGATCATCACGGATTCATGAATGTGTGTTATTATAGAACAGAGATCGCGTTAGTAATACTATGAATGTGTACAAGCTATCAGAGTGTGATTGAACATATCGGGTCTATTCGTTTTGCATTCATTTTCATGGTATTACTCTTTGTCTGTCTATCTCAAACCCGTTCCTCAATTGAGTCTCCTAGTTCTCGTCTTGCAAGGTACTGCGGTGGGGTTTATGCGACCTCGTAGATATCGGCGACAGATTTGATGTCCTTTGAAAAATTGATGTCTTGGTTCATGGAGAGGAGAGTGACGGATGAGACCTATATACACATATTAGCATGAGGACCACTCACCCGTTGCCATCAAATCATCTCCCAGTAGCGTTTTCTGTTTGTGGAACAGGTGCTGGAGGAGGGGTAGGAGGAACTCACATCAACATCGACAAACGGCGTCGTCTTACTAAACCTTACGCGCATGGGAAAGAACTCTGCCTCGCTATCGGCCTGGGCCTCGAATTCAAAACTGCCAGATGCATTCTCGTCGTCCACAACCCCGATATTCCACTCCAAGCTATCGCCGCTGACTTCGTACACGGCGTCGAAGGAAGAGACGTTCGGCTCATCTGTCGAGTATGGGATTGTCACGGATACATCCTTCAGTGCGTCGCTGCCTGTGAGTTCATACTCAACGGTAATATTGAACATTTTCCCGCTTTCCTCAACCCAGACGCGGAATGTGATGGGTGGGTCAGAGATATCTTCAGGCTTGGGTGCGAGTTTCCATTTCATGACGCCGATGCCCATGTTTGCAGGAAAGCCTTTGGTAGTGTCGGCGAGTTGAATCTTCTTAGCGGTTTTGAACACGGCTTTGTCGACTTTCGGATGCGTCATTAGTTGAGCGCCACGCGTGGCGCCGGCGCGGAGATCGAGTTGGACTTGGGTGAAGGCAGGATCGCTGATTTTAAGCTGCATTTCGCCCTTTACTTCAAAAGTCTTGAGGAGGCCTTCGCGGTCTAGCCGCGCGGAGATGAGTTCCGAGATGGTAATGTGGACAGCTTCGCGGTCGAGGGATGTCGAGGGGCGGGCGCTGGAGGGGGCTGGTGCGGTGGTTGTGCTGGTAGGGGCCTTGGGAGAGGAGACTAAGGGCTCGGATTCTGGTGGGAGGTCTCCTGCGACTTGCTCGAAGATGTTGGTCGATTTGGACTTCTTGCCCAGCTGCATTCCCTTCTTGCCCAGAGCGAGGGGTTTGCTGGCCTTCTTCTTTTCGGCTTCGTAGCTGTCGTACGTGTCCGGGACCGTGGTGGGCACGCTGGGGGTGAATGTTGGGTAGGTCGGCGTGCGAGACGAGCCACCGCCCATGCCCATGCCTCCTCCAGCTGCGCGCGATGACCTCGACATCTCTTTCCGCTGCATTTCGAGCTGCTTGGCACGGCGTTTGCGTTCCTCGGAGGCTTCGAGTTCCTTGTTCCTGGCGATGATCTCCTGGATACGCTCCTCGTGACTCTCCATATCAAGGAACGTCTTGATCTGACTCAGCGTCAAATTCTCCCGATAGCCCAACGTTACAATCTCATCAAACGCACTCAGCAGCTCAAACGCATTCTTAAGGATCTCGCGCTCGTCCAGACTCTTGCAGACACTGCTGACCACCTGGGCGAAAAGGTGCAGCGAGTTGATGTCCTGCAGGATGTTGGATTGCAGGTTGGTGATGAGAACCATGTAGAGTTCGTCGAGGGGCTGGTAGACGTAGCGCACATTGTCCTGCTCGCACGTGGTGTGCTGGGTTTGCGAGTCAGCGAGTTTGGGGAAAGAGGCCAGGAGCGCTTCGATCCGTGAGCGCTGCATTTCGCGGAATTGGCGTGAGAGGACAGCTTTCCCGCCACGGGTGCATATTGAAGCTGCGAGGACGACCTGGGAGAGTTAGTGGGGAACGAGGGGATTGGGGGGGGAGGAGGGGTGTGGGGAAGTGAGGGGCGGAATGGTGTACCATGATGTCAAACGTAGGGATGCTCTACACGGCTTGCTCTAGGAGTGAGAGACACACACACGCTCTGCTGCTGAGCGAAAAGACGGGGGAGACGGGAGCTTCGTTTAGAGGAGGTAAGTGTAGACAAGTAATTTGGCAAGCACGCCAATTGAAGACACGTTCGACCGGAGGGGAGCAATAGGTATCGACAGGGGGAGCAAAGACTGAAAATGATAAAAGCTCGGATGCTAAGCTTTTGGTGAGTGAGAGAAACTCTGCAGCGCCCGCAGCTTGTCCGCCTGCATACTTGACGCTCGGCGTTGTGCCAGGTGTGAATATCGGAGCTTCGGTTGAATTTTTATCCGGGCCGTCCCCGCAAGGAATCGCATCCCTTTTCGCGTCCTTGCTGTCTCAAACGTTCACTCTTCTGTTTCGACGACCCCCTCTCCTTTTACCGGAAAACGATATCTGCGACTCACCACAAGCCTCTCCTCGTTACTCTCTATTCACTGCACTTACGCACGCTTTCTGCAAACGGTTTTTCGTCGCTGCAACGCGCTCCCAAGTCCTGCAGCCTTGCCATCTGCAGCCCTTCCACCAGCCAGCCTCTCTGAAACTCACCAAGCGTTCCACATTCGGCGCTAGCGCTCCTTGTCCACTCGCCTCGGCTTCACCTTTCCCTCCCAACTCCAACACAGACACCCTACTCACCCTCCTCAACGCGCCATCATGCGCCTTGAATAGTAGATATCGCCGTTGAGGAACCCTACATCGCTACCGGCTAGCCCCAACAACCTAGGATTTTCGTCTGTGCTCTCGCCCCTCGCCTTCGACTATCAGTGACGCGCAAGTCACATCCGCCAGCAGCCGTCGCTTCACGACTTTTCCTTCCCGTGATACTTCCACAACCCGACCGAATACTAACTATAGGACACCCTGACCAACCATGGCTTCAACTATGCAAGCCTTCCAGGACATCGACTTCATTGTCGAACCCGACAGTATGGATCTCGGTTCCGAAGCCGGGAATCTGTACATGGACGAGGACATGACTCTGCTTGGTGACTCCACGGCTGGCAATGGTGTCGATGATGAGCAAGACGTTGAACTGCAAGATGCACGCTCCGAGACCGCCCGTGGATCGCAAGTTGGAGAACCCGATGCCTTTATGGCTGATTTAGTAGACGAGATTAATTATTCTGATGAAGAGATTGAAGACGGCGACACAAATCAACATCAGCAGATTGCTGAGGTGGATCAAGAAATAGCAAACGTTCCTGAGCAAGAGCTCATAGTAGATGTTGAGGCACCAGCTGTTGCGCAGGCTCCGCAGGCTACCGCTTCCTCCAACGCGAAGTCAGATGTGCAGCACGAGAACCCAACAAATACCCTCGGTAATGAGGAGAAACCTTTCGATTGGGACCAGGATTTCATTGACTACTCCGACGATGAGGCACCGGAAGGCAGAGTTGATCCGGCACCTGCGGCTGACAACGATGCTGGCTTTGATTTTGTAGAAACCGCAGAGCAGCACGAGGAAACCGGCGACTATCCCGAGGACGAGACCGCTGATCATGGAGCCGCCGAATCTACGGAACAAGACCCCGATGAGTCTGCCGAGCACACCTATGATAATACCATAGGGCAAGACTTCACCACCTTGGATGACGAAGCGTACGATGGATACACCGGCCAAGAATTTGACGAGTTTGCCGCCGAACAAATATATGGAGATGCTGCTGAAGAGACCTACATAGATGCTGCCCAGGAACCCTACGAAGATGCCAGCGTCCATACCAATGAGTACTCCCCTCGGTCAACAGATGCTGCTGTACAGACCGATGAAGATGCTCCCCAGCAGACCAATGAAGGAAGGGCCAAGGAGAACCACCAAGAGACCGTCGGGCAAACCTCCGAAGATGCTCTTGAGCAAGACTTTGACGAGTTTGCGGGTCAATCGTATGACGAGACTGTAGAACAATCCCTGAATGAGTCTCCACAGTATGACCACGAAGAAATTGGCGAACTGGACCTCCCTGAATCTGGGAATCAAGCACCTGAGGGTAATATTGCAAACGCTCCGAAGGAGAGTACCGAGCAATACCTAGTTGGGTACAGCGATCATACATATGGTGAGACGATTGAGCTTAGCGACTCTGCCGAACACGCGGATGAGCAGGCTGGTGAGCAAGATATAAATGAGTTTGCTGAATCTACATATGATGAGACCACGACGCTTGACGAAGCTGTCGAACATGCCTACGTGCAAACCGAGGAGCGAGGTTTGCATGACCCTGCAGATGAAACCCACGAGGATTCTGTGGGTGAGCAATTCGGTGAAACGATCGGGCATGACTTCGATGAGACTGATAAAGATGAGCCCAACGAGCTTGCTGAGCATGAATTCAGTGAGACTGAGCAACAAGGGTTTGATACTGGAGGTGTGAAGTCCGGTGAGACTGTTGAGGCTGGACTCGACAATTCTGCCAAGCTTGAACAATGTTCTACAGCGGATGCTGGATGGAAAGAGACGGAGGACGAGTCTGCCATGTCTAATGCCAACCAAGAAGTCTCTGCCGAGCGTGGGGAATCGGATCATCGAAATAACGTTGATACTACGGCTCCTGATGATGATTTCGTTTCTGACCCCCTCCATCCCGTTTCTGTGCGCTACGATGGCCATGAGATGATGTTGTTCCCGCTCCAGACCAGCGAGACAAATCACACATATTTACTTTCAGACGAATCGGTCGCGTACGGTACCATTCTCGACCTTTTCCAGGCTTGTCGACAGTGTCTTGGTGATAGCATTGGCGAGGATACAGAGCTTAGGTTAGATCTCCCAGGTCTGAAGCTCGAATTCTCAGAAGTAGGTTTCCCCCCATTCAACAGGCTAAGACGTGGAGATGTTAACTTATTATAGGATTTTATCTCGTGCAATTCTATTTCCCTTACCAAGATACTCAGCATCTATAAGGAACTCAAAGCCGCAGACGGGGTACAAGACGCACCACCGCTCGAGATGATCTTGAGGAAGTGCGAGAATCCTGTAACATCACGGCTGGCTTGGCTTGAGGAATGCGCGGACACCAATCTCGGCTTCCTAGCATCGCAGGAGAAACCTGAGCCATCGGATCAGCCAGTCCAGCACCAGGAGTACAATGAAGAGTCTGACGAAGAATACGGGGAAGAGTCGATTTCAAATGACCCTGGAGATCAGATAGACGATGATGGCCACACGCAGGACCAACAAGGATCCAAGAGGACTTTTGTCGAGTTTGAAGAGGAGGAGGAACATGTGGACGATGAAGACTCGTCCCCGAAGCGTGTTAAGACGGCCGAGTAACCTACCTCCCCGATCCCGAATTTTATTTCCCCAACTAACCCACAGCTGTTTCAATACCTAACGCGATTCCAGCAAAAGCCCTGGACCCCACCCCCTTCGTCTTCGAAGGACGACAAGTCGACTTATGGGAGAAGGGCCCGATTTCTAAGTCACGGTAAGTACCTCTATTGTGTGACCGTGCCTATGTAGCCCGCGCCCCTCTGATTCTTGTACTTGTTATATTTTTTTGGTTTTCTTTTTTTTTTCTTTTTTCCTTTTATGTGTAGGGACTGCGCCCAGACGGACAGGCGTTTTTGTGACGCAATTTGCGATACCCAGTAAGTGGAACTCGGCATGGAATGGGACTAAGGGTCGGTGAGGCGTTGGCGAACTATCGGTTTTCAGTCATCAACAATCATGGGTGGGTGGATCGGACGCGTGGACGATTCATTGGTTGCATACAGCTGGATGGGACCTACCGGCGACGAACACTATACTTTCGTCCTTCCCCGATGTCTATGGCGATAGAGTAGGATTCACACCTGTCCAAATTTTATATGGGATAATAATTCACGCTTATCCCCCAAGATGCCAAGGTGTCAAAGAATGGGCTGAAGTTGCAGATGGGTGTGTGAAAGGTGGGGCTTGGCGTCTCAAAAGATGATCAGCGCACCTGACCCCTGCCCCTGCCCCAGCCACATGTGCACTGCAGGAGAGGCAGAGGACGACATGTTCCTGGCGGCGAGACAGCGGGCGGGATTTCCATCAGGGCAGCCTTCAGATCGCTAGCGGGATCCACCGTAAAAATAGCCTGAGGGCCAGCTGGCGACCCACGAGCCTGAGCCCCCTGCGCGCCGCCGCCGCGCTCTCATCTGCCATGTAACGTCAAGAATTTGTCGCAACACATAGCCACATCGAGCTGAATGATGAATATTGAATAACGGTCCTTTCGCTTTGATATACCTGCGGACCTCCTTGGAGCACGCTGTCGCAGAATACTGCCTTTACGCTTTATCCGCCAGCCACTCGCTTTCCGGCCGCACTCTCTCGGCCTCCCCACCGCTCCTTCAGCCCTGTCCAAACAGTTTGGAGTCTTGAACACGCCATAGCCAGGCGTTTGGTGAAACGCGAACCGATTCTGTTGCTCACTCTAGCTTGCCGTGCGTACCTGAAATTGCTGGGGTGCACCGGCTTCGATACGCTGCGCCCCTCGGCTTCACGTTCCACGTCTTATCGACCTTCTCCGACGCCGACTACACCTCAACACTCGACACACCCCACCCACGGACACACTGCACGACTCGGTGGAGAAGAGTTGGACTACCCTAGGAGGGCTTTTCTGGAGACAATATGGTAGAAGACAAGTATGTCGTTGGTTACGCGCCTTCTGCGCCAGCGCGCGCGAGAGAGAGAGAGGCTCACAAGTGGACAGATATGTTGGCCTGATGCTGGCCGTATCGTCATCGTTAGCCATCGGTATGTCCTCTTCCATGGCCAAGTCGCTTTGCAGGACACTGACTGTCGGCCCTCCCCAGGAACAAGCTTCGTCATCACTAAGAAGGTCCGTCGGCACCCAATTACCTCGCCCACATCTCCGTCCGCGCATCGAGTTGAGTCTTTGACGACTACGTTGCTGACTCGGCGCTACACAGGGACTCAACGCCTCCGCAGAAAAGCATGGCTTTGATGGAGATAACTTCTCATATATGCGGAATGCCACATGGTGGGCTGGCATGGTCACCAGTAGGGATCTCTTCCAGCTTCCGAGTGGCATATGGCTGACAAGGAGCAGTGGTCATCGGAGAAATATTCAACTTCGCTGCATACGCCTTTGCCCCCGCGATTCTGGTCACGCCGCTGGGAGCGCTCTCTGTTCTGATTGGGTGAGTTTCGCCTGTTCTCGACGTCCTCCGGAGAGATCTAACCAAAACATAGGGCAGTATTAGGTTCATATGTGCTACAAGAACATCTAGGATTGCTAGGGAAGATTGGCTGTGCTATATGTCTGATTGGATCCGTCATCATAGTCCTGCATGCGCCGCCGGACAAGGAGGTTTCGTCCGTTGATGAGATTCTGCATCTTGCGTTGGAGCCCGGTATGTCGCAAAACATTGCTTTTCCTGTGTTCAGGAGGATTCTCGAACTGTAGCTGACCGCTTCCATTACCCAGGCTTCCTCTTCTACTGCGCCTTCGTCGCCATATTCTCCGTCCTCATGATCTACAAAGTCGCCCCAAAGCACGGCCGTAAGAACCCGCTCATCTACCTCTCCATCTGCTCCACGACCGGCTCCGTCTCCATTATGGCCATAAAAGCCTTTGGAATAGCATTGAAGATGACGATTGGGGGAAACAACCAATTCACACATCCCTCGACATACGTATTTGTCATCATGATTGTGGGATGCATTCTCACACAGATGAACTATTTCAACAAGGCTCTGAGCCAGTTTTCCACAAACATGTACGTTCGAGATCGAATTTAATGGACCATGGCAAGGTCAAATGCTAATGCGCACATAGTGTTAACCCCCTCTACTACGTGACATTCACAACCTGTACCCTCATCGCCTCCTTCCTTCTCTTCCGCGGCTTCAATACCACCTCCGCCGTCAACACCATTTCTCTTCTCTGCGGCTTCCTGGTCATCTTCTCCGGTGTCTATCTGCTCAATCTTTCGCGCGAGGATCCCGATGGCCGCAATACACTAGGAAATGGATTCTCAGACGCCCCGCCCACAGACGGTATAAGTGGATTCCCAACACGAAGAAGTATGCAAGCAAGGAGAAGTACAGATCTACGGAGTCCATTTCTGAGCGGGAACGGAAGCGCAAGGCAGAGCCTGGGAGATCGGGGAGCATTGATGCAAGACTACGATGTCGAGAACCAGTTCGAACTCGGTGATCTAGTTGAAGACTCCGACGAGGGAGACGCGGGAGGCAAGCGCACAAGTTTCGACGAGGGAGTCAGAGCGCAAAACGGACATGCTAGTCCGGGAAGTGTTCGGATCAAGAAAGAATCGGTGCGGACGAGCATGAAGGGCGCAGAACGATAAACTTCGACGACATTCAAATCCGACCCGACACCGTACACGACCTCCTTTCTGTTTGTTAATGCTACAACGAATATCCATCAACGCTCCACCCGGCTCAAGGAGCGCATGCGCCTGTTCTGTATATACTACCCCCGGAGCCTACTATACTATTTCAATTTCATAAACATCACATAAAGACGGAGCAGAAACCGCACGGCTGGCTGCGCGGCGACGGGTATATTAGATCCTTTTCTTTCGGGTGGTTCCGGTCCTACGGTTCCATTCTTTGGAATGGGAGCCATTGCTGTGATGGTACTTTTTGCTTGCATTAGTTGGCATGGATGGGATGAGGGCTGGAATGTTCATTGATATTATGGCGTTTTGTGGCGCTTCTTTACTGAAATGCATCCAAGCATGACGGACAGGCGGAATGGACAAACTGGGTCTATGGAGACTCGCGGCGCTTTGTAGCTGAGGGGTTTTTTTTTTGCACACCGTGGATATGGAAGGGTATACCCAGGCCTGAGAGGGTGGGTGTGTGAGAGATGAATGCAGGTGTGGCTGTTTGTAAACTGTAGTTGAGAATTGACCGGGTATTTTTCACGGTGGTATAACTTTTAGATTTGAGGATCGTTGGTTGTGAGGGACAGGAAAGCATGCTTTAGGGGCATACCTATGTATCAGGCTATGCAGCCATGGGGATACCGAGAGCATAGGAGGGTGTGTGGTCGGGAAAGTGTGTGGATATTGCTTGGCAGAATACTCGGTTGAAGGATTACTTTCACACCCTTAAGACTTAGAGATCAGACGGCTAGGGAGAGGCTGGGTAGTAAATTACCTCCTCAAGATCCCTCACATGACAACGCGGTCGCGCTAGCCACAATCTCACATGGTCGCGCCTCCAACCCACAAACCAACAACCTCCCCACCATACAACAATCTCGCCCACCAGCCAATTCTCTAAAATGAACCTCCCTCCAGGGCTTTGTCTGCTCCAACAAGCCGAAAAAATTCTCCTGCGTCCCATTCATGCACACCTGATTTCCTACTGCCCCTCCATGGACCTCATTGCCGTCGTTACAGACGAAGAGAATCTAGATGTCTACCGCATCAACGGACAGCGGGCATTTGGCTTGAAGCGCAAGAATGAGAGAGTTCGCGTTGATGCGTTAGCTTGGAAGTTTGATGGGCAGAGTGTGGCGGTGGCTTGGAGTGATGGCTTAGTAGATGTGGTTAGTGCGGAGACTGGGAAGGTTTTGCACGGAGATGTTGGGTTGAAGGCGGTGGGTGGAGAGGGGGGAGAGGGGGAGAGGAGGATCAGATGTGTTGGGTGGGGATTGAATTTCATTGATGTGGAGAGTGTGAAGAGCCGGATTGGGGTAGCACGGAAACGGAAGATCGAAGGGGATGAAGAGGTGATGAAGATTGATTTCACAAAGGCGATGGAGATGGAGACTACAGATGATTGGGATACGTTTAAAGACGACACTACGCTTGAGGACTTTCTCCAACGACAGCCCGATTTACAGGCTCTAGACATAGCTCCAGATTTACCAGACCAGCTCGCCATGATGGACATGGAGACCTTACTCCCGAAACTTCCAGCTATCCCATTACCACCGGCGATACCGTTTATGCGGCCACAGCAACAGGCGGATTCTGGGGCCTTTAATTCTCAGGCACAGGTGGATGCGATTTTCCATCCTAGTCACATGAAAGATCATAACGCTGTCGATGTGATGGTGAGGTGTACGGATGGAGGAACGGTGCACCCGAGCCTGTATGATTCATTGGAAAGCGTAAACGTAGGACTACCGAGTCGCTGGAACATCCAACAAAGCAAGACTCTCCTTCATGCAAGTCATCCGTACAGCTGCAGCCATGGGCTGGTGATGGAAGTCAAGACGTCATCGCCTATGCAGACAAAACTAACTTTCGTTCCGCTAACACTGGGATTTATTCCCTCTGCTGGTGTCTATCTTCATCTAATTGCGTCCAAGACATCGCAGTTGCAGAATCTATTACTATACATCCAGCAATGCCTCCAACGCATCCAGACCTTCTGGAAACACTCACAAGACCTGCCGAACAAGTTCATGATGAATGTCTCCGAGACCCTGGAGGAAAAGGGACAGGGGGATTTGGTCCAGAATTTATTCCATTTGGCTTGTACGGGGAATTGTCCGCCGATTATTAGAGACTGGCTTGTGGATGAATTGCAGGAAGCCGTAAGCTCTCTCTCCCAACACCCTCACCTTGGCTACTATTCCGGTGCTGACATCGGATAAAAGGGACACAAGCGTTGGGACCACACAGTCCAGTCCTCCCTAACCGTCCTTCTCACCCTCCTCCACGAAAATCTCCTTCCAGCGCTAGATCGCTGCTCCATTGTCATCTCCCGTCTTCGCGGTCTCGCACAATTCCATGACTCTAACTGGATCTTCTCTACCCCTTTGACTTCCTTCGATGCCCTGCAAACCCTACTCAAGAACTTGCGTCTACTTGCACACACCACGCTCCTCTACACCGGGGACGAAAAGCGGCAATTCGGGATGTTTAGCAAGTGGTTGCGTTACGAAATTGACTTCGAAGCCACCGAAGCGGGGAGCCAGAGTCGAGAGGAAATGGAGGGACGGGATCCCGGTGTTGACATCGCCATGGTTCTTGAATATATTCGCCACGGGCTCCGGAAATCAGATCTCTCGCCGTACCTACGACCCGAAGCAAATTTACATCCACACCAACAGAACCAGCCACCCAGCAGCTATGAAGATACGAGAAAAGCGATAGAATTATTGAAAGACGAAGCGAGCTATAAAGAAGAAGGGCTCTGTTTAGAACACGTGTTTCGGCATCTACGGGAGCAGTGTGCGAGGCTATTTCAGCAGATCAGCGGATGGCAGGAGAAGAGTACGACTATGGATTGTGGAGTGGTGGTTGAGGAGGGAGATGGAAGTGTGGCATTGGATGTAAGGATGGCATTTGAGGTACGCTTTGCACTTGCTTTCCTTTTCGTTTTCCTGGACCCTTGCTCATTATTCTTTCCTCATTAGCTGGAGCCAGTGTCTGAGAATTTGAAGGCAATGGACGAGAGAATGGAGCAGGGGAAGGGTGTTAATACCTGCAGACTTGCCTCCGGCCTTTCCAAGCTAACACTCGAAGCACAGCCTGAACACCCCAACTCCATTTCTACTTACATCGCTACCTCCATTCCGTCCCAAAAGTCCCAAATGCATGTCCACCGCATAGCACACGCACCCACTATCACCGCGCTCCCAAAAGACCTTCATTCCTACGCCACCACAACCCTCGATTTCTCAGGCCCTGGAGCTACAGTCTTGGACGCGAAATTCGCGGATGATAGAAACGTCCTCGTTCTCCTCCGCATTCCCACCTTGAAATCCAAAAAAGATAAAGACGAAAACGAAGAAGGAGCCTCACCCTCCGCGCTACTCCTCTCCATCCCATACACCCATTCCTTCAGCCCCTCAGTTCAACCCTCTCCTCCAACCACAGCAGCTATACCCTACACACCGCTCTCCGCTCCTTTCCACTCTTACACGCTCCCAACCGGCACACCAGCCCCAGCTACAACCCGCACAACCCTTCCCCTCTCCACCTCCGCAATCACAAACTACACAAAACATGTTTTCGAAGGCCGCTTCATGCCACTGAAACTGATTGTCAATGGCCGGAAGGGAAGGAGGGTGGTTGTTGTGTTGGGTGATGACCGTAAGCATTATCGGATTTTGGATTTGGATTTCAGAGGGAAGAAGGAAGGGGATCAGCATATGGGCGGTAGGATGGGGGAGGATGAGAATAGTGTGAGTGAAGATGAGGAGGATAGTGATGTTGAGATGGCTGGCGCGTAGTTGGGCCCACTATGCGACAACTTCTTGAGAATAGCAGGCCGTCTGCTGCGAGCGATAGAAGTTGTAGACTCATGAAACCTACAGTTAACAAAAAAGACTCTTCAAATGCGAAAGTAGCTGGACGAGACGAATATGTCACATTCTCTCTAGCTTCGCAAGTCTCTGTCATTGAGTGAATTCACACTTCCATTGTACGGACTAAATGCATGTAATGAGATTTTTCGTTCCCACGGGCCTCATCATGCTCCCAAGCAGGAAGAAGTTGTATCATAACGCCCCGCCATCCACATAAAAAGTTATGAGAATGCCCGACGGCATCTGGTAACATATCACCATGACCTGTTCGGCATGCTTGTCTACTTCTACTCCTTCGTCTTCTGGGTACCGCGCAACAGACCCGTCCTCCGTGCTGCAATAAGACCGGCCTTTTGACCTTGTGCTGCTTCTCGCGAGATGGTGGATGCTTTACCGATATGCTGGTGGTTACCGCCTCCGTGGGGATGGTCGACGGGGTTCATGGCTACACCACGGGTCCTGGGCCAGCTGTTGCGCTTGGCGGCGAACTAGACGATTAAAGTCAGATATTCAGACTCGACATGGAGGAGATGATGGAGAGGGTAGGGATGATTTGTGACCTACTTTATGCTTGGCTCTTGAGGCCTTGAGGAGCGGCTTGTCTGTTCGTCCACCCCCTGCAACAATACCAACCATTCCACGCGCAGTGTTAGGAAGGACCTTCTTAGCACCTGACGGGAGCTTGACACGTGTCTTTCCGTCGTCGAAGTTGTGGCCAATGACAGTCACGTAGTTGCCGGACGTACGGCCAAGCGCACCACGGTCGCCGGACTTGTCTTCGACGTTGGTGAGGACGGTACCTTCAGGAACAGACGCGAGAGGGAGGACGTTGCCAATGGTGAGAGCGGCGTGCTTTCCAGCATAGATGAACTTGGATTTATCAGTTTGGGATTGATTTTGGGATGGTGGTTTTGGGGGTGTCTAAACTGACCTGGCCGGTGTACATGCCCTCATTAGCAATGAAGGTCTGGGTATCGAGCTTGAATCGGTATGGCTACGGAAGAAGTGAGCAAGGTAACTGAGAGCCTGGAGAGGAAGATATCGTACGTTTCGGAAGACGACTCTCGCAAGAGGAGCGCCTGTTCAATACCGTCAGTCAAACTCCAAAGTCATATCCATCTCCATCTAGCTACTCACCACGGCCAGAATCGTGCACAATCTCCTTCACAACGCCTCGAATATATCCATTGCGCTCAGCCTATACCAATTAGCCCCCCATTCCCCGCATTCCCAATTTCGCGATGCTGTGCGGACGGGGTGTGGACGTACATAGTCGAGAGTGCGGAACTGGGCCGGTGCCTTGTTCAAGCGGGTGTTGGCTGTGAATATGGAGCCGCGGCCTTTACGCTGGTTCCTGATAACCCTACCCATGGCGACGGTGTTGTGGTGGAGGGCTCGGCGAGATGGGAAATTGTTAAGCCTTGGACGTCGAAGTGATTTTGGAACGTCCAGTGGGTAGCTTAGTCAGGCTCGGTTAACATACTACTTTGGTGCTAGTGGCGATTCTGCGTGTTGAGGCTGCATTCGCTCCTCGCCATCGCTACAGGCCATGGCAACCCCTGATCAACAATGGTTAGGAATTCACTCCCCATTTCGCATTAGAGCTAAAGAACTACAATTTTCATGATGAGAGCGAAGACCATACGCTGGGCGTTCTAGAAATCACATTCACAATTCTGTGTTCAGGACTTGTACTTAATTCTGTGGGACTTCGACGGCCATCTCACACTTTCGTCCTTCAAGACCTCGTCAGTTAAGTAATATATCGCCCAACCAGTCTCGCTTAGTTCGGAATAGAGATGTTGGTAGCACTCAGCTTGCCCACTACTCAGCTCAGAAATAACTCGTATTTCATCCTTTAATCAACTTAGTTCCACCAGCTACTGTCAAGGTGGCACTGCTCTCCTCTCGTCCCCGGTTTACCCATGCTAAGATACATTTATTGGATGCTTGACATTACTGTTGCACAGCCTCTCTAGACTATCGATACTGATTTATTGATAGTCCAAAACAGGAAATGGAGAATGCAATATAAACCAGACGTTGCTTCCTAGCTTGTGGCACGCATCTAGTAGTGGCACACTTAACTTTAACTTGGATAACTTCCTCTCGTTTCTCAATACAATCGTGTGTATCTCCTCCACCTAGGCTCATCCACACCTCTCTCCCTACCAAAACAATAGCCCAGGTCTTTACACTATCATTGCTCTCACCCTTTCCAAACCCCTCTACCACGATCTAAAAGCAGAAATATAGTAGAACCTCCAACCTCTTCCAATCCAAAACCTCGAACTACTGCCTGAGTCCGCCAACTGTCCCCACAGGGAGTTGTCCCAACGGCAGCGAGATCGTATTCGGCAACCCTTTGTACCCTATATGAACTCCTTCATTGCAAAATATGCTGCCTTCCAAGTCAAATAACTAGACTGCATTACCCGCTGATGCATACTCTCATCCCCCAAAGGGTTGTCCAAATGACGACCCCCTGTATAACTGCGACCTGCGCACAGGCTGCTTTACTTTCAATGTGCCTGACGGCCCAGCGAATTACGCCAGCGAATTGAAAGCGTGTCTGAATGAATATAGTCTAGATGCTATTAGTGTGTATACTGTCTCTCCAGGGTCTAATGAAATGAACAGAACGTGGGTTAGACCGGTTGGCAAGACATACGTATTCCGGGGTTAATCCGGTTGTGTGGGCGTACTAACACAGATGTGTGTGGATTATTTCGGATGGAGTGAATGGGTTGGAATGAGATGAGGGCGACAAGAGTTTACATATAGTTGGCTGGCTGGCTATGTATGCCGCGTTTTAGGTAGCTAAACCTCGCGCTAAGATCCAAAAATCCAACGACTTCTTTGTCGGGTCAAAAAATCTCTGTCCCATCACTATCCAACCTATGCTCATGTGTCAGGCGTATCCTAGCAAACCGAAACAGCCAACAAAACGACCGCTCATGGAATCTAATCCCATATCTCGTTTTCATGCCCAAACCCCAGGCCCAGGTATTTCCTTTTAATCCCACTATCCCATACCTGCAGCAAAGAAAAGAAATCCGTATGTAGTGCGTAGGAGAAGACAAGCCGCCTCATCTCCGAAGTGAAAAACAAACGCCAGCGCTAAATCCAATTTCCGTGGGGTGGTATATGAAATCTGGGCAGAACAGAAAGTTGATGGAAAAGAAATAGAAAATGGGTATATCAGCCAGCGTCTAATATGTCGTAGAGAAAGTGACTGATGTGTGACTATTGTATCCAGAAAGCGGCAAACGGCATCCAAGAATGCCAGCCATAGACGTGGCAATGAAGGGGAAAGCATATATTGTAACAGAAAGTGGATCCAAGAACAACATCCAACAAAGCCTGAGGTAAATATTTTCAACTCAAACCACAGCCTCACCCAAGTACCCAAAATCACTCATCAGTCTTGACAACTGACTCACCGAGGTCCTCGGCGTCGTATTGATCTCAGGCTCTGGGGTCTCCTTGGTCTTGAGCTTTGTAATTGTGCATTGCGACGCATTCTCTTCGTTCGGAAGGCTATACCCCTGGAATCCCGAGAGTCCGAAACAAGCAGCTTGCCGCCGTGACCCGGTGTCGGAGTGGTGGATGTCGAGTTGGAAAAGACTTTGGCCAAATGATGGAACGTCAAGATGTAGAACAGGATGATTGTCAAAGTTGGAATTGAGGGTGAGGGTGCTGGGTTGCGGGATATCGCGATGATCTACGGCCTCTTCGGCAGCAGTATCTACCAGCGAGGAGTCTTGGTGCTTATTGGGGTAGATTTGCTCCCCATGGAGGAAGTGGTTGGAGAAGCGATGTGGTGTATCGATTTCGCTGGATTCGCTGGTCAGGGAACTGAAGGTCGGAGAGTGAATGATGTCGGAGTCCGAGGCAGGAGAACTGAATGTAGCGGATCCGGTGCTCCAGACAGAGAAATGGCTGCTGATATCCGTATTTACGGTTACATGGGGTTGATGGGTTTCTTCTTCTCCCTCTTCCCCTTCTTCTTCTTCGTCGGTGATAACAGAGCTGACATTCTCGTTGCATGCGAATAGTGGAGCAGGAACCAAATACCGAGGTAAGGCGGGTAGGTCTTTGTTTTTGTTGAGCAGAGGTGACTGGTGTAGGCTGAGACTACGATCACTCCCATGGCTAGAAGTAGGCCGCTCGTCGATGGAGGCACTTGTAGGCCTGAGTAGCACCTGCGGTTGCTGTGGTACCGGTAAGAATTTAAAAGCTACTCTCTCTGCTTCCGGACTCTGACAAAGAACCGGAGAAGACAGCCAGGGCTCATTCGGATAAACGTAATGTTTTGTTCTCCTCGTATCAGACGAATTGGCTCGAGCACGGCCTCGCCTGGTTGTGGATTCGGGTAGCACAACGGACGGCACATGTGAACGAGGCCGTCTACATTGCGACTCTTCTGCTTTCGAGGTTGTGTCTGAGAATCCAAAATCAAAGTCCGTAAGAGGGTCTACGGGATGGGACCCAAGTGGGGAGAACTCCTTCATCCTCTCTGCTACAGGGAGTGGTAAAGATGACGAGGTCTGAGGTTCTGGCCGCGAAGATAACGGTACCAGATTCATGTCTTCTGCTGTGGTGCTGATGAGTGTTGGCGCCCCGATTTGTACATCTCTTATATTCCATGGTAGACGGCCGCTGGATGCTGATCGTTTAGAACTTGTAAATTTGTCCTTCAGGCCTCGGAAATCCGAGAACACGGCGTTTGATGCTAGATTCGGAGATGTTGATGCGCTCCGGACATGTCGTTCCCAACCCGAGGACAATGAGTGCATTGGAGAAGGGCATCTGGCAGACCGTGGCCCCCCGAGTGAATGCGTGGAGACTGAGTAGGGTTCTATGCAAAGATCCCCTAGACGTGGAGAAGGCAGAGGTTTCGGTGGTACGGGCGTTAAGTATTTGTCGTTTGGATTCCGCGTAAAAACACTTTTGGATGCTGAGCTCGACGAATCACTCCTACCCCTCGACTCCGTAGGGACTTCCAAAACGTTAAGACGCTGACCAGGAAGTAGAGGACACACTGTTGTTGATGGCTCCGAGGGGTTGTGGTGCTCCTCATCATCGTCCACTTTATACTTTGACCAGTCAGTGCCTAGGCTCATACCTAGCTTTCGGATATCTTACATAGTACCAGTAGGTCCCGCCCATCTTCAATGCTCCGTTTCTCTTTCTTCCAAGGTTGCTGAGATCCCCGTCACAAAATATGTCCTCGAAAGTAAAGCAACCAGACCAGATGTTGAGGCCTCTTCGCTGGTCTCGCTTCAAATGATATGCTCTCGAGAAATTGTCCCAAGACCCGAGGAGTTCTATGGTGCGAGAAGCAGCCGGGCAGTCGCTAGAGAAACAAGTGAGTTGCACAATCAAAAGGTTAAATGAACAATTGAAGGATCAAACGTACAACAGGAAAGTGACAAGAGTTGTGGATGCCATGGCCGGGCTGCCGGGTCAACCGGGCAGATAAAGGCGGCGGAGGATCAGTTGTTGGGATGTATGTGCGTCTACTTCCTTGCACTGGCCATGGGGCTTTGCGTAGAGGACTAGATATTGTTGTCAAAAATAGAGAGCCGTGCCCGAGAAGCTGTAGGATTGTTTTAGTCTACAGGACGTTTGCTTGAAGACGCCGGGGCAGGAAGCTGTTAGAAGAGAAGGAAGATTATGTGATTGGTAGAAAAGAGGTAGTGTGTTTGAAGACAAGTATGAAACTGGACCCGGTATCGAGAGCGATGATCTGGCGATACTGACCAGGGGCGCAAAGGCCAGTCAATTTCGAATGAGACGCGGAGGATTAATTCTGGGCGAGGAAGCCGAAGAAATTTGACGCCTGGAGACCGAAACAGAGGCTTACGGATGAATTGAAGCCTGAGCCGCAATCGATGGAGTCTGAGATTGGTCCAATTGGCGCTGGCGATGTTGGCCGCTATGAGAAGGAGAGCGAGGCCAGGGCGCGTAATGCAAAGACGTGAGTAGGCGGGACAGTGTGTTATGTGAAACACGATAGAAGAGACTGTATCCAACAGAACAATTGATGCTGGGGAGGAAAGAAAGATGGGAGGCTGGGCAGATGACGAGAAGTAACTGTCAAAAGCTAGAGTCCGGTAGGCAGCGTCGGACAGTTCAGCGGCGGGACGCAAGCCATGGCGCCTCCTTTGCATTTCAGAAAAGGCAAGCTGGATGAGGCTTTTGGGGGTAGATTATTGGGAGCCGAAGCCTCAAACGCGCCAATAGGCCATGGCTCAGCGAACAAATGTCACGATGAGCTGCGGTTGGTCGCGGGGAGGTGGCCGCTGAGAGGTGGGACCGTCTCCTTCATTTCCTGCCCCGCCGCGTGAACCGTGGAGCGGTAGATTTCGTCAGCTAGTGTCGACCGCGGACAGATGAGACTGAGCCAAAGTTGGACGCAGTCCGCTGGCCTGCAGCAGCACGCCATGATGAGGGGACGGGGATTGCAGAGGTGTCGTCCCACACGCGTCGAGAAAGGTGCAAGAGGGAGGCGTGTAACCTACTCGCTGGAGATCTCAGCTCCCAAAAGGGTGGCATCCCTGTGGAAGCTGGCCAACCGCTGCCCAGGGACGCTCCCAAACCGTGCCATTCCCTGACTCGATCGACGACTTGACATGCACTGGAGAACGCCACGGCGCTGGCCAGCCCGGATTGAGGCGCATGCCCTGATTCCCGCCAGCCGATCCAGTCAGATTCGCGAATGGCCGACACGCGATTGTCCTATTTCCTGGTTTCGTTGATGAGATTCCATCACTGCTACGGAGAGACAAACTTCCTGTCCCTCTCAATCTCCCCACTGACGTGTCCACGTCGGTTGCTGCAGTAGATTGCGGAGCCGGACGTCGGCACCTTTCTTTTCGAGTGTCAGCGCCATGCAACTGATGAGATCAGACTTTATGCGCTGCGTCTATATTGCTATTTTTGCGCCACGTGAAACCAAAGGCCTCCACTCCGAACTGCGCAATTCATGCTTCTTTATCACCGCAAGCGCTCCTGCAGCACAGCCGTGTTCTGGACTCGAGCAGAGAAGACTCGTCGTCGAACTTCCTCAGAAGTAGCTATTGTGTCTCACTGGAAAATGTTGGTTTTCGACCATGTCGAACCCGCATCGGCACATCGGAGTACAAGAAGCATCCGTCATGCTTTCTTCAGAAAAGGAAAAGACTCATCAGTCCTGAATTGTCTATTTGGTGTCATCCAAGTCTCAGAGCTCGGAACTATTCCCCAACCATCTGGCTTGAAAGGATGTCATGAGATTACCATGCCATTAAAGTTTCACGACGATACTTTATGCTCATAACAATTAAGTGCACGTCAAATTGAACAGAAGGAAGCTGACCCCTATGCCTGAATCCGAACTTCCACCAACAATCGTGGCACCACTTAGGCCCTACAGCCGGCCACTCCATAGCCCCGGATATATCGTACAGTCTTCAAAGGTCAAGCCTTCAGACATCTGTAGCAACAAGTTCATTCCCATCTCTAAACACCAATCCCGAAATCCTACTGTATTCCTTGAGCCTATTCTGATATCCAAGATCCAACTCCCAAGGTTTCAAGTCCACAACAACACATCACGGCATCGGAGCAGCACATGCTGAATTAGGGAACGCGATGAAGAGGTTACAAAAGTATGTCCTTGAACCGATATTTGCCATTTATAGTTAGGGGTACTAGCTGTCAGCACCTCGTACGGAACCTATCACAGCAGCCAAAACTGCCAGAAGCAAAACGCTTACTGAGTGCATTAAGAAAATGCAGATCTCCGCCCTGAATTAGATCCACCTATGTTCCGTCACCATAGACAGCGTATTTTTCACAACCCATCTATTGGAATATAGAATCGCCGAACAGCCTCCCAGCCTTTCTCACAACACTCTAAGCCTGGCCTCGCACGAGAGAAACGTAGCACTAGCCCACAATAACGTCTGTCACGGTTCCACATTCAACAATCGGCCCTAAATGCCGCCACACATCACATCCATGGGTCCTCAGACAAGTTACTAGCACTATCCAGCCCTAGCTCTAATCCCAGCTCCAATCCCAGCTCTCACCCAACGTCTAACCTAGCCTCCCCAATCATCTTCACGACTGCTACTCGTCCTCCGATCAAGTCTCTCCAGAACCAACGCTAATTCTGGGCATGTGTGCTATGTTGCCATCCACATGCACTCTCCTTACCTCCGTACCTTCCCAAAAATCCTGTTACATGACTAACGGCAGTTGGATCCTTCCATTACACAGCCGCTCGTGCGACCCTCCGCGCCTTCCTCACAGCTTATGCCGAAGCTGCACGTGTAGCTGGAAGCTAGACTTCGTTGGGGGACATTATAAGCTCCTTCATAACCCTGTCGTACTGTCGAGCAAAGGAATGAGGCATAGCTCGCAAGAAAGAAAGGTTCACAGCATAGCAGAAGGGGCCGAATGTGAATCTTCAAATCACAATATCAAGTTTCCAAGCTCATATTACTAATCACATTAACCTTTTAAGATACACACATCACCATTGCCTCCAAACCAAATCCCACAGCATCACCATATCACTGAAAGCTCATCCTAAGCACTTCTGGCTTCCTCTTATCCAAATCTAGAATCATCTGGCCGAACAAGCCATTCGCCCACGAAAACCACTGCCGCGTCCAACGAGTCTCATTGAAACTATTCACACTCTCATGGACTAATCCTAACCCCGCCGTACTCCTCAATATCTGCCTCAACTCCCCCACAATCTCCTGCTCATCATTGCTCGTTAGGATACGTACTATCGACGCCATCGGCCATGCCATTCCAGGCCCTTCATGCGGACCCCCGACAGCATTGATAACGGGACCGCGCATGAAGTACGGGTTTGTGGCGGATAGGATGAAATCGCGCGTGTTTGCGTAGGTGGAAGGGTCTACTGGGTAACCGAGGAATGGCGCGGAGAGGAGTGATGGGATGTTTGCATCGTCCATAATAGTCTGCGCGCCAAAGCCGTCGATTTCAAAGGCGTAGATTTTGCCATGGGCGGCGTGGTTTACTGTCCCTTGGTCCTCGATTGCCGATCGGAGGGATGTAGAGAGAGATGTCATTTTTTGGGCTAGCGAGCCTGAGCCGGTGGTGTTGAGTTTGGACATGATCTCGGCGGTAGACGAGAGGTAGGTACTAAACATCATGTTGGCCGGAATGAAGAGCTGGAAGATGGTAGAGTCGTCACTGGGACGGAAAGCACTGCGAATCAGGCCCGTACCATTGGCCACCGGGTTTCCGAGGCCATCGTTTGCGAGGGTTTCCGTTGCACGGGTAGTGAGCCGTGTGAATGTGTAGGGACTTTGGAGGACTTGCCCGTCGGCGCCGTAGGTGGGCGTCATCATGTCTTCTGCAACTTTCAGGACTGTTTCCACCGCTTGGACCCAGGAGAATTTGCCGAAGAAGGCGGCGTCACCTGTCGCGTTATAATAGTTTGCCGAGACTTCGAGAAATGCTGCGAGAGAGTCTAGCTCGTACTTGCATTCGAAGACGAAGTCATTAGAGTAGAATGGGAAGACATTATCTTGACTTGCGCTTGGGTTCGGGGCCCGCGGGATCTTGCTTTCTGCTGGAGGCTGGAAGGAGTTGCAGTATGGTGACGTGAGAAGATATCGAGCTTGAAGATTTATCACGCCTCTGTATAAGCTCGCGATCGAGTTTGGGTCATTGCTAGCGTTTAGAAGAGGAAGGTAGCTCTGCATCTGATTCGCTGAATCTCTTAACCACATCGCATTGATGTCTCCAGTAATGATGAATGTCAATTCCTCAGCCGAATTGTTTGCAGCATATCCTTTCCATTTTATCGCCGTATCGAGCGTATTCGGATATGCATTACTGAAGAGTCGGTAGAGATCTGGGTCCTTGATTACAGACTCCATGCGCTTGACCACATCCTCGACGCCTGTCGAATTGAAAGTTCGGCATCGGGGCGCTGGGCGCTGGTACGAGAGCTTGTATTTGCCCGAGCTAAGCGGCTCGTGGAACTGTTGCGAGTAATCCGAGTAGTCGGGACATTGGGCAAGCACTAGTCGTGGCGTTGCTAGAGCCAGTGCGAAAACCCTCGAGCTACGCATCCTCACTACTCTGAAGGATGATTGTCTGAAAAATGAGAGTTAGGGAGAGTAGAGGAAATTCAGAAACGACGACAAAGGAAGTGACGAAATTGCTAGATAATGTACCAGACACCTGCGTGAAGAACAAAGTGGGCAAATGACCCCCAATAAGCAGGCCACCTTCCATATTGCTGTACCCCGCTGTTGATCCCATGAGCTGATCCCGGGTAGCTAATGTAACGATGAGATGAAGCTATCCCCAAACTCTGGACCAAGTACCTATTTACGACGTCATCGGTCCTGTTTGACCGCCTTAAGAGCGGAGCATTGTCAGCAATTCCCTCACACGTCTACGTTGAACAGAGCTATGTATGTGGAAAGCCTTGGGGAGAATGGGGTTGGGATCAGGGTAGGGGGATGAGGAGCGCTTCTACACAAAGTGACTATCAGAGAGAACAGCCTGTCGGTAGCACCAAGGAGGGGTTCGCGTGGCTCCTTTGCAGGGAAAATGGTAGGCATAAGACACTGAGGTCAGGATTGAAATTGTGGGGATGGCTGCGGGTGGCTGGAACATCACCTCTCGGCGAGAAATTGCCCGCAGGTTGAGCTAGGTCGTTTAAAGAAGGTACGGTAAAACTTCCAAGGTTGACAAAGCGCACTCTATCGAGTAGGTCTCTTGAAGAGCCTCGAAAGCCGGGTTAATACAAAGATGCTGCTTCGTCTAGGTATCTTGTTGAGTGGAGAGTACCTACCTTCCAGAAATCTAGATTTGAAAAATTTAGGTCACGTGCTGCAATACTAGTGTCATTAAGGACTAAGCCTCGGAAACAAAATGCCCCCTGAACCATCACCCTTTCTCACGGAAACAAGGTCCCGACAAATCGCCATGTAAACGCTCCCAACCCAGCTCTCCCCAAACCTCTCCCGATATTCCTTGCCTCTCTCCGTTCGACCTAACTCTCTTCTCCAACTCGTGTTCCTCCACGGCCATGCCCGCAGCAACCCAGACGCGGATAAGAAGAGCTCATCCTAAGACAAAATATGGGTGCAGCACCTGCAAGAAAAGACGCATAAAGGTTGGTGACTTATCTGCAGTGCAATTTTGATCACTTCTAGTGCACCCACGCAGCTTTTCTAAGTCTTCTCTACATCTTGTGTCACGGCCTCTAAAAATAGGCTTTAAACATTATTGTTTCTACTTGCAAGGCCCACTTTCTGCTAGCTTGTCTGAATTACCTCTTGGAAATTATTTCTTCCCAGATTTCTTATCCACAATACTACTTTTGGAGTGCCAAGGCTTACCAGTCTTCAGTGCGATGAGAGACGCCCTTCTTGCGAGAACTGCACGAAGCGTGGACTCGACTGCGGTTACTATATACTTCAACCCTCTGTTTGCGTCTCAGCTTGTCCTTTCTCAACTCAAGAGGACAAGTCTCCGTTCAAAGTCCATGTGTTCGCACAAAACTCCGAAAGCCCTTCACTTTCTCCGCCGCCTTCCATCTCCCCTAATATTGTCACGGACATATTTCCGGATTGTCCAGATGCCTTCAGGCCACGCTGCCAAGAACTACTCCATCACTTCACCACCACCACTAGTACTACCCTTGCGACTGATTACCCAGCCCAGGAATGCTGGAGATCAGCAGTGCTTCAACTTGCACGGGCTCATCCATTTCTATTGCACGGTATCCTTGCTTCCTCGGCGCTGCATCTTTCGCGTTCTCTAGAGCTCTACAATGAGAAAGAGACATATCTAAAAATAGCCGCTAGACAAATGAACATAGGTCTTTCACAGTATCGGCCAGTTCTGGAGAATGTCACGGAAGACAACGCTGAAGCGCTATTCTCATTCTGCGCGCTAACCTCATTCTTCACATGGGTTACTGCTGCAGACGATTGCAAAGAACTTCTGTCATCGCTGAGAACAGGCGGGCTCGATTGGTTTCAACAAGATGGAGTGGTCGGTAAATTGAGAGCCACGGTGATAAAATTGCTACGAGCTGTGCGGGGAGCTCTCGTTATCTTGACACCTTGCTGGGCTCGGGTCTCCAGCGGGATCCTGTCCCCCATCATCAACCGTGATTGGTGGCCAAACCCTCCCCGCCTGGTAACCCCCCAGGCAATTGAAGAAGACGGCAAACTTCACGCAATCGAAAAGATGTGGGTGAAGCCCGGACGGAAGTACGAGTACAGCTTCGACGCCTTGGCTTCCTCACTGAGGCAATTGCGAGAAGTCTTTGCCCTAGTCTCACACTTAACTGTAAATACTAGCATTGTGGGTGACAAAATGCCCACCGGCACTCTTATCGATAGAGCCGCCATTTTTGTTTGGCCGACTAGAATTTCCACCGAGTTCATATCTCTTCTAGAGCAGCGTCAACCAGAATCTTGGGTCATTCTGGCTCACTTTGCCATTCTTCCGGGCCGGATCCAAGGAGTTTGGTGGGTTAATTGCATGGCTTCTCACATCATCGCTGTGGCGGCGCTTGTACTTGGAAGAGAGAAGTTGGATTTGATTGAGTGGCCGATGCGTGAGGTCGGGGCGAACATGAGCAGCATCTTTTCTGCTTGACCTTTTTATATTGCAGCAAGCAGCACAATGGCTTTGGAGTAGATGCCAGTTGTTGTCCCGGAACCTTTAAGACGCATTCGACACATGCGGTTAACCCCGCCGCTTAAATTTAGGATTGTCTAAGGAGACTTTATTGATTTAGCTCGGAGTCGTTGCTTGTGCTGCCCCAGTGTCTGTACTCCTGGCCCGGTACAATATTTAATGCTAGGCCATCGAAAGATAAGGACCCAAAAACTTGCCACGACCCGGTTCGTTCCCTATATGCGCCCTCAGATTCTCCACCAGCACCTGGTGTTCCTGTACTCATTGATGCAATGTTGACATTCACTACTCCTCCGAAAAACATCCGCCTTCTTCTATATTTCGCGCCTTCCACCTAGGATCTGCCCCCCCTTTGGACCTCCCAATGAAAACCCGCGAGGCCTCTCTGCCTGACTTCTCTCATATACTCTTCCTGTTCCGTCGAACGTGGCTTATATCCATTGGGGGCCTCACTGAAACCCAAAAGCCGGCTGACGGCGTACCCGCAAATGACCACGGCCATAGCACCCAGCATGATAAGTAAGACAATGAGGGATGGCGGGATAGCATATCCCATGTTGTCGCGACGGGCGAATGAGTGGGTCGCGGATTGCATGATTGCTGCAATTGTGGTAGATTGAATCGGCCAAAGACAGATAGACTGGTGAGGATGAGGAGCGTAGGGAGCAGTTGCTGACTGATGCCTGCAGGCCGTGCGATGTTGAAAGATGCCGTCGAAGTATCTAGACGTGAGGATAACAGTGCGGTGCGAGAGCTCGGGAGTGTCGTTTTCGATGACGGTACTAGACGAATCGTAGAGCGATGAGCAATTGTGACGAGAATCCGAGCTGTGTATTGTTGTTTCTCAGTGTAGGGGTATACAATTTCCGTCCCAGAAGAATCTCCACATCTATTCGCCAACTTGGAAAAGGGCCCATATGAGTGTCTTGAAATACAGCGAAGAACGACAGCAGAGCGAGAAACAGGTTCAGACTACTCAGCAGAACTCAGACACCCTTATACCCCCTTCTCTACACTCTATGTACCCTCTCATCCTATCGCTCCATCCATCATCCGTAAACCCCGAGCCAAGACCCTCGTACATTTCCTAATCCGCACTAGCTCCTCGCACTCTTCCTTCCCTGATTCGCCAACTCCCCTCGAAACATGCAAGACCATGCTAGGGACCCTAGATTAATCCGTCACGCCCACCAATGGCCCGATCAGCCTTGTCAATATACCTGCCACGAACACCAAAGATTCCGGTCAGTTTGGAAGCACGCTTAAGCGCATCCTTCAAAAAAGTCATGCTGAGCACCCTCATCTCATCTGTCACGCCCACTAATGGCCCCCAATCACCCTTGTCAATATACTGGCCACGAACACCAAAGACTCCGGACAATTTGGAAACGCGCTTAAACGCATCCTTTAAAGAGTCCATGTCGTGTTTACGATCTTGTTAAGAATAGACTAGCTGCTAATTAAACGAACGTGCTTGTGGCGTGTGCAAGGACAGTAGCGGTTTTTGAGCCGGCTTTCTTGGCCCGGTTTGCTTCGCCTCACTCGAGTGACGACGACAGCCCTAAAGTGTTGTGATACATAACGGTTCCGGGCTAAATCTACGACCGGATTAGGGAAGTGGGTCGGATTAAGGATAGGGGTGAAGTCATTGCTAGGTACTACAGATGAGTTTGAATGAAATTTCAAGGCAAGACAATAGGTAAGGCAGACTTGGGTTCGCGTTCGTATTGGGCGGCGAAGGTACCTAGGTAGGCACGACATGGCCTTGGGGTGTTGCTTCTCAGCTGGTAAGAGTAATGTGATACGAAAGCAGAAAAATTTCGATACTTTGTGGGTGTTCTTGAATGATAGGACGAGCCCTATACTTGGACTAATGGGGTTATGAGGATCGAAGTCTTCGTAGAGACTAGGTCCGCGACAAAGATATCATAACAATATAAAATAACAATGACGGGTATATACAGGAAAAGCTAAACCTACTATTACACTGACACTCCCCATACAAATCTATATACCTACCTTCCCACATCCTTCAAGCACTTTCGAAATGCTAAACGAAAGAAGGAACAGTCCCTTTCCACCTCCTACTACAGCATTTTCATTCCTCTCTTTGCCTACCCATACGAACCCTTACTCAATATCCACCTTTCTCACCTCAACGAATCCACCCTCAAAGCGCTTCGGAACCTCAACCCTCAAAACCCCATCCTCCAACTTCGCCGTAATTCCCTCTTCATCAACCTGCGCTGGGTTCGCGCGCGTCCCAAGCCTGACCTTTCTCTCAAATGGCCCTACCCTCCTCTCGCCCATCTCCAAAGTCTTCAAAAACTCCTCATCGCCGGGGCGGTAGATCACTCCGGCGATGGACAGTTCGGATTTCTCGGCATCCCAGTTCACGCCGACATCTTCTTTTTTTGCGCCGGGGAGGGAGATGTGGATAACAAACTCAGAGGGGGTGGAGAAGATATCTGCGTCTGGAACGAAGTCTTCGGAGTCGTTCGTCTTGGGCTTGAAGGTGTCGAAGACACCTTCGGCGAAGTTCCAGGGGTTGAATGAGCCACCACGGCCTCCCCATGGGCCTCCCCATCCGCGAGGCCCGCCGTGATGTGGCCCAAAGCCTCCGCGTCCATGGTGGCCGTGAGGGCCGCCAAAGCCGTGTCGACCGCGTCGGCCTCCACAACGTCCACCGCGACCCCAGCCGCGAGAAAATTCTTCATTGTCAAATTTAGGGCTACCAGACGGCCCTTCCTCGTTGTCCTTCTCGCCCTCCTTCTCATTCCCCTGTTCCGCGTCTTCGTGCCCGGCATTTGGGGCTGGCGGAGGGCCTGGAGGTGGTGGTGGACCACGATGAGGGAAACCTCTGCCGCCGAAGCCTGGGTGGCCCCATCCCCACAAGCCGAATGGCGGTGGACCAAAGGGGCCCTCTTCGCCGCTGCCGGGTCCACGTTCGGTGTTCTCATTGTTGGCTTCATTCTGGTTCTGGGAAAAGCCTTGTTGTTCAAGGCTGGCAACCCAGTCCCAGAAGGGAGCGGATTGGTTCATGTATGCGATTGATGGCATGATGGTAGAGACTTGACTTGATTTTGCCTTACCGTGTGTGTGAAAAGATGTGTGTACTAATAGAGGTGGTTGAATTTGAATGTAAATTGATTATCGAGAGGTAAGAGAAGATGTTTGGAAGAGGAGGCTTATAACTTCCTTCCCACGGCATTTATATACCACCACCATACCAGGCATCAAAAGCCCACGTACGTCCACACCATATCGCCACACCTACCTCGGCCCCGACACATGCAACAAGCACTATCGGACCCGTTCTTACCAATCAAATCTTCAGGCACCTCTTCATATCGATGTAAAAAGAAGTTTCTCGAACGTAAAAGAGGGGCAGGCTTCAAAGCCGCGTACACATGGCATTTGTCTGGCCAGAATCTGGATAGGCAAAGATGGTTGCGCGTCATGGCCGTTTCTGAATGAGGTATAATGATCGGCACAATCGGAGGTTCATAAGTGCCGATGTGGCGTAGAGGTGGCTGATTGGACGGTGTTCGCCACAACACCACAGCGCATGGTGATCGTACAATGGCTTCGTACATGTTGAGGACTATCATATGCTTCATATGTGTTTGAAGGGTGTCCTGCGTGGATGAGTATGTGACTGTTCGGCCTGGGTTCTAAGCTTATGTGAGGGAAGGGGTTGTCCTCAAATCCCCTTGAGCTCCAAAAGAGGCATCCATCAAATATCCAAGGCAAAATATGCAGCTAGTACTGCTTTGAAGTCACCATTAGGGGGTTGTATCAATACTTATGTGATTGCGTCACCTCAAAGTCGTGTAGAAGGTGTTTAGGTCTTAACATGGTCAGGAAGAAAGTATGATGCAGTACTTCCTCTGCACCAAAACTTCAATCTCCACTCGACTGTGCTCTCACGCTACCTGTGATCGTTCGTCCACAACGTAGGTAGTTGGTTTCGTTCGCAATACTGGTAGATTAATATTTCAGGTGGAGGCTCGTCTCCGTCTAAGCGGCAGTCAGCTCTAGTTTTTGCAAGGCGAACTACCATCTTTTCGCGATGTTACAGTTCTACGTCAAAAGTCTGTGCCCATAGTCCGTGCGCTCCTCACCAAAACACGCGAGCGCGCATCAACCCCCGTCATTCTCACCACCACAAAACAATGCCACGACGTTCTTTTGGCCAGGAAATAAGCAGAAATTGCTAACAAGGACATAAACTTACCCCTGCAACGCGCGCTCTAATTATTTCTAAGTATAAGGCGGGTTGTTCGCAGCAGGAGATAATAAGTAACTGAATTTCGCGTATCGCGTAGGTGTGTGTACAACACAATCTACCGATGGGGCATTCATCACACAATCAAATCACTGCCTCGTTCTGGGCGTCCCCCTACACTATTGACACAGGAGAAGCGACAGATCCATCGCTTTGCTTAAAGGCAGCTAAAAATTTAGTACAGAAACCTTATAAAGGAGGCTAGGCTCCTAAGGCGTCCACACCTACTATCTAAGGCCACTGTATACTAGGCACTTAAGGCATAAGGATTAACAAACTATTGGTGTAAGAAGAGGCTAAGACTGACTAAGAAGAGCGCTAGAATACGCTAGAAGTCTGCAGAAGATACTGCAACTTTAACTAGAAAAGACAGACTGTTAAGTGTAAGGACGGGGCTCCGCACCACTCCGCCAATACAACCAAAAGGTACGAATAATCAACCAACGTTGATTTTCGGGTGCAGAATAGTATATATACCCGTCGCACGTAAGCACCATCTCGGCCTTACACGTAAGCGCCATCCTGGCCTTACATTAAGTTCTCTAATAAATACTTAGTAGAAGTAGACTCTAGGGCTGACGCTAAGTAGTGCTTTTGCTATCCTAACAAACAATGGAGACTAGCGATGATCTAGGAGACCTTAAAGTCTAAAAAACGCTCTTAAATAGTATAGGGTTTAATATGGGTTACATCTAATGGCCAGGTGGGTCGTAGTCCCCTGGTCATCATGCCCCGGGACCCCTTTTTAAAGCACAAGGGCTACTCTGCGAATTTGTACATGAAAACGCTTAAAAAGGGCCTCTTACTACGTTATCTCCCTAGGCAAATCTTTATGCAGAATAATGCACTAATTCACAACGCGCGCGCGACATAATTATTCCTAGAGTCCTATGGGATTTAGACTATAGAGTGGCCACCTTATTCTCCTAACCTTAATCTAATTAAGCACCTCTGGTGGGCGCTTAAACAAATTGTCTACAAACTATACCCTCAGCTTACAACCCTAGGGGGGTTAGATGAGGAGTGGGATCGCTTTTGCGCTGCATTGAAGGAAGGGTGGAAGAAGATACCCAATTTACTGATCCGTGCGCTCATCAAGTCCATGCCAAGAAGGCTGGCTGCTGTACGGAGGGCACACGGCTGGCAGAGTCGTTATTAACCTCTGCAACTGCTACTCTCAAAAAAAGTGTATATTTATATGTAATATAGATAGAGATAGCCTCATTTTCACGATGTAATTTGGTGGGGAACTCGTGTTGAGCACAGACTTTTGACGCGCGACTGTACAGACGGATTCGAAGGTTTGCTCTGCTGTTGCCATGATGGACACAGTAACGTCTGTCTCTCTGCACACTGCTGGCCATTGCGAGCCTTATAGAGAGCAAGCGACATTTAAATTCCAAGTTATTGTAAAATTAACCTGTTTTCTAGAACCGAGTTGCTATCAACAGCAATTTAGAAGCGACTATTAGGAAATCAGCGGCAAGATAATAGGATATCAAGCAAAACCAGGGAGAACCAACAGAAAATGAGTAGACTGCAACTCCCCCATTTCCTTTAAGGAGAGATAATGATGGAGTTTGATGTTTCACGACCAAACGCAGAAGCTGTTGTGGGGGCGGGGTAGCTGCGGGCACGAAGGCCACTATGACGCCACAAACATTGAACTTGCATCCTCAACAGGCTTCCAGGCTTCTCTCTTGCCATCATCCTAAACTTCATTTAAAAAGTTTTGCCAAATTGACCACTGAAACGCCGAACAAACCAAAATGCCCTCTGGAATCCCTACCTCAACGTCGGTATCCGAGTCTGCCGTCATCGAAGCTCACCTGAGCGACGTCTGGCACCTCATCAAGCTTCAAGACTTTGCCAAATTCTGGTCGAAGCTGAAGACAAGCGAGTGGGTGAAAGGAACCTCACCGGAGACTGACATTGTCAAATGGACATTCAAGGACGGCACCGTGCTGGATGTCAAGCAGGAAGAACATTCCGTGAGTTTGCCTCTCCAGTGTTTGAGTTACCCACTGTGTTACGATATATTGCCTCGGAATGAGAGCTGATATTGTGTGCGACAGACCATCGAACATTACATTACATACAGCGTCATATCCTCTCATCCGGCCGTCACTTACAGCTCCGTTATGAGCACGGTTAGATGCTTCCCGGTCACCTCGGGCAAGCATGAGGGCCATACTTATGTGACTTGGACGGGTAATTTCTCCAGCGATGCTGACGCCGGTATGATGTGCCTAAACCCACCGCGTTTGAAAACACTCTATGCTAAAATATTTGGTTCCAGGAGTCATCGAGGATGCGAAGTTCAAGCGTCGCGAGGCTCTCGCAGACCTCGCTCAAGCAGTCTACAAAAAGTAGTGACTGGATCGAGGAGAAAGTGGGGATAGGATTGCAACATGCAAGTGAATGAAGTTGGAGGGAATAAAGCGGGATTTGGCGCGAATCAGATGAACAGAACTTATGAAAGGGAATGAATAGGGCGACAGGGGTTTCAGCAGCAGAAGGAGGGCCGAATCAACACTCTCAATGTATGTGTAACGACTGTAACACTATTCAACAGCTATATTAGCATTGGGCAATGCTAAGGAGACGGCCCAGCTCTCTTGTGGTCCTTTTGACAATGTTCAGAATGATCCTTGTCGCCGCATCGTTGTGGATGTGCACCCGTGATCTGGGGTGCATATTCTTGATGAATGCGCATGGGCCAACAACGGCATTCCCCCAATGTGCGACGGTATCTGACTGAAGGGTGATGGAAAATTTACCTAATGTCTGAGGCTACAGTTAGAGTAAGCCATCAAAATCACTTACTATCTAAGATGACGATCGCCATAGGAATAGTTGAGTGACCCCCGTGATGCGCCTTCGTGTAGAGTTAGGGCGAGGGTGGTCATAGGGAGGGTCGGAAGATTTGCATCGGCTTCGAGGAGTGCGTTGCAGTTCAATCCGGCAATCGAACATCTGCAGGAAAGGCTGGGGAGGGGTTTGTGTGTCAGCCAATCAACATTCAGCCACTCCGTATCACCTAAACCCATTTCTCCCATAGTGACGCTTCCACCAACCTTATATTACTTTCCTTCTCATTCCACACAAAGTCCATCATCTGCCGACATTCCCCATACCCGGAGCCAGGCCTCAGCTATATCAGACTCCACAAGGACAGGCCAGTGAGCCAGTGAACCTCAATGGTCGTAACATGTTGCAATTTGAAGTTTTTGGAGCCAACCAACAGAAATCTATCACGGGAAACCGTGCAATATGAACGAAACTGCGGACTGGAAACTCACTTCTGAGAATCCTTATGAGCAAGTTGCGCTGCGTCGGCTGAATGTATATTCTCACGAAATTGCATGGCCTCGAAAGCATCCATGGGCCATGATGCACATTGAGCTCTGATTTCTATCTTTTTGTTTATTGCTCATTGAGTACTGACTTCTTTTGTCCCTCGCTTCCCCCCCCCCCTTGAGTTCGTGTTGAACTAAAATAGCCTCCACACCACTGACAGCCAACTAAAAATCGTTCGCGCAGATAATCTTTTCACACGTGGAATAACTCCTCGCTCTTTCATCGGCCAACAGTTGTCGGGTGCCATATTCCTGAAACCACCGGCACACTGGGTACCAAGTCAACCATCTAGGACCTCATTTTTGGTTTACGGAGACTTTGAATCTTGAACCGAAGTCTCGCTGCAAGATGCTCATCACATATCGAAGGATCCGTGCAATTACCCAAATCTCATATTGACCCCTTTTTCGGTATCACCTCCATACTCTCTATTGGACAGGCCGAGACGAGCTCCCCTTTCCAAGCCATTGAGATACTGGACGAAGCTTGATTCTAGATCCAAAGCTTATTTCTATGGTGGTGCTTGCCAATCACCCCTGCTCCCGGCACCCAATGCTGCAAATCTATACGTACGGGACTTAAATTTTCAGCTTCCCCGCACGCCTGTTCTGGAACGCTACTATTAATTGCGGCTAGGGCAATTCGGTTGGAGTAGCATTCACTTTCTCCAACCGCACCAACACGATCAACAACGGTCCCCAACGAGTGAAGCGCTCCACAACCGTTAACATACCCAACACATCATATAAGCCTCTCTAAGAAAGAAATTGAACTTCATCTGAACCATGAGCTCTTCACTCTGGCTGCCGGGAACAGTAACCGTCGTGTTGCTTTCGGAATTGGATATCGGTGCTCTCGACGGTCAGAGGACCCAAGCCAAGCAAGGCCAAGCAGATATATAAAGAGAAGAGCTGCCCAGAACTTGAGAGCTGATCCACAGACAACTCATCCAGTTGTTTAGTGATTTGTCCTTCCCTGAGCCTTGAAATTTGTCAGTTGATATCAATCCCATCAATATGAAGGTCTGGATCTTTGCTCTCCTCGCAGCTGGGTTCGTCTCCTCATCTTACTCTTCTATCGATGCGTTCTCCCTGCACGACATCTTAATCCACACCGATGTGACTGACATTATTCTCTAGCGCCCTTGCGGTGCCCATGGCCCAAGCTCCCCGCCCAACGGGCGCAAGGCCAACAAGACCAGCTGGTCCCAGGCCGACTGGAAGTACACTGCCCCAGAATGAAGTCGTCAGTGAAAGCCTGCTAACATTCTATAGTGCCAGGTGGTGGCGCCCGTCGGTTTTTCCTATCCCCACACTTGGCTAACACATGCTGACTCTTCTCTAGCTGGTGGTGGTGGCTTGTGAGTATCCCCAAAAGATCCGATTTGTGTGTATTGACCTCACCAAGCCCCGGCGGTGCTCCTGGAGGTGGTGCTCGTCAGTCTTCTTCTATCTCTCGAATCCGCTAACGTACTGACTCGATGGAAGCTGGTGGTGGCTTGTAAGTGACTCTGGATGCTTCAATGTGTTCGAATTCTAAATCTGCTACAGTCCTGGAGGTGCTCCTGGAGGAGGCGCTCGTTAGCATTCCCGTATCCCATGGTGTGGCTAATATATACTGACTTTTTCAAGCTGGTGGAGGATTGTGAGAGACCCGAAAGCTTGTATCTGAACAAGAACTGATATCCCTACAGCCCTGGGGGAGCCCCCGGCGGAGGTGCGCCAGGCGGTGGCTTTCCGTGAGTCTTATGTATTGACAATGGATTTGTACTGCTCAGACCTAACCTGAAGATAGTGGAGGTATGCCCGGCGGAGGTGCGCCCGGAGGTGGCTTTCCGTGAGTATTGACTCTCGGGTGTGAGCGTGTGCTATTGGAGATTGACCAGAGTGCAGTGGAGGTGCTCCAGGTGGAGGTGCTCCCGGTGGTGGCTTTCCGTAAGTCCTAATAGTTGACTATAGATTTCGGACCTCCGGGGCTGATCTGAGCGCAGTGGAGGTATGCCTGGTGGAGGAGCACCAGGCGGTGGCTTTCCGTAAGGCTTGGCCCCTTAAGTATGGGTTTGTGTCTTTTAGAACTAACACAGCATAGCGGAGGTATGCCTGGCGGAGGAGCACCAGGCGGTGGCTTTCCGTGAGGATTGACCCTGAATTATGGATTTGCGCCTTCCAGGACTGACTAGAGCGTAGCGGAGGTGCACCGGGCGGAGGAGCACCAGGAGGTGGCTTTCCGTAAGCATTCGACCCTTAAAGTAGACCTGGTATTGACGAGACCATAGTGGAGGTATGCCGGGCGGAGGTGCTCCAGGCGGCGGGTTCCGTTAGTAATTTCTTACTCTGTTACGCTGAATATCATCTAATAGTATCAAAGCTGGAGGCAACCCCCCCGCGGTCGAATAGATCACTCGAATCGGGGAAAACGAGATGTTTTCGGCTCGAACCGAGACCGATTGGTCGGAAAAGAAGGATGGGGATATCGGGCAAAAAGAGTATTAGGACAATACCTTCTTGGGGAGACGTTGGACGATGTTTACTTCTTCGGGGGCTGGCTTCACTCGTTTGGGGAGCTAAAATCCGCTTAGTGTAGTTTTCAATTAGCCTGTGATCTGTATCGATATAGGGACCGAGTTTCATCTGTGCTTGTGTATTGTTTGCGAGACGTATGCTCAACTTGCGTGACCAACCCTCAACTATAGCTATACAGAATATGAGTCGTCTTGATATCCGAGGATGTTCCTAGCATAAGTGCGGACGATGGAGCATGTGGTTGGTTTGACAAGCTTTCCTACCCCTAGATTGGAGGCCTGTTTGGTGTCGATACCCTTCTTTCACATCACTTGTCTCACACAGTATCTGGTCTCTCTTGCACCTTCCCGGTGAACGTAAATTTAAAGCATATGAAGATAAACATTCCCTCTTCTTTGACTAATATCTTGACTACGTCGGTTAAACCCCAAGATCTTGCAACCCCTCAGAGCATTCTTTTGCCCTCAATTCCTTTGCTGCGAATTACCCCATCCTCTCTCGGCATCACTACCTTTCCCCCACGGGGTAGTCTCGAACGACAACTCCCGTGAATCGACTCGCCTCAGGTCGGTTGATTCTTGCCCCGGATTTCCGCTTGAACCGGTGGACTTTTGAGATCCGCGGGATTTTAACGAGGATCTCATACCCTCCATGACTGATCGCAGTGAAAAGTCTTCGAATAACCCCCTCAGCGTGGGAAGACAGGCACAGACAACCGCCAAACAGGTTTCTGGAATACTCCAGTACATCAAGGTAGATTCGTTATCTTCCGGAGTTGATGTCAGCACTACTATTGTCTATTCTAAGACGTCGACGCCCTTACAGGTGATCTGGTGGTCTCTTTCAATAAGATCTCCGACGTTAAAAAAAGTCCAGGTCTTCCCAATGGCAGCAGCAAGCACCCTGCAAGCTTAGTCAGTCTATAGACCATCGAACTCGAATATTGCACGTACAGGCCACCCAGCATGAATATTCCAACTACCCCCCACTTCTCCCGTTTGGGGAGGCGAAGCCGAAACACATACGGCCATGGTAGAACTAGTATGGCGCTGTCTATAATCACTGATGATACTGCAATTGCGCACCACAGTGTTGTTCCGCTTTCGACGCAATGCTTTCTCATGCCATGGGATTTTGTCCACTGTTGACTGATGGGCCAACATTGGAAAATGTAGATAAAAAGGAAAGAAACTCCCCAGGCTCCGTTCATAACCTGTAGAAGTCTGGAGATGAGAATGAAGTGTGTCTGAGCGAAGAATATCCGAGTGTAGAGGAGTAGGACGGCGGCTCGGCTTAATGTGATCGCGACTTGCGAGGTTATTTGAGTGGCGTATAAGCTCTGCGGACTGGTCAGTCTTAAGGCGACCGGATCTTTTCTAATCGTTCGTACCTTTTGAAACGTCTCTAGAGCCGGGTTCGGATATGGATTTCCTTCTAGATCTAAGGCTTGTTTTTTTCCAAGTTCGCCATGCGTTGCAGCTTTCGAGGTCACCATACCGAGCGTCTTGACAAGCGGAAGTCTTACCAACAAACAGTGTTACCGCATTCGCGATGCAAGAAACCTGGGCCATGCTCATTAGATTCAATCCCTCTGGACATTTTGAGACCTTACAAGAGCAACCAAGACCATCCAATCATCGGCTTTGCATACGATCTTCTTCACCCTTCTCGCCAAAAATCGGCCAGCGACACTGAAGATAGCAAGAGCTGGGAATATAGTTGCGATGACGATGGGAGTCCCCGCTGGGGTAGAGAAACCCATATTCAGGAACCAAATTGTGGGGTACAAGTGAATTGTGGCCAGCAGGATGGAGACGAGAAGATGAATCCTCGTTCCCAGCACACAAGAAGCTGGCTGCACAAGTACCTGTGCTCCACCCAGCAGTTCTTCTCCGGCGATGGTATTCAATTGACAGGCCTTGGGGGTAAATTGGCGCGCACGTACCCCATCGTAACACATGCTGCAGCGCGTGGCATCCTTCACCCATGCCCAATTCCTTTCCCGCTTTAGAAACTCGGATGCCAAAGGAAATGTGGTCGAATCCTCGATTTCTCGGATTATTGGACGACAGATTCGTACTCGCCAACCATTGAAACCTGCTTTCTGCAACCCGGTTTGATACTGGGAGCTCTGACCCTGGCGCAAATCGTTCACCAACAAGGATGTCACGGTCGAACTTTGAGAAGACTTGTCGAAACATTGAACGAAGTCGCGCAAAAGACCGTCGTCGAGGCAAGTAAGTCAATTTTCTGGCTTGATAATTATGCGGCATTTCTATTGCGTCACGAGATTGTTATTACATTCTTGAAGAGACTTAATCTTGGCAAACCCAGGCATATATCCCCTTACGGACTTAGGCCAGACCTATACGAGCCAAATGAACCACCAAACGCCAATCCCAAATGCAATTTTCCTGCTGGCTATCCTCTTCTCCAAGTATGTACACCAAATGCAATCGCAGGATTTACTCCCTTCTCCTTTGAGAATGACCACACTACTGCATCGTCCTGATCGTTTTGCTGATGATTGTCTACTTGAGGTAAGGAATTGGCTACCCGAATTCTTGTTAGAATAGTTGCACTTGAGTTTCACTGGAGTTTAACTCTAGAACATACCAGGGCTGAGAGGAGCCGCAAGTGCAGCAGTGGAAATTCCAAGGAAAATGACCGGAGCGAGGAAACGCATTCGAAGGGTAGATCGGTGAAAGAGAGTGGTAATTGAAGGAGTGAAGTCTTCAAAGAGAATGTCTTGTTGTTAGGACGGTTTGAGCATCTTTTACCTGGATGACGATTCAAGGAAGGGTTTGAAGGCCCGTATATATGTTTCCCCATGCTCTCACACCATCTACTAATGTCCGTTAGGCTGCGTTCGCCAGGCAAAACCCAGACTTCCCACTCCTATTCGCCATTCGCTGCTCCCATTATCTCCAAGCCGTCAACGTACGCGGATATTGATGGCGCAAGGTTCTTTCTGGTGCTGGCATGTTCCGTGCTCCAACATCACGAAAAGTAATAGCGAAAGAGCTAGGCTTTAAGCTCTTCTTATTTCATTGACGCCAGCTCGGTGATTGCGAAAACAATCCAGGTGATCTATAGCCGGGGCCTCAGAATACCCAGCCAGTCGGGAGAGTGCGTCGTGCACAGTCCTCAGCCCGGCTTCTTCCCTCGATGCTTGCAAGCGCGTATTAAAATTGGAATACACCTGAATAACATTCTCATATCCTCATCAGGTCTGGCTTTTTGTATTTTATTTCTGCTACATGAATGACTTCTATCAAAATTACTCTGCAACGCACTGGACGAGCGCGACCTCGAAGAACACTTTCTACCATGAAGACCAATTTAGAGGAAGAAATATCATTACTCGAAGAGGGCACGTGCAAGCACGTGGGACCCATCACTTCTTCCTATAAACCTGACTGGCAATTTTCAACACCACGACTGATTCTCATGAGCATATTTGGAGTCCTGGTCTCCGCTGCATTTGGCTCGCTCGCCACTGCGGTCTTAGTTCGAATGAATAATTCGCAAGTACTCCATTTGTCGGATATCTACTGTAAGTGATTCCAAGAACGAATCTAGTTCTATCACTGAACCTGTACCCTGCTAGCCCCGGCACAGAGCGCGGTGCAATACGTTGAATGGCCTTTGGGATTCGATGACACGCTCTATCCCAATGCATTTATCGGCGATCCTCGGCCAGAAGTTAATGAAGCTTGGTCTGAGCTTCTTTCGAGTATGTTCGTGCTCTATTCTGCGGAGTATTTCACTATTAGATATCATCTTAAAGATAGCTTCAACCGCGCCTGGAGAATCATTGACTAGGCATAGATCCCTACTTTCGAGTCAATACTTCTGAATACTCCAGGCTTGGTCTGAATAGAAGCACTCTTGGAGTTGTCGGCAGCGACGAGAAGGTCATCAGTTTCTCCGTTTATCATGAACTCCATTGTTTGAAAACTCTTTATCGATGGATTCATCAGGACTATTACTTCCCTTCTCTTCCAAAAGATTCGGATGAGCATAACTTTCAAAGGTGGCATGCAGGTATGTAGCGCAAAATCCTCCTTGTGCTTTCCCTGAAACTAGGACTAACGAGACCCTTAAGAACATTGTATCAGCTACCTCCGACAGGCTACCATGTGTACAGCCTCGCTAAGCCCGATTACTCTCGAATGGTTTGAAGCAACCCCTGGCGAGCACCGCCCTAAACCTAACACTCACGCTCCTCTCAAGTGCGTCGACTGGCATCGCTTGAACTCGTGGGCTGCAGAGCGAAGGACCGACCTTTACGACCTTGATTCCCTTGCAGGAATGCCCGGTCGGGGATGGTAAACGCCAATTCTTTGCGAATCAATTGTTGGAATCAGCTTCGTCTATTATTCGTTTCAAACTTCAATTTATGTTAATTTATACTGTCTCAGGCAGCGGATCTTGGTACGCCCATTTCCCTGCCCATTCAAAGACTGTCCCAAAATCCCGGCATTTTCTCTCACTTCCCCATCCCGTAATGCCTCCGAGCTCAGAATCCACGGGCTCAATGTTGGTATCGGCGGAACACATGAGGGATTGGCGGAGCAGATCAAAGCAATGACGGACATGTGCTGGGTCGCTGCGATTCCTATCTTTGGTCTCCCCATTCTTCGCTTCGAACTCGCCCCCAGTCCCTGAGCCCCGTTCGAGGGAAAGGTAGTACTGTTTCCGCAGTCCATTCAAACAGTGTAACTGGTGGAATACTGCGATCCCGCTTTGATTTGGAGCAAGTACTGGATGCTGAATGAAACCGAAGCCTCCTGGGATATGTTAACATAGACTTCGGATTTGCAGTAGAAGACTTACTGGGGAAGATTGAACCCCAAGCAGCATCTGTCTTCGCGTCGGGCGGATAACTAAACGCTCGATTGTAATGGAAGTTGGTCTTGATGGACCCAGCAGGCTCTGCCACGCGAATGTTAGTTTAATGCGGTCAATAGTATCGAAGGTCACGCGGTTTACTCAAAAGACCATGCTCGTCCAGCTTCAAGCTTCTTGCGGAGTAGTATCCAATGGCAATCCCCGCCGAAAGTGCACATATGAGGTATATGACGTGTAAGAGGACCTGAACACGCTTCCGATTCGTGCGATTGGAGCTTTGAGATACGAACAAGGAAGAGGTATCATTGGAAACATTCACACGAGAGTACGAGAAATGGTGTCTCTTGAACAACTTCCCAAACATAATGAGGTCATTTGAGAAAGGATGGTAAAGAGCAATCGTTCAGCACCCAGAATTCCGCTTGCGAAACACATGGATGGATTGCATTACCCCAGGAAAGCGTGTAATTTTCAACCCGGAGCAATTCATCCGGTTCAGCATTGACGAGCACGGCCGGCGTACCGGTGGGTCCGATTTCCCAGTGCCCTTGCGCTTACAGGGAAACGCGAGGGTGACGAGGAAGTTGCAGTTGTGCCGCGTTCATGCATCTCCTATTGATTCATTTCGGTTCGGCAGTTATCATCGACGAAGCTTATCAGGCGCTCGGATCTGGACGATTTTGCGGCTTTGGTGTTGCCTGAGCCTGGTACTGTGCTGCTACCAGTGACGGGAAGTAGCCGGTGCCAAAAATAGCGAACGAGACTCAGGTCAAAAAGGCCACTCAAACCAAATCGTACTAGCCACACCAAATCGAATTTACCAACCGAGGACCACAATCTTCATCCAAAGACGGCATTCTCAGGCAGCCACAACGAAAGACCAATTTTCCACCAGCGCCACATTCACCAGCCCTCGTACGGATGAAGTCAAGCTGGTTTCCCAGCCTCGGCGACCCAGAATCTCGTGAGATGTGGACAAAAATGTCCGCAACCCTCCCGCAATTATACCTCAACCCCGGCACATGGGCTCGCCGCCCTTCCAAGGTTCGTATACGTTCCCACCAAATGGGTTCTTGGCTCAATATGTTTCACGTCACCAGAATGTAAAATGCCGGGGGGTCAGCCACCATCAACAATCCCGCAATATCATCCAAATCTCGGACTTGGATTCGGGTCGGTATTTTTTGAAGGATCAACGGATAGTTATCTGCTGAAAGTTACTCCGTCAACGACTCGGAACGTATAAATAATCTGTCCCGATGGAGGACCGTACAAGCTAGTTGGGAATTATTCTGTTGGGATTTGCCTCAACTATCGATCTCCTGCTCTTTTCAAAGACATGAGAACAGACGTACTTAATAATCCTTTAAGAGTTGCTCAGTCATGTGTTACATCTTTTTCACAACAGTCCGAGACCTGTACAGGGCCTTACTATATCTCCCGAATTGTCCTTAGAGGCCCCATATCATCGTACTTCAACAGCATCAAATCGCAGCGTGACTTTTTGAAGTCCTTCAAGTTAGCAAGGAAGGCATAGAAGCGCGCTTCCTTCTCAGTAGGGCGATTCTTCGACGCATGTCAGACTGTGCAAGCTCGGACATAAACTCGGTTCGAACCATCTTACTCACCAATGCGGGAAGAGAGCGACAGTTTGAGGAATATTGAAACGTTACGTGCCTGGATCTGCATTCGCGATTTAGACAAGTGATCAGTTTTAGTATATTCTGCAGGCCACAACTGTCTCCACAATTCCATCAAACACGTGCACAGGCACAACACTTTCTGCTCTATCCGATGACCTCTTCCTAGCTGGCCTGCTAGCCAATTTCTAGTTTGCATCTAGCCGAGTGACGAAGTTCAAGTACAGTTTTACGCACTATACTAGTCTGCCAACTACTTCAGGGACGATATTCTGCTAGGAAGGCCTGAAGCCTTGTCCTGCGGAGCAGTTATACCAGTGCGGATTGCATACATGGTGTGTGAGTTCAAGGAGGGGTGTAAGGATGGGCGGAGGAGTTTATGGAACGAGGGTGGGGGGTTTCTCTGGCCTAAGTTGCTTAAAAGACGACCAAATTTCTAGCGATTTCGAGCCCCTGGGTGATGCATACAGTTTCCTGTGAAGGGCAGGAATGTCATATGGATGGACGTAGCTTGTGCATCAGCTGCCAATCCCCTGACTGATCTACCGATCTATCTCCGAGATCCAATTGGCATACGAAGAATCGCCACGAGCTCTCCTCCCGTTCACGTGGATTGGTGTGGTGAGCACGGGATTTTAAGCACCATCACCTTTACAATGTACACCTCTCTGAGTACTGTCATCTTCTATCGATCTTGAAAAGGTTTCCTTATTTTCAAGACCAGCAACCTGTCGGCCTACCCCTTTCTCGAACGGCTTTCTAAACATATTGAAAGTGTCAATAAGTTGAGTGTACGCACGATATCTGGAGTGCCGCTTCTACAATTGCTTTAATATTGAATCAACCTTCGGGAACAAGCCCCCTGAGCATATGTTCGTAGCCTCGATGATAGTACTAGAGAAGAAGCTAATGCCGTCAACCTACTCCAGTGAAACCCCTAAGGCGCCACCTTCTTCCGTTGAAATGTTTAAACTATCAAGCCCACCAGCAGGGATCTTGTATACTCTGCCTAGTAGACAATGTGTCAAACCTCCACGCAATCATATCTCCACCTAGGAATTGCTATTTAGGTTATTGCTATCCATATCAATCGACTGGTCGAACTTGACGGCTCCGACATATTGAACGAAGAGAATGAGCTAGCGCATCACTTTGAGGTTCGTATCTGCGATGCTCTAGCATATAGTCCCAGAATAGATGCTGTGGCAATTGCGCTTGGGTTGAGGGCGATAGACAAACAGATGGAGGCCGTATACATGAAGATGCAGGTAGGGAGCAAGGATATCCGTTAGAACGCTGAATTGGGTAAATTGTTGACTCATATGCGCAAGATTTCGATGCCGAATTCCTGTCTGTTTTATCTGGAACCGTTGATCTGCTTCATATCTATGGTGGAAGGAGGAAGTGAGGTTAAAGATGTAGAGTGGGGGCTAGAGATGAATTCTCGGCTACTTAGGTAGATTCATGGAATGAAATTCAACCCTTGACTACTTGCTGGGAGTTGGACGGCAGCCAGAGTAATGATATCCCCTGCCGTTAGTTTTACTGAAAACATGCTTCCTTATAACTTAACCTGTAACTGTATAACATCTCATATTCAGCATATAAGTCATGGGCCAGCCAGCGAGAATATACTAAAGGGAATTTAATCACACGAGTAGAATGATAGATGCCCCCAAACTTCCTTCATAATTACGGAAGTGATACTAGACCACGGTGCTGATGTGGACTCATTCTGCCTGGGCGATTTTCGCATAACAGCTATGGCTAGAGCCATTGATTGGGCGGTCCCGGCATCTGTTGAAGTCCTTCTCAGGCGCGGCGCTAGTTACACAGGAGACGTTACAGTGGAGGTCACCAGAGGCATCTTATCTCTTAATCTTCATCCAATTCAGATCGGATACAATAGCTGGTGCCTCTTAACAGAACTCCTTTGCTCTAGTCTACTTCCCATCTTTCTATCTTTCTCTGCTTTTTCCCATCCTCACCAACTCTATTCCAATCCCTCCCAATCTCCAATCCCTTAACCCAAAATTCCCCCTCCAACACATCGACCGCCAAATCCTCCATTTTCAGTTTCCTCAATTGCTTCATATTCGCCCTTGCCAACGCATCATGAACGCCATTTCATTCCCTTCAATCATCATGCAGAGTTGTACCCACTCCGGTATAGGCCGAAGCCCGTGGGCCGAAGCCAGGGACATGTTGAAGAAGGGAATGTGTTAATTGACTCCACAAGGCACAGATTAACCCCTGAAGCACAACATCAACCTAATAAGAGGAGGAATATGTTTTCCGACATAGAGGTGGACCATAACACGGATTGATTCCTGTTCAAGCTAACGAAGGTTGTGTAGGTCGACCCATCCAAATGCATTCCCTTCCAAGTCTTCGTGGGTTCCGCCAATGCTATCGAATGTAATTACACCATCGACGGCCTTTACCTTTTAGATTTACCCTTATTCGCATCGCTCTTTCAAATAAGCTCCTCACATGATGTACACATCGTACCCCCAGTGGTACCGGCATCACTCGTAGAGCTGCCCATATAGTTGTTCTGCCTATTCCACATTACCCCTTGTGGATCGCCGCTCTCATCTTCGTAGCATCGTAGGTATCTTTTCATCTCTTGAGATCTAGGAATCAAATTTAGCGGAGCTAATTGAATAAAAAGGCTTGTTGTCTGGATGAGTTAGGTAGTCACGAGGTTCAGCTGCAGGCCTCGACGCGATGATTGTCACAACTAACGCAATTAAGAGCAGAATAGCCCTGTGGGGAGGTCATTGACTTCTGGATCAAAGGAATTCTCGATTTCGTGCCCGGTAGCCGTAATAACGAGAATAATGTAGGCAAAGACGCCGTTGTTGAAATGGCCGCCCAACCTTACAGCTTGGTTGGCTGGCAGGGTGGCTATGGCATATGATACGGTACTGGCGTGTTCAAGACGTGGTAGGTATGTGCGAGGATAGAGTTCAAGGCCTCGATATCGTCCAAGCATGTTTTTGGGCAATGCCAAGCTTGGATGTTCTACTCTGGCAGATTTCAGCCGTGTACAATGAGATCTATGACAAAATCTCCAAAGGGAAATTACCAAGCGGCCGCTTTGCATGCTTTAGCTCTTTCCGGGGATTCGATCTAGCTATGTGAATACACAGGCTCTCCAATTTTCTTGCGAACATTTACTTTCTTGTTTCGTTCCTTTGGTGTGCCGGCGAACCTTGCATGTCTGTCCAGGTGACGAATAATTCCTGCAAATCGTCATACTAGCCGTATAGTCCAAATCGGAGCTTGTGTTTTAAAGCAACAAGAAAGGCGATTTTCAAGCTTAGACTGGTTATATTAGCAATGAGATCTTCCCTTCCCAGCTCCCCCTTCATGTTTCTCGGTGTGAACTTAAACAGCTTGAGCTAGTTTTGGGGAAACGCCTGCTAATTAGTACACAGTTTGCGGCCCTCCATATAGCATCTATAGACAGAACTGCTGCGGAAGTTGAGTCTGAAGCCGGCGCAGCTGGCAAGATATGTTTCGATGTAACACTGCTATGCATTCGAAGAGCGTGAAGCTATTTCGAATGGCGCGTAATGTCCCGGGGCCTAATCTATCGTCTAGCTAGCCTGAAGTCACTGGGATATAGAATACCCACAAGGCGATGTCCCCTGAATTTGCCCCGGCTTCTTCGATTTCTTCATATTTATTTTGGTCTTAAAGTCTATTGTGGAGCTAATGGTAGACACATTCTTAGGCGGTTGTCGAGGGAGGAACTAAGTTTGAAGTTGTTTATTATAGATCGCTCATTTCCACAAGGAGCTTGGGAGAAGGATTTAAAGACATAAAAAAGATATTTCAATTGGAGTAAATGATGGGGGTGTAATCGGAGAGCTGGTACAGAAAATGAGCTTTCCGCTGCATATGTGGATCCGTCAGAGTATATAGCGGTCCTTGCCTCCTGTTTCTAAATCTCCTACGGCCACAAGGCCTATTATCTTCGCTATTTAGCACAGTTAAATTACCAAGAACAAAACTCGATAAATAATAATGAGGTACAATTGCTATGCAAACGATTCCAAGAAAAGTCAGGTACCATCAGTGGCGTCTCCAAAAGATGATATCTCGAGATAATATTTCTAGGTATTCTTTGCACTAGACACCTCGCACGTGCTTCTGCACTAGGTAACCGTGAAGATTCTTCTGGCAATTTAGTTGTATACTACTGACTGCAGTAAGATGGAATGACGTGAAAAGACGAAAAAGCTTGTTTCTTATCATGGGTGATGCAACCACGACGTCAAATGATGGAAGTCTGTCCGGAGGTGGCTCTGTTTCACGTATACAAGTCTGCCATAGAGAGCCTTGCGTCGGAAAAAAGTCATCCGAAAATTCTGAAAGGCATTGGGATCTATATCTGGATCAACTATCATTTTCTTCTCTAGCTGTCAAATTAGTTATACTCTGGTGTCCTTTCACGAAGCCTAGCGCGTCGCTATCGAAGCTCAGAACCTCGGGTAGTTAGACTGCTTGTCAAGGATCCGGACGCCTGGTATAAGTATGGTAGGTAGTAGGCTAACCAAATTTCATCAGGAAGATAGTAGTGGCTTTTGGACGTTCCGAAATTTACACTCGTCGAATTGGACCCACAGGAGCATAGAGCAGTATTTTGGGCAGAAACGCTGATTCTAGCCGCCTGATTCTGAAGGCAATGGTACTAGAGGAGGGAATTGGTGGTGAGAGTATTCATTGTGAGGGGAAAAAGGTGTCATAAAACTAATTTTAGTTTCGATAGCATAATGTACACATTACGTCTGAGACTAGCTCTGGACTAAGTGAGAGATAGATGAGATCCAACCCTCTTTCATACTATGCTCTCATTGCATCCGAGCGAAAGGTAGAGTGCTGACGCAGCTTTCGATTAAGATTCCTTCTGATGGTACCGCGCAGCTTTTCCGCTAGGGTAGAGTTCGCTCGCTTATGTCCATTCGTACAGTCAAGGACTGGGGAGTAGAGATTAAACAAAGACAAAAAAGCAACTGAATGGAACTGCCTTCTGGTATTGTGGGAGTCAGAAAATGCTATCGCCGCATTCGAAGGGAGACGATATTCCTACTCAAACTAATCACTAATCTTGTAAGACAGCTTCGTTCTGACCAAGATGCAGGATGTGTCAATAGCTCAACAACTCATGATATTGTAAAGTATTGAGGAAGATATATATCACGTCTGCTTGATACCTCAGGCGGGTAACTGAAACAATGGGCCTCTTCGAAGAATCGCTGGTAAACCTTCGCATAATATTACACGTCAGAGAGATCCTCTGCGGAGATGGAGTGCCTATTTCGATCATGACGACGAATCCGGCAGACATTAGCTGCTTAATCAGTGTGTGAAACAGTAGCTACGATATCCATGCACATTCTGGACCGAAGACCTCGGCATCGAGTTCTTCGAGGCTGACGCCTTGTTTGATGTTCTAAGATGCTGCCCATATGCCGGTGAACTGTCTCTCTCCTAGAGATAAAGACAAAACAAAGCTTCAAGCGAAAGGGGTTGTTTAGTGGGGTTGTCGCGGAAAGAAGCCTACACTATCTATTGCTCGTTGCGACGTCGCGTGAGCTAAAGTCTCTTATACCACAGTTTACTTGTGCTAAAATAAAGGGTCCTAGAGCGGTTGGTAGCCCTTGGTTAGTTGATGGGCGTCTTGAAAGACCGATTTTACACAATCTGAGGTCAGGAGGTAGCATGAAAAGCACGGAAAGAAGTCTCAGGTCCTATATTGCCATGATAAAGCAGAGCTCTTGCTGGCGGAGAGTTGGTTATCGTGAAAAAGAGCCATTTCATAGATCTCGGAGCAGAAGGCCAAGGTGGTTGTTCCCAAGTTGGTTGGTGTCATAGCTTTCCACCTGATACCATTTGATCACCTAAATAGCCACGCCAATGATATGGCTCTTGGAGGTCGGTCAGAAGTATCGCTTCCATCGATCCTTGTTGGTATAGAATAATATGATAGATATGTCGGGTGAATCCTCCAGGAATCACGACACTTACAGAGTTCCTATTAACGAGTTGCAAACCCATCATGTCTATGTCATCGTGATGATTGGGCAAGGGAGTCGATATTAAACGTACCTTTTGCGAGCAGATCACCACAGTCTCGTTTATGCTTTATCTAAGACAGACTTAGAGAACCCTCGAGAGTTGTGATAACAGCATAAAGCACATAATCGACTGTACTTGCAATTATGAAGGTGTCTCCTGATAGGTCTCAAGCAGGGCGTAATTGTAGGCTGGCGTTGTGGTTCAACAGCGGCAAGCCTTGCTGTCGGTTACAGCCACACGGGCTGGTACGTCTCATCGCACTACCGTCTCCACAGTAGATGTTCCTCTGACCTGGGTTTCGAACATGTCGATGGCTTGAAGGGGAGTGTTAACACGCCATCTTCTAACTTCTGGGGCAAGCGAGGGGAACAAGAGACCGCTGTTCGCATGAACATGGCTGACGGGGGACTTGTTGATAGTCTTCTGTGAGGGTGATGAGGGGTGCAGGAGAGCTTCTAGAAGTCCAGCCGTGAAACGAGTGAACAAGACTGTGATGAGGGATGCACGCCGCATGAGAGGGACCGTGGGAGCCGGCCAACGCAGAACAGCTCCCAGGCGACTGAAACGGTAGCATGGACATCAAAATATCCGATAAATAGTAGCAACGGTGATATTCTGGCTTATGGAGTAGCAGAGCGGTGGTGCATCTGGTCTAAAGGGAGCGATGAGTGTGCATGACGGCGCTGAGCAGCCTACAAGAGACCAGGGGCGACCCAAAGAACGGCACGTTCTCGGCATATTGTCGGGCACTCCTGGTGACCGTGATGAAAGGCTGAGAAGCCATCAATAGTTCGTCACAGGGCGCGGAGCCCTGGAGGAGGCTGGAGGAGGACGAGGACGAGGAGGTGGTCCTGGAGGTAGAGGTGGGCTTGCCGAACCCCCAAGCTCGCTGCAGGCCGCCCCTGGCTTCCCGCAAAATTCCAAAACGTTCCCCGCTTCAACCCTCCAAAGCCGGGAACGACAAGCACCACGCGCTGCTCCGAGCTCACCTATTTTCACACCTGCTTCTACGCATCATCAACTTCACCGTTCACCCACTAATACGTCGCGGACTTGTCTTCGCGCCTGCAAATGTCCTCGCCTGACTTGATACATAGCGCGACCAATAATGCTATGGCAAGGTCGTTGTCTGTGTACCCATGGCGGACGCCGTGACCCCTTCTACCCTGGGGACTCGTGAACTGCAGCATCCCTCTCTGCTCCCCTTTGAGTCGCACCAGACGCAACACGACCCGATTGAGTGACCCAGCTCTGCTTGGACTCGGCAGCATTCGACCACTGTGTATTTACCCTCCCTTGCCGCCGCGTACACTTGGCTGGTGCTAATCTTGTTCACATTTACTCTTTTTACTTTTATCCACCTACATTCTGCATGTCTTCATCGTGCTCCATCAACCTCACACACTGGCTTCCACATAACCAGCCCTTCCCTTGTCACCCCTCGCTTATGTAACCCCCTACATCCCTCTGTTCCGTTCTCTTGGACCAGTACGCTATTTTCATTCATCCTCCCATCCTTCCCGCCTACTTTTACTTATTAGCACTGTGGCCTGGATGTCGACGCCTTCTTCATACCTCATTTTGAAGTCCTGATCCATCCCTGTCTCGACCTTTCACTATGCTCAGTATGGCACCCATTCTGTTCCCACGCGTCCTCAATGGTGGTGCTCCCAACCTCGACCCGCTCGGCGTCACCTATGTTGTCATGACCATCCTCTACACATTGTTGTTATCTGGAGAGCTATATCTTTTGTATCGACATCGAACAGCTTTCTGCGTCCAGATCAGAAACCTCAAAGTTGTCTTTGGTGCTGTCTCTATGCTCCAAGTTTACCTGGTCCTCGTTCTTTTAGTCTACCCAGAGAATGGTCTTTTCCCATGCTCAGCCGAATTTTGGATCATGTCTATCTTTCTCCCGTCTGGCATGGCATTTTTCCAAGGTGTGTTCCATGGCTTCTGCCTCCCACTGAAATCAGCTAACTTGAACCTAGCTTGCAACGCGAGGGTTCTGAAGGCCTACGAAAGCCAACGCCGCCTAAAACGAAACTTTCTAGAAGGAGCACGGAAGAAGAGGCTCGAATGGACACCTCGAGGTCTATACGAAGCCTGGCTAGATCTTGATGCTGCGGCGAAAGTCTATGTGGGCACTGTCGTAGGATTGATTATCTCCGTCAGCATACCCCAAAGCCTCCGCGTTGCACAAGAATCCTTCCCGCTAACTCGAGTAGTTTATTCCTACAATCATTCTATTCTTTGGGTCACGACGGTTTCACGCATCCTACGGATTCTTTGGCCCCGTTGTCGACTCACGGGTCTGTCGCCAGGGCGCAGAATGGTATGTGCTGCAAGCCTCCATGATTGCCATCCATTAATAGTAGTGCAGGATACCTTCCATTTTTGTTCAGCTATTTTGGACCGCGCTTGTTGGCCCATGGATACTGTGGAAAATCCGGAGAGTAAATGATGTCCATTCATGGGCTTGGCAAACCAGGCTTGCAATTCTTGCAGGGTATGCTTCTTGCGCTCGTTTTTGTTCCTGCATCGCGCTAATGTTGGTGGTGCAGATTGCCTGGCACGCCGTTGTGGTTAGCGTTCACCTACGCGAAAATCCCCGGAATGGTATCCATAAATAGGTACTTTGCAACCGCCGGATGGTAAGTGTTTAATATCGCTTTGCAGCGGGTTCTCTGTCTTCCGGTGTTCTTTTCTTTTTTTTTTCCAGATCTATTTCGAAACATCCTTGTTGTGTCTTCGAAACAGCGAGTGCATTTACAAAGCAACGGAGTGTGCGGAAAGCCTTCGGAACGATGTCACTGGGATCATTGCGCCAAGTTCCTACAGTACCAATGTTGAGATAGAAAACTGTTGCTAACTTGATATCGCTTGTAGGTTCATACCGTCCCTAGTCGTTTGTCAGCAGGTACTTATCATCATTCCGCTCCGCGATGCCTGGAAGTCGCAGGCTCGACGAACCTCCATCTCGTCCACATCTACCACCGAAACCCTCCACTCCACAAGGAGTTCTATATCTACAAAATCCCCAAGGGTAGTGCTGAGCAAAGAGCTGAGACCGAAAGCATCAATGCAGGCCTTGGAATTCTGCGTTGATAACAACATTGAGCCATTGATCTCGTGGGCGGCGTCCCGAGAATTCACCGCCGAGAACACCATCTTTCTCCGAGAAGTGCGAAACTGGAAGAAGAAATGGGCTCCCCTCACGACCGTCACAACTGCTCAACGAAGGCAAATGTTCACCGAAGCTTCGCTCATCTTCTTCACCCTCATCAATCCTTTCACCGCAGAGACACCCATCAACATCGAATACAAGATTTTCCGCTCTCTTCAGAGCCTCTTTGCGACTGTCGAGTTTGATCCCTATCGCCCCACCAGCCGTGTCGGCACACCAGACTCGACCCAAGAAAGAGAGAATGTGGTATGTCCATGGGAGGATGTGCTGAATCGGCCGACGAGTATCAAGTCCGACGTGAGTGCTTCCAGTACCGCGAGTACAAGGAGTCTTGTGCCGAGCCAATTCACCGAAAATATATTCGACGCCGCGTTCGAAAGTATCAAGTACCTGGTCTTCACCAACACATGGCCGAGGTATGTTGAGGCAGAGATGGCCGGGAACGCATCGCCATAGACGAGCAACCATGAAAAAAGGAGGGAAAGAGGAGGAGGCCATTCATTTATCATCTCGCTGGGGAAAAAACTTGAACATCTGGACATGCTCACACATCCCTTGTAATACCCGTTGTCCTTTTAGGCTCGCGCCAGGCTGTGTGATAGGCTAATATGGTACCACGGTACACAACTCTGTTCATACGACATATCCTTTCACGTCCTTTTTGCTTCTCCACGCTGATTAGACAAACCCGGCGGCTCTTTGGACGGCGTTTTCGGCGGGTACAAAAGTGCGACCGAAAGTGCGTGACGCGATTTTGCAAACTACGGCTTGGTGTTCACATTGGGACTTGATGCTGCAAGTTGGTGTCGGCTGTATGAGTTTAACTAGAACTTTTGTTGGGCTGAGATGGATGTTATTTTAACTGTATTATTTGTGCGTGGGTTGAGATTGGTCACTGCAAGCAATTGCGATTTTCTGGCTAGGATAGTAAATGCACAGAACAGCAATTCTCACTTCAAGAGTTTCTTAAATAGCGTCCTGTCGCCGCCTACATGACTATTGTTATCGTGCAGCTTTCCGCTGTTACCGACATCCAACTTCCATTTCGACATTCTGCGCCGAATTCCATGCTCTTCTACGTGCCGTGCCATGCACCTCTGTCACAGTCACAGTCTCCTTCAGCCTTAAATCCCACCTCTTTCGGCTATTGTGCAACGAAACAGGTACCGTCGCATTCGCATTTCTCCACCCGGCTTCTTCTCCAGTGCCTGAATAATAGCAGATTCACAAGGCTGTGTTATACCTCTGCCATGTCGCAAAAGCCACAGTCTCTGAGAGTATTTTGAATGTTCATGCCGCTGGATGCGCACGCGACACCTTGTCCCGCGTGCTGAAGTAATTTTACGAATCCTTCTGTCTGAGAAGTATACTAGAGTGTAGACAACGGTGTCATGTGTTGATGAGGAACACCGCCGTTACAAACGGTGAAAATACTGAGATTTAAAAGAAAGGCCTCATTCTGGGTATAGGAACGAATAACGTTCATTCGCCCTTCGACCGGCTGACTTATCGACCTGGCGCTGGTGTGAGAACTAATCGTGTCTCCTCCGACCCCGACTCGGTGGTTATTCTAGCGTCACTTCTCGCTGTAGAAGATGACTCGGATGAATTGAGGGTGGGTCGGGTATCGTCGATCAAAAACCCACCCACTAAATTAAAACTCAATCGAAAGACTTTTCGCAGTCGAACTGTTGCATGAGTCGGACAAGGGCTTGCATTTTCCCCGGAATTCTCTGGTGAGGCCGAGACGGTTTCGGATTGGGCTTGGCGTGAATGCTTAACGCGCCAGCTTTGAGGTTATCCGTGACCCTGGGTTATGGTTGAGAATGGGTGCCTGGCCGGGCTTTTGGTGGGCTTAGGAAGTATGGAAGGGATGTCGGAGGTGGAATCGGATTGTAAGGTCGAAAGTGAAAGCGGTGAGTGTCACTAGATGATGGTGTGGATTAGGGTGGAGGTGGGCAGGTAGGCAGGTGATCATTTACAGACAGAGGCCTGATTTAAGGAATCACGAATAAAATATTTTGTTTGGTGATGGGCGGGAAGTGTGCATAAACCCACGCACGCCTGGTTTGATGAGGTGTCAATTCTAGTTGCTTTGAACGCTTCCCCAGCTTTGGGTCGGCAGGTCCGAATTCGGAAAAGCTTGCCAGTGGGTGGTTTCTAGACGAATTGATTCTCCAAGAGAATTCATGGATGGACATGTCGGCGACTCTTCTTGAACGGGAAGGTCAAAAGAGTGTCGATAGCTGTTGGGCTTGTCTACTTTGGGAGTGCTAGAGTGCTGGTTGTTCTCCCAGGCTCAACAATGTAGTTATCTCTATTCGAACTTCCAACAAAAAAGGCACGAATTTTAGGCGAGCCTTTGTAAGAAATGTCTCCCGTTACTTTTCGAGCACTTTTGTTCATTGAGGGTGGAAGAACACGGTGCGAGCCTCACACGAAGAAATTAGATCGCGATCCTCTGTCCTTGCATCTTCGTATTTCTTCATCTTACACATTTTGCACACTGGCTGCTCTAAGCACGAGTCGATGTGTTTCCACCTTCATTTCTCACATCTCTCTACGCCATCAGCACCGTGGCTGCCGGAGCTGAAAAGTCGAGTCAAACCCATTCAGGGGAGGGTGAAACTGTGGCACCGGAACTTTGCGTCCTCGGCTGCTGATTTCGTGCGTGCTTCTCAAACATGAGAGCTAGCGAGGGTAGAGCGTTGATGAGAAAGCGAGGAATTGCAAGGACTCGTGACCAAGAGTGGAGATCATTTCGAGGTTGGAATAAGGTGATGAGAACGAGGGGCTTTTCCCTTTGAGGTAAGCGCGATCTGGGTTGAGTCTTGTCTTTAACGGCCTCTTTCCTTCGTTACCCGAGCATCAGTACTATGAGCGTTACTGAGCCAGCCATGACGCCGCGACAGATTGCTTCTTTTAACTCTCGCTGCGTCCCACTAGCGAGCGACGAGAGGAAGCACTCTTGAATATCGCCAATAAGTATTGAGTATTATTTCCCGTTGACCTAATATCCCGTGAAGACGTCTTTTGTTTTCTAAGAGCTTGGTTTGTCCTTGAAGTGCGTCCAATAATGACTTTCCATTGTTAGGGGATGCTATCTGTTGATTATTGTCAGTCAACTGAGAGATTCTTTGAGCCAATTTACAATGTCGCAGTTACATGTGACCGCTTCATTTATACGCCCTCTTCACACAAAGACATTGTGTGCTAAATTCTTACACCAGCGTTCGCGAATGACGGCTCTCGAGAGCCTGTCACTAGAGTAAGTTAAGGCACCAAATCTAATTTCTGTTGGAAAAGGATGACGTGCGTATAATTCCCATTTTTCTTCAGGCAACTAACAGAACACTTCCATTGAACTGGCACATCGTGTATATTACAACTCGATACTTACCACACTCATTGCAAAGCCTCACGCCACCCCAGAATCTCACTGAGATTACCCCCTAGCAAGCTAGTTCGACTTAGACAACGATGGCTTGGCAATGCTGCGGCTGCGGATGCGTGAATTCAGGCGATGGGGATGAGGGAACCCCTTGCAGGCACTGCCCACACCCCCCATGTTGGGATTGCGGGCTGCTGGGAGCGAATATGAATCTAGGTGTTATTAAGAACGCTGCAAAGGTGCGTGTGCTCGAGAACCACCTCGAGGAACAGATGCATCAGGCTCAAACACCGCAGAAAAAGGAGAAAGAGTCAGGTTGCCGCACTATTATTTGAGGATTGTACACAGACCTTCGCCAGACTTTGGAGCCTGCTTCGCGGTCTTCTTATTATAAGAGTTTTGCTTCATCATACTCACTCCTGCTTTTTGGCATATTACCTCCTTCAATGCCCTTGGGAGTTCTGATGTATTCACGGTCTTAATACTTGATTCCATTTTCCTCTATTCCGTTTAACACACTCAACAACTCCATTTACCGACCCACTAAGCACAGTAACAAGCTCCCTTCATATATCGAAAAGCAAACCTCTCCCAGTTGATAGGCGCGGCCAAGGATGACTGTTGGAGCAAATTGGGAGTATTGTAGTATTCTGAATACGAACTTGGCAACATCGAAACTTCTTGCTTGACAGTGGAATGATTCCCGAGACTTTTGATATGCTGACTTTCGTACTTGTGAACGCTGTCCAGCTTTTCCCTCCAGCTAACGCGATCGGGGAGCAGGCGTTGATAGCGTGTCGGCCGCATGGGAAGTTCCATAGGTCAGGGAAACACTGAGGGCGTTGCATCCCAATTTCCCAACATCCAACTAGGCCAGCATTAGTAGTTTGGTAACGGCGTGACGTCTCTACCTAAGATTTGCTAAATGATGGTTGACACATGACTTTGGCACTTGGTTCTAGTGCTTGTAGAAATCCACAAATATAATTCAGGCGAAAGGTAAGAGCCCTACTTGCTGGTATCTAGAGAGCGACTCACGCAATCGATATTTAGAGAACAGCCAAAAAAGGGCCTACAGCGAGGACGTGGTGGGGACATTTGTTATTGGCTTAGTCATTCGCCAAGAGTTTCGCATTGGCACTGCGTCGCGCTTCTGAGGCCGCAGCATGGATAAACAACAGAGGCACCACAGTTTCCATCACCCGACCAACCTCCTAGCATGCGTAGCCTTCACACTACTTTTACCAGAGTTGTGCGCTTCAGCTGTTGACACTGAGCTCGCAACGGCCGACACAGAGCATCTCGCGCGCATTTGCCCCCGCTGGGCCGACACACCACGCCCCCTCCCTCACGTGCAAGCGCAAGGCGGAAACTCTCACCACTATCGGTCCCTCAACCGCCGCACCTTACCTGCCCTGAGCCTCGCGCTCTGACTCGCCCTATTCATACATATAGTCATGTCAGCCGCCGTTGCTATTGCGCGCCCATCGCAGGCACTCCGCCAGCGCCGCGAATCTCAGCGCCCAAGCCTCGCTCGCACCTCCACGGCCAGACCACCTAATATGGAGAGCGGTGTCGCTAAGGAAGACCCCAAGCAATATGGTAGGGATGGCACCTTTGCGACTGTGGCAGGGCTTGCTAACCACGCGCCTGCAGTGGTAACCCAGCGAGACATTCTGGCAAAGTTTAAAGGAAGCCCCCCGTCACTGAGGGTATTCCTCCACGCTGGCCACTTCCGCATCAATGACCATCAGGAAACCTTCCCTTACAATTCCCCTATGAAGGAACTGCTTCAGCACTTAAAAGAGAAGACAGTGCCTCACAATATGCTTGATGAATTCTATGCCGCCGGAGTACCCTTTTATGATAGTAAGTCCCATTGACTGTTCGCGACTCGGCAGGCCCTGACCCTTCAACGTAGATTGCCTGATTGTAGAAGTCCATGACCTTAAGTCCGGAGGCGTCAAGCCAAAGGATGATTCCAATAATGCCGCCGACGGAACAAAACTCACCCCCTACTCGATTCACAATTACAGCAACTTTATCACGCCTTCTCCACATGTTCCTTACCCTATTAAAACCGCCGCAAAACCACCCAATCTGGCAGATGGACCAGGCAAAGCGACTCCCGCTGGAGAAACTGTCAAGGAGGAAAAGGAGATAGACAAGGAAAACATGCCTGCCCCTGGCCAGCCCGCCTCCCAAAAACAGCCAACTAAAGCCAAGATCGTTACTGTCGTACTCTTTCCCACCCCTCTTTCACAGCATACCGACATGCAACTGCTGGCCACCACGCCATTGCCGGACATCCAGACGTATCGAAGAATTCAAGCGGCTGGCAGAGCAGCAGGGAATCCCCCTACACCCCTTACATCCGTTCCCCCCACTCCAACTCTGCCCAGTGGCCGCAGCCCCAAGCGACAAAAGATGGTGATCGACGAGACCAACGCCCACGAATTCGAGTCTGCAGTCCTTAACGCAACCTGTCCGAAACTACACCTTGAGCCTAGTAAGAGCTTACAAGAGTCGGTAGCACTCATTGAAGCCATGATGCATCCAAATAATCAGAATGCCGCGCCTGCCCGCAAGACTCGTAAGCGAACAACGGCAGAGCTAGCGGCTGACGAAGCTGCAGCTGCAGAAACTGACCGCTTCATGCTTGCGGGCGATGAATGGCAGGCGAGTAAAACAGTTGCAGCTGCCGGGGGAGACGAAGGGCAACCTACTATGCGTGGTGGTGCCAACTTCCAGACGTTCTCCCGCTTCAAGGCCTTGGAGTCTATCAAGGTGCGGCATGAAGAAGCAGAGAGGCGTAAGAAGGAAGAAGAGGCACGACAGGCCCAAGCTAAACGACAAGCGCAAGCCGAGGCTGAAGCTCAGAAGCGAAGAGATTTAGAGGCTAGCCGCCAGGCCGAACAGTCAGCGCTGGTGCAACAGAGGCAAGATCAGATGATGCGGCACCAGCAACAGCAACAAGCGATGCAACAAGAACAGTTGAGAGCTGCATCACAAGCCCAGCAAATGGCAAATACTTCGGCCGGTGGGGTTTCTCAGACTCCACAGTCAGCTACTCAACCTCAATTCTCGTCTCCTGTAGTGAGGCAACAAACGCCGATGGCCTCCTCGCCGCTTGTCCCCGCTCACGCTACCCACTCAATGGGCGGAACGCCTATGGTGACGACTTCTTCCAATCATGGGGCTGGTAGCCCTCCCAGACCGCCATCTGCCGTATCCCATCACCCAGCTTCCATGGCTCGGACAGTCAGTCAGCAACAAAATCAACCCATGAGCAGGACTGGAACCCCGCAGATTATCCAAGGCACACCTGTCATGAACTCTGCAATGCCTGCTCGTAACATGGCGTCCACCCCTCAACCACGTATAAACCAGGGTAGTCCCACCGTCTCTATGCAGGGAGGAACCCCCCTTATAATGCAGACCCCCCAACCTGGTCACGGCTTGACCCCAGAGCAGCTGCAAATGGCCCAAAGACGACAAATGCAACAGCGCATGCAGGCCCAGGCTCTTCAACAGGGCATGTCTCCTGGCCCAAACATGCCCCCCGAACAGTTCGCTATGATCAAAGCGAGCAATCAAATTCAGCGAGAAGGCATCCCACAAGGACAGAACCCACAGGCATACCAGAAGATGCTTGCCCAAAGATACTTCCAACAAATCCAACACAACCAGCAAGCCCAGCAAATGGCGAACATGTCTCCCCAGAATGCTGGCCAAATACGACCGGATGGCATGCCCAACCAAGGCATTCCCAATACTGGCGGTATCAATTCCGCTAATATGAATATACAGCAGCTGCGGAACCACTACGTCCAACGGCGAACGCAACTCATGAACACATATGGAACCACGCAGAACGTGCCACAACAGGCTATGCACCAGATGCGAAATCTCGAAATGCTGATCAACCAGCGCGAGAACGCAGCACAAGCCAATAACACTCAAATGCAATTGAATGCTGGCATGCAAAGTCAAATGGCCATGGCTGGGCAGAACCCGCAGAACCCTGTACAAATGCAGCAATACCAGCAGCTTATTCAACAGCGGGCACATCAAGCTCGTCAGCAGCAGCAGCTAAACTTGATGCGGCAACAGGGAATGGCTCCTAGTGGACATATGCAGCAGGGTATGATGAACAATATGGGCATGATGAATGCAGGAGGTGGAAATATGGGAGGCATGAACATGAACATGCAAAACATGGCTGGGATGAATATGGGGAACATGGGTATGGCTGGCATGGGCCAGATGGGAAATATCAGTCAGCAACAACAGCAACAGCAACAACAGCAACAGCAGCAGCAGCAGCAGCAAGTGCAAATGATGCTCATGAGACAGGCTCAGGCTCAGGCGCAGATGCGTGCTCAGGGTCAGCAAAGGCCTGGTGGGGGAGACGGCGCGATGGAGTGGAGTGGTGTTTAAGGATGAAAAGTTGTGGTATTAGAATCTGGTTTGGTATCGAGGTTAATGGTCTTCTGGGCGCATGAGGGTTTTCGAAAAGATACCCATGGGAGTGTCAGTGCATGGATTGGGCATTTTGGGTATGATATCTCAAGCTCCTCTCGTTCCGATTGATGTAGACATTTCAAGCATGGGTTGCATTGGAAGGCGTTGGATCAAAAGTGTATTATCTTGACGTATTACGAAGGCTACATTTGGACTCCTGAAATATTGGTAGTGTCAAATTAAGTGGTGCTTTCTTCTCCCGTTTTCATTTATGTCGACATTATCATCAAATACCTTCCTCGGGACTCTCCTCACGTAACTTGTTCTACTCATTCGCCAACATCAGTCATCCGCCCAGGCACCTACCTCGAGTAATCCTCAGCTCCCTTCTCTAACGTTGCCTGCTTAGACTTCTCTAAACCTTACGTTTCATAACCTTTTCTTTTGCTGCAACAACAACGCACATCCACTCCCGTCTTCCCTCGTATTCTTTGCTAGCGACAGATCATGATCGCTCTTTAAGAGACCTTATTCGTGGCGGCGGGTTCAATGTTTCTCTTCGCGCAAAACATGTTTCATTACTCCATACATTCCAGGACAAACCCAACAATCTAGTGTACATGAAGGAGCATCATAGGCGAAAACCAGATGAGGATTATTGCCCAACGCCGACCTGCCGACTGGGATGTATCATGACGAAACCAAAAAATTACGAAGCTAACAACAAATCCACCGTAACTCGTCTATCTCAACATTCATACACACGAGGGGACTAGTGTCGGGTTAGTCGGGATGGGGTTGGGGTTGATAGATTGTTCGCCTTCGGTTTCTCTATATCTTGTCTTATATTGCATTTTGAACTTGACTATGTTTACTTTAGCCACTAGATCCCAGTACTATGCATTCAGAGAACGTTTATATTCTTGGTAGACGTTATTGCTTGAACTGACGGCTTAACAGACAACTACTTGTTGTCTGCTCGCTCGGACATACACTTCGCTCTCCGGATTGTTGATACTAAAGCGTGTTTAACGTCTTGAAGGATATCCCTTTCTCCTCTGTTGTTTCTGGACTCATTCGTATAATCTGTCGCGCCGAGTGCTCCTATCAGAGCTGGCGTCGAGCAGATGTTGAAGGGTAGTATCCATCAGATCAGTTCGCCAAGGAGGATTGCAAATGCCCTACCCGTAAAGCGGAAACGACTGGGATGAAATGGTGTGAAATTGTTTCATACCTGGGAATCATTGACCCACCGTCGTCCCTGGCTCATTTAGTCCTTTATACACCGGTCCCTTTTATTCCTCTTTCCCGTTTTCTCTTCAACCACCTTCTCACTCCTCGTCCCACTTCCTCAACCCCTCCGGCGGCACCATCCACTTCCTTTCTCCACACATCCCAAAATAATCGCAAGCACACCGGCCCGGTGGTGGACACCTCACAGCCTCTTTTGTGAAAATATACGCCCACAGCTTTTCGAAGACACGTCCACTGATATCGTTGCTCAAACTCGTGTTCACTAACCAGTCCCTCATGCTTTCATACTCGGCTTTTGGTCGGCGGAGGATAGCGGATCGGGTTACTGCAAACTGCGCACAGCATTGGCTCGCAATCGTCCTCGGTAATTCTTCACTAGCGAAGAGTACGGCCCATGCCTCTGCAATCTCGACCTCGACCTCATGTCTCCAGACCCCGGGTCCCCAAACCACAGCATCCCGATCCAGTGGTCTGATTTCTGCAGGGCAGGAAGGGTACCAATCGCACCTTAACGGAGTATATCCTTCCTGATCTAGGGCGCGGAATCGGAGGGCATTAACAAGCTCCACAATGTCGCCCTCCTGATGCCAGGATGTGCGGTGCCCATGGATGAAGATTGAGTAAGTGGGTAGGGCGTCGTAGTTGTTGAGGATATAAGAGAGATACATCATTGCTTCATTACCTTTGTTGACTGGGAAGTACGTGGATGGGGGTGGGTGCGGGGAGTCGTGGTCGTATCGATGGAGGGTCCAGATGCTGAAGCGGTGGTTACGGTGTGTACAGAGATTGTTGATGAGGGGGTGAAAGGGGTAGTACGTACGGATTTTGGAGTTCGTGGACCCAGGATAAGTTTGTGGACAGGCTTACGGCTGCAACGATGGCGCCACTTGAGTCTAGAGGGTTGGAGATGGCATGGGTGGCTTCGGGTTCAGCGTTAGTGGAGGAGAAGGTGGAGGAGAGAATTGGTTGTGACACATGATTCTCTTCTAGGTTTGTTGGCACTGGCGCTCGACTTGAAATTTTTGTTACAGTCATCAACGTCGAGATCGGTCGCTGTTTCTGTGAGACTAGCGCAACCAGTGTCTCTTTCACATCCTGGGACGGTCCATTGCCATCATGTGAGACCACCAATGGCTCTCCGCTAAGTGTAGGTAACTTTGAACTGAAAGATGAAATAGATCGAATACTCGGGGCGCCATCAAAGCAAAAATGAAAGAAGACAAATAGAACAATCATACTAGAACAGAGAATGGCAGTGGACTTGAGCCTGCGACCTGGAAACGCCTGCATCATGGCTATGGTAGGCTAACTCGCAAAGATACATACAGGGAGAGAAGGAAGAGTGTCACAGCAATTCAATGAGAGGGGAGAAGTGAGGGACTCTGCCACTGATGAATGCGGCTTTCTCCTAGCAAACATATCATTCTCCACCGTGACTGGCGGGCTGAATTATGTATACCAACCCACCCTTTGTCTCACCTCATCTAAAAGCCGAAGTTGCCACTTATCCTCATTCTACAAAAGGGCCGAGCGACTAGACAATATGACGAGAGCATTTTGACTGCGGCCCAGGGCTGTGCAAACTGAACGAGGCTGCGCCCAAAAATGTGAAGATTTTGTATAATTGCCTAGGAACTCACAGTCGACTCGTTCTCCTCAGATCATACGATACTTGAGCACTGCGTACATAGCTGACGACGAGCCTGACGAAAGGAAATGGGGGCCTCAGGTCACGGTCTTTGAGTTGTCGCAAGATGATCACGAATGCGCTAAGCCTTTCTCGAATATGCTAGCCTGATTTATACTAAGCCATTTCTACTGCAACAGGGGTATATCGTTCTGAACTTTTAGTAGATGCCGAACCGTTCGTGCATTCATATGGTCCCGTTCTATGACTATCGTGTTTCGTTTGAACACCACATTCTTGATGTATTGCTAAACAAGTCGAAGTAGAGAAGGGAGAACGCTATCGCATCGAAACCCCTTCCTCTGGTTCATCGACTACGATAGAATCATTACCGAAACCTCCATCCTCACCTTCGTCGCTTGGAAGCTCGAATCGCATGAACTTCTCGTTCTTCGCCTCAGCTGGAAGTGGATGGTCAGTATACTACGAAGGAAATATGGACGACGTTGAGAGCACTTACTTCCCCATTCCACTACCTGTCCATCTTGGACCTCGCAATCCTTCAGCACCGTCTTGTCATCCGCCTTTGAAGGCCCGCCTTCAATCTTACATCTTCGCCCTAGTATGCAATCTGTGAGTTGTGCGTTTGGTCCAACTTCAACGCCATCCATCAGCAAGCACCGGAGTAACCGAGCGCCTTCGCTGATCTTGCAGTTCGAGCCGATAACACATTCCTTGATGTTAGTCTTTTCTTCCACGATCACATTTTCCGCCAGTAACGAGTTTTCGGACTCGACACGACATTTCCTGGGAATCGTTTCTCTATGGGCTATCTTCGCTTGGTGGGCGAAAGGTGATGCCGCATCCCGGCCAGCTTCCTCAATGGAGGGGAGTTTCGCGAGTCGGAGAGATACGGTGAGTAGCAGATGAGCTGTGTCAACTCTACGGATGAGGGGACATGAAGGACCTGATGGCTGCACATATGCCAGTATGGGGGGAATAGTAAGCTTCGCCTTGGGACTGATGGCTGTAGCGGCCTCTGGAATGTTAGAGTTCTGGACCCTTGAAGCCAGAATAGTGGGTTGCGATGCATTCGCCTGTGCAACGCCGGACCAAGTGCTACTAAGCGTGGAAAGATCAATTTCTTCGTCGGGGTCTTGGGAGCCGTCTAATTCTCCATCCGCATTGTCTGCGCCATGGAAAATTTGCCGAAGACCGAGCTTGTCTCCAAGTCCATCTTGCCAACCTGCTTTCGCCCACCACCCCAAAACCTCCTCGCCGACGCTCTCGAACTTTTCGTTCTTCCTAATCATTTCAATAACCCAATATGGGAAGAAGTAGATATGGGCGTCGCGGTGAGTGCTGAGCATTTTTATCCGGCCATGCTTGCGAATGAGCGAGTGCCGCACGGGCAGGCATTTGTTCTCCTCGGTGATGTCTTTCAGCGTGTCGGTCGGCACTGTGTATACTAAGGTTGAGATGTCGCGCCGCAATGAGTCTGAGGGTGGTGGTACGATGGGGGTTAGGAGAGGTGTCGTAGCAATGAAGTCGGTCTCTTCTCCTTTCATGCTTCCTTCTCCTTTAGTCTGATACCACACACCCAGGCCACCTCTTCGTCCAAGCCGCTCACCGCCAATGCCCATTGGCATCTTCCCTGAGCCTCTGAGGCCTCCCAGGCCAGCCTCCTCGACCATCCATGCATCTGCGAGTGCTGTGCCGTCCAACTCGCAGACAATATCGCACGGGAGCACAACGAAGTCACCCTTTATGGCGCACTGAACCTCTGGCAGCCGGAAGAGCTCTCCCGTACCTGTCTGGTGCGTGAGGTCCTTGGGTGCCAGGATGTCTGGTTTTGGTGCGGGGAGAGAAGTGAGATGTGGGTTTTGGGACATGGCGGCTTCAATGGCTTCCAGTGACTCTGGGGGGGTAACCACTACGATGTCTTTCGGGGAACCAATTAGCTTCCGCGTAAGAGCAGACATACGCACCCACCAGTAATGCCCATCCGATAACACCATTCTAATGGATACCACAGCATAGGCCGGTTTGCAATTGGCAGCAGGGCTTTTGGTATATCTTTTGGCGACGAGGTGAAGGTACTGAAGGAAGCACCGGGGCCGCACAGTATGAGGGCCTGGAAGCCAGGCGGAGGGAGAGTTGCGTGCGGCATGACGCCGGGTGGGATATTGCCGCGTCGTGGCTTGAATCAAGCTTAGATGAAAACTAAATTCGACCGGGCGGGAACAGGGAGTGAAGTGAAGCCGCAGGAAGGCCTTACCCTAGGGGGATATTCGTGATTGTGGGGGTTGGAATGAAGGTGAAGATAACCCCACCAAAACTTCTGGCGGGACCATGAATGACTCCTCGGCTGATCGTCGGCGGCATGTGCCTGTGGTCGCTCCTTTCCTGGACAGGGGTCCGTCATAGCTCCCAGCCACTCCCTCACCACCACAACAACACCCAGCTCTCCACTCCCTCACCGCTGTCCAAGACTCCCACCCCACACCCACATGCCCCTCGCGCACGACAAAAGAACATGAATTAAGTCCCTTCACCAACAATGTCCTTTTCCTACGACCGCTACGACCGTCGCCAATCGTCGAATCGCCGCACCACTTTCGGCTACTGGGTCCCCCTAGTCCTCACTGTCACCGTCGCAACCGCCGGTTTTGCGGCGTGGGTATGGAGCGAGCGACGCGACGACGACGATTCCTCCGACGATGCTGATTTGAGCTATGGCGAGGACGCAGACGGAAAGCGCCCGGCGGGGGCGCGCGACACGCAGTCGGAGGGGGCTACCCACGAGGAGAGCCTCATGGCGCGCGTTCACGGCGTTGTGCGGCGGACCCCCAGTCCCCAGCAGCTGTTTGATACTGTCAGTAAGAAGACCGCCGCAGGAGTCGCCGCCGCGGGTGCTGCTGTAGGAGGCGTGCTGGCCTCGATCCGCGAGGAGGACAAGGATGATTTCGGCGACCACAGCAGATGGTCCGAGGAAGCTGCCCTTCGGCGCAATGTCGCAGCGCAGTCGTCCCAGAGCGCTTCTGCGGCAGATGCGCAATCAAGGTCCTTCGCCGCTTCGGTGCGAGGTGGACCGCAGGCTGGCGTGAGGAGGAAGACTGTGGCGATCGTTGTGTCCGCCGAGTCTACAATGGACAATCCTCACGACGACGACGGCTCCTACCGCTCAGAAAACGCCGTAAGCCTCACACCACGCCGAGGTCAAGCATCACGCTAATGCGCACTAGACAATCCTCTCGCACCTCCCTGATACCGACTTCAACAAAACCAGACTGTTCGTTCTCATCTATTCGCCCTCTCTGCGATCGCGGCCAAACTCACGGACCGGCGCTGCTTCCCTTGGGTCCTCTTACTCAGCCATTTCCACCCCCGCCCACACGCCGGGCGAGGAACTTACCTCCATGGCTCCGCATCCCGAAGACACCATCTACACCCCGGCCATGTCAGCGCGAAGCTCAGACAACCATCTCTGGAACACTCTTCACGCGCAGGCGCTTAGGCTTGTGGAGAATCCAGCCATGGTTATGCCGTTCACAACTCTCACCGGCCACATCCATATGCTGAAGCACCTTGGTCCCGATCTTGTATATATGGTAGATGCACTCAGCGGGATGAACGGTGCTAATGTCGAAGACATCAAGCGCTGGGTTGGGCAGACCATCGTGGTTGTCGGCAGCGACGGCACGGGCCTTGGAGGGTTGGTTGATACTGATGATGAGGGCCCAGCCTCGAAGCCGAAATCCGAGCACGATCACGGCCACGGCAGCAGATGGTGGGAGAGTGCAGACATGGTCGGCTTGGGTAAGGGCGTAGAGGTAGTAGATGCAGTCCGACTCGCCGACGATTTTGAAAGGAGGGCTGTAGGCAGGGATTAATGGATTATTGCTTGGATTTCAACAGGCGATACGTCGCTTTCTACGAGTACTTGGATATTTTGTCAGTATGTTTGTAACGAAATATGAATTGTTTGTCTATATCTAAAGGATGACCCCCATCCCAGTTCGTGATTCGAGTCTTTAGAGCCTTCAGGCGTGCCTGCCAATTTTGGAACCTCGAAACACCGGGGACTAATCACGGAGCCAGCACGTGGACAGGATACGAGAAACGCCTTACCACCGACAATGGAACATTGCCAGACCTCACCCTTCCAAACCACCCCCCCCCAACCTTCAAGGCAACAGCGCCTCTCAAGACGCTTTCTTGAACTCCCCACCCTCTTTTCACTGATGATTTAGTCAGTTTCTCTAGAATCTAGCCATCAATAAAATCCCTAGAGTCGCAAAGCTATGGGTGCCCACCCATCTTCGAATCAATCTCAAAAATTCAAGCCCGAGGACAGGGTGCACCCCGTGGACCCAGTCCCATCACCAGATCCAAGACGTTCCCCCCGTGTGAAACCAAGCCGTCGCAACAAGTTTCTAGACTGGATCGACTATCGTGGCAGTGTTTATTCCCCTGGGCCTCCCGCGGCTGGGGCTGACGAACGTAGTAAAACACCTCCCAAGCCCTTCCCACCGCTTCTCGAATCCACGGCGTCCTCTCCCATTGGATCATTTGGCCCCTCCCTTTTTGATTATGAGGAAAACGTCCCGCAGAAGCTTTCTAGCCATTCTCCTCCCGGCAAAGACTTTCCAGCTGTGGCTGATCATAGTCGGCAGGGTTGTGAGAGTCAAGATCCAAAAGAATCTCTTGGCTTTCTGGGTTGGTATGGGCGCATACGGCAGCGGCATCAATCTGAATCTTATTCACCAGATCCCGCCTATCTCAAAAGGACGAACAGTTCTAGTATATCCTCCGTGGATATGCCCAGTCATCTTACACCCTTCATCCCTTACATTGAAAAGTGTTCTGACGATTCTGAGACCAAAATACCACTTCTTGGACAAAGTCCTAGGGGGATCCAATTAGATGCTCTTCGCAGCTGGCTTCGAATTTGCAGCACACAGCATGGACTTTTATGTCAAGGGGATAGCCAAGAGGAACAAGGCTCGTGGAGTGGGCCTTTGCTCCTTATAGACGTTCAGAAACAGTGTTTGGTACCCGTGGCTTCACAGACGAGATATGTTGCCTTGAGCTACGTGTGGGGCCAGTCCCAGTCTTCTTGCACCACGAAAGAGACTGTCAATATCCTCTATCAAGCAGGTAGTCTCACCCACGGACCAATTGATCTACCTAGCACGGTCCAAGACGCAATAGATCTAGTGCTTGGTCTCGGCGAGCGCTATCTGTGGGTAGACAGATATTGCATTGTTCAGGACGACAGCATTGCGAAACAGTGCCAGCTGAATGCGATGGACAAAATTTATGCTAACTCTTTCTTCACAATCTTTGCAGCGCAGAATGAAGATGCAGCAGATGGACTTTATGGCGACCGAAGGGTCCTATCCAACTGCGGTTCAGATAAAACAGATTTCTTCCTTCGTCAAAGTAACCGTCAATTCATGTTAGGCCATGCAAGAAAGTTGATGCGGAGCAAATGGTATTCTCGAGGCTGGACCTTCCAAGAACATTTATTTGCTCCCCGAAGACTGCTCTTCCATGACGACACCGTAAACTGGGAATGCGGCTGTGCTGCTTGGCATGAGGGACAGGATCTTTCCGTTCTCGAGGATGACCGAAGGCCCCCATTGAGCAACCCCAAACCCCGATCTCAATATATCACTATACCACGGACTGGCTTTGACTGCACCCCTTGGCCAGATATGTTCAGATACTCGCGTCTAGTATCCATGTACAATCGGCGAGACCTAACGTTTCCAGAAGATGTCCTCGATGCCTTCACCGGAACTCTTTCCTACTTGAGTATCATATTCGAGGGCAGCTTCATTTGTGGCTTGCCACAGTTCTGCTTCGACGCGGCTCTTCTCTGGCAGCCATGGGATGTACTTGAGCGTCGTATTAGCGCAAAGCGAATAGCCCCTGAAGCGGTCCTTCCGAGTTGGTCATGGGTAGGATGGTCAGGAACATTAAACTCAGAAAGCTGGAGAAGTACAAGCACGTACATGAAAGAGCCTTTAGATGTTCCGAATAAGAATGCGCAGTGTTCGTGGATGACCCGAAGTACAGTTTCTTGGACTCACTCGGAGACACTATACGGCAAACAAAGACCCGTCAGAGTTTCAGCCCTGGTATTGCAGCCTTTACTTAATGCTAATAGAGTAGAGCTTCCTAAGGGATGGTCCCGGCACATTGACAAAAATGACGAGATCGTGTATCGACATGACTGTGACCCTGCCCAAGACTTCCGATACCCAATTCCTATCCGCGACCAACACCGCGCCCACATGCCGCCCATGAACTCCCGCTACCTTCACACCAAAACCCGCCGTGCCTTTTTCAAACTTGGAGAAGCATACAGCAGTATTGCATCCGTCTGCACCGCCGTCGACATTCTCGACTCCAGCGACGCTTGGTCCGGGGCCCTACGAATCAACCAAAGCTCATCCGAAGACAATATATTTACATATTTAAACACTTCAGTAGAGCTGGTAGAGATATCAGCCGGGTCGGTGAAGAACCAGGATGTTGAGGAAAATTGCTTTGAGGAGTGGAATCGAAAGCAGTGTCCGAGACATCTGGGATTGTATGAGTTTTATAATGTTCTGTGGGTGGAGTGGCGAGAGGGAGTGGCGTATCGGAAGGCACTTGGGAGGGTGGAGATGAGTGCTTGGGAGAAGGTTGCCAAGGAAGTGATCAATCTGGCTCTTGGATGAATAGTAAGCGATGTTCTCTATGGGGAAAATTGACCCCACCAAATTCCATTTCCGCTTTCGAACCTGAGCATACAAGGGTTTAAAACTGAGCAGTGACTAAGTAACCTGACCCTGTGGCTATGCAATCCTGAATAGGTCTTGGGAGCCTGGTCAAGCCTAAGTCGAGAATTAGTTTGAATCTGGGATAACTAGCATCCTAGATTCGTATCATTTCCATTCTCACTGGTTCAGTTCTTGACACATGGTCTAGTTTTAGGCCTTTAAGCTCGTTTATCCTTGCCTTTAAAAACTACTGGCCAAGTAACGTTATAGAGGATGGATGGATGGATTCATGTATTCTAATCTCTTCCAAAGGATTTGTAGGCTACTACTACTACTACTACTACTACTAATGTTTATTCTTGTGTTCTATATACATAATGTGACACTTAAGCTGCAATAGATATCAGGGATCAGAGCGTCATAGATTTCGGATTGAGATGCTTGAGAGAGAGAGAGGCATACAGCCCCCTCAACTGATACGCGCCACAGTGGGCCTCCTCTGACTAAGCGGTTGCCTGAGGCCATAAGACTCACATAATTTGACAACTTACGTTCTGTCTAAAATCCGTTAAATGCTTCTAATTATAGTGTATATGTGAATATCCCATACTGAAATTCGCATTCGCCTCCACGGGAAGCTGTGGTTCAACGTTAGCTCAATTCTCCACCAAACCTCAACACAGCCAGATCTTCCTGCACTGCGACTCTTCAAACCCCTCCCCCTTCATAATGCCATGAACATACGCATCTCCAACGACCTGATACATGCTCTCACATGGACGAAGAATCAAAGGCACTCGACCGCCCTTGAACACCGCAATCATATCTCCCTCCTTCACTCCATCTGGCGCTAATCCAAAGTATCCCCCTTTTGTTCGAATCATCCTTCGATTCTTTGTTGACATTGTCAATCTGCGAAGGAAAGTATTGGACCGATTCATGGCCATGTCTTGTCCTCGAAGTATTGCCAGCAGACTGCGTAACATTGAGCCAGTGACCGTGACCAAAAGGTATAGCAGTGGAAACCTGATCATGGATATGCGGAGGCGCCGGGCCATGGCGCTATTCTCCAGACTTGCCAAGTGAAAGACATACTGGCTTGACCATGAATCAAAGTTGACTTCCCTATCTAGCTTCTTCGTTGCTAGTTGGTCAATTAATTGATCCACCTTGGACAGATGCTCTTCTCCGTCAGTCGTCAGAGTGGCACAATAAGCATCAAAACCAGACTCGCCAGTCACGTATGGCTCCTTGATCCTACAAATCTTCTCAAGGCTTCGATAGTGAGTTACGGCCTTGATGGTATCCTGGCAGCTGAGTATTTTATCTGTAAAAGGCTCGCTGACCTTGATGACGGTGTCGAGAAGGACTCCCACCAGAGCCAAATGATCGTTGTTTGCTCCAATCTCAACTTCAACTTCGGAACCTTTTGACGCTGAATAGTCACCAAATGGTTCACCATACAACCCTCGGCAGGTGAATGAAGCCGACTTGGAGGTAGAAGCAAACCAATTCGGGACCCATGACGGCAAATTGTCCAACCCGAAAGCTTTCGCTTCTTCACTGCCGCATTCCGCACTGCTCAATACACTTAACAGGTCAAGTTCTGGATAAAACTCAAACATCCTAATGGCAACTTCTTTGTACCATTCCCGGGCACTGACCAGCGGATTGCAATTAGCTTTCAACACCATCTTCTCCTTTCCCCCATCAGGGCTGACATCGCCCGCTAGTGACAAAAAGGCGTTAACTTTGTCTTTTGGTTCTTTTGCCAAGCAAAACTGATGTTGGCTTAAAACATCCCGCAATGCGCTTGATGGCCGCAGCCATGTACTGTGGATTGCCGCAGACGCCCTCTGCATTGCGGTAAACGCCAAAGCCTCCTCTTCACTCGCCTGAGACGGGATCTCAATCTGTGTACCGCAAGTGAGTGCCCGTGCTAGGTCCCAGTAGGGAATCTCTGCGCTCCCGCAATGTACCACGGCCCGCGTTGGTCTCAATGCAATCTCTTGAACGACCCACGAACGACGGAACCATGGCCTTCGAACCAAGTTCATCATTTCAAGATAATCCGGCAGTTCCTTGATATCAGGTATCCCATAGGCTGCGCAGACTTCACTGGTCATCTGCAGAAACTTCTCTGGCGCGGTTAAAATTTGTGTTTCTTCTGTCGACTTTGCGACTTTCCGTGCCATGGCAATGCCTCGAGCGGCTGATTTCGTGTTGGTGTCTTCTCCAAGCCAGACAAAGACTACCGAAGCAAGCGTGTAGATGCCATGCATGAGAGCAATCTGATGCTCCTTTTCGACATTGTCGGATTGATTGATGCAGATTTGATCGGCCCAAACATACTGGCAACCGCTCTGGCGCATTCTTGCAAGTGCTAGGAGGAGGCTGAGTGTGACTGGTTTGCGGTATTCGTTGCAAAGAATGGCTGGATGACAAGTGCCGGGAATCGTGGGAACGTTGGTGTCATCCCAACAATAGGACAGAGCATGATACTGAAGTTTCGAAGCCTCTTCCAATGATAAGTGGATCAAGTCGCAAGATATCACCTCATTGCTTTGAGATGGATGAAGTTTCATCAGTCGGATTTCTCTTAGACTCGAATTCAAAGGCCGGTAATCCAAGATCGAATCCGAATCAGGACATTGTGGTAGAATGTCGCTAATCACCTGCGGTTCTTCGGAGCTTTTGTTGGCATTGAGTTCTATTGCAGCCTTTTTGAGGTCATAAATTGGTGACCATAGACGATGAACTGCCCATTTTGCAAGGCTGCAAAAATTCACAACTGGCTCTCCGACTGTTTCCCAAGCCGAGAAGCCAGCTTTCATACCAATGATGAATGCAAATGAGCAACATGAAGCTCCGAAGGTGCTTTGAAGCAGAGAGTATCCATTCAGATGGAAAGCAAAAGAGGTAAAAATCCAGTGACAGACGACGAGGAAGTTGCTCATGTTTTCAAATCAAACGCAATCAAAGACCTTTGGGGACATAAATCTTGCATGCTCCACGTTCCCTTCTTATCCATTCGCGATCGGAAATGAAGGAACATAATGGCTGAAAGCTGAAAGGCACTCTCCGTGTTGTTTGCAGGGGCAGAGGAATTACCCCTGAATGAGCCACTTTGAAGCTATGCTTCAGGTATAACCCAATTCTCTTAAAAAAAAAAAAAATTTGATTGCCTTCTGTTGGCTTCTTGCATGGCTCCCACATCAGACTCATTTCATTCGTGTTCCCATCATTCCACTCCCCATCATCGAAGTCCATTGAACTATCACTGGGTTCCCCTTCATCAGATTCTTCTATAGTTTGGACTATTCCGTCAGTCTTCAGAGATCAAGCAGTCGGTCCAGTCCGACTACACTGTTTGGACGCATGGACGGTTTCGATTTATATCTAATCTTTTGGATTCTCTGAGTAGAAAATACAAGTAGCCATGAGGCTGGGCACCTTCCCCCTTTTCGGGGTAATGACCAAGTGGTGGCTGGTGCTCAAAGATGCATCAAGCCACAGAGTAGCTAACATGATGAACGACGCATCTGCCGTTCTCTCTGAAGCCACCACCAATCCACTCTACATTCCGACGTCTTTTATTCGCACTAATGCTCTCCTGCAACCATTCTCGTCCTCCTTGCCTGTTCTAAGCCAGCTTTTTGGCCAACCATCTAGAGTCCTCATCGAGGTTGGGCAATACCATTCGGCAACAAACTTGTCTGACCCTCACCACCTCCACTCCTTTGCGTACCACTCTCATGTCGGCTGCCAGAGGCTCGGAATTCATGCTCGAGGAATTATCTTGGGTTCGAGGACGATGGGATGTCGTATAGGCTGAATTTTGGTCCTGCGATCAACCACTAGTGGTGTTGAGTCTCTTGGAGGCATATTCACGACACCAAAGCTCTTTTATCGTCGGTGCCAATGTGCCATAGCGCATAGGAGGTAGTGGCTCGAACCCGTGACACCCGCTGTCTCAGATTTGGGCCAGTCCGAGCTTGCTTAGGCGCTGCTCAGGGAAGCACCGCCACATTCTCCGGATCGCTTAGTCATCGCTTAGTTTTCAACACTATATGCGCAGGTTTACAAGTGAAAATGGAATTTGGTAGGATTAGTCTAGTAGAAAGAGTATATTGCTTATCCAGACCTCGCGGCAATCTTGAACGGCTAAGCAAGTGTTTTCGTTGCGAACAACGGGAGTAAAGGCAGGAGAGGCCGCCAAATTTCGTTGGACTCGCTTAGAAAGAGGATGACTGCCTAGAGGCTGGCTGCATAAAAAGAGGCTGGCCGCTGAGAAAGAGGCTGGCGGCTTACAGGGAGGATGACCGCTGAGGAAGAGACTGGCCTTAGAAAGAGGATGCGCTCGGCAATCAGTTAATACCAGAAACTTGAACTAGCCTTTGTATGGCCGTCCTGCATGAGTGACCCAGTTCTGTTACATCCCATAAAATGGCCTATTTCTGGGCCATTGCTGCCATCCTCACCGCGTAGCCCATTCTAGACTTCATTGTCCGCTCATTCCTAAGTCTATATTTCGCGCAGAGTTGATAGAAAATAATAATAAGGATTGTCCACTATTTTCTATAATTGGGCTGGCTAACGGAGTTTGGATAGAAGGGTGAGCCCAAAGTATCCGGAGCAGTGGGTGTAATCTGATAGCTGCCGACTGAGCCGAAGTTGAGCCGAGTGAATATTTGCTTACAAAACCGGAGATGCGGCGCTAATCAAAAGAGGAAATCAAGTGAGGTTAGTTAGTCGGCGATATTAGCTGAGTATTACTGCCGCTGAATTCCCATCCAACATATTCTATCCCAGTGAAAATACCAGCAGTCAAGCGATGTATGGACTGGGGCACATTTATTCGAGGACCCTAATCTCTTGGATGCCCCAGCGCTGAACAAAGATACTTCGTGATACCCCCCTAGTATTATTGGCGCTGACCGTCTGCTTAATGATTGGCAAGACTTTCGCATTACGACAGGGGCGGTGCAATGCATTTTGCACATTTGGCCCCAACTGATCAACATCTGAGCAATCAACTCGGAAAAGCCAGTAAGCGAATGCCCCTAAAAACTGATAATTTGGAAGCTTTCTGACCCTGTTTAGCGCCACGGCATGCAGATAAGAGACGTGAAACTCGCATCTGTGTTGTTAAAGTCAACCTCCGCGCTTCCATATTCTGCGCACTGTCCGGGTCCCCCCTTCCCGCATTCTGTAACGGATTTTTGAAAGATGGCGGACTTGACGCGGATATCTCGCCATTCTCATGGAGAATATACGGCCTTGGTTTCGGACCAGACCTTACTTGACGGCCAGAATTCCCCTGAATTTGAAACGCAGCTGTCTCCTCCACCCCTAACGCCTGCAACAACGTCGAAAAGTTCAGCCTCCTCGACCAAGATGGAAGACCAGTCCAGATCCGTTTCCATGTCCCAAGAACATTTCGAAAAACCTCATTCTCGTCCATCATGGAGACGCCATCTACGATTTAATTGGTGGTGGGAAGCTGGAGGACTTTGCCTCTCAATTCTCTGTGTCGCGTTGATCGCAGCCATCATGTTTTCGATGCATAACAGAGCACTCCCAGACTGGAATCTCCCGATTCAGCCCAACTCCCTCATCGCCGTCTTCTCCACAATCGCGAAAACCGCTCTGTTAGTCACAATCGCCGAATGTATTAGCCAGTTGAAATGGGCATATTTCCAGAAACCTCGAAATTTGAACGAACTTCAGGTATTCGACGACGCAAGTAGAGGTCCATGGGGCTCTCTAGTCTTCCTATGGAAGACAGGGGGAACTGCACTTCTTGCCTCTGTCGGCGCCGTCCTCACCATTCTTTTACTGTTGTTTGAGCCATTTGCTCAACAAGTCCTCGAGTTCCCTTCTCGGCTTTCTGTGTTGAAGAATGAGACAGGGTGGATGTCAGCGTCACATGCGTTTTCTGACTTCGGCTTTCAGAAAAATTTTGGCACTATCGGAGAATTTAACTTACAGTTAAATATCGAAGACCACCTCCAATCTGTGCCGTCCCAAGCCATACCTCCCTTCCACTGTCCAACCGACGAGTGCACCATACCAGACTTCTCCACTTTGGGGGTATGCACTAGCTGCGAAAGTCACGACGTTAGTGTCGATAAAGGCTTGGACTGCGTTTTCAAGATACGTAACGTGGATGGACTAAAGCATGGTGACTTCTATCACACAATTGGAGACCGCGATGCTTTCCAGAAAGCCTTACTAGCCAGCAAGAATAGCACGTTGACTGGACCGCCAAGCTACAATGGTACCAAGCTGAATAATGAAAGTGTTCTCGGGAATTGTACGGTAAAAGACGATATATACCCCGATTATAGTATTACCGTTTTGGGCGATGCTTGCATCCAACAAAGCGATATCGACTTTCTTAATTGGACCGCGCCAACGTTTGGAACTGACATCACGGAATCAAAGTTCGTTGATGGGGAGCCAACCTACGAGAGCTTTGATTCCGTCTTTCGAATGGTGAGCTTCAACATGACATCGAACTTCACTTCCACCCGAAACGTTGGCCTATGTGGGGACATCAAAGCAACAATCAGTCTCTGCCGTCTGACCTTCTGTGTTCATTCGTATCAAAAAAACACCATCAGTAAGGGCCACGCAAAGACCCAAACAATCACCAAACTCCCACTCAAAACCAAAGGAAACGCAACTATGCCTTCAACCGCAACCGACGCACCATTCGCAGACCTTCTTGCCGTTGCCGGAGACCCACCTGGCACATTCGCCCTCGGCCCGCGTTCTCGTCATTACTTCAATTACGAAATAACTCGCCACGTTGATGGCTACCTTCAACATAACTACACCTGGGCCAACGACAGCATGGAAGCGCATCAATTTTTCGTTAACAATCTCGCAGACGGGCTGTCGGAATTTCTGCGCAGTACGAACAATGCTAATATGACAAATGTGACTGGTTCCGCATTCGGTCCGCAAACGTATATTCGTGTGAGGTGGCAGTGGTTAATTATACCACTGGCAACTGTGGTTGCTACGGTAGTGTTTTTCTTTTTCACGGTCCTGGAAAGTGGGAGGGCGAGGATTTTGTTCAAGTCCAGCGCTTTGGCGGCGCTGTTCCATGGGTTGGAGGGTTGGAGTGGGGAGGAGTTGAAGTATACTGAGGTTGGTGTGAAGGAGGGAGGGAGGGAGCAGGAAACGGCAAAGGGATTGGCGAGAAGGGCCGAGGGGATGAGAGCTGCGTTGAGAAGGAACGGAGAAGGGGTACTGAAGTTTGTGAAGCAAGAATGATGGCTTTGGCTGGTCAAATTTTGTTCCTAGGGCACCAAAGAATCTCCAAGCCTCATTGCATCCAGAAAAGGGTAGTCCAGTTCGGCTGGTACGGAAAGAGCGATATCGATCATTTTCTAGCCGTGAAGAGTATTAGGGGAGCCGAGATGCATGACTCCTTCTGAATAGAGTGGCTTGTTGCACAGAAAGGAAGTTTATGGGCACTGGATAAGAGGAACGCAACACTACTCGCCTTATCGAGGGCTTGACTACGTCCCGGCGAAGGCATGCCAGGTTTGGGAATAAGGCAAGCACATCATAACTCACATGTCAGCGTCGATGAACATGAGGAAAGCCAATATGGACAACAGCTTCTGGATAGAAGTGGCATACAGCACAGCAAGTGAGTCCTTTGAGTTCAGGATAAACAAGTGCACTTATTCTTCACCTCCGCTCACTAATATCATCGTCGCCCCCCTCTTGGCTGCTCTTAGTCTGCGACTTTCTCTGCCACGCCATGCAGACTCTCTTCTCAATAACACCTACCCCTCCGCCAGACCTCTCCCGCCCTAGACTTCGGCAGCTAGCATCATGGATCCGTGATGATCTTGATCCCATCATTGCCCGAGAGGGCCCAGACAAGCTGCATCCGGATGATGTATTGACACTGCATGAAGTCTTCCAAGCCCTCCTTCACTCACAGGCGATCACCGCTTTGGATCTGCGGGCCACACGAATCCACAAGGCCGTCCAAGAGGTGGCCGGAAAGGCGACCAGATGGCCTGGTCGACTAGCAGACGATTGTGACCGAATCATTGCCGTCTGGGAGGTGAAGTTCGGAAGACTGGATTACCTCTATCCGTTCATGTATGGGAGGGGTGGCAGATTGGAGGGTATTGCCAGTGCAGATGAATTTTCCAAAATGGTAAGATCTTTCATGGTGGATATGTTAATGCACACTGCCAACGTGGAATCTCGTAGGCGCTCATCAAACGGTGGGCAAATACCTGCCCAGAGAGGATCATGCCGAAGACGTCTCGAAGACACGGTAGCCTGGGTTTCACAGCAGGAGCGTATGTTCTCGGGATAATTCGTTTCCTGGAGAGCGAAGTGCTGGTGCTGATGATATAAATAGATGGTGGCTCAATCCTCTCTTCGCGCATCACGCCGGCATAATCGATCTCGAATCAACCGAGGGCGGCATCTGCTTTGACAAACATGGAGCGTACGCAGTGCTTCTTAAGGACACGGGCGAGATTGATGCACCATCACAAGACCAGCTCACCTACCGTTGCCCACGAGACGATAAAGGCAGATATCGCCTCACTTCAGTGGACTTCAGAAGTAGAAATCCAGTACGGATACTTCGCAGCCATAGCCTTAACAGTGTTTGGGGTCCAAAGGCTGGTCTGCGGTATGAAGGCTTGTAAGTGCTTCCACATTGCCAACCTGTGCTTGCGGTAATTCATTAGATAGGTTTCGAGTTGTGGGCTGGATCGTTCGTACAATACAACCTCGTGATGTCATAGGGCTTGAGAACAAAGTCGGCGATATAGTCTTCGAAGTCAAATTCGAGAGGGAGGATCCGGTGCCGATGGATGAGGTCTTGAAACATCCTACATCAACCGAGACTGACGATTATGCCGAGTATAAGCGCCTCCGGCGAGCTCATCGTGAGAGACACCATCATCAACAGAAAGCACCGCCGGTTGCCACTCACATAGATCCCCAGAGGATTGACACGAATGTCCCCGCTCCACCGCCTCCTATCAATGCCCCGGTGGCCGTTGGATTTGGTTCATCTAACATTCATACGCGTGCTTCATCTAAGGGTAGTGTACGCCGTACTCCATCGCGGCAGACTCTCCTCAAAGATGCAGCGCCCATATTGCCTGGACAACATAAAAATAATGGGAACGGGGATCCTCCTGGGCTCCCAGCGAAGCCACCGGACGAAGAATCGGTTCGAAGCATAGGCGCGAAGGGTGCGCTGGGTGCACGCTCTATCTCTCCAGCGCTGCTTCAAAAAAACCACTCGGTACACAGTGACTCGCACCCGTCGTTGTTGAAACAATCGAGTTCGTTAAAGAGCGGCTATACTAATCAAAATCATTTAAGTGACATCCGAGAAATCGCGCCTTGGATCGATTACGAGCTCCACCCAAGTCATCCACCATCCATCAAGAGTCGACCCCCGAGCATTCGGAAGGAGACTGACAGAATTTCTCCAAATGCAACACGAGTTATCTCATCGCAGGCCCAGTCTTCAATCTCGACAAGTATTGGTAGAGGGTCCCCGAGTCCGACTGTCGATGCCGAAAAGCGGAAGAGGAGCCACGAGAGAAGCGGCATAAAATTTGCGATTCCAAGCTTGGCTAAGAAACAGAGCCTCCGCTCTGTGAGGGCTGTTCCCCGCAGCCTGAATCCCCTGGCCAAGCTTTTCGACGGCGGGGCGGAGGGCATTGATCCTGAGCGAGGGTATTGCTCTGAGGAGGACTGCCTCACGTATCCGAGACGAGAAGCTAGAATGGGCGAGGGGCGGCAGCGAGCAAGTTCGTCTAGCGCTACGGTTCACCCCCTAAGCCCAATTCCGGTCCGTCCACTCAGCCCAATGAGTCTGTTGATCTCGCGGCGCCGAGATGCAATTGTCTACCCCCACGGCTTCGCTGCAGCCGGGACTATCAGGTCTTCACAGGAATCCGCGACTTCCTCTTTCGTGGAAGACCCCTTCATCGATGCACCTCGTCAGCGAGAGAACGGCGTATCTTCCTTCAATAACGTCCAGATACTCGGTTCCTCAGAAGCACAACTCATCATAACAAACATACCACAAGAGCGTAAACACCGACCCTCCATCCCCGCGGCCCTCAAAGACTTTATAACGCTCTCCCCTGCCGCCACACCTGTCAGCGTTGCAGCCGCTATCTCAACGCCCCTCTCCGGTCATGCTTCTAGCAGCGCTAGTGCGAGTGCGAGCAAAATCGATGGTGGTTCGTCGCCTGCATCGGAAGCGGAACGGGCTTTGAGGAATGCAATTGGAGGGAAGATTATGGGGCCCAGTGAGAGGAGAATTTTATTCAAGGACCCATTTAAGGAGATTAAGAGGAGTGGCGGGAAGGGGTGGAGGGATAGTGTGGAGAAGTTGGCGCCAGAGTCTTTCGGCTGAGGGAGAAGGTGATGAGAGTTGAGTGGGAAGTCACGGGCGGAAAATGGTAATGATCGGATATGAATATTATTGGTGTGAGGTTGTAATAGTGAGGTGCTCTTAGGAAAGAGGGATAGGCTTGGATGAAACTTTGAAGGTTGGTTGAACAGTGAGTGTAACAACGTAGCAAGTAGCTCATTCAGAAATATAACTATTTCCATACAAAAAATCAATAAACAGTCCCTAGTATCCTCAACGCTCCTCCTCCCTCATAGCTCCATAACCCCACAACCACCAGCCTTCGCCCTTCTCTTACAGTGTAAATAACACGACCCCCTTCCCCTGCGCTTCTGCCTTGGCCTTCACCCTCCTATTATCTCTCTTCAACGCCACCTTCATCCCCCCCGCACACACACAAACCAGCCCCCAAAGTACATCATCGATATCTGCGCCAACACGTACCTAGGCCCATCGCCTTCCCTAAAAAAAAATACGGAGACCAAATATTCCCTAACTGGCTTAGCAAATTCACCTTGGCGGTCGCACACGCGCGCTTCCCGGGAGTCACTAGCAGCCCATTAGAACACCATTGCGGTAGAGGCAAAGGTGCCGGAGATGAAAAGGAAGGAGGAGAAGTAGCGGGTGGAGATTTTGAGGGTCGAGACGGAGATTACAAAGCCAATGAGCGTGGATGATGATGTGGTAGCCGCGTTCGCGGTGGCGGTCCGAGGACCAGGCGAAGTACATAAAAGGATATTAGGGCTGCAAAGAGGTAGGGAGGGGCTTTTAGAAGGAGGGTTACGGCATTGGTGCTCAGGTGGAGTCCTTTGACAATAGAGGGGTCTGGGAACAAGGTTAGTTCCAAATCCCAGATATGAGAGAGAGGGTATGCACGGGAGAAAACGTCAGCCATGAGTTCTTGCTTTGACCTGTACTTACAGACATTGTTAAACTCATACACAGAATAATTAATCGCCCTCATCAATACGAAAACCCACGTCATGAAGTCCGTCGCCGCCAACTTCAACCCATACCAAATCGAATGATTACTCTCCTGATCCGTCACCCGATCTGCTGCAATCCTATGAATTTCCAACTCGCGTTCCTCCGCAGTCAGTAACCATTTCGCAACGCCGGACTTGTGTTCTGGGAAATCAGACAGGACTAGAAACGCACATGCTGCGGAAAAAATGCCAGCACCCTCGATAATGAACAATCACCTCCATCCGGCAATTCCCCTTGAGACATCTAGATTTCCGAAGATGGCGGCGGCGATGAGGCCGGAGAAGGCGGTTGCGAGAGAGAGGCCGGAATATAAGATTGCGGTGCGGAGAGCGAGTTCTTTGTGCGTGTATCATGTGGATAGGGATGGGGAATGGAGAGGGATCGCCTATTAGAAGATGGAAATTATATCGCGATAACTCCATCGTCTTCAATCTGGTGCTGGTGCTGGTGCTGGTGCTGTATTGTTTGGTGATGGTCCACAATACGCATAAAGTCAAAAACGAAACCACACCCACTTACCCAACATTCAAGATCGACACAGCTGTGTTGAACTCACTTCCCTCCAGCCCTAAATCCTTCTCGAAGGTATTCAGCTTCGCTTGACTAACCATCCACAATTAGCAAATATCTCCAAACTCTCGAGACTCTCAGATGTATATCACTAGGTCCCATTACCGTTTCCATCCTCATTCACCCTTACTCAATTCAAGGGGTCAGACTTACGCGATGTTATTCCGATCCAAATAATTAAACAAATATAACACCCACACCATGGGCATAAGAGTCAAAGCTAACTTCCTGACAAAACTCCTCTCCGTCTTGTGGTGCTCTGGGTCATCTTGACTGTCGACTGGCTCCGCTTGCTCGAGATTTGATTTATCCAAGTCGTCTTCCAGAACCACCTCGTTCTTCTCTTCGTTGAGCTTAGCATCAGTTGTGGCAGACATTATTTTATACAAACTATATTGCAATCAGGGGAAAAGAAAGGGATTGGACAGCGGAAGGTAAGTGCAAGATACGATGCCGTAGGAGTCTTCAAACCAAGGGCTGCGGAAAAGACTCAGCGCAACCTGCTGTCTGTCCTACTTTTATATCGCATTCATTTCTCTCACAATCATTCTCTCCAGCCTCTCTCTTCTCCATCCTCCACATCCTCCACATCTCTCCGCAATCCCTCGCCTCCGAAATCCCATCACCACATCCCGATCCGGGGGATTGCGTCTTCGTTCGCCTATCCCAGCCGCTCTTTGTCCAGCATCAAGCTTCTCGAAACCCAAGACACCCTGCTCACTGGCTGGCCGCACGTTTCCAAGAAAAGCTCTAAGCCCAAGCGTCATACCTAGCAGCTCTACTCAAATGCAGTGGATAGGGTAACGTCCCCAGACGCAGGGACCGAAAATAAGCTTTAATTCCGTCCCGGGCTTTCTTACCGGCGGTTCTGTGATCATGTTTCTGGAGCGGGCGACCAGGTTTCGGCGCGGGAAGGAATAGCAGCGTGCGGAGGCATTAGAGTTTAGAAGTTCAAAAGCGAAGCATGCGACTCAATGATTTCAGCCACATGCCATCATCTACCACCCCAACCATGCCATGTGCAGGCCAGGTTCAAGGAAACAACAATATTCAGTACAGCTAGTGAATGCTGCGGTAACGGAGGACCGTTTTGAACAGAGTTGGTTTCGTAATTTGGGGGTTGAATACGGGGCCTATGAATGGTTGGATTAGAGACACGATTCAAGCAAGACCATGCTAACCCCCTTTCGTCTCCTCCGATCCGGCACCCATCGGCTATGTTTCTCAACTCCCAGCATCGCAGGATCATGATTGCGAGGTTGACTGTAGCAAGAGTCGGATTCGGGGAAAATTTTTGGAATTGTGGACTTTGTAGAGCTGTGAGGTAGGAGTGGGGAGGAGGAAAAGACATATAAGATCAGCAGTGAAGGGTAACTAAACATACCTTCTGCCTTTAGTAGCGCCGGAAGAAATTGAGTATTCTTTTGTGGGATCTGATATCTAAGCTTCTTTGCTCATTGCGCGCCTTTGCCGTCAACGTTCGTGAGGAGAAACTCCTCGTAACTTCCCGTCTTCTTTGAACCGACTTCCTTTTTCGAGCGAGCTATACCTCAGACTGAGACATCCACCATGCCACCCACTACCAAGAACTACAGCAACAGCATAGCACCCATGGCGCCGAATTCGACCGAAAAGCGACTCCGAGACCTGATTTTCAACAACGATGGGAAGATCTTAATAGCTCTAGGCGTATACGATGGATTTAGCGTGAGGATCGCTCTAGATGTTGGATTTGACTGCTCGTACATGGTACGAGTCGACCTGATAAAAAGCTTAAACCGGCTTGGCTTTCCATACGAGTGAAGCTAATAGAGAGGATCGCTAGACCGGTGCCGGTACGTGTGCATCCAAGCTTGGGCAGGCAGATCTTGGGTTCGCTACGCTGAACGACGTGCGTGAGCATGCGGAGATGATTGCAAACTTGAAGCCGGAGATTCCTTTGGTTGCGGACGCGGATACTGGATATGGAGGTATAATTGTCTCTCCACTGACTTTTAAGAAATTAATGTGAAATGGAAGGGCTTAACATGGTTGCTCGTACCGTGGCGGCATATCATCGATCATGCGTCTCAGCCATACATATCGAAAACCAGATCAAGACTAAACGGTGCGGCCATCTTAGAGGAAAGGAGATAGTCGACGACAACATCTTTTGTTCGCGCATTCGAGCCGCATCCCAAGCTCAAGGAAGACTCGGCTCGGACATCGTACTCATCGCACGAACCAACGCGCTCCAAGTCTCCGGCTTTCGATGAGGCTGCAAAGAGACTGAAAGTAGCCGCAGAATGTGGTGCCGACGTCCCGTTCCTGAAGGCACCTAATAACAAAGAGGAAGGACGCAAGATTTGCGAAATCATGCATCGAACGTCAGTGCTGCAAATATGGTTGAGCACGGAACGGCGCCGTCCATTACGTCTCAAGAGGCGCAAGAACTTGGGTTCCGCATTATCATCTTCCCATTCGCTACCATTGCTCCAGCATCTGCGTGATAAGGGACGCCTTAGTAGGGCTGAAGAAAACAGGGCTCACTGCACTTCAGCCCGAATTTACACCGAACAAGCTGTTCGAAACGGTAGGGTTGAAGGAATCGCAGGTGGTGGATGCAGCTACAGGAGGAAACCTGCTATCGAAAGTGTATCGTAAGGCATGCATGCATGGGCAGAGCATCATGATGACAAAGGCTTAGAATGGAAGTTGATAGAATCTCTTTCAGAAATGTGACGCATGTCTGGTGCCGATTGCAAGGGGCAGGGGTGCTGCCGCGGCACGCCGATGGATCTTACGTCCCAGTCGACCGCTCGATCCTAATTCGAGCCGCCTTATCCCCGGCATCATTAGGGCTGATGCAATTTCGTTGCTCTTGAAACGCGTCCAACAACGCCAGGGCTATTTAGGATGGCTGCTCTGCACATCCACGTCAGGAAACTGATTAGAGTTCCCAGACACGCGATATGCGGCAGCACCTCTGTCGAGAGACGGGTTGAGCGAATTGACTAATTCATTGGACTAAAATCGACATTATCTAGCGCAAAGTCCAAGGGACCAACGCAGTCAAACAGCATTGGGTTTGGAGCGAAAGGGGGATGCTCTTCAATTGACCTATGTGTTCCCGTTGCATCTGATATGCCTGGCTCGCCTATACGCCCAGTCAGTTTGTGTCTGTTGCTCTCAAACTTGGGGTTTGATGTACCTTCATTTTCTTGATCGAAACCATTCTCATTGTTGGGCAGAGCTCGGAACTGCTCTCTCCAGCGCCAGAGCGAGTCGAAGACTACAGACATGCTCATTCGACTTCTTATTTTGAGTTGCAATCCCTCTTTTCCAGGTCCACTGATCAGATTTGGCGTAGTATCTGTCCAAAGGTAGGCGAGCACATCCCCAAGTCGGCCTGGGAGGTCGTTGTCCGCGACTGACATTTTCCGGATCACGCTTACCGAAGCATGAAAGAGTTTTTGTTCAGATTCCACGTCTATAAATGAGGAAAAGTAGTCGTTTTTGAGAATCTTGAGGATTATGAAGGAGGCGGATACGGAGGTCTGGTACACGAAAAATGGGCAATAGCGGATGATGTTTTGCGATCTCTGATTAGTATCTAGAGTCTGTTGCATGACAGACGTTGCTGTAAAATATAACGTGAGTATTCGGTTGATGTATGTGTCGGATGAGGGCTCATCGAAGAGGTAGAAAGACTGGAGGTGTAGTCTTGCGGCGGATATGTAGAAGCGAGTAGTATCAGACAAATCGTTGATAGAGCCCTCAATACCCTCCAGCTCTTTCGAGAATACTTTATAAAGCGAGAGTCTCTCGTGTGTGGGAAGTAGACCAACAGGATCAGACACACTTGATGCCATCGCCCGAGACACATTGTCGCGAAACATTTCGATTCTCAAATGCGCCTCAAGGCCATGGTCTAGCTTCATCGCAGGAGAGCCTGATCGCGAACCTGATACTAGGGACCAGTCATACTGTACAGGGGCAGCAAGACCTGTACCAACGCTGACACTATGGAGCTCGGTCAGCAGTAGATCTCCTGTCCCAGCACTGTCTGAAATACCTCTGAGCTACGATATTACAGCCTGCCCAGGTCCGTACGCGTTCAGAAATCTCTGAATCATTGAGCTGAACCCGAAACTTTGCGAAGTCTTGGGGATTCAGAGGTCGGTTGAGCCCCATCTGGATGCTGATCTGCATCATTGTTCCAGTCCACATGTAGCTCACATCTAAAGTACTACTACTTGTTGGAAACGGCCAGGTACAGAGAAGCGCTAGGCTTTGTACTACACTTTTGGAGTGCGGTATAGACTGCAAGGTTCTCCAGGTGAGATTTGTAACTGATCGAGCTAATCTAGTAAGGAGTGTAGGGTCATTGTCGTAACGCCGCGATGCCACTGATATAATTGCCCAGAACAAGAGCACTGACAAGTTGTAGTATTGTGCAGGGCTGATTCTAGGATCAAGCATTGGCAGAAACGGGTGGTAGTATGTGAAGTACTCCGCAAATAGCTCATCAATATCGTCAGCCGACAGCTGAATGCTTCCCAGCGCCCTCGGCGCGCGAGCAATAAAACCAGTAGGATTCGTGTCTCTCCCTGTAAGTGGCGACTCTTCGGGAAATCGTCGTGTAGTTGTCCCTGGAGGGTCGGAAGCTTGAGTAGACACCGGAGACGTCATATTGGGGAGCGTGGTCGAGAACATCCCCGACTGTCTGTGAAAAGTATTCACCGAGCTTGTGCTACCAGCATCGCTGCTAATGGTATCAATCTGGTGAGAATTAGCGACGTCGCCGCCAGTTGCCTGAGCTGATGTTGACCGCCGCGAAAGCTCTCTTCTCAGGGAATTAACCTCTTTCTCAAGTTCGTCTGACGTCTTGCGCTTTCGCTCTCGTCTGAAGCTCCGATCGATTCTGCACTCAAGTCCGAGTCGCTTGCACCGGGAGCAGAAGTCCGGTGATTGATAATTGACGAGCGTTGATAAGTCGCACCTCAACTTTTGCTGTTTACATTCATTACAAGCCCGCCTCTTTTTGCTGCCATTCCTGATTACAGGCTCTCTAACTAAGAATGCAGATTGTGTATCGTTCGATCGAGCACGGGTGTCCGACAATGGTGCATGAGAAGGAAACGGAGACTGAAAGAAGAATTGATGGTGGCTTGAGGGAGTCTCCGGTGGGTTTTGCGCATGCCAGTAAATAATTGGATGCTGATATGGCGCTGTTTCAAGCTCCATGAGGGTGTGCGATGAATGAAGGTGGTGAAGATAGTGTTAGACATTCAGCTGGTGGACCATGCCACGTTTGTATATATTAGATTGCCCCTGTCGGAAATGCGCTTCATGCCCGAGCTCCCTCTAGAGATGCCAGATGCAGGAGCCCTGGCTGAGGGGGGAAATCTGACTGCGTGGATGACAAGGGCGGGGTGGGGGAATGCGTTTCTCAAAGTGGGTGCAATGGCAAGACGCAGCGTATCTCAGCTTATTCATCGCCTAGCACTATCTCAATTGAGGAACGATATCCGTAATCTTACAATTTGAGCCCGCCGGGTTTAAGGATTTAATCTGCACTCTGCAGCCCTGTCAAAGGGCGGGACCAGCATCATGTCGTTTCTCGGAAGAAAAACTCTCACACCCCCGCAAGTCTCGTCAATCCGAGTCAGTACACTCCCAAGCTGTCTCACGATCGCTTTTGAGTTTGTGGCCTTTGGTACAGACGCTGATTTATACCCGGTACCCCAAAAATGCTTCCAGACCAAATAATGCTTTTATGATTACTGATATCCCAGAATCCAAACTCGGAAACCAGTATCTAGCGCGATGGAAGCGTGCATCCGACATGTGCACAATGCAGAACCTCAGCTCCAAGATCGTCCACCGAAAGAGAAATCAGATCATTGGTTGATTGTGTCCCAACCTGGAGGCTGATTGCATTCAGCCACAAAGAGCTACGCAACCCTTGGGGACCCCACTGCGTGGACAAGGTGACTATACTCACCCCCTTCGTACGTCACGCATCACCTAGGAGCGGAGAAACTCAGCAATTTAAGGTAGCGTATGCAGAAATCATGCGATTTGCGGGTGTCGTGTCCACTAAAAGGCCTCCAGAGCTTCTGATGTAAGATGAAAACGCTGGCCTTTTCACATGCCGTCCAACTGTATTTACAGTTCATCGTTGATAGGAAACAGTTGACTTTCGAACTCTCCAGTAGAACATTCGGCAAAGCCCCTTAGGCGCGCCTTGCATTCGTCAAAGTCCCATTGGAACCTTAGAAATGGTCGCAGTTTATTCCTCGTATGAAGTTGCAGCTTCGATTCGATCGGATTTCTATTCCAGGGAAACTACTAGGCCGGTGTTTGGAAAATTAGGATGCCCACTGACATCTATCTCAGGAAATCAGGCCACTATTGAGAAATCCACAATGCCCTTTGGCATAGACACAGGACAATCGAACAAAAATGTTAGGGACCCAAAATAGCTCTTGACGTCTAACGTCCCTCCATGCGTGCCGAAAAACCACCTGTGCTGGAAAATATGACAGGTACTTTGACTTCAAGCGACTATAACTCTGCGCACACGTTAAGCCTTACTAAAATTAAGTATAAATAATGTACTGTGACTATTTTTGAAGATCTAGGGCGTCTCTCACCTATATATTACGTTTGCATTGTCGCCTTCACGCCTAATTTGCAGAAAGCCTCCCTCTATAGCGAAGCAAAGTTTCTTCCCTATAGCACCACTATTAAGGTCTTACTACTCTATAATATTTAGAAGCGGCCTTATTAGGCCTTAGAACCTCTCTATAATGCTAAGAAGTTATCATTAGCCTTGAGCCTGCTGTCGCGCACAAATTCATGCAAGGCCGCTATCCCGGTTGGTGCTTCTGATCGAACCAACTACTAATTTTGGCTAGTGTATACCGACCCCATGCCTACATAATGATCGCAGTGTAATTTATTTGTGATAATTGTTAGCCTTGTGGCTGTGCGGAGTCTTGGCGGGAGGGCCGAGCCCCGCAGCCCGCGTGGAGGTTGCAGCTTCGTCCCGATGCAGCCCGTCGCCCAAACTTGTGTGCAGCAATCGTTCCATAGGAAGTTGTTGACATCCATCCTCTAGCCTTCAGCGATCTAGAGCTGATGTGAAGCGAACATGCGACCCGCTGGAGCGGGCAACCGCCACCTCCACGTGGCGCGGACGTGACGGGCGACGCTGGGGCTAACGTGATTCTCGAGCAGATGCGAGCGCAGCTAAGCCGACATCGTCAATACAGGCCGCCCAGCACGATGGAACCCAACAACTCTCACAAATCTTTAGCATCGCGGAGATCATTGAGTCCTGAACTCAAACCATGGCGGCCTCCAGATGGCAGCGACTGATCCCGTTCCGCAAGGATCGTCACGACTCTGTACTTATCGACCCTGATATTCTGCCTCTGTCAGGCTGACGCTGTAGCAGGCTGCCAGCTCATCAAAGCAGCAACCGTCCAAGGTATCTGCCCTTGGTCTCAAGGTCGTAGCGGAGGGCGAGCAGCCAGTGATTGAGTAAGAAATCCGTAACTCACAAGGGCCCGTACTGACAGCGCCCTAGCATCGTTGCCGTCCATGGCTTGAACGGCCACTGCGACGAGACGTGGACGGCAGCGAACGGCACCCACTGGCTCCGCGATCTCCTACCAAAGGACATCCCAGATGCGCGCATATTCTGCTGGGGATACGATGCGAACACGCACGGCAAGCGCGTTAGCCACCAATTCCTCTACGATCATGCAGAGCAGCTGGTCGCGGATCTTTGCCTCAGGAGAAAGCGTACAAATGTGAGATGACAGCGGATATGCATAAGATGTGGTTCTGACAGCTGAAGACCATGAAACGACCGATAATCTTCGTGGCGCACAGCCTGGGTGGCATTATCGTCAAAGGCGCCAGTCTCGCTCCTCTCTGCCACATACGCTCGCTGACCGGGCCCAGGCCCTCATTCACTCAGACGCAGCGCGCAAAGGCGCACTAGAAGAACATCGGTCGATCAAGACGTCAACATACGGAATCATATTCATGGGCACTCCCCACCAGGGCGGCAACGGAGTGCAGTTCGGAAAGCTGCTAGTGAATGCGGCATCGGTATACAAGGCTACTAATAGCCGGCTTCTAGAGCATTTGGAGCGAGACTCGGAATGGCTCCAGCTGCAGCTGAGACAGTACGGGCCAATCAGCGGGGAGTTTATGACGAAGTTTGCGTACGAGGAGTACGAGACCCCGACAGCGCTGGGCCATTCGATCATGGTATATCTTCACGTTGACCACAGGCATCGCAAGTACTGATGATACAGGTGGTGCTCAAAGCATCCGCAGTCGTTCCAGGCGCAGCCGACGCAGAGCAGATCATGATCCACGCGGACCATAAAGAAATGGTCAAGTTTAAGTCGAAAGAGGATAATGACTATGAGAAAGTTTCAGACTATTTGATTATTATGGCTGAAAGTGCAAGCAGCGTCATCAGCTTACGATGGGAAGAAGAGGTCAGGGTCGATGCGGGTATGTAGCTCTACTGTGTAGTTATTAATAATAGCAATGACAGTAACTGTCTACAGCTCGAAGCAATGCTGAAGAGAGCTATTCTGTTGTCTTTAGCTTGTCTGAGGCCTCTGAGACCAATCACTTTGTTGCGAGACAAGCAGAGCTTGCTGCAATGCACAAGGCGCTCAGTGAGGGCACCGGTCGTCAAGCAGTCACTCTGCACGGCCTAGGCGGGATCGGGAAGACGCAGCTAGCGATTGCATACATTAAGGCCCATCGAGACAACTATTTGGCGATATTCTAGCTGAACATCAAAGACGAAGTATCAGTAAAGCAGAGCTACTTGAGGCTAGCAAGGCGGATCTTACAGGATTGTCCATCAGCCAGTCAGTTAGGTGTTTTCATAGATGACAAGAAGCAAGACAAAGTGGTGGCAGCGGTCAAACGGTGGCTGGAGCATCCCAAGAACACGCAGTGGTTAATGGTGTTCGACAACTACGACAACCCCAAAGTGCCAGGCAATGCGGATCCCGGTGCAGTCGATATCCGGCAGTTTCTACCCGAAGCACACCATGGCTCGGTCATCGTCACAACAAGGTCATCGAAGGTTAGTATGGGCCGTCGCGTGAAGGTGGGCAAGTTAGAAGACGTCCGCGACAGTTTGCAGATCCTATCTGATGCATCGCATCGCGAGGATGTGATAGACGGTGAGTGGTTTGAATTCCTGTACTGTATTGCACTGTAGATACAACGCTCACGCTTTTAGATCCCAATGCTGCCGAGCTTGCTAGAGAGCTAGATGGACTGCCGCTAGCCTTGGCTACGGCAGGCGCCTACCTTGACCAGGTGGCGACAAGCTCTGCCGACTACCTTTGTCTGTACCGGGAATCATGGCGGAGGCTGCAACAAACAAGCCCTGAAGTAAGCACATACGAAGACCGGCAATTGTACTCAACATGGCAGCTCTCTTTAGATCACATCAAGCAGTAGAGCGAAATATCGTCCAAGCTGCTTCAGCTGTGGGCATACTTCGACAACCAGGACCTCTGGTTTGAGCTTCTAAGAGAGGGAAGGACTAGTGGGCCGCAATGGCTTTGTCAACTAACGGAGGATGAGCTGAGTTTCAACGAGGCAGTGCGAGTGCTGTGCGACTACGGGTTAATAGAGGTGGATAAGTCCCCTAAAGGAACAGTGGTGGAATCTCAAGGGTACGGGATGCATAGCTGTGTGCACGCATGGACGGTGCATGTAGTCAACCAAGAATGGGATGCTGAAATGGCCGGGGTGGCGATGGAGTGTGTAGGCAGGCATGTACCAGCAGATGATGTGCAGCACTCGTCGCTGACTCAGCGTCGGCTTTTGCGACACTTGACAAGGTGTTGGGGGTTTATTATAGATGGGAGGATGGGTGAGAATGGGAAGGACTGGATTCTGCATAGATTTGGATACGTATGTTCCAGCCAAGGACGGTTTCAGGAGGCGGAGAAGATGTACTTGCGAGCGCTGCAAGGCAAAGAGAAGGCATGGGGACCAGATCATACATCCACACTCTCTACAGTCAACAACTTGGGCTTGCTCTACGCGGACCTGGGACGGTTTGACGAGGCGGAGAAGATGTACTCGCGAGCGCTGCAAGGCAAAGAGAAGGCATGGGGACTAGACCATACATCAACACTTGAAACGGTCAACAACTTGGGCAACCTCTACGTGGACCTGGGACGGCTTGACGAGGCGGAGAAGATGTACTTGCGAGCGCTGCAAGGTTTTAAGAAGGCATGGGGACTAGACCATACATCAACACTTGAAACGGTCAACAACTTGGGCAACCTCTACAAATCCCTGGGGCGGCTTAAGGAGGCGGAGAAGATGTACTTGCGAGCGCTGCAAGGCTTTGAGAAGGCATGGGGACTAGACTATACATCAACACTCTCTACGGTCAACAACTTGGGCAACCTCTACGCGGACCTGGGACGGCTTGACGAGGCGGAGAAGATGTACTTGCGAGTGCTGCAAGGCTACGAGAAAGCACTTGGCCAAGAAGCAGTGAAGACGTATATACCAGCGCTTAACACAACTCAGAATATGGCACTTCTCTTCCAGCGGACCGGTAGAACGCAGGAGGCAAAGCGCTTATATGAACAAGCTCTTCTTGGTGTTGAAGCAGTATTCGGGCGTAGAAGCAACAGGTATCGCAGTGTTGCTAAGGTCCTGGATGCGCTGCACAGTGCGAGTAAGCGTGATACATAACTTTGTCATTTAAATTCAACGCTGCTTCCTCATAAATTTCATAGTCGCCACAGTCTAGTGTTATAGTTAAGGCATGATGCGTAAGCATACTCATAGGTTAAAGCACCGGGTTAGAAGAATAGCGAGGTACATTGTGCCCCCACCGTTAGCAGGGAGGACGGCCGAGCCGCACCGGCACAGACCCTTTAGATTTTCCGGCACGCATGGATGGACAGTATTTCATCGAAGGGTCCGGGGAGCGACAAGTATTTATACTGCTAGAAATCCCTCTAGAATCTTCTAGGTATTACCACTTTTTCTATACGTACGGTTGTGCGGGATAAGTCTTAGACCAAGCTGGTGGGTGAGCATCTGGAAAAGGGCACGAGACACTTGAGGAAACTGATGCACTGCTGCACAGCCACAACCCTAATAGCTACAGGTGGCTTTCTAGGACAGCTTAAATAAATTATACAATACTGATTACGTTTCCTGCAAGGCGGTGTCACGCTAGCCAAGATTAGAAACTGCTCTTGTCAGAAGAACTAACAGGGAGTGGCAAAGCTGCACAAATTTGCGCGTGAGCATTAACAAGTAGCTAATAATACCTTGTAAGCAACTTTGTGAGACTATTTAGTTTAGATAACACCTCTTATAAGTATTATAGAGAAGCTGGAGCTTAGGGGTAGCGTTATTGTGAAGTCAAAGTACCCCTCTATCTAATTTTTCGGTATGGGTGGTTTTTCGCCATGCATGGAGGGATGTTACCCCACACGAGAAATAATAATTAGGCCTCTGACGGCGTCTAAGCAGATTCATAGTCCTCTATCTGACCCGTAGCTCTTCCGACCCAATGCGGGATATCGTAATGAGCATGTTTGCTCTGGAACCGGACATTATATTCCACTTCCCCAGAACGCCACTTATTCCATAAATAATGTTTTTATCTTCGTAGCCTAATACAACAATAGGTTGAGAGATTAAGTGAAGTAAATAGCATAGAGTGTGTCTGCCTCACTAATCCCTCAGAGCTTCCTTATCTGCTTCCATGTGGTCATATCTATGGATATCCCTAGCTAAGTATGCCATAGTCCGGATCACTGAGAAAGTCCTGTTGGAGATCATGCTTGTTAGCGCCATTGCTGTCGTACAATTCGAGTCAGTTCGTGAACATTTGCCCAGGCTGAGGTCGGGGAGTAGACGACTCACGGACTTCTCTTCCTATATCGATCGTGCCGTCGTCGCAAGCAGCTAGCGGATGCCATGGAACAAGGGAATTTGTCTCGGGGGCCTGGAATTTGGGGCCTGCGAGGACCCGCTTGAGCTATTACTATGGGACCTACAACTGGGCGTGAAATTCAGAGGACGCTATCTTGGGTGTACTAGCCGACTACTCGAAGATGAGCTTGAACTACTCTAGAAACGAGAGGATTGTAGAGTCACCGACTTCCCGGACCCTAGCTAGGTTGTATATTTTGCCTTCGATTGAGAGTCTTTTGTTTTATGCGTTTCCCTTTGGAGACTGACCCTTGAGAAATCTTCCTCTTGTTGCCGGTACGAGCTTCTGCCATTTTCGCGAATTGACTTACGTCAAGGGTAGAACTAAAATTGGAACACTGACTAATACGAAAGATGTCCTAAGTGTCAAGAGCCTGAGAGAGATGATAAGAGAAAGCTAGGGAAACTTTTTCGAGGCAGTACCTGGAAAGAATAAAGTGAAGTGATAAAAAGTAGAAAGGAATACCTGTCATGCCATTTGTAGTGACCATCGCCGAACTCTCAAAGTTGCTCCCACAGAAACTAGCCATTGTGAGAAAAGGCGTTTGTGACTCCAGTCACTTTCTTTCTCTTCTTTGTTTTGGACATTTATCCGTCTACCAATTAGTTAGGCGTTTATTAATAAGCCCCCCAAAGCCGCTACCTATAAAGCTGATTATTTCGACAAAGAAGGTTTGCGTTTGAAAAGTGTAGTTTGTGAAGAGACGAAATGAGCACCGCTCATCTAATTCTTTTCGGAGCTTGGAACATGGACCAATCACATATGAAAGATTGGTCAGTTAGTTAACAACACTTTCACCATTTGAATTAAAGAGAGACATGGTTTGTACTATCGTTTCGATGTTTGCTTATGTTAGTCTTTCAAGACGCCTGTGTCCGCAAGAGGTTCAGATAATAGATGGTTGAGAGATCGACTTTGGCTGAGGATAAAGCCAGGTTTGAAGTGCAGATAGGTCTTCTTCAGTCTATATTTCATCAAGAAGTAAAAGTATAGTCAAAGGACTTGAAACTAACCAACATGCGCCTCGAGAATACCCAAACCAACCAACCAAGCGCCTGAGCACCCGGGACCTTGACACGACGCATTTGCTCCAGCCAAACATAGGCATGCCATGCAACAACATCTATAGGAGGGAAAGAACGATGACCAAACCCGAATGCAACAAATATACACACTGAAGTTGGAGAATCGATATGCCGCGCCGTCCACCTCTTCCAACGCCCAAGTGAAATGACTCCGTACTATCCTATCTCAATCCAGAAATGCATCCCCTTCTCTTTCCCTACACGGCAATTCCTTCCCTCGGCGTCATACCCGCTGGCTCCCCGGGACTCCCAGGCGAGCCATCGCCGCTTCTATCGCTTTCCTTCGGGGCTTCGAGATGGGAGCGTTTCAGTGCGAGCTCGAGTTCTTCTTGGGTGAAGGGTTGGTCGTTCTTAATGGAGCCGGAGCGGCGACCGCGATCTGCGGTTACGGGGCGCGAACCACCAGACGTTATGGAGTGTGAGCGTCCGGGATAGGAGGAGGATTTGCGGGGTTCGTTTGTTGGGGGGCGGGAGAGACCGACTGCGAGAGAAGAGAATGTGTTAGCTGTACAGCTGTCCATGGGATGTTCATGGTGGACGCGCAAGGGGCCCCATCCTTTACTTCGCGTTCCAGGCATACATCAAGTTGGGGAAATTGACAACTCACCATTCGTAACATCCCCCTCCTCATCACTCCCCTCCTTCACCTGCTCTACCCTCTGTTCATCTCCCGCAATACTGCCCCCAATCCCACTGTCCACACCAATCCCATCATGGCCCCGGGAACTCCCCTTCCTACCCCCAATGCTCCGCCTACCCAACGTGTTAATGCTATTCTTCCGGCTCGGCATGCGACTCCCCATGGGTGAGTACTGGCTCTGTTCGCTCTTCCGCCGCCATGCCTTGGCCCAACTGAAAGCTTCGAGTTTCTCTTTGTGCTCAGGGTTGACGGGGCGGCGGTATTTCAAGGGTGGCATTTTCTCGCCAGGCTGATAAACGTTGCTATCCTTATTGGCCTTTGAGGATTTGGAGGAGGTCTTTGTGAGGGAGGTGTCGTCTTGCGAGCTGCGGGTGAAAGCGCGGCGCAGGCGGGATCGGAGAGCCATGGTGGAGGTTGTGCGAGGGGTTTTCGGGGGCTCGCTGAAGTGTCGGCTCGAATGGTGAGACGGCAGGAGGGTGGGAGAGTGAGGCGGTTATGACAGCGGGAGTGCGGAGGTCTCGAGTGGAGGTGTGGGTCGAGTATTCCACGATGACCCTGTACCGCGTGTCGTGTGCTGTTTGCCCTTGCGCTGTGCACCCGTGAACCTGCACACTTGCTCCTGGATGGATTCTCGGGATTCCGCCCACGAGGTCGCAGATGCAATGTTAGATCAGATGCTGTTGGACAAGCCGCTAGTCGAACGCTGCGTTCCTGACGGAGTGCGTTGGTTACAACTCGATACCTTTGAGAGACGCCGCCTTCGCTTCCCCATCCAAAGCGCCACAAACCCCAGAGCCGCCTTCTTCAGTCCGAGAACAGCAGGTCGTTACAAAGAAACTGGTGACATGAAGGAGACTTGGTTCTTCAACTCCGATCGGAAGCGTGGTCGTTAGCCTGACAGCCAACCTCAACCAACGGCACCGTTCGCGAGTCCGGGCCTGGGCCGGAATACGGCGGAGAGCTAGAGTGGAACTGGGAAAGATAGCCGCGCGGGCAGCTCTTGAGCGAGCCTCTGCCCGGTTTTTTGCTAGCGGAAAGGATCATTTTGAAACGCTGCTGACGGTGCAAAGTCGGGCACTCGGAAGGAAAGTTGGTCGGAAGTTGGGCGGGTTACGGAAGGTGGTGAGGATGGTGGATGCAGAGCAATGTGCTAGCCGTCTTCGGGGGACTCAGCCTGAAGGCCGGGTTAGAGGGGTGCGAGTAAGAGTCACGTGTCCGCCCTCGGACTTAAGCTCCCGTCCAGTGCATTGCTTTCCTTCTGTTCGCAACCTATGCGAACGCCTTCTGCCTGACGCATCATGAATGTCCGAATTACTCACCGAGAGGGTTGAGTTGTCTTTCAGCTGCGGGATGACTCTGTGGCTGGTATCATCCGCCTGACTGGACTTGTGGGGTAGACAACGCCGATTGCACGTCGTCATCGGCCCTCATCCGTCTCTGTGCGAATGGCCTGCCCTGCTCTCTTCTAATTTTTAAATGCTTGATTATGCACGCGGCAACGCAAAATGCCCTGCTTCGACCCCTTTGCCTCGCCCTTTAACTATCGAATCGCATTTGCAAAGCATGCGCTGGTGTGCCAGGCAAGCTCTACGACCCGGACTAGAGATCTGGTGATGCCAGGCAAGGATCATGGCGATCCTACCACATACCAACTGTAGCTCCACTCTTCCAGCAAGTATTGAAAAGGGCCAGACCACCCACAATAGGCCAAAGCTTCTGCTGCTTTTGAGAGTTAAGGGATTTGTGAAGGTCCAATTGGGACGCGAGGTGCGCGCCTGCTTGCGCGCCATAGGGTGATGAGGTCATTGAGCGTACTTGCCCACTATTAAGGTGTAGCAAAGATGGTATTTGAGGGACAGCCATATCCTGGCTTGTCTTGCTCTCCACTCACCGTGATACCTCTCTTAACTTCCGGGTTGAAGTCTCTTTGCATTGTGATCGTGTATCTACCTAGGTTCTCAGACGAGGCTTGACATCATGGAGAAGATCAAGCAAGCCCTGTAGGTCCCTTCCCGCTTTTGGAAGTGCAACGCTAACCAAACACAGTTCCCATGGGGCCCGGAAGACCTTAGACAACACCAATAGAGAGGGAGAAAGTTCTTCCAATTCTCCCACCTCTCCTATCCCTCCAAGGGATCCAAACCATCGTGCCACAACCGGTGGCCTTACTGGTGAGGGTAGTCACCTTGCAGGCGCCAGTCAGCCTCTGGAACAAAAGAGTGCTTCGACAGGCCTTGCAAATGCTGGGGAGTAAGTTCTATATTGTGATCTACTTCTGCTTTTGCTTTTGCTTTTGCTAACGACTCAGGCACCTCCCGATCTATAACCGATTTACTGGCTATGGGGCAGCCGCAAAGACTGTTGAACAGGCGCCACACTTCTCAAATACGCCTAATCTCAAGACTGAGGGTCTAATTGAGCCGCCGTCCACTCTGAAGACCCAGGGTCCAGTAATACCACCTAGAGGAAGAGAGTCGACTCCAAGCCCGACCCTTAGCCCGGATACAACACGCCATCGGCTTACTGTGGCCGACGAGATGAGCACAGCAAGTATAAAATCCGGTGTCATAGGTTTCCCTCAAGGTGGTTTGGCTGATTCACATGCTGCCAGTGTGTCCAACCGTTAGTACACCTAATAGTACAGTACTGCAGTACACTGATTTTGGTCACGTACGTACGTACAGGGCATCTACTCAGTATACTGTACTATACATGAGGCTGCTGTACTAACCGTTTACGGTAGTTATATAGGATTTTTGGTGGTTTTGGGCGGTTGAAGGCAGGTTGCTGAGGGCTAGGGGGCTCGTGTTCGGAGATTAATGCGGAGAATGCCGTTATTGCCTGTTTTGTTAGCAATCTTCTAACAAATTCAGCAACTATGCCATCTACGTTATTCTTTTGCCCATTATGATGTCCCAATTCCTATCCCAATCAACGACGCGGTCGACAATAGAGGCTCTTCAACTGCAGAAGAATTAGTTACGTAACAACGCTGTTACTAGTGAGCTGACTGAGCTTACAGAGTACATTAAAACAGTGAGATCAACAACAGTAGATCTCACAAGGGGTATCACAACTTCCTAATTAGGTATAGTCTTTAGCTTCAGCGCAATTACTTTATAATACTTCAATATACTTCAGTTACTGTATCCTAACCGTACACTGACGTCATCTCCTCCGTACAGTTAGTTAGTAACAGCCTCCTCTTCCGTAACTGTACTATACAGCCTCCAAAAGGCTCCGTAACTAACGGTTGGACACACTGCATGCTGCCATGGGGAACATGTCAGAGCGGGGTCAAGATTCCACCAATACTCAGGGGGTTAGCCTCCCTGAGTGGACTGTTCCCAGGTGAGTTGCGCAAATTGGACCAAGTAACGCCCTGCTGATCAGTGAACAGCGAGCAGAAGGAATCTTCACATCTTGGGAAGGACGCCGCACAGGGAGCTGGAACGATTGGAGCAGAAGGTTTGCCAGGCCATGAGCTAAATCGCCAGCACGATGATAGCAATCTTCGAAGATCTGCTGAACAACAGAGTGAGCCACAAAACACTGGCGACACTAGTCGATCTTTCCCTCTGGCAGGAGGCGTTACACATCGTCAGACGACCGATAACCCTTCAATTACCCGCGCTACAAGGGTTCCTGAAGAAGAGCCTACTTCGCATGTGGGAAGAAACACAGCGCTCGGAACAGGCGTAGTTGGAGCCGGAGGCCTGGTAGCTCATGAACTGAACCGGCATCATGAAGATGATGGTGTTCCACATCGCCGGACGACTGATAACCCTTTAACTACTCAGGATACAAGGACTACTCAAGAAGGACCTACATCGCATACGGGAAGAAACATGGCGCTCGGATCCAGTGCAATCAGTGCCGGCAGCCTGGCAGCCCATGAATTTAATCGCTGCCGTGAAGAGGATAATACTGAGAGAACTACTCTTCGATCTACCGAATCCAATGCCCCGTCGACTGGTGAGAGAGCTCTGGGTAGCAAGGACAAGGGAGCTACCAGTATGGTTGATGAGCACGCCCATGGGGGTCAGAGCCATGCCTATGCTGGTGACCCATGTCCTACTGACACTACCTATCTTGAGGAGAAAGATTCCAGACCAATGTTCACTGAAGGCCCCCATGTCACGGGTACGGCTAACAGGACTGATCCTCACCTGCACATCCCGGGTGAGTACCCGGATCCCACTCCGATTGAAGAATTATCTCAGCCTACATTTTGGCAGGAAGAGAAGCATGAAGCCACTGAACCCACCACAATTGGAGGCGTTCGCGAGACTTACCGTGGCGAGCCAAGGAGCACGCAAGAATTGATTGATCAGTCTCATCAGCCATCATCCGAACATCACTATTGCGGGGATGTCGCACTCAAAGGAGCTGGAGCTGCTACGGCCGGAGGACTTTATGCAAGCCAACATGAGCACAAACCAGACAGTACTCCATTTGCTAGCCAGCAAAGGGAGGCAGCCAGGGTGCAACCTGAAGCAATATCAACGGAACAACCTCCGCAACCATCAATTGAACATCACCATAGCCGCGATGCTGCACTCATTGGTGGGGGAGCTGCTACTTCTGGAGGACTCTACGCCAGGCAGCGCGAAGGTCAACCTGTCATTGGGCCAGCATCTGCTACGATCGGCTCCTATAAGAGCAACATCGTAAACGTTCTCGATCAGAAAGTTCAGCCGGAGCCCGAAAATATGAAAAGCCATGGCACAAGCGAGCCACAGAAGTCGGGCAAGCGAGAGCAAGCTAAAGGGCAACACCACTACGGCCGAGATGCTACCCTCACAGGAGGGGCTGGTGCTGCTGGGCTAGGTTCATACGAAGCTGGCAAACACCACCAACGAGAAGCAACCGATATTGAAGGACAACAGCCGATTCCCACTGGTGAAAGCCCGTACAGCTCCATGAAGATCGACCCTCGTGTAGATAACAAACCTTCTCTTCATGGGTCGATTGGACAACACCATGGCCAAGATACTGCCTTTGCTGGCGGAGCAGGAGTTGCCGGGTACGAAGCATATAAGCATCGTTCTGGCCAGCAAGAGACTGCGCCAATGCAGCCAACCCATGCTCAGGTAGACCAACTGCTTCCGGGGAAGCAAAACGAACCCCGCCAGCTAGAGCATCGCTACGGACGAGATGCTGTTGTCGCGGGAGGGGTAAGAGTTGCTGGCTACGAAGCATATACGCATCATTCTGGTCAACATGATACTGCAGTAACGCTGCCAACGCAAGCTCAGGTAAATCAACCTACTCCTCAGAGTTACAGAGAGCCTCGTCAACCAGAATGCCACTATGGACAAGATGCTGCTGTTGTCGGAGGAACAGGCGCGGCGGACTACGAAGGGTATCGTCCCGGTTATGAGCATGCTGCACCGAAGCAACCCTCCCAGGCCCAGGCCAGTCAGCCCGAGCGCCACTGTGGACAAGATGTCGCAGCCGTTGGAGGAGCAGGTTTAGCAGGCTATGGCACCTACGAAACGGCAAAACATTACGTCCAACACCGCAGCACCCAACCCTCCGCTGCCATGGACGACCAACGCTACGACCCTACTGCCCAAGGTGCCCACGATCCCAAAGAAGCCTCCCAGCACCACTACGGTCGCGATGCTACTATCGCCGGTGGAGGTGTAGGATTAGCTAGCGCGAGAGCATACGCAGCATCCAGCCATGGCAACGACCAAACTCGGCAACCTCCAATGTCCCAAGAATTCCAGCAACCCACTGCAACTAGCACACACAATCGCTACGACTCAGTCCAAGACCCTAACAATAAGTCACATCAACAGCAACAGGCACAACCCAACTACCACAAACGCGACGCCGCAGCCTCAGGTGCCGGAGCGGCAGCTGGCGTAGGATTCGGATACGCATACTCGCAACACGAAGCCGAGAAAGCAGAAAAGGAGAGACTTTCGCAACAGAAATCCCAGCAACAGGAGTTTGAGAAACAACAGAAAGAGCAGCAGAAGGATCTCGAGAAGCAGCGGAAAGATCAACAAAAGGACCTGGAGCATAAGCAGAAAGAGTTCGAGAAGGAACAAGCTAAGGAGCATAAACAGCATGCTAAGGCTGCAGCGGCAGAGGACAAGCACCGGAACAGCGTTCCCAACCGTACGTAATACGTTTCAACTCGCCGTTTTTTAGGCCGTAACTTCTCAGTTTGTTAGTACGTTTTAATGTAAAGGGAGAATTTAAATCCACTTACAAGGCGTAACTATTACAGCTTACAATCCTCCTACGTTTTAACAGCTTATAAGACATTACAGCGTATACAGTCTACTAAGTCCCTTATTTTACTATAAATATAACCCTGCTAGAGCTAGTTTTTTTGCAGTTAAAAAGCCTTAATTATTAAGCTAAAAAGCTTATTTTTATTATAAGTAACAGTTTTTCTACTTTTAAAAAAGGACCTCTTATAATTATAGCTTATAAAAAGAATAGATAAGAAGTTAAAAGTAATTTTATATAGTGTAAAGTAAAAGAGTTATTTAACTTATTTTTACTAAGTAAAAAAGTTAGTAAATAAAGGGCTGTTATTATTAGCTATAGTAACATTTTTATAGTAGCTGTTATAGTACTACTGCAACTCTGTTATTTTCTACTGCTTTTTATATAAGCAGCTGCTAGTAAAGAGGCTTATGTTAATAAAAAAAGTCCTTTTAAAGCTCTTATTATAATAGTTACTACTAGGTAACTTATGTTATGTAGGCTTTTAGGTAATGTTATTATTATTAGCTTTAGCTTTAGCCTCTGCATTAACATACTTTTAAAAAATAGCTTTTATTAAAGCCTTAGCTTTTTTATGCTATATAAAGTGCTTTCTCTAGTAGTCTTTAAACTAAATAAGATAAAGTTAAGAGTTTAGAATTATTACTATATAGTAATAAGATATAGGTGGCTTAATAATAAACTTTTTCTAGTATGTAAGCAACTTCTTTGTGCTAAATGCTACACTAGATTTAAAGTAGTAATTATTACTTTTACTTTTAAGTTTATTGCCTATACATAAAAGCTTAGTATAAAGGTGTTGCAGGTTAATAATAAATATCTAAAAAAAGCTATAAAAGCTGTTACCCTTAAAGTGTTTTATTATAAAGTAAAAAACTTTAAAAAACTTATAAAAGTAATTAACTTTTTTTTATTTATTCTTAGTAATAACCTTAGTAAGAGTAAAGTTACTAGAGATAGTAAAGTTTATAAAGTTATTATTAGTGCTTTTTTACTTATGTATAAACTTAGTAATAGTGTCCTTAAGCTTAAAACAGCAGAGGAGCATAAGATAAACACTATACTAGTGTACACTACTGTTTTATATAAGATTAAGCGTCCTAAAGCTCTAGAAAGAGTTATTATTATTAAAAGTAGCCTAAAAAGTTATAAAAGCTTTTTATTATTTATATAATGCTAGCACTATGTTTACAAAATTATAAAGTTTTTTAATAACTTTATAGCAGTAATAAAGGTTAAATTATTTTTAAAAAGCTACTTAAGTAAGCTTTGCTTTAAAAGCGCTTATCTTTTTACTATAAATAACTGCTTTTACTACTAGCTAGATTATATAGCCAGCGCAGCGTATACAGTGCTTAGAGGTAAGGGGCATATTAAGATGTTAGGCAAAAGTAGAGATAGTTTTATTATTATTATTTAACATATTATTAGCTACTAAATAATAAAATTTTAATATAATTTTAAAGTTATTAATAACTTTAATAATCTCTAGCACTTAATTTGCTCTAGTATAGTTACTGTACAGGTTGCAGAAGCTAATTAGAATGTTATAGTGTTAGTAGTTAATATCTACGCAGTATTATTAGTTAGTGTTTAGTTTAATAAAAAATGCTAAGACACTAAACTAATAAGCTAAGGTACACCTACTAATAAAGTGCAACACTACACCTAGAAAGAAGAGGTAGTTTAGAGAAGTTTATATATTAATGCTTAACATAATTTTGCTTTAGGCTATTTTTAGCATTATTTAAATCTCTTGCTTCTGCTGCGTATATCCCTACTACACATAGGACAAATATGTAGTGTTAGACACTAGAAGGGTAGTAAGAAAATTAGCTTTATTTTAAGTAATAATGCTTTAAAGTTCTGCTAATAATACTATATAAAAGAAAATATTATAAAGTATTACTTAGTTAATAACTACTACTTATAAAGCTTCCTTCTGCTAAACACTATAAAAGATAATATATAATAAGCCTGTAACCTTATAAGCTGCTTTAAATAGACTTAAGGGGATTTTTAGCCTGTTAGGTAAAAAAGCGCTTTTACTTCCCCTACTAATGTCTATCTAGTGCTCCTTTCTAAGGTAGTAGATAATATAAGTGTAACTATTAACTTTTTTTACCTTTTTATAATTACTCTTAGTGTAGCACCTTCTATAGAGCTACAACTTTATTCTAGAGGCGTCTTTTTTATTATTATATACTAAATTAGCTTTATAAAGCTATATTTAGGATAACTAATAATTACTACATAATTAGCTTTTATGCTTTACTTAGTATTTAAGCTTTTTTAGCCTTAACTTTTTATTTCCTATTTAGACATTATCTTACTTAATAATAAATAATACTTTATTATTAAAAGTAGAGTTGTCTAGGTACTCCTTTATAAAGGCTAAAAGACTATTAAATAGTGTGCTATTATAGAAAAAAACTAAGGACTTTAATAATAAGAACTTTAATTAGGCAAGTTAATAAAAACTAGCGTAATAAGTAACTTTAGTTTAGTAAAAAAAGCTAGCTTAAAAAAATCTTTAAAATAAAGCTATACACCTGCTATACTAGAGGAACTAGAATATCTAGCTTATAATAGGTAAGTTTATAAGCAATTATAATTCTTAACTAAAATTATAAAATCTTACGCCTTAATTCCCTTCTTTACTAGCTTCTTAATTATTATATAAACTGTAGAGTTTTTACCTAATTATTACTCTAAAAATATAACTTTAAACACCTTTTTAACGCGTCCCTATAGCTGTCTAATAAGACCTTATATTACTAGAAAATATTGTCTCTCCAAGACGTATTACGGTCTGTAATGGGAGCTGGCTCCTACGTACGTTACGGCTCACACTCCTCCTACGTTTCAACGGCTCACGTGACTGCTACGTTCACGTATCTACGAGTCGTAGTACGTACGGTTGGGAACGCTGCACCGGAAGGAGGCCGAGAAAGAGGAGCAGAAACAGCAGAGGGAAATTGAGAGCCAGAAGCAGAGGGAGGATCGGGAGGCGGAGAGGGAGAAGGAGACAGAAGGTGATGGCAAGAAAAGACATGGCCTGCTCGGCTTTCTGCACCGCAACAAAGATAAACACTCCGACGATAAGTTTGAGAGCGTAGAACACCGTGACAGTCCCCGAAGTTCAAAGGAATACGGCGCTGCTGGCACCAGTGTGGGCGCTACTGCTGGTACAGCTGGTCTCGTAAGCTATGAAGCGAGTCGCTCCTCTGAAGATAGCAGCAACGAGGGCTATAAGTCGAGGAATAAACTACATAAAGACCCCCCGCCGGGTCATCCTGCGAGGGAAGCCATGGAGAAAGAGAGGGAGGATGGTGGGCGCCAGAAACATGAGCGTGTCGGTATCGATGGACCAATTGGCCATCCGGATTTGGTTTCTGGAGATCGGTGAGTACATTCAGCTTCTTTACCTCACCCAATGACCACTAATCCGTAATACTTCGCTGTCCAGCTTCCTTCCACTAATCATCCACAGTGAAACCCAAGCAGGCGTCTACGGTGCACATGCTCCCGACTACCCCAAGCCCACGGTCACGGAACCAGACAGAGGTCATCCGGTGATCGTGGGGAAATACGATCATGAGTATGGTGGTACGGATGATAGTCAGACGGTGCCGAGACAGCTTGACTTGCCAGGTCAGTAGGTGGTGGTGGTGGTGGTGGTGGATTGGGAGGGCATTAGGAAGGTGAATGTGCCGTATTAAACTACAAACGTTGGCATTGTTTCAGAGGAGTAGGACAGACCAACAAAGGATTGGAAGGTTGGAGATTAAATTGGAAAGAGAGCCAATGAAGGGTAGGGGATTACGGGATTGTGTTAGCATACATCTACGGAGATATGTTCTGTTATGGGGGGTCTTGACAGTTTTGTGGATTGGTTTAGGCAAGTACCACAGAAGAGAAACCTGTTCTGACCTTAGCTTTTTGCTAGAGCAAACTATGCATCCCACCGACCTATGCCCATTTTATCCTCTTACGCCGAGAAGATATGGAATTCCGCTAGGAGTTAGGGTATCACTCCTTTTCAACCTTCTCCTCATCCTTCACCTCATTCTTAGCAGCCTCACACGTGACAACTGTAGTATCAACTATAGCGCCAACTGTAGCGCCAACTGTAGCACCATCACCAGCATCAGCCCCAGCACCAAAATCAATATCAGCCCCAGCAACATCACTAGTATCAGCCCCAACACCATCACTAGCATCAGCTCCAACATCACCACTAGCATCAGCTCCCGCACCATCACCAGAATCGGCACCATCTTCCTCCTCACCACCCACCTCCTCTCGAATAGGGTACAAGCCATGTTCCTCATCTGTGAGCGTAGTAAACGCAATTATTAGAGGAATGAGGGGGAGTTTAAGACTCATTCCTCGCCTGCCTGGAAAGGATTCGCGATCTCACGACTTCCATCCATTGGGTAGATTGCGGTGAGTAGGGTGCCACGAGCGACGACGAGGCCGAGAGGGCGCGTGGTTTGGTTGCCTTGGTCATCTGGGGGGAGAGTTAGTGGGGGTGGGGATGAGAGAGTGGAAGGAGTTGGGGTTGGACTGCGGGGAGGAGTGGGGAGGAGTACGGACCAGCCATGACTTCTTTCACGTCGTCGAGGACGAGGTTCATGAGGCCGTCGTAGCCTTTGAGCTTGCCGATAACTGTGGGTGGGCGTTAGCATGCAATATTGGGTGTAGAAACAATCTCGAGGGGGGGGAAGCAGAGAGCAAGCAATTGAAGTCTATTCCCACACTCCCCCACCCATCTACCGAAAATGACATTGGAGATGAAAAAGGAACAGCAAACTCACCTTCGCGCCCGCCCTGGAACTTCACAGTGATTTCCTTGTCCGTATACTTGGAGAGATCGAGAATATTCTCCTTCTTGGGACGCGTGTCAGTATGTCCTGCCTGGGCTCCTCCACCTCCACCATGGCCGCCCCGTCCTCCACGACCACCACGATCGCCGCCGCCGCGTCCGCGCCCGCCTCGGAAAGCGCCGCGCTCGGCCATGATGAGTGTGAGAGTTGGTTAGGGATTGAGGTTGGGGGAAGGCGTGAAGTTGCTGTGTGCGAAATGAGATTGTAGGCTAGTAGTTGTTGGATTGACGATGACGATGGCGAAGGCGGGTTGTGGTTGGTGTGCGGAACATCTGTGCGCTTTACCGAGTTGAGAATAGAACCCTGACCGTCGGCTGCCTCTCTGGGCAAGGGTGGACGCGGTCCGAGCTTTGGCTAGACGGAGAAATCCCGCCCGACCTGGATGGGTTCCGCCATCGGCTCACATGCCTCCGCTTTCCGGGAGGACCGCTGCACTGCTTCAGGAGGTCAGACCATGGATGGGGAGGCTACGGATCCCTAGGTTCAATACAGTCAAACCATCATGTTCGACGCGCCTAACAGCCTCCCATCTCGACTTCATCGACTCTGATCGTCAGCCCTCAGAGAGTGTACGTATGCCTCGACGTCAACCGGAACCCTCGTTTCACCCTCCTGTTTCGACGGCTGCGAGGTGTTTATTTCCGGGCTGGACCCAGGGCGCCGACAGTCTTGACGATGAGGCCCAGAGTGCCGCAGACGGTGGGAGCACTCGAGCATCGCAGCCCAGACCCCTGGCGCAGACCGTCCAGCCCCGCGGACGGGTAAAAGCTGATTGGCTGCGGACATGTGCCTTCTCCGCCCTCGCAGCCTAGGCTTGTTTCCGGACCTTCGAGGCCTTGTCCTCACAGTCCTCTGCCTGCCAGCGCCTGCCTTCCTTTGTGGCTGCGGCCCTACGGGCGAAATGCTGCCGTGAATGCCCACACGTCCAGCATTTCTTCTCCACTTCCTCTCCCACCCGCACTCTCGCCTCACAATCGACCCATCTGTTCTGCCCGCTCCTGGCTTCTGGCATCCGGCATCGACTCCGCTGCAACATGGCATGCTCGTAGTCTGGCCCCTCGCTGCCCCCTTGTGCCCTCTGTGTTGTGCTGTTTGTGCTGCTGCACGGCTGTGTGTGATTGTGGAGTCCGCGTGTCCGCCCTTCCGCTCCTCTCGCGCACAAGCTCACTCACGCCCTGCCCTGCCATCTCCGACTCCGTCACACCCCCCCCTCTCTCGTCCGCCATCCATAAATAACAGCCTCGGGCCCGCCCCCCGCGAGCGCCCACGATGTCCTCCACCGTCGACTCCCAGACGATGAGCGACCTCTCCCAAACCATGCTTCCCAACTCCAACCCGCACCCGCCGTCGTTGCCTTCGGCCTCGATTGTCCAAGCGACTGACCTCAAGCGCAAGCGGAGTCCGTCGCATGAGGCAATTCATCCCGCATCCGCGCCCCTGCCCAAGCAGGCCAAGACTCACAACCACTTGCAGATTAATTACCTCGCCAGACACTGCGACAATGACCTCCCACTAATTACAAATGACGACACCCTGCCCAACATCCTCACGCTGCTGAGCGACTACCAGGGCGTGCTCGACCGCCATGAGAGCATGGCCTGCAACCTAGGTGCCCGCCCGCTTGGACCTATTCTGATCAAGCGCTTCGAGCGCCTGTTCGATGGCCCGCCCCGGGTGCTGAAGAGCCATGGCAAGGACGGCACCACGGTGACGTGGCTGGATGTGGTCGAGTTTGCGCGCAATAAGCCCGAGCAGTTCCAGCTTGGGCAGATGAGCGAGGGTGTGCGCGTCTGCCAGTTCTACACCAAGCAGTGCAGGGTGCAGATCTCGGAGGAGGATTTCGTCCTCATTTCCTCGGGCATTCCGCAGAAGATGATCCCCCCTCAGCCAATTATCGAGGATGAGGAGAAGGAGTTGGGGACGCTGGAGATTTTGGAGAAGAATTTGGGGCAGATTTGTCAATTGGCTGATCAGGGTGAGGCATATCGCATATATGGTTTCAATTCACCCAGCTAACATGCTTGATAGTTGCTGCGCGCACCCGACAGCTCAACCACCGCCTCAAAGGCAGAAAGCAGGCCATCGTCGACAGGAGAGCAACTTCAAGTCCCGCTCCGCCAAAGCGCCCGGCGAGTCCTTCCAACGTTGCTCTCATGAATGGCGCGGCCGCTCAGGCAGCCAGCTCCAATCTCGCAAACCTAACCCAATCCTCACAGCCTTCCCCCAGCAGCTTTGTTGCTGTCAATGCCCGGCCTCCCTCTGACCAAAATAGCAATGGGTCATCCACAAACACTCGCCACGAATTGATGTCCAAATTCCATACTCTCAGCGACCGGCGGCAATCTTCAGCACCCATCAACGGCGCTGGCGATGTTCGCCGTCCTTCCATAGCCCCTAACACCCCCTCTCACCCTGCCACGCCCATTGTAGGCCCCTCAAAGGTGCCACCAAAACCTGTGGAAGGAAATCCACCACCCCTCTCCACAGCCAGACTTTCACACTACTCCGAGGCAGAAATCCAACACATGATCAATTCGCCCGTACCAATCCCAAACACACCATCTAGTCTACTGCCGGCATCAAGTCAACGTGGAAACCAACCGCAAGAAAAAGACGACGGCGGCCCCTTCAAAATCGAAATGGTGCACCGAATGGAGAGCCTAGCAAAAGGCGAGCGCATCCTCCCGCCCTGTGACCGGTGTCGTCGATTACACATGGACTGTCTCAAAAATCTAACCGCATGCATGGGCTGCACAAAGAAACATGCAAAATGCTCATGGAAAGAGGTCCGCGAGCTCGAACTCCGTGGCGGCCCCGTCCACCACGGCGTCATGTCCAGCGGCATGGGCAGCGAAAGCGAGGAATTCGAAAATAGCGGCGGTCGTGAACGTGCAAGCACCGGATCGCCCGGTGCGAGCACGATTCTAAGTCCTCTGCATAAAGGCATGACGCCCACCGCGAATATGGGCGCGGGCGGAGGAGGTAATCCTATTGGCTTGCCTCCTGAGGTAAGGATGCTACCGAATCGATCATCCCCGCCGAATATAGATCGGGAGAGAGAAAGGGACAGGGGAGTTGAAGCGCAGTTGCAGGAGGCGGCTAAGTCAGGTCTTGCACATGCCAATGCTAGACTCGGTATATCTGGGAATAAGGGCACGGAGTACCAGACTATGGTCGCTTGACAATGGCATAATAGGCCTATGTTTCCGGCAAGTAGAGTCAGGCCGTTGGTGAGGAGACGAAGTTTTTGCGAGGATGGAGGGGATCGTTTCCATTAAGCTTGAGGGAGAAGTGTTTTGGGAGGAAGAATTCTTGTCTTTATGGTTGACGCTTGGTTGCGGGTGGGCAATTGCTAGGTTTTTGTTTGCTTTCATGGGGTTCCTTAGGCTGGGGCTGCGGATTGATCAGATTCGGTGATACCATTTTCTCTTCCCGTTACTTATCTATTCTGTTCGTTTGCTTCCTCGCTCTCTCCATCTGTCCCATTCCACCACTTCCTTGGAAACCATGTTGTGGAGTTTTTGGGCGCATCACATCATTCATCTTTTCACCACGTTTTCCTAACCTGTGGATGCAGATATTTATATTGTTTTAAGATATCCAGGAGTTGGAGGAATTCGTCGGTCGCTTTATCCTGATCATGATGGGAGGTATATATGCTTTTTTTTTCAGATTACTCTTGTTTAGCCTGGGGAGAGGGTTGGTGAGATGTAGAAAGAGCGATGCCCGTAGATGCATGTAGTCTTCAATGTGTGTATACGTTCACCTCGAGGTGATGTGACTACCTGGTAGCAGCTGGTGACCCTTCTGAAACAAATCATCAACGAGAGAAGATGAACAAGAGGGAAAGAATCCAGGATGCTTGAACCTCTTTAATTTGACCGTCGTAGATGAAAAGCATCATATCCCTGTCTCATACACGATCCCAAGCACGATATGTTAGCCTTGCTCTTGGCATGTCGCAATTCCGCTCTCCACATATTTCTCATCTCTCATCACTCCCACTCCCACCCATTCCCCGAACCCCGCTACCCGCTGCTTCTTGGCTGCTAAAGCATAAAAGCGCACGACTCTTCTGCGTTGCCAAGCGTTTCACATCGTGATTATCTCCGCCCCTCCATTCGCGAATGTGCAAACAGCCTCCACCAATACTCGTGTTCGCCTGAAAACACCGCCCTTGGATGCAAGGCTGTGGCGGTGCGGGCAGCTGACCTTTCCCCTTCGTCGCAGGTCTCGAGGCACCAGCGAATATAATTCAGCTGCCTGATGAGAAAGCTTCTGACAACACATCTCCTCTACTTTCGCTCTTCGAGTTTGAGTTTCCGCATCGCATATCAGGGGAACTGTATCCCCGGAGTCTCCTCGTCACTCGCTTTGTCACAACTTTCGATCTCTGAGGATTATTGTGATTCAGAGCGCACTTGGGGCTTACCTTGGCGTGACTCTCGTTTTCTCGCCACTGTCGCTCTCTTATTATATTTTATCTTGGTGTTGCGTTGCCGCACTGCATTACATCGGTCTACGTACACTCTCAACGCATCGCACAACTCGGTTTCCGTAACACGACCACCACACACCACCACCATGTCTTCCCCACACAATATACCCATAAGAGCCGCATTCCCAATCCCATCGCGATGGATCTGGCTCTGGCACACATCCACTCTCGTCACCGTCGTCGCGCTGCTGACCCCCTTGCTCATTCTTCTAATCCGAAAACGAATGAATATGCAAGCCACACCTTCCACTCCGTTTCGGTTCATGGATCTTCCGCCTGAGCTGCGGGATATGGTTTACGAGTACCTGCTTGAGGATCCATACTATCCTCCTCCACCCGCAAGTGAGAAGAAACAAATTTCTCCTCTATCGTGGATTATGTCGTCTCGAACCGGTCGAGCAAGTGTGGGTGGACGACCTGAAGCCCGGAAAAGCAACTGGGTATTCCTGGTCAACCGGCAAGTGTATACAGAATATATGGATCTGTTATGCAAGAAAACCGTCTTCCGACTCACGGTGTCGCCAGCCAACTATCCCAAAGACATCCAAAGTATCACGTCAGAGCCTCTACCAGGTAGCCAGAAACCCAGAATCTGGAGGATAGCCCCAGAGACGCTGCAGCAGGTGAAACGCTGCGATCTCAAGCTCATCACGACGTCGTCTATGCTCGGGGTGCCGGATCCGCGCAATATGACGCCTGCGAGCTGGGGGCTTGCGAAACAGGTGCGCGAGGAGTTGAAGGAGGTTAAGAATGTGCACGAGTTAAACTTGCATGTTAAGGCGATTGGAGATCCACTTTGGAATCCGTTGTGGGTGTGGTATCATGCTAGTCAGGCGTTTAAGAGTATGGGTTCTGCTACGGCTACATCAGGATTTGCTTCCTCATCTTCGTCTGAACTTGATTCGGATTCCGACACCGAATCGACAGACACATTGGTACTGACACCAACATCAACATATTCACCATCACTATCCTCAACTTACACACCATCCCCACCCCAACCCCTTGGCCCCAAACTCAACCGTATAACCTTCAGCCTCGACACCTGGTCTCCTGGAGAAAACTACCTTTCCCGCGACGCGGACGGTAAGTGGGCATGGTGGTGCATGGCGGGCCATTGCGTGGGCTTTGATGGCGAGGGCGGAATGACGGTGCGTGAGTTCTGCGCGAGGCTGTATGCGGATTGTGTGACTTGTCGGCCGGAGAGTTCAGGGGAGAACGAGGATGAGGATGTGTGACTGAGAGGCGATACGAGGGGTCAGTGGGTTAGGTCGTGGATGGGACGGTGGAGGGTGTTAAGTTTGGGGTGAGGTTGGAGGGAAGGGGTGAAACGAGGGTTCGGTACTGGCGTGACGTAACACGGCGTTGAACGCAACATCTAGCGATATGGGTGGATTTAGTGTTTGTTTTAGTGGGATTAATGCCTGCATCAGGCTCGGAGCTGGGTGTGGAGCATAACCAACCAGCGTTCGTGTTGTATGATATAATAATAACGGCGTTCTCTCACTCTTTCTCTCCTTACCTATTTTTCAATCTTTGTGAAATTACAACCAGGATGCATAGCACAGGGCGCCGCCCTTTTCGTCACGGACCAAAAGACCAATATAACGGCTCGAGCAACTACAGTTCCTTAGTAAGGTAGCTCCAAAGCAAAGGAGATGGCAAGAGATGTAGATATTATTGTGGTCTTGCCTACATGTGAATATAAGGATGAAGCGGGAATACCACATCGATATTTGAATTACTTAAACATAGAGGGTCTCCCTAAGTCTCATAAGCAACTCTTGACTCCAAAAAATAAAGGAGATATTAGGACTTCAGAGATTAGGGTCAGACTTACATCGTCCAGGCGATATGTGTCTGAGAATGGTGTTACGCTGGTCCCATGGTGAGAGAACTTGTGATCCCAAGCCACAAGCGACGACTAAAATAAGGGACTACTAAATATAGAGATGACGGTAATGGGAGCCCTTGCTTAGGGCACTTTGATCCGGGGTATTTTAATCAATTAGCTCTCTTGCTAGAATTATAATGACGGCCAAAGGATGAAGATTTCAGTCCTAAACTAGGCCTTTTTTATGTATTCCATGCTAACTCAGGCCAATTTTCAGTCCTGGCCATCACTTTTCTCCTCAATGACTTAATGACGCAGAAACAAAGGAGAATGTCAGATGAGTCAAATTTCAACAAAAGTAGTGAACAACTATGAAAATTGATTGTGAACCCTTAACCACGTGTATTGAGTAGTATTTAGGGTCTACAATTAGAGGAGAACAACCCGCTTTAAAAGGAGATATAGTCACCAATTTTCGTTTACGATTAATTTTTGTATTAAAAGTAGCAGTGTCTTTGTACCTTTTCATTCGCAAGTTTGCTAGTGCTAGACTAATAGTGTTTGCAGTAGTCACACGATAGTCGAATGCGTCGTCACCATGGTCGGATGCGTTGTCACCATAGTCGTATGCATCTCACCGTAGTCTATGTTGCTAAGACTTACCCACTTATTTCGCATATATATAGACTCCTACAAGCACTCCTCTAGCGATGAATGCAATCCAGTTCCTCATGCCTCTGGTGCTCCTCTTAGCTCCACAAATAGTGTTTCATAACACTTTAGGTAGCCACGGCGTTTCTCCTCAATATGACTGTCAACGAAATACTCCTATGTTGTTCATCAAATAGCTGAGTTTTAACCCAATAGGAATCTCGATGAGGTATCTCTATAAACTGTGATTGCTTCTCCCTCAAAGGGCGTTACGCCGAGGCTCAGCAGTGGTAACAGTCAGGCCTTCTTAAATGTTTCTGTGGATGACCACGTTCGCTAAGCTCGTGACGCTGACGATAGACCACGGCGAAGGATTCTGGTGTCTCAACTCTAATCATATCATGATATTCACATTGAGAGCATTACGCTCATTTAGACCTGAGTAGCACCTTGGTAGTTTATTGGACCTGCTGGAGCTCTAACGTTATCAATTGACAAATTACTCTGAATACTGGCCGAAGCATTAGGTGCCCGCTTCCATTTTAATTGATAGGATAAAATGCTATGCTGTCTAATTCAGCCTCCCGACTTACTTTTAGGTTACTTTTAATAAGCCTACGCGATTCTCAGTTAGATCGTGACTTCAGCGCTGTTAACTTCTTCGGCTCTGGAATCAACAGTCATAAAACCAGAATATTAGCCCTTCCTAAGCTCCACATTACCTCAGCGTTAATAGAAACACCAACAGATTCAGCGGAGCCACCGTTAGAGAAGGAGCTGTTAGATGCTTTACAAGCATATTGCTTCTTCAACACCTGCGATGCATATATATTCTAGGACAAGAAGCTCCAGTGTGTCCAACCGTTAGTACACCTAATAGTACAGTACTGCAGTACACTGATTTTGGTCACGTACGTACGTACAGGGCATCTACTTAGTATACTGTACTATACATAAGGCTGCTGTACTAACTGTTTACAGTAGTTATATAGGATTTTTAGTAGTTTTAGGCAGTTAAAGGCAGGTTGCTAAGGGCTAGGGAGCTTGTGTTTAGAGATTAATGCAGAGAATGCTGTTAGTGCGTGTTTTGTTAGCAATTTTTTAATAAATTTAGTAACTATGCTATTTACCTTATTCTTTTGCCTATTATAATGTCCTAATTTTTATTCTAATTAATAACGCAGTTATCTTAGCGTGTTACTACCTTATAGGCCCTATTCTTATAGGCTTTATCCTTATAAGCCTTATTCTTACATACCTTATTTAGCTGTTCTGCTACCTAGATATATCATGCTGCCTTATCTTAATGCTTAGAGAAGGCCTATATAACCTTACCTAGCCTATCTAGGCTGTCCTTGCGTGAAGTAACTCTTTTAAAGCATATGCAAGATACCTAGGCTAAGGAGCACCTAAATAATGCCTACTATAATGTTAGAATTACCTTTAAGATTAATATTGCCCTTAATTTCCTATTAATCCTAGCAACTTTATGTAAGTGTAAGTAGTGCTTTTTACAGGCTAAAAAGACTATTACAATAGGGAGGAATTAACTATTAGCGTTAATAATAAAGAAATTAGTTACATAACATTACTGTTACTAGTAAGATTAATAACTGTAGATCTTATAAAGGGTATTATAACTTCTTAATTAGGTATAGTCTTTAGCTTTAGCGCAATTACTTTATAATACTTTAGTTACTGTATTTAAACTGTACACTAATGTTATCTTTTCTATATAGTTAGTTAGTAACAGCTAACTCTTCTGTAACTGTACTATACAACCTCTAAAAGGCTCCGTAACTAACGGTTGGACACACTGAGAAGCTCAGGCGCAATCTTTTTGTAAACAAAAACCAACCCTATACGAACAGCGGTAGCAAAGCCTCCACCATCGTATCCTTGGTTAACTATGTGGGCACAAACAACGCTGTGAGACATGACCTAGTGTCAGTAACATATCCCCGACGGGTCAGTTGGTATATTGACTACCTGGCGTCGAGAGCGCTTCAGGTATGCATTCACCTCCGAAGGTGTCAGATGTCGAAAATGGATAACCAATACTCTGAGGCTTCTGGCTGATGTCGGAGAGGTCAATAGTACTCCTCAAGTTGTCGTCGCATTGTTGTGCTGGGTATACTGTTCACTGTCGTTCTTTCACATATTCGTTACTCTCTTTGTCGTCTTCGTTGTGTTCATTTGATCTTTGAGTTTACGAATGTTGGGGATCACTATTCGGGTGGTTAGGAAGCTTGGTATGTAGAGAGGGAGCTGGTTCCTCATTGGAGAATTAGTATATCCTCATCCATCTGATAACCTCTTTATCATAGAGGACTATAGGGTTGTTTGCTCTCAAGTATTACCATGATTATGTGAGCCCTGCTTGTTATCATCCCAGTGTGTTAAACAATGCACGCCGTAGACTTAGCACTGAATACATGTACCATTGAGTGGAATGGGCATAGCTAGCTCCCCCTGGCGCATTGTGTTGCAATACGCTAAAAAGCCTTCAGAGTGCGGTTGGTTTTACTGCATTCTTGCTTAGAACGAACAAGGTGTCTCTTCCTCCTAAGTGGGAATGTAATTAAGGGCCGTCAGAACCCTACAAGAGTAACAACAAGACTTTAATTCTCCGAGATACCTAAGTCGCACGCTTAGGGCATATGATGGAGAAAAGTGGTGGGAGCGAACTTCTCAAGGAGAATGCCGTGTGTGATGGGCTGCGCCACACTTTGTGGCTGCTAACTGTGAAATGAGCGAAATGACGTGGCCGCAGGGTTCGCTACCCTCCCTGCTTGTGGTGGCGACATCTAGTGCTAGTTTTACTTTTGATATGGATCCGTACTGTTAGATATCACTTCTAAGCATACTTGCACAATTTAGACTGTTCTGCATTTGCGCTAACTCTTTATTCTACAACAGTAGCATTAAAGCCTCATATTTAATTTCTCTAATTGCCACTTGCTAAGAGCTTCAAGTGAGGATTCTGTGTGAGGATGGTAAGGGCCGACAATATGCTTCTGTAACTGGAAGCACTCTTCCATTAATAAGATTGCCTCTTCATTCCGGCTTTGGGATTTCCACGTATGTGCTAGGTTGGCCATGCTATTCAGCGTGTGTGGATGCTCCTCCCCAAGCACCCTCTTTCTCGTCTCCACCACTTGCACCTCCAGCTCTTCAGCCTCCTTCCACCGCCCTTGATTCTTGTACGTCAATGCTAGGTTACCCATGTTAGTCAGTGTGTTTGGATGCTCCTCCCCAAGCCGCCTCTTGA